GAATGGCAAACATTCTATAGCTTCTAAACATAGTATTTACAGTGCTAGAAGCTGGCACTCTTGTCTCGTATTTCGAAACAATTATTCAGTCATTTTCACCTAATCAAAGATGCACAATTGGGAAGATGATCAATCCAGTTGTTTTATTCACATTAAAACGAGTTAACGAATAACTTTAGAATGCTGACAGGAGCTATATCAGTTAGTTTTGAGTGACATTCAGTAAAAGGAAGACAAGTGAATTTTTTTTATCTTTTTAATTTTGTGAGTTTGAAACAAGATTGCGTGCATTTTCTAAGAGCTAAAAAAAACATGTAGGGATATTATTTCTACTAGTTCAAACATTTTTTTCTTTTTTTTCTTGGTTTTCGCAAAAAAGGGTATTTACTATTTTTATTGTGCTTTGGTAGCCGCTGGTGCTGCAACTTGATGTCCCAGGTGGCATTCCTACAGCGATTCCCTATGACCCGAGGGAGTCCTGGGGCAGTTCGGTTATCCCGTGTGTGTTTAACCGTTCAGCGGTCGCGGCGGCGCTCAAGATCTTCGGCCAGTCGCGTCGGAGGGGTGCGATCACTTGGCAGTGGTTTGCCTCACGACGAGCAAGTTGGCGATGGTTCTGTCCTCCGCAGGAGAGTATAGCTTTGCAGCGCCGACTCACTTTGTCACTGGGGTGGTTAGGTGCACGCAAGTCACCTGGCGAACCAAGCACTCTATGTAACACCGACACACATTCACAAGGTGCCTGATCACGTCGCCGACATCAGCCAAACGCCTGCTTGAAGACGCAGTACGTTAGTAGGTACGGTAGCCTGTCTTCAAACCGAAGCTCGCGGAATGCGTCTACGACGAAGATGATGGACGGCCTTCTCAACAGCCGGAGACGCTCGAACCAAGATCAATCCATACCACCGTGATAGTGACGGCGGAAGCGCAATACGGCATCCAGGATCCCTCGCAGACGTAGAAGTGAACACGGCAGCCGAAGATCGAGCGTGAGGGACAGCCAGAGCAAGCAAGCACTACCGAAATTAACGAAAGAACTGCAAGCGAGAACTGTGCGAGCAAGCTGTCAGCTGTAGTGGCGGAGCGCGGGAGGCTCGGCTTACGGATCGGCTTATGACGACGTTATGTTGGCTAATGGATTTCGCCCCACGCTTCGCTTTATTTTTTCGTCAGAAACTAGTGAGCGCAACTTTCTATCCCAGTTTTTCGTTATATTTTCTTGTCCCAGCAGACAACACACACAAAAAACAAGTGTTTCGCCGTGTTAAAATTGTTTATTGACGAAAACGTGTTCTATGTGCACGAGACGAATTTGCGATCGCAATTGTAATAGACATCACTTAAATGTCATTTTAGCTGTCGTCTGGCAGGTCCCATCATGAATGTCATTTGAAAACCTGAATGTCATTTGGCGTAAATGCCATTTTAGCTGCCGTCTGACAGGGGTATTACATGACCTTCCTAACACCGAATCTAATGCCGAGGAAGTCGCCCTTTTGAATCATGACGATCGGCAGTTGCGACTGCTCTGCATACGAGCCAAAATGGCGGCGCCCACAACAATGTCGGGGAACGGAGTGCCGATACTCTAAGCGCAGCTTATTTAGTGGCTCTAATGGAACTTACCCCGAGACTGGGGTAGAAACAGAAACTTAAAAGTAGAAGGGACAGAGACAAGTGAAGAAGAGAACGTCATTTGAGACGTTCTCTTCTTCACTTGTCTCTGTCCCTTCTACTTTTAAATTTCTGTTTCTACCCCAGTCTCGGGGTAAGTTCCATCATGGTAAATATCCACCAGCTCGCCTGCACTTTAACCGTTTTTTCATTAATTGTACACGTGAGCTGCGCCGCCATTTGCTTCCAAGGGCCGTGCGGGTACACTAGTGCGGGGGCATAGACCTCGTGCATTGGCGCGTTTGACGCCAAGCATCGAGGAGAATGCAGGGATCGGTGCGCCACACGTGCACGCCTTCCCTGTATAAAACCTTCAAAGGAAATAACCAAAATAAAGCGTTGACGAACGCGCGTGCAAGATGCCATTTGTTTTAGGTATTTGCTTTAGAAAAGACTGCTGAGGCCAGCACGTGCGGCGCGTGAAACACCAATCCCTGCATTCTCCTTGATGCGTGAGTAATGTAGCAATAGGAAGTATCCACTGGCGGCCATAGCTCTGTGCGTGAATGCTAAGCGCGTGCAGATGGCGAGCTTCCACAGTTATTTTGCAACGTGCATTCCACACCCTCAAGATTGTCGATCTTCGTTCTGAGCATGCGCTCTAAACAGCACCCACAAATATGGCGCCCAGTGAATACTCCCCATAGGTCTATTCGCATAGAGATTCGATCGACACGGTTTTATGTGGTGAAAGCGGAACTATGCTTTGTTTTACACTTGAAGCAAAACGAATGCTACGCACGCGCGGCCGAAGCCATGGGAGGCGCCAAGGCAGTGCTCGTGCTCTTTGCCTTTAGTGTGGATGCTTTGTCTCCACTTGCGCTGTGGACAGATGGTATCATCACGTACCTCGGAGAGAACCATGGATAAACAAAAGCACGCTTCTACACAACTCAATCTGGGTCTCGAGGCGAATAGAGAGTTATAGTAGATCGTTCCAATGACTCGGATACCTGCAGAGGCCGTTATCCAATATACTCCGCCGCCGCCTTTTCGCGTGCATCGTATCTGTGTCGGGGGTATTCGGAACTATCTGCAACAGTGGTGTCGCAAAGGGAGGGGTGTTCTGGCTGGGCTAGCCAACGGGCTAGCGCCCCGGGTGCCGCTGACCTTCGTGACGCCACTGATCTACAGTGATGTGATGGGTCCCTATACGTTTCACCGAAAATAGGCTGATTGCACGCTGTGGTGACATTTCGTCGCGTGTGTATCACGGGTGCGTGAAACACGCACCCATGATACGCGGCAATAAAAGTTTTATTTTTTCAGATTAGAAAGAAACGTTTCAATTCTCGAATGAGTTCTCTCGTGTGTTTGTCATCGAGAGAAGTCTGCTTCACGCTAGGCCTTTGTCAAATCCATTTATTACTTTCCCTTCTTCACCACGAACAGGGCCCTCCGTCATCTCCGCCGACCCTCAAGGGATCCGCCAAACACTAGTGGTTGAGATTCGAAAACCACTGGTTTAGTTAATACCTCAAAATGGCCTCACATCTCTTCGACGGCACAGTAAATAGAGTAAATTAAGATTAGCTGAAGAAATTGGATGGAAGAGTTGCAGTTAGAACAAATTGAACAACTTTATTAAAACAAATTTGAAGAAATAACATTTTGGTACTTTAAATTATTCTATTCTAACATTATTTTGGGACTCTAAATTATTCTACTGGCTTTGCCCTTGCTTCCGTGCCGAAAATACCTGCTCACTGCAGTTCATACTGACCATCTATGAGCATCTTGTTGCCGTGTTTGGTGGTGCTTCGCAAAACTGAGCAGCTTGTCCCGCTTTCAAGGGAGTCAAGGTTGCCGTGCAACTGATTCTAACAAAATGTTTCGGAGAAGTGAGATGCAAGACACTGTCTTTCAGTTCGACAGACCAACACATACATTTTAGCATAATATTTGCAGTGGAATAAATGAAAATGAAGTGTGCTTAAGCTCTAAAAGTTCATTTTGCTGCTAAAATGAACTCTACTACACCAGGTGCTCCAAAATGACTCCAACCAATCACATCAATCTACGAAATCTCTACTGTTTGGTTGACTATCTGTGAGACAAACACATGTCAAGGAGTTTAAGGTATAAACCACTTGTTGGGTTTGTATTCATCTTGCAAGTAGCGTCAAATGTGCCATAGCCGCTCACTCGCTCGTGACACGTGTCGCGCGCGTTCGCACAACACCGGTTTTCGGTTCTTTGGGGGAAAGACCAAGCGTGCATCAGGCATAGGCATGGGCACGAGGGCGTGGCTTTGGAAAGTGCTTCCTGTGCACGAGTTCTCGCATAGAAGCATTCTGCTGAACTAGGCTCACATGCCTTGCAACCATGTGGTGCCATATATGCCAAGAGCAGGCTTAGTATTTGGTCCGTTGACTGCGTATTCTAGTCCCCACAAAATAGAAAGCATGGGAATCAACAACTAGCAATATGCTCCTCGGCATTTTACACGTGGCAAAGGAAAAGACGCGACAGGGCGACAACTCCGACAGCCGCAACTACGAGCAGTGCTGGATTGATGGATGGATTCCAGAACGGCTCTGATGGATTCTAACGGTTGTACGCTTTATAACGGGCGGCAGCTTGCGCCACCTAGCGTAGAAATCAAAGAAACAAAAAATATGATTTCGCCCCTTCCTCTAATTGGCACCAAGCGGTGATACTAGAGAGTTTTAGTAGATCGTTCCCATGACTCCGATAACGATATCCCGATACTCCGCCACCGCCTCCCTTGCGCATGCATAGTATCGTTATCGGGGCTATCGGAGGTATCGGAACGATCTACTAAAACTCTCTATTAGAGAGTTTTAGGAGATCGTGTTTTCGGGTCAGGCTATTTGTAGCGGGAGCTCGCGCTGCCACTTCGATACGTGCTCTGAAACACGCGCCCGTAGCGGTAGCGGGCCTTTGAAACGCTCTACTAAAACCAGGCTACGTAACCACTAAAACTCCCTATCATCAGGCTAACCTTAAAGGCCCTTCATGTTTCAAAAGTAGCACAAAGTGCGTCGATGCACGAGGCACGTGTAGCCTTTGGGAAGATCATGGCGGCACTCTAGCAGAACGCAGCACTTTCAGACGCCATGTTCTTACCATCGCGGCACGTGTCTCGAGCATTTCCACAACAATGAATGACGCCACTTTTCCCAGAATCGAGGGGCTTTAGCTGACCTTAAAAATATTGGGCGAAAAAAAAAAAAAACTTTTTCGTCAAACCACGGTCTAGTCAAACCTCGGCGTTATGCTAACACCTGGCTCACAGGTCCCGCGTGGCTCCGTACGCGCGCGATGTTCCCCCACTGTTGTTGGTTCCGATTTGAGGCCGCCGAGGCAGCGAAGCTGGTGGACGCTCGAACTGCGGTCGGAGTCTAGGGGTGTGCGAAGGGGAGGCCGGCATGCAGCGCAACAACCCAAATCAACCAGGCTCTGCCGGCGGGTCGCGTATGCCACCGCCCATGCAATGGCAGGGCGCTCCTCTGAGGCCGCCTGGGCAGCCGGCACCGCAGCAAGGCCCGGCCTTCGGTCCGCAGGTGAGGAAGACCGTCGCCCATCAACGAAGGCGCAGAGCGACCTCCCGCTTAGAGGATATAGGTGCTGCTTACATAACGCTAGTCCATCATTTTGTTGTTTATGACTGTTCTGTACACATTTGAGGGTGTCATCCGATTCCTTGGAATGCTCGCCTACAGCTACTTCAGACACGCTCCAGGCGGCTCAGAACAACATAATGGCGGACGCATCTACGTCAGCACATGACTTCAGTTAGCCAATTTGCTGTTCAATGTCAGCTAGGTGAGATTTATAAGTTTCTGGACACGCGCGTTTGAGGGTCGTACACACGCGTTTCGGCACATGGTCGTGGTTCTTGGCAATGCAGTGGAAAGTACAGGCCCGCGTCCCCTTTCCCATTTTGAGCGTGCGCGGGCTCTCCTCCTCTCCCCGGAAATGGGGGAGAGGAGGAGAGCCCAAGTAGAGTTTTAATAACAGCGCTTCGAAATTGCTTATTATATTATAAAACAAAATGTTCAAAAGCAAGCCTGGAGCTTCTCGCATTACAGCTTGCGCGGCGTGAGTCAGGGCTATTCGTTTTCACAGCCTGTCTGATTCTTGTTATTCTGTATTTGCGGAGGCTGCACTAGAAAAAAAGTTTGCATTAACCAGAATAAATGACGTGCTGCCTTAGCTGCGCACGCGCGCGAAGTTCTGTTGCAAAGCGCCGCACACTTGTTTTACATTATATGTTAACACTGAGCTTGCCGATACCGACGCTTCTATCTAAGTGTGACTCGACAGTTGATGCCGAGCAGATGCCCGTCAGCAACTGAAGCTCCTCCCAAATCGAATACGTGACAAAGAAATTCGTCACATCGAGACTTCTGCTCGAAAGAGAAGCAGACATTCTCAAATATTCTTAAAGTGTCGGCCATGGCCCGGCAAATTCAGGCAACTGATTAATTTGATCTATCCTATTTTTTACTAAGAATTGTTTACAAATTCTCCTAGCTCGAGCCCAAGTAGAGGCCCCCGAAAAAAAGAGGAGGAAGGGCAGGGGGGAAGCTCTATTTGTGCTTCTTGGAAAACATCAAACCGACACTTCTACAGCTTTTTTCTGCTGCTATGTATTATTGTAGTTTATCCAGGATTTGTCATCTCTGTTCCCCAAGCAAAGGACGAAGACGGAGGGACCTTAGGTACAACGGGGGGTCTGAAACCCCCCGCCAAAATTGGAGGTGGTCCCGGAACCCATGAGACCCCCCAGACCTCATGCGCATTCGGGTCTGCAAAAATTAAACATGCAAACGGTAGTCACAAAAGAAAATTTACGGTCTTTTTTACCGCAAAAATAAACTAGGCATTGCCGAACGCTCATTCTCCGCCCAAAGGTTGCGCTAGAGGTCACAACCAGATGCCAAAGTTTCAGCCCGATTCGATAACTTAATAAAAAGTTATGCGATTTTTTAAAAATGTCAATGGGAAAATGGCGGCCGACGTTGTTTCCAAACACATGGGGCTCTATGGCACCAGAAACCGAAAACGGGCAAAAATAGGCTCCATTTTCCCATTGAAATTTTCAGAAAATTACTTATAACTTTTGATTAAGTTACCGAATCGGACTGAAACTTTGGCATCTGGTTGTGACCTCTAGCTCTACCTTTCGGCAGAGAATGGGCGTTCGGCGATGCATATTTTATTTTTGCGGTTAAAAAAAAAAAAAAAAAGTAATTTTTTCTTTTGTGACACCCTGTAGAAGGTCTATTTTTCATTTTTGGGGACGCTGAAGCGTCAGCGACTTGCAACTGCAGAAGGTAGGGCGAGGGAAAGGAATGCCGGCGAGGAGGAAGTAGACAACGCTGAAGAGAGGGGGAGGTTTCCCCCTCTCCGGCGTTCCGTCTGCTTTCTCCTCCTCGGTGCCTCTCACGTTTCGATCGAATAAGCAGGGGTTTAACTGAAACGACCCCGGAATACGGCCACCGCTTCTTCCTGCCAATCATTTTGAGGAAATGTTTGTTTACTGATTTACGAAATTAAAAAAAAAAAGAAGGAATCAACTTGGAATAAAAGACCAGCATTCAGAGAACGCATTGGAACCAACAGGATACACAGAGTCGCTTTCACTGAAGTGTTTACTAGGCACGCGAGAGGTTCTCGAATTTCGCCCTCCTATCTTCAATTTGATGAGACATTCTTTTCTCAGTTTTATTTTGGCAGAATCATATTAAAGAGTACAGCCTATTTGCCGTGGTAGATGTTGTGGGGTAAATCGCTGGATATTCTCTTCATCATCCAGCTTTTTGTACTGGGGTATAGAGAACGATACACCACCACCCGAGAGCTTCGACACCTTAGCGCCAAAAGAGTTTTTTAACACACTACGCATGCCACGATTTCAAACTTTGGTAAAATGTTATGCTACGAATATCGCTTCACCAAATGAACATAACAAAAAGACTTCGCCGCGCGTTACCCAAACAGCGCATGAAGCGAGCTGACGAGCCGATGGATGCAAGATCCGCACGGTCAACAGATGTATCAACCTTTTTGTGAGAAAGATCTTTTTAGTAATCTCTCACATTGGATTTCCATGAAAAAAAAAAAAGATATTTAGGTGCTTTGACATCCCCAACTGTTTTGTACATCAACGCCTCGGCACATGTACTAAAATGAGGACTTAGGGCTTTTTCACATGACGTCAATCCGCCATTTTGTTGTTGGAGTGAGTGAGTCTTGTAGCGAATGGCACACATAATAGACGATTTTTGGTAATAGAAGTGCTAACGAGACATGCCTGTACATACAGTACTTGCCTGTCGCATAAATCACCACTGTGAAGTGCAAAATCGAAATGCCCCCAGCTCGTAGTGTCCTCCACAGTCCATCGTGGCACGCCCCACAAATTCCGACTCGCCGTCGTGTGACGCAGTCGGGGCAGACGTGGACGGACCCCAACAACCCTGGAGTGCTCTACTACGAGGGCTTTGAAGCCGGGGCCCGGTTCAGCGACGTGGCACCCCCTCGGATCCCGCCTCCGCCTCCTGGATGTCCCCCAAATCCCGCCCAGCAGGCCCAGATGGCGGGTCAGAACGTCGTGGTGACACAGCGCAAGGAGGGCTTCCTCCAGGGGGGCGGCAGCGGCGGTGTGGACACCAGCTGCAGCCTCCAGTGACCGAAGCGTGCACAGCTGCCTCCTCGACCAAATCTTCGCCGAAATGGACTGCCGCCAAGGGCGCCTGTCTGTGGTTACGGCCACAGACTAACCGCCGTGTGTTGTTGCCATTCTGCGGTGAACGGTGAAATCGCGCTTAAAAGGACTTCCGGAAGGACAACTGCCCATGGTCACAACCATGGTCAAAACGCCGGGTGTTCTTGTCGTTCAACTTCAAATGGTCAAATCTTGCTGAAAAAGGACACCTGTCTTTGGTTACGACCATGAACTTGCTAATGGAGGTTGTTGATGTTCAGCGGCAAATGGTCAAACTTTGCCGAAAAGGACTTCGCAAGGACGTGCGCCTGTAGTTACGGTCACGGACTAATAGCCGGGCGTTGTTATTTGGCGATGAACGGACAAATCTTGCTGGAAAGGACATCTGCCAAGGACATCTCCCTATGGTTACAACCATGGATTAATGACGGCTGTTGGTGACGTTTACTGTAGCAAACAGTCCCTCTGAACATGGCTCACAACGTAAGATCTATCTAAATCTAGATGAGAAATCTCCCTGCCGAATGTATCTATCTGTAGTCAGAATTGCAGAACAAACTTTGGACTTTTTTTGCCTTGTCCGTCTAAATCTTGCGTCTCAACGTGTTCAGACTCGTAGAACTAACCTTGGAAGTTGTTTATCGTTTTGCACAGGACAGCTGCAAACCTGTCAGGTCACATCATTTTTTTTTTTTTTTTTCATTTAGTTAAGTTCTGGTTCTGATATCTGATAGTCTATAACTACATCAGTCAGGAAACTGACATACACTATGTTCCGCAGGAATTGGGTGCCACCTCCCCACCAAATCCAATGATATTTAAGGGAAACATGTAACTACCAGCGATTCGATTTCAGTCGGATATATAACATCAAAATAGATAATGTCTCATTGTAACTAAAATGAACCCAGGGGTATCTCCGCATGCTCGCAGAGACAATGGTGGTGCATGTTCATTATTGAACAAGTTGCATACATTTTTTTTTATCCTGCTGATGTAAGAAACAAATTATTTACTGCAGACTGAAGCAATACTACACTGCAAGCATTACAAAGCGAGCTGCACCGCTGACTGACATCATTTCTGCTAATTGGAAAGGGAAAAGTCACATAGTTACCTCCAGGCTGCAACTCAAAACGGGAAAGTCTTATGTTGAAAGTGCCAATACTTTAACATTGCTTTTTCAGTGGCTCTAGCTACAGTCTATCCATTCTGGCGACCAGCTCGATTATAGGGGCGTAGGTATACAGTAGATGCCGACTGGAACATACCATAGAGCCCTGCATATCCGAAGATATCTGCGGTAAACTGGCGGATGCGGATAAAAATCAAATTTGGCGGACTGCGGGTAGGATGCGAATGCCAGGGTCTGCAGATGCGGATCGGATATCCACGGTTCTAGATCTACGTTTTTGCCGAAGCGGCCCATAAACGTGTGCGACCGCACAATGTAGAGTGAATACGTGAGTGATACTATAAAGGTGCATCATCGAATGTATTGCAGGGGCAAACTACTCTTAGATAAAAGGTGCCAATCGGGAAGAAAATTGTTCTTGACGTCAAGAAAGATTTGGTTCTCACCACAGATCGCTTTAGAACGTTAAAGAATGCAGGAGCATCAATCGTCCCGGGAAGACGCATTCTTGTTTGGCAAAGAAAGAGCGGAAAACGTTTTTTGGGCAAAGAAAACCAAAAACTTGCAAGCGACAAGAAAGTAGAAGAAACCTGCAAGTGGTGTCTTCGCCTACAAGTAGATCGAGGAGACTGAGTTCAATCTTTTGGAGTGGTGGAACTTGCGCCAGCACAAGTTTCGATACCTCATTCTTGTAGCGCAGTTTGTGCATGTCATCCCAGTATCAGGTGCACCAACAGAGAGAGGTATCTCATTAGCGGGTCTACAAGTCTGAATCTGTCCATGTTGACAATATTCTGTTTCTTCTACGTACCAACCTCGTCAAGTGAAACGTTGAGTGTGTGTGCATTTTCTTTTTTTCGACAGGTGGTACAGAGTTGTTTCTAAGTACGAGGCCGGTCCGATAAGTACTTAGCCTCACCGCCTGGTGGCGCCACTATCGCAAGAGAAATTTACTATCGTGTAGTGCATTCTTGTAGACGGCTACTTTCTAAGTTTCAACCGAATCGGACTCGTAGTTTTGTTTTGACCGCATGTGGAAGCGGGCGAGTCAGCGAATTTTAGAAAAATGGAAAAATAGCAATATCGGTCGGTGATTCGATTCTCGTTTTTGGAAGGGAAATCGTGCAGTGAAATTGAAGAGCACTTGGATGCTGTGTACGGTGACTCTTCTACTTCGATGACGACCGTCAAAAATTGGTTTAACGAGTTTCACCGTGGTCGCACGTCGGTTTTTGATGAGTCACGCCCAGGTGCCCCGAAAACGGATACCAGGGAGGATAATGTGACAAAAACTCACAATCTCATATTGGCAGACCGCCTATTGAAGGTGCGCAGGATAGCTGAGACAGTAGGCATCTCAAAAAACCGCGTGGGTCATATCCTGCATGAAATTTTGGGCATGAGAAAGCTGTCGGCGCGATGGGTGCCGCGTTTGCTCACTCCGGACAAGCGCAACCGTGAGACCACTTCAGAGCAGTGTTTGACGCTGTTTAAGCGCAATCCGAAAGAGTTTCTGCGTCGTTTCGTGACCGTCGACGAAACATAGATCCACTGGTACACACCAGAGACCAAGGAACAGTCGAAACAGTGGACTTCACCCGGCGAACGTGCTCCGAAGAAGGCGAAGACTGTCCTATCAGCCGGAAAGGTGATGGCCAACGTTCTCTGGGATTCACAAGGTGTGATCTACATAGACTACCTGGAGAAGGGCAAAACGGTAACAGGGCTGTACTATGCCAAATATTGGGCCGATTCCACACCGAATTGCAGAAAAAACGACCCCATTTGGCGAAGAAAAAAGTACTCTTCCACCATGACAACGCACTGGCTCACACCTCCGCCCTCTCAACGGCCAAACTGGTCGAATTGGGCTACGAACTGCTGCCCCATCCACCGTATTCTCCAGATTTGGTACCGTGCGACTTCTTTTTGTTTCCAAACTTGAAAAAGTCACTCGCCCGGCAGAAATTTGAGTCGAATGAGGAGGTCATCGCTGCCACGGAAGCCTACTTCGCAGACCTCGAGAAAACATAATTTTCAGATGGGTTAAAGAAGTTGGAGCATCGCTGGGTCGAGTGTATCGAACTGAAAGGAGACTATATTGAAAAATAAATCGCCACTTTTCTAAAATTTGTGTTTTTCTTTTGTAGGCTAAGTACTTATCGGACCACCCTCGTATATGGTTCCGAGCATGCAGTTGAGGGTTCATGCTTACAACTGAAACCGATAGGAGGCGTTGCCATTATTGAATATTGTGATTTTTTTCCCAGTGGTGTACTCGCACCTTACCGCATATACATGATTACTTTGCTGAGGTGAGTGAACACCTTTCCCCTCCCACTTCTTTATTGTTTGGCCTAAATAAATTGGCACAATGTTATTAGTCTGTCCTTTGCTAATTTTCATGTTTATAAAATATGCATCTGCTTGAAGTAAGTTTTACAAATCAAAAACGGAAAAAAGAAAAATGAGAATTTCCTTCTTTTTTAGCGCATCTTCTGGACAGAGTTTCAGTGTTACAGACTTCCAAGGCAATCTCATTAATGCAATCATGTTTTTAGCGATGCAAAGTGTCTCTGGAAGGATGATCGCTTATTTTATAAATATGATAAAACAATACGATAAAATGTCTTTCACCGTATTCTGACACGAAGAGATTTCTGTACAAGGGCAGCAGATGGGGATACTATCCAGATGCTCTTTTAATAGTTTTATTCATGCTTCATTTTATAAGGTAAAATTAATGCACGGATTGAGGGCCGGATGCAGTTCGGATACAAAGTCTGCGGATCCGCGTCAGATACAGATTTGTAAAAGCATTGTGGATGCAGTTTGGATGTGGATCCGAAGTCTGCGGATGAAGATCGGACGTGGATTATCAAACTCTTATCCGTACAGGGCTCTAATGATCAAGCTGGGGACTTTAAGTTGGACACTGGGCAAGATCGCCGACTTTCTTTTCGAATGTCCTCCTCGGAGCTGTGGGTCAGACGGCATTGGTACCAAACTCTCGTCCACACATTCTTTCTCGCTCCTTGTTCAACCTCACCTCTGGGCGGGGTCGTCGGTCAAGTCAGCTTATACTGTCCAATGATAAGTACCGCGCGAACCCTCCTGTTCTGCAAATTGGCCGTGCATTACAAAAAGCGAGTCAAACAAATGAAAATGAAATAATTTGGTATTGCTAGCTTGCAAGGTAGAAAAGAGACTCCTCGCAAAATCATGCGGATTACCCTACCTTCACATAGGCGAAGCTATAAGTAATGCAGCATCTATCTGGTTTGAAAACATAATTAAATCAAAGCATACAGCCCTATAGTGCCAGTTATCTGCCCAACTTTAATAAGCGCCTGCATTACAGGGCGATTTGGCATTGTGGTTACAGTGCGTCGGTGAAGCATTCTCCCGAGTTTCTGGATGAGCTCACAGCTGCTGGTTAGCCATGGGTAGTTGATGGCCTAGCCTCCCATAAACAGGAGGCTTTGGCAGCGGACGATCTGGGGGAGTGGTGAACATTTTACACGAGAGGAACTTTAACTGTTGGTCCGTGCATTGCGATGGTCCAGGCCGGAGTCCGGGGCAGACGGCATGTCACGCGAGGCCGAAGTAGGTGAGAACGTTCCGGGTGTACCGGGGCAGAAACACATACGTGGTGTAACTGGACATGGCGAAGACCGCAACGAGACCGATGTCTGATTCGTCGAATCAAGGAATGCAACAGCAAAACAAAAATGTTAAAAAATGGCTGTCTCTTTGGCATATTTCAAAGGTGTTCTTTAATGCATAGCATTTATGGGTCCTCTGTGACGTCACTGTGACAAGTCATGCGACACCAGGACATCAGTGTCACGTGACCATCAGGAAAGTGGGATGCATGTGGTCACGTGACGTCATATTGTCATGTGACACGAGTAGCAACTGTTCCAGCACCCCGGTCAGCCACCAACTGCCGTGAACACCATGACGTCACCATCGAGGCGACAGGCCAGGCGCTGACATAAAAACCCTACCTAGGAATGCTATGCATTTAAAACATATCTTCGAAAGAAAACCCGGGACATTCTGGCGATCTTCAATATCGTCGGACGAAGCCTCCTGAACCTGACCCAACTTGATGGGCTTTCGTGCAGCACCATAATCATATCGGGGTGTCGGATTTCCGATAACGCCGGCGCTGCCAGCTCTCTCTGCGGCAATGGTGGTGGGGTTTAGGCCCATACAAGTTTCAAACCGTAACAGTGTTCGACGGTAAGGTACCCTGGGCACCGAAAAAGTTACGTAAATTGGCTCGCTGTCGTGCGAGTTACCTGGCCCAAAGGATACTGAAGACTCGCTTTTCCCAGGATTCCAGCATGTAGAGCGACGTGTGGAGATCGTACATGAAGTAGTACCACTTGAGCTTCTTGTAGAGCCGGTTCAAGCACTGCATCTTGTCTCGCACCTTGTCGTTTGACTTCTGCCACAGAGACCGCCGTGGACTTACTTTACAGCTATACGCTTTACTACGATCGCAGCAACTTCTGCGTTCTCGCGTCGTTCCGCCCTTTCCGACCTCGCTTCTTGTTGTGGCTACTATCGGCTATCGTCGGCTACCGCTCCGCTCGGTTGGCTCGGCTGATTCCACTACCGCAAAAGTGAAAATTGAAAGCTAATACTTTTGTGTATTAATATTTAATTTATAGTTATATGAAAGCCTTAAAAACCGCGCTAACGTGATCTACGGTACGTCAAAAAAAGCAAATAAACAAAAATGCGTTCGATTGTATGATTCGAGTAAAAACAGAACCCACGTGACTTACGTTTGTCATTTTAATTTGTAGAGTGCTTACTCTTGAATGTTTAGGGCTCACTGATGCAATCGGAATCGGCTGTACTTGCACAAGACAAAACACAAAATACAAGCAAGCCAGCAAACTACTGCGAAGCACGCCCATTTTCTCGGCATTGTCGGTCCGTGCTAATTTTCGCGCGTACTGTATTCCATTCGTGAAAGTTTCTTTTGTGATTTAGATAGCACCCTTTAACAACTGATATCCGGAGATCTGTGATCATGAAGCTCTGAAAAATACAGAGCTCATTCAACTCTTCGCTGACCATGAGCGCGAGGTAAACAACGTGAACGTACAATGCCGACGATGCTTCAAGAGCGGCGGATGTTGTCGAACGTAAGTGCGTCGTGCTTGCAGCATAAAAGGGCTTTCGCTCACTCTGGGCTCGCGTATATTAATATATTATCCAAATCATCCTGTACTCTAGTCAGTCGATGCTGCTTAGCTTAATTGCATCGAAGATTGTTGAGTCAACTTGGGAAATTAATATTTGTGTAGCGGGCGATTTGTCTTTCCGCTGTAAATGAGTAACGTAGCCGGTGCAGCACCGCTGATAGTCTTGGGTCTTGAGCGTGCATCACGCAGTAGTGATACACACGACTGCACGTATATGGACACATACTGGGTCACGACGAAAATAATCCCTGCTGAAGGGGCAAAGGACAAACACAAATTTCCAAACACAACTAGGCGACTGGTGCGCGACCGAAAAATTCCGCCTGTACCAAACCAGGGACCTCTACTGCAGTGGTTCAGTTAATTGGTTTCCGGTAGACAAAATAACATCAGCATCAAGCATTACTGTATATGGCATTCGTGTGTGTCCCCTTGCATGAGACCCTGACTGATTCAGTGTCGAAACTTCCACCTAACAAATTTGATTTTTTTTTAGTTTCCCCAACATCTTCAGATTCAAGACATCCAAACTGTGGGTGTGGTAGTTTCCACAATATGTAAATCCTCGGCTATAGACTCCCATAGCAGATTCTGTGGAACTAAGCCCACAGTGATCTCCAAGCAGTTGCAAAAATACTGACATTGCTGCATCCTTACTGCTTATATTAGTTTTAATGTACAGTCGGGGGCAAAAGTTTATGGACTTTGGGAGCGGGGGCCAATATGCATTGCTGCACCCTCTGAAGGCGCGGCGCGTGCTGTCGAGACCGGCGCCTTCGCACGCTCGTCCTTCCATGCTCGCAGGGATGTTGAATCTTTCGTTTCTGGCAGCCACACTGCGGTTCTTTATAACTTGCCGTGTGGCACTGCGTCAGAAGCATATATGTGCCTAGCTGCGACAGAGATTCGCGCTAAGAAGCCGCACTGGCCGGCTGGCCTGGTTGGCCGCGCCCGGGAATCAGTGGGAGACAATGACTCCCCGATTTTGCATGCTTACATGGCGGCGTGCGGCGCTTTTACAGCAACTCTTTGCCCGACTCTGACTCCAAGACTAATTTCTTTATTGACATAAAGAAAAAGAAAATACATAGAGCATATGCTCCCACTAGCTGAGCTCTGCCAGTGAACTGCTTAATAACCGGTAACATTACCGTTCACTGCAATAACTTGCTCCACGCGTCTAGCAAAGACTCGTAGAGGAACGCCGCCAGCTCGGGTCGTGCACGGAGGGTCTCCCACTCTTATGCTTTCACACTGGCATCCGAATCGCAACCGCAGAGCGGATTCACTCGTTTTTTATCATCAATGCATGTCAACCGCCTCGCGAATGCGCTTCAACCGCCAATGTGAATGAGGCACTATTGCCAGCCAGGGAGCATTGGCCGTGCTACCGGCTTTTTGTGCTTGAGAATGGCTTTCAACGACTGGCGCATCACTTTGTTTTTCATGAGTATAATTTCCAACTCTTGCTCTTTCGAAAAGGTCAAAGTGAACAATCATTTCGCATCAGAACGCTTAAATGACTGCTCCTGGTAGTTCGCAATATTCTGCAATATACTTGGCACGAGGTGCCTTTAATGAGCATGAGTCTTCTACTTTTCAGGTGTACCTCATGGTAACATTCTTGCGGTAGCCAAACCCACTGCACGATTATCGGTCATCAGATCGTTCGTTATCGGGCAAAGAAAATTGCCACCAAAGCGGGACGCACCGTCGTGTAAGCTTGCGAGATCGGTGAATCCTTCTCTCCCGTTGATTCTCAGGTGCGCTAGCCAGGCTAGCCGGCCAGCGCGGCTTTTTAGCGTGGATCTCTGGCGCAGCTTGGCACGGATGCTTCCGAAGTGATGCAATGCGGCAAATTATTGAGAACCGCAGCGCGACTGCCGGAAACTAGAAAATCGGCATCCCTGTGAGTATAAAAAAAGCCTGAAGGACGCACTTGTGCCGAGGTCCGGTCTCGACAGCAGGTGCCGCGCCATCAGAAGGTGTAGCAATGCATATCGGCCACCGCTCGGAAACTTTTGTCCCCAACTGTGCCACTAAATTTCCAGGTGGGCGAAAAGTGCCAGAGGCTCTCACTGTGGGAACAGACTTTCAAATACAGTATGGACACTGTCTTGACAGTGCACAGCACAGCATGCAAGCGTTGCATGAGATGCCCCACCCCCCAAAATATGACCCACCCCACTCTTTGGCATGACTTGTGGTTCTTTCAGAAACACCAAGTGATAGCCTCTTTTGTAGTAAATCTGCTGTCCAAACCAATAGTGGCACCAGCAAAAAGTTTTTTTTAGGTACGGCAGGAAATAAGCGAACATTGCTGACTGGAAAGGACTGTCATTTTTGTTTCAGTGCCTCTCGCTGAAATAACAAGTTTGGCAGGTCACATGATCTAAATATATCAAATTTTCAACGTTCCTTGACAACAGACCAGAAGTTAGCCCACTCCTTATTTTCATTTTATTTTCCCTCCTATCTAGGTGAACTATATATCCTGGGATATTACGGTAGTCAAATCAGTCATTCTCGTGAGATTGAAGGACCAAAGAGTACATTGTTCTCTCAGTAGCAACTGTTTAATGTCTCGCCTTTGCATCTTATTTTTTCCCCAGGTTACCCTTTCCAAGAAAGCATCTTTTATAGAAAGGAAAAATGGCAGGGACCTTTATCTTCAAAGTCCTATAATGCCTGGAATGCAGTTTTTAAGGAACAATCATTTAAATTTGATTAGAAGACATACCTAGCTTGCTTGCATACTTCCATTTCTTGAAACTTAAACAGTCCTTTCAGGTAGTAAAGAAGCACTTATATTCTTTTTTATTTCCTGGTATATTTAGCGAGAAAACAAAATTGGTGTTTAGGTCTAGTGACATCAATTTCCCCACTAAATTTAGCAGGAAGTGCACGGATGTACAAATGAATAAAATTTTGAAATGGGGAGGGGGGTGTGCATCAAAAAACATCCTTTAAAAAACAAAAAACAAAAAAAAAAAAAAAACTCACATTTGGAAATTAATTTAGGTCTTCCGCCTGCTGTGGCTGGGAGCAGCAGCCCTGGCGTGCGGTGCGCAAGTTTCCTGGGCCTGCCGGCACTGCGGGACGCTCCGCTCCTTGGGTCCTCCGCCGGCCAGCATCGCCGACATGCCGCCCCCTCCGCTGCCGCCCCTCAACCCCCTCTTGGCGCTGGTGGTGCGGGGGGATGTCAACCGCACCTGGGACGGAAGCTTGTGCGAACGGGTGCTCCGTGGTGCCGCCCCACGCGGTGCTTCACCCCTGGAGCCCTCGGAGTGGTGGCTCCATCCTTCGAGTAAGTGGGAAGGAACTTTGGCATCTGCCAGTTCACGCTACGAATAAGCAAACATAATAAGTGAAAAAAGGGGGGGGGACCTTAAACCAAGTCCTAATTAGAGACCCAACGCTTCGCGGTCTATTCGTTTTCTTCTTCGGGAGTGACTGTGGTTGAACTTCCTCCCTTTTTAATTAGTCTTGCCCCCACCAAACGGGTATATGTCAAATGTTTATAAGCAAACACGCCCCCTATTTTGAACGGGGTCATCCTTTCCATGCAATCGTAAAAACAAAAACCTGAGACCTGGGTCAAATAAGGACGAGCGCAAGCACAAAGTTTCAAACATAGCTGAAAATTTATTTGACAAGAAACCTCTCGACTATATATGGTCTTTACGCAAAGACAGGGAGAATGCAGAAGAGAGATAGGGGGGAAAAAACGCAAAACAAACGGTATACCCCGTCAACCACTTCGCACTAGAGCTGGGCGTCGATTAAAAATTCTAACCCGATTAATCGCCACCCTTTAGACGATTAATTAATCAATTAATCGGTTGCATTGATTTTTATAAATAATATATTAAAAAGATTGCAACTAATCGTCGGGCTTTTGAAGACTTATTTTACTCTGTTACATGGCGCAAAGGACATTTAGAATTGAGGATACATATAGGTCAACAATTCAAAGACTTACATATTTAGAGCGCAGCTCTTAGGCACCCGTTTCCGGCTTGAGTGGCCTCGGCGTCGCCGTCAACGTAACCGCGAGCCCCCCTTCCCCCCCCTCCCCCTCCAAGGACCTCGGGAGGACCTCGGGTACCTTCGGTGATCTGGGGGGGGGGGGGGGGGTCACATGACTCCCCAAGGTCACACGCCATATTTTTCTCAACCACCCTATTTTTAGGAATTTTAGAAAGCTTTTGCTGAAACACCCTGCATAAGATTAAATGAATGTTGAAGCAGTATTTCAGCTCACATCTGCATAGAAATATTTGTTGACAGAATTTTTCTAGACATTGTGACAATGTTGTGCGTGCGAGTTGGGTTTCGTAACATTTGGAACCAGTGAACAAGACTTGCAAGTTCATTACCATGGTGTCTATTTTTGTCAAAAATTCTTCTCGGCAAATCTGCCGTGACAGAACGTCAAAGTATGCAGACAAAGAAGAAACAAGTTGGATTTTACAACTCTTATTTTGGAGCCATATTTTTCTCAACCACCCTATTTTTAGGGATTTTAGAAAGCTTTTGCTGAAACACCCTGCATGAGATTAAATGAATGTTGAAGCAGTATTTCAGTTCAGATCTGCGTAGAAATATTTGTTGACAGCATTTTTCCAGACATTGTGACAATGTTGTGCGTGTGAGTTGGGTTTTGTAACATTTGGAACCAGTGAACAAGACTTGCAAGTTCATTACCATGGTGTCTATTTTTGTCAAAAATTCTACTCAAAACTGCCGTGACAGTACAGTAAAAATATGCAGACAAAGAAAAAAACAAGTTGGATTTTACAACTTTTTGTTCAGAAAACCTCAAACAACTAGAGTTGTGGCGTTCTCGCATAACCAGCTTTTTAAAGATGTGGCAGTGAACATGGGCTGCAGAACCACCTTACCATCATTTAAATGTTCGCACGCTCTGATGAGAATCTGGCCCCCTGCTGAAAAAGCCACCATTTTGCTTCCAGCGGTGGTGGATGGAGACAGAGCGTGGCCACTGGCGGTGGTCATGGTGGCAGGGTCAGCAACCATTTTGGGGTCGGTATTGCTCCTCGTCCTCTCCAGGAACAAGCGGTAAGAGAAACTACTTGTCCCTCCTTACCATCAAGAAGTGAGAAAAAGGAAGTTTTTTTTTTTCTTTTTCTTTTTCCTATTTGTTGTCGTCCCCATCCCCACTTTATTTTTGCCATACAAACAAGAGACAGACATATTCATTTGTATAATATTCAAATGTATAACTATTAAAAGATTTGAATATTTGGTAATTATAATTTTTAAATACTAGAAACTCAAAATTCTATATTATAAAAAAATTTAAAAATTGTATATCAGCATATTGAAGTTTCTAAATATACTAGAATAATAAAACTTCTAAATATTAGAGTATTAAAATTTTTAAATGTTAGAATATTGAAATTCTTAACTAGTAGAATATTAACATTTTTAAATATTAATATATTCAAATGTTTAAATATTAGAATATTCAAATGTGTTAATATTACAATATTCAAGTGTTAATATTACAATATAACTTTTAATACTAAAGTAATAACTTTTAAAACTTTAGTATAATTAAAATTTCTAGATATTCTGATATTAAAATTTTTATATATTAAATATTCAGTCTGAAATATTTATATTAACATGTTTAAATATTAAAATAATATTTTTTTAAATATAATACTTGAATGTTAATGTATTAAAATTTTTGAGAATTCACATTTCCTCGTATTTTCGGTGCCTTTGACTACTTCTACACTAATAAAACTTCAGTCACGGACCGGTGAAACATCCTCGCTCATTCCTCAGAAGGTAGAGCACAGATGCATTTGCGTGCCTGCTATTGCAAAAACGCTATTCCTGCTAAACGCTTCCATCCACCATAGAGAAGCGTCAGGACAAAGAGCTGCGCTCATATTTCCTCTTTTTTGCACTGCCGTCCCACCGACAAAAAGTACTGTTTTATAGGTACATTGTTTTATTATATTCCACTATATATTTAGCCAGCTTTGTGGCTAGTAGGACAGAGTCATGCCTATTTCACAATTATACTGCATGATGTTCTCTCGTTTTCGGAGAGGATGCCACCTTAGCATCCCAGCCAACCTTTATCTAACGTGCTGTTTCTTGAACACTGAAGATCTCATGGAAAATCTGTACCACCACCTGCAATCTTGCCTCTATGTACAAAATCCATCCACTCTGGGTGCGTTTTGTCGTGCACAACAGACACCTGCATTCAGTTCCAATTTAGAAAAGCGAACTTCTGTTCCTGTTTATTCACACATTGATTGTAGTATTCACGCATGAATACTACAAATAAAACACACATGCATTATAATGCTATACAAGATACTAACTGGAGAAGACGGATGACAAAAGGGACAAGAGACAAACACACTGTTTGTCCCTTGTCTCTTTTGTCATCTGTCATCTCCAGTAAGAAATATGTGTAACACTAACTATCTCGCCTGTTTATCCACCTTGTCTTTAAAAGAAAGAGAACTTGCGTTTGGGCTTTTTTAGCCCTTGAACCATGTTGGTGGCCACTAGAAAAAGGGCTAAGTGAGTTAATTTTCTAGCTAGCCAACCAATATGTTTCAGTAATTTTTGTACATTTTCATCCTTGGGAGATTGATGCCACATGGCAGGTGATGAGATAATTTGTTTTCTTATTTTTTTTAATTTATGAAAGATGTGTTTAATTCATTCATTCATTTTTGGGGGCACAATGTATTTTGATAGTTGATGCTCGACCTCAACACGGTCTAGACGTGCCATGAAATTTTGATAAAAAAATTTCATAGTGGGTGCTACGGAGTGAGAAATGTTGCCCATGTACACACGTCTTCGAACCGAAACTAAGTGGGCAAAGAACGACGTACGACGCTATCTTGGCCAGCTTTGCTTGCAGAGCTGGTGGAGCATTGGTGTAGAGATCTAGATTACTGGTGCTCTTTGACCGCTTAGTTTCGGAGAGTAAATTCTTCACACACGCAATTGCATATGTTGAAATTTGGAGGTGTGCAGTCATCACCTACTACCGTATTTGCACGAATATAACGCAACCACAAATATAACGTGTAGGCAGATTTTGATGCCCCGAAAAAAAAAAAATGAAAAAAAAAAATACTAATATAACACGAGCCGAGGCCGTGTACATTTCCTGCACTCGGGGGCATAGCAGAAGTAAAAAGGCAGTGGAAATCGAAGAAATGTATTTATATGTTGACTGCACTCATCCTCACTGCTCGGGTCCTTCGGTTTACAATCCACTTGGCAATGCCCCTCGCACGGCTTGCAACACATACTTATTATCCTTGCATGAAGTTGTTCAAGGCATGTGGTCTTACAGTCTTTTTGCAAAACACATGACTATAGTAAGTTACATGTCTCAAGAAGGTCGGGCGAGGGAAAGGAAGGCCGGGAAGAGGAAGCAGACGGAACGCTGGAGAGAGGAGGGGGGTTTCCACTTCCCTCTCTAGTGTTCCGTCTGCTTCCTCCTCCCAGCCTTCCTTTGCCTCGCCCTACCTTCTTGAGTTGTAACAGACTATAGTGAAAGCAAAGATCATGTACAGCCATCCTCGTGGACGCTTACAGATAGGTAAGCATACACGAGTGAAGTGGTATAATCTTACTTTACTTCAGAACTATTGTGTACGCTAATCGTTCTTCCACTCTGTGGTATGGGAACGAGACTTGCTCGGTTGCTAAGTCACCTGTTTGATTTCCCCTCTCCCCGGACTCCCAAGATGGCAGCCTGTGCGTGCACCACCCGGTAAGTGTTATCAACTGATATTTTTTTTAGGCTAAGCTGCCTCTAACATTTGGAGCCGAGAGAAACCAGAATTTTGAGTGAAGAGTGACTCGGTGGTAACTGACAGTTTTGCTGAGTACAGGGGTGGAAGCGCTGCGCCAATTGCGCCACCCTGCGCCAATTCACTTCCCTGCGCCAGCCTGCTCCAAAACGCCAATTTCAACTTTTTTTTTTTTGTGTGTTTTCTCTAAATTTAGCGAAAACGGTTGGCCACGGGCCACCATGAGGTGTGTACTTTTGCTTAGGTGTCACTGCGGGTGACTCGTACCAACTCGACTGGGGCTCCGAACCATGTCTAACCTCAGGGCGAGGCGTCGATTTTAGTTCATTGAGAGTGCGATGTCGTTTTTTACTACAAAGAGTTTATATACGAACACATCGGTTTGGTTTCGGGCATAGTTGGTTGGCGCGGTTGGAGCGCGCATGCAGTTGCCCGTGGTCCCGATTTGCCGTGATCGTGGGAGTTGGTACCTCGGCACCGGTGGGCTACCTTGGCCATTAACATGAGCAGAAGTAAGTGGTCTTTACTAGCTTTACCTGTTATTTGGTAGCCTACCATATTTGGACGCTTAGCCGTGAAGAATCGCGAGCACAGGCACATGCGTTCTCGAGCTCAATTTGTCTTGTCAAAACGAAACCAAAACCATCATTGTGTGCGCGAATGTGCACGCTGTCGTGTGTTGTCTACCGCCGTCAAACCACTGGCGAAAACAATACCCGCGATCTTAAGCGAGTTGGTTAATTGGCAGTGCTACACACTTTTTTGTTTCTTTCGTGGAGGAGTGGGGGGTTACATCAGAAATGCCGTACAACACTCCCGCGCTGCCGATTCCTGTCAAGAACGCACGTTAACTTGCTATAGCCACTCTACTCGTATAAGTTTCTGGTGGGGGGGGGGGGGGGGGAGAGGGAGGGAGGGAGGGAGGGAGGGAGGGAGGGAGGGAGGGAGGGAGGGAGGGAGGGAGGGAGGGGGGGAGGGGGGTTGGGTAGGGTAGGGAGAAGTTGGTGGGCTTTTTGTCACGTAAGAAGGCAGCCTGCCCCGCAGGGATCAGCGCCTGATCAGCTACATCTCATTTTCAGTCTCGTTCAAACTGTCTTCTCTTAAAGCACTTCTACTGAGTGCACAAAAACTCATAAGCAAGGGTGAGGCAGTTAAGGACATGGACAAGGTGGGGCGTGGACACCTCCTGCTAAAAGATGTGAACTCTAAACTGCCCAAAGTACTCGAGCGCATAAAAGAAATTGACTCTGCTCTTCAAACTGTGAAAAAAAAAGGTGAACTTCAGTTGTATCTAAATTACACAGATTCAGCTTAGTCACAACCCTTTTTTTTAAATTGGAGCCTATGGGCTCTTCTAGTCAGTGTTTATGCTGCATATGTATTAGTGGCTGTGATATTTTTAAGACAATATATTTTTCCATCCAAAGTAATTAGATATAGCTTTGTATGTTAACTTGGGTGTAGGGATTACTGTATTTTATGAACAGGGATTAAGAACATTTGTATTTAATGAAAACAGGTCAGCAAGGACTGCTTTATTCTGAAACATGTTGTGGTACCTTAATTTTTTTTTATGGAGACACGCAATGCACAGCATTTTATGGAGTACATAAGGTTGCGTTGCTCTTCTAGTCGATGCTTAAAGCTGCATATGTACGAGTGACTGTGGTAGTCTAAAGATATAAAATACACATTTTATTTTGCATCTGAATTTTTGTCAAATGTCAGTAGCCTTGTATTTTGTTACTAAACTTGATATAGGGCTTTTTAAGTAGTGATTGAACATGTGTATTCTTTATTAAACAAAAACTGTAGTCAGCGAAGGTAGTTTATCTGACACCTTGCAGTGGTTTAGTTTTCTGGATACATGTTTACAATTGGTCTATTAAGTAGACGGTTTTGTACTGGCGTGGCTCAAGTTAGGCTTTTATTGTCGGGGCCTCCCATATAAAGTCTATCATGACTCTGCCTGCTGCCGGAATGGTTCTCAAAGCCTTTCCTTTGCATAAATTTCCAATATTCCATATTTCAATGCAATAGAAATAGAAAAATGTGTATGTATGTTGCTTGAAAATTATTCTGGGATGTGCATGCATATATTTTTGCTACATTTTCACATTTAGAAACAACAAATCACTTTTAGACATTTGTTTGACCTCCGTGACCTGCTGCAAAACCTACTTCGACGGCTACAAAACTTATTTTTGCTGCTCCCGAGCTGCTCTAAAGCGAGCGTTTTACTGCTCCAAAACTGCTCCAAAGTGGGACTTTTGCTGCTCCCAGCCCTGATACAAAAGGCTCTAGCCCGCTTCCACCCCTGTGAGTAGTATCGACCCAATGCTGCGTTTCTGTTGTCTGAGGCTTATCTAATTCGTCGATCGTTACAATGCACCTAAAATAAAATACTTATGGGAGGCCAGCCCAGATGTCAGAGTTGGCTGATGCTCAACAAATATGTCTCCAAATCATCACCAGCTTTCATAGAGTAAGCAGTTCTGGCCATGGAAAAATGTTCTTGTTTGCCAATCACTTTTACAGCAGGTTTAGAGGTAAAGTAGCTTGACAACTCAAGTAATTCTTTAAGTACCGAGTCAATAATCGTACAAGTATCGATGGTATGTTCCAATGCTCTTGAAATGGACATTCGTGTTATCACAAATTGATGGTATCAGACCTTCATAGAAAATGAAAAAAATCAGGCAGTTGAGAGTGCAATTGTGATGGACACCCTGTAAGCATTACATGCTCCTAAATAACAAATAATAAAAAAGTCTCAAAACTTTTTAAAGTGAAATTGTGACTGAACAGGATTTGTGCCTCTTGTCTTCTGGGAATCGATATCTAAATATGATTGCTCCTCAGCTCGGAGCTGCAAATTCCTGGGGCCATGGGTTCGATCCCTACCCCTGTTGGATTCGCTATGGACGCGCATTGTATCGGCGTGCAGTCACGTAATCGCTGCAGTGCGATACCTGTTTAAAGACCTTTGGTTAGCAGCCTACTAGGCGGGCTAAATCACCTCTCTACAGTGCTGAACCAGCGTGTCGAAATCTCAAAGGCTCTTGCTGCTTGTCTTCCAAAGGGCACCCGGGTCTTCCCTCTGCTCTGCTGCCCACCAAAGGAATCTTGGTTGGCGCGGAAGTACCAACAACTGGCTCGTACGACAACTCTGGCTTCGCGGAGGGCGGCCATGGCGCCTCCCTGCTGCGCCAGCTCCAACCGCCCCCCCTGGCCGGATACCGGCCGCTTGCCCACGCCTGACTCTGAGACCACACGCACTCCCGGCTCAAAGTCGGATACAGCTTAAAGGCCGACCTGCAAATTATTTTTCAGTCTGGCTGAACGTCGTCCTCACCGCCCTTTCTTGTGAACCCTCTGCCACTGGTCATGTAATAGGGAGATCCTGTTTTGTGTTTGTTTCTTGTGACAGGTTTGTTTATAGTGGGTGAATAGGATTGTCCCCTCTGACGTCTACCACTGTCGAGTGAGGAGAGTGGAAAAAGGGAGAAGAGAAAGAGGAAACTGGAGGTCGGCCCATAATGACGTATCCGAGTCGAGCCGGCGCAATCCAATTCACAGCTGGAGCTTAGCTCTCCCTAGAGTCATAAAATGCTCGTGGAGTTTCTGAAACTGCCGCGCCTGGATTGTGGTGACTGTGGAATGGGCATTTAAACATGTAACTGTCGTACATGGTTTTGGATTGTAGGGGGTCGCGACAATGGGTCGCCGTTTTGATTTGGACCACTGGATTGCTGGCGACACGTCTACAAATTGTGCACATTCAGTGGCCGGAGTTTGCGATCACATTGCTTACATTCAAGCTCTTTTTGTTTGAGTTTTACATTCTACAAAACTTGGTGTGGGGGAGGGGGGGGGGGAGGGGAGGAGAGTAAAAGTTGAGATTGTCATCTTCCACTTTTCAATGAGAAATCGTACGTGACAGGGTTTCTCTTTTTACAAAGCGTTGGAAGGAATAAGCACCGCACCAGGTAAAACTGGGTTTACCCCAATGAAAACAGTCTTACACAACTTTCTCCGACCTCATTTTGCAGCTTCAAGTTTTTTTAACTGCCAGGCATTGTGCAATTATGTTGCTGTCACAAGTAGTAAGCAGCTATACTTTTTGCATCCTTCTGCCCATGCACAGGGCTGTGACAGCGCTAAGTGACCAATGTGTGTTAAGAAAAAAGGTTTGCTTGTTTGTTTGTCGCCTCATGAAATCGCTTGTAATGAGTTCCATACAAATCTGCTTAGGTATGCCAAAAGTTTTACAGAAGTGTTGCTTAGAGGGGTACTCCAGCGATTTTTTTTAGCTGCCTAACTAACTATATTTTCTGAATTCTCGGCCTTTATCCTTTCCGGTATGCTATTTCGTATCGGGAAATTCATAATAGTTATTGTGAAATCGGCAAATGAAAATAATGCAAAAACCAACGTTCAAATATACCCACACTTTTCAGTCGCGTGATGTCAGTGGCAGGCAGACTTGCTAGTCGAGTAAACAGTCAAGAAATAGACTATGCCAAGCATATTGTTCCGTGCTGATGCGGAGGTACTGGAGCGAGCTTCCAAAGCATTCATTTGACATCATGAAACTGCTTGGAATTAGTTGGGAACAAATTCTGCAGTGCAATGAGTGAGCTTCCACTGGCGTCACTATTTCGTTGTTGCCAGTAGATGCTTTCCGTTTAAAAAACACAATGAGGACCAACATTTTAAATTCAATAACTTTGCAAAAAAAAATATATATGTATTTGACCTAATATTTTGGATATTATTTTAGCGATGCTTGTTGGTGTGTTTAGCAAACTTTCAGGCAAATCGGGTACCATGAAGAAATTGCCGGAGTACTACTTTAAAAGCGCCCCCACTATTGAGAAAAAAAAAAAAAAAATTTGCAACTGGGTGCAGAGGTGCTGCCCTGGTCGGCCTTCCTGCCCTCGATTTTATTCTGTGATGTGTAATGGACTACTCAACACTCCGAATATTTAGGAGTATATGAGCCATTTGAGGCACCTCCTTTTTTATGTCCACCGAAATGTGTGAAATTCTCGAACGGGTAGTCATAGGGAGTGACACATGTGCGGATAATTTCGGGAAGTCGCAAAACCTCTAGTTTCTGACATTGTGTTCCTCCACAATCTGTCTCTGGTTTCGGATTGACTCATCCTGTTTTTCTCGGCAAATGCTTAACCCTATATCACAAATTTAATTGGGTCAAGTACTTGGCTCTATATTCTAGTAGACATCGCACACACACACACACACACACATATACAAAAAAAAAAAAAGAACACTAATATTTGGGAGGCTATTCAACCTCCAAAAGAAAAGCCGGAAACTGGAGCTGTCGGTAGGCATTCATCTATTTGCAGTACTCGCGCTCAACCCACGGTGGGACGCACGCATCGGATGAGGTAGCTTTCGTTTCGTCCTCTGCAGGCACTGGAGCACTATGCTTTGCACACATTCTGCTTCTAGGCTTTCCGCAGCATACCTATACCCGCAATGTTCCGAGTTGGAAACTAAGGACACATATAAAGGTCTCGCATCGTTGCGCGTGCAACCCAACCGGAGTTCAGATCTGAAGTTAGTGCTGGTCATTTGTTCCAACACACACCTGAAGCAAGTCGGTGTATCGTGCACATCTCGCATGTTTTTGCATAATTATAGTGTGTGTGTTTTTGTGGTTGTCCACATTAGTCCGAGAGAAACGTTTTGCTAGTCATCATGATAACCATTTTCTGTATTATTTTTTTTTCCCGTTTGTATTAATGTAAGGTCGAGAGGTCTGAGTTTGTTGGACGTGGTGTATCAGCTGCATTTTGGTTAGTCTTTGTGCAAACAAAACTGAATTACTGTTAAAATGTCTCGAAGGATGTTTTCAGTAAGATCACCCTTCCAGTTTGTACTTGGGAAAGAGCTAGTGTGCTTAAGGGAACAGGGTAGGCCCTATTCCTCCCATGTGTTTCAGCCTATGTATGTGACCCTTTTTCTCAGGATCTACTAGGGTTAGAGGATTCATGTTGGTATCATTGTATTTAGCTTTCTGTGTTCTCTTTACTGAACTAGATTTATTGTTATATATGTTTTAGTTCTTTTTTGCTTTTGTTTTTACTGGACCCTCCTAATTTTAATGCCAAAATAGACAATAAACAGCTTGTCAATCAAATTTGCCTTGATTAATTTCCATAATTCTAGTTCGGTAGACTCCCCCTTGTGTTGTCTTGTTAGCGGAAAAAAATAATACTTCTAGTTTTTATGGTTTCAGAGAAAAAGGGTCAAACGTTGCAAAAAAATGATGTTTTGAGATAATCGACTTTGAAGTGAAAAAAGGCGCTTTATAATAAACTTGCACTCTAGAAATGCATGCTGATGTATCCGTTCGGTAGCCACCAGCCAGGTTGTCACCTCCACAGTCAATATTTAGTTTCTTTGTTTGCTGTCTTGCTTTGTGGGCCTCTTTTGTGACGAGCTGTGTAGCATTGTCTGCCAAGTAAAGTCTTCGCCGGTCAACGCCGCGCAACCACTGCACCATGAATCATCCTGGTAAAACGCCAAGTAGAGGCTCGAAGTTGTCCGTTTTGACGTCTCTCTAATCAGTGTGTCCAACAGCACTTTTCACAGTTCAGAAAGTAGGTGCAGGCGACGCCAGCTCTTAGTGCTGCTTTTTCAACCAGCTGCAAGTCCCCACCGCACACTTTGCACACCCAGCTTTCGGCGACGGTACAGGACAGAAGGTCGATGTCGATCAGTGCACAGTTGCAGTCACTAACACTTGCCTTGAGCTCTTCAAAGCATGCTGCCGAGTGCGACAGCTTCGAAGAAGACGCACACGTGGTAGCCGCTGCGTCAGGCATCAGAATGCGTTGCGGGGACTCGGCGGCATAAGAAATTGACCTATGCCGACTACTCTGGAAGCGACGCTTCTAAAATATCTTCTTCGTCTTTCGTCATTTTTAACATTCCAAATCTAGTGTTAAAGTAAACAATAAATTACCTTGCCCGTGGAAGCATGCCGAACCAGAAGCAAAAGTATGCGCGTCGCGACTGACGCCGGCAGTGTCTGAAGATTTATGGGGCTAAAAATATAAAAGCTAGACAGCTTTTTGATGTTGCTGGACGAGCAATAAACATTCCGCTAAACCTAGTGAAAATCTTCGTTTTTTTTTACGTTTTTTTTTACAACATAGTAGAGATACAGATCGTGCATAGGTGTAAAAGGGGGCGTGGTCGGTCACCACCTAGGTTTCGGAAAAGGTAATTTTTCCTGTAGATAAATCGCGCACGCTCAAATTACACGGTCAGCATTGTTCAGGAAAGACTGGGAAATACAAATCCCTAAAAAACAAAAACTCAATTTTTTTCAAAATTTTGCCCTACCCTGTTCCCTTAACTGTGGTGATTAGCTGTGTGCAGTTTGTGCAATGCATTACTGAGTCCGAATTCATCTGAAAACACATCTCGAACACAGCTGTCACATACCTCACTGTTTTATTTGTCTGGTTTCGTACGAGCGGCATTATTTATTGTTGTGTTTACCTGATTTATTGTTTTGAATGTCTCGAAGGCACGAGTGCCTCTTAATAAATGTACCAAATCGACTAATGGTGTGTTGGTGACTTTCTTTTTGCGAGGCGAGTGCTCTGGTTCTTTCAACACTACGCCATTTGCTGCAGACCAGGTACATACTACAGCTGTGTCTCATTATGGACACCTCCATTCCATCTAAAAAAATTTGATCGTAACAATGAGACAGAAATGCGTGTATCTACTCCGTTTGTCCCCATAACTTTCGGTCTATATCCATATAAGATGGTGCCCATATCAACAAGACACGACTGTACAAGTTTGTGACAGGAACGTAGTTATGTGACTGATGCGCCATTTGCGCCAAAGTGGTTACCCTACTACATTCAGCTATGTTTTGCCGAAATTTGAAGAATTTGTGCCAAAATTCAATATCAAGATTCTTAAAATATAATAGCTGAGGCCCCGAGGAATTCCCATAGCTTCCGATTAGCGTCGAAGATTGTACTACTTGATTTCATCTCTATCAAATACACCGACGATACTCGGAAGTTTCGCAATATTCCTCATGTGCGTGGTCTGTTCTCGCAATTTCGTTGAAGAGGCTTCTCACCGGGCACCGGTGTACTGCAGTGAAGCGGCAACCGCAAAATGAACGTCACGATTTTGAGTATCTTGTTTCGACATAGTGCACCCGCGTGCTAAGGGGAAAGCGCCCTTCCAGAGCGGGACGTGACATCACGATTTTAAATAGAGCTGTGGCTAAGAATAGAAGCTTGGGCGTGTTGATGAGGCATGATTATTTAAAACCTACAGCGAAGGAGACTGGACGGAAGAAAGGAGACACAAGAGTCAAAGAAAGAATAAAGACTCAGTCTCAAAGGTTAGGAGGGAGATAGGACGTAATGAAGGAGACATCAGTAAATGTGTGTTGCTAGTCGAAAGTACTGTGCTGTCTGTCCTTGTCCCTAAGTGTTTTTATTCTTCCTTTGACTCTTGTATTTTCACCAACCCGCTCTTTGCTTTTTGTAGAAAGGAGACAAACGCTGAACTTGCAACTGAAGTTTTAATCGTCGAGGCACGACCAAACAAAAGGAAGCACACACAGCCAATGACTATCCCCTTGAAACCCCGCACTGTTATCGCGCGTGCTGTCGTCGTGAAAGGAAATCTACAAAAGAACCGACGGGGACCCCCCAAGCGCGCCATCGTCTCTACCTCCATAATCTCTTTGGTCAGGGCATTGACACTTCTTCCATGACAGTGCATTTTTTTTTTTAATTCCACATCACGATCCTAAGCAGCACAAATGTCCTGTGGATATTCACAGGACATTTGTGCTGCTTGGGTCAATTTGGGTGCTCTAAATTATTATATTTTAACATTATTTCCGTGGGTTATTTGCTTTACCTTTGATTCTGTATCGAAAATAGCTGCACTGCAGTTCCCTTCATCAATTAGCATATTTTGTTGCGGTGTTTGGTACTTCCACGCACAACTAAGCAGCTTCTGTGTTCGAAGGAATTTTAAAGTCGGGGTGTTCTCGGGGAATCTCAGATTCCCTTCGGATATCGACAGGGGGTCTGAGACCCCTCTGGGGAGTAGATCCAACCGTCGCGCCCCTATGGCGGCGAAGTTGAGAACTAAACCCATTGGCACAACATGAATTATTTGGGTGCGTTTCTGACGCCGCGTTCGGCTGTCAGCCAAATGCTGGCACAGCTGAGCGCGCTGTGTTAACGTTTGGGTGCATGTACGTGTAAGGGACATAGCATAGCGGACTAGTCGTAACAGACAGTCGACAGTTGGTGAAAGTAGACATATGGTTCCAATTAGAAACTTGCTAAGCATAATCAAAAACCACTAAATCAACTATTTTTTAGAAAGATATAAGAAAGAGGCAGCATTTTACGGCGTTCCGAAAAAAACGTTCAGTTTGGACGCGTTTCTAGGTTTCGGTTTCTTATCGGAGCGCATCTTTGCGCCCGCGGTCCTGCTCCCCGGTGGTTGCGGCGCGAAGCAGCGAAGCCCCCTCGCCCAACTCGCCTCCCTCGTTTGATAGAGGGAAAAAGGGCGCACGTGCGTTGCGCGTCTCAGCCACCGGGGAGCAGGACCGCGGGCGCAAAAATGCGCTCCGATAAGAATATCCGAAACACAAACGCGCGCCAAACAGTGTTTTCACGGAATGCCGTAAACTGCTGCTCCTGCGTTATATCTTTCTAAAGATAGTTGATTTAGTGGTTCTCGATGACGCTCAGCAAGTTTATAATTAGAACCATATTGATTTTCACTAATTAAGAAGTTAATCCTGGCCGTATAACTCACCGTCGGCGTAACCACAATGCTCTGTTGTAATAAGCACTCGCAACTTGTGGAACACTGAACCCGGACGTGCGTTCCAGGCGTAACCGATATGATACACATAACATGATGATCTACGTATTTCAGGGATTGTGCCCGCTTTCCCCCGCCATTCTGTCAGCAGAACGGAAAAAACAGAACGTACGTACTTGAACGCACCTCGTTGACTTCCGCTGTAGGTTGCGGCCGATGGTTTTAGTTGATCCCCGCTTGTGTTTGCTTCTGCGTGCGGCTTGTGTAATTCGTATGGTAATAAAAAGGTTACACCTGGCTGCGCCTTCGATTTTTTTCCATACTGCCTTTTTGCCACACGGTAATAGCTTAGCACTCAAAGAATACAATGAAGACTCAAACGCTGGATTTCAAAACCGCGTTGTTCTCCAAAAGACCGGCCGTCGCACCGCGCTCTTGTCGAGCAAAACGAATTCGATCGTGCTGCCAAAGGTATATTCGAGCTCAGCAGCAAGGTCACTACGTTGGCAGCGGAGCCGCATGCATAGATTACCCTGGCCCGTCGTTTTTGCGTTTCCAAAAGTCATACATGCCCCATGCTCTGAAGGATCCCAGGGTCAACTAAGGCGGGGAGGGGGGGGGGGGGGGGGGGGACCTTACCCCCCTCCCCCCCCCCCCTTCTTAGTTACTACGCTACTGATTGTAACACAATGAAAACTTTGCGATCGCCCACACCACAAAGTAAATAAATTAGTTACTCTTTAGGGGTAGTAACTGAGTTTCTGGCCCTGTAGGTCGATTTATATAACGCGTGGGTCAAATGGATGGATGGCGGCTTGAAGCTAGGGACCGCATAAATCGGTTTATTAACTTATCGCGCTGGGATTTACTACAGAGGTGCTCGAAGCTGGTGCATTCGTTAATTGAGAGTGTGAATACATGAAATCTCCGGAATCAAAAAATAAAAAAAAAAAGAAAAAGAAAATGGAAACTGGTTTTGTCTATGGAACAATTATCGCTAAGCCTTTTATGTCAAAATCACCAGAAAATCATTGTGGCGTTCACTACGATTGAAAAATTTGTGAAATGGAAAGAAAATGGGTTATAATGCAATTAAATGCAAAGGTGCAAGCGAGGTGCCCAAGAATGACGAAAAGAATCCCTCGAGAAGGGGAACAAGGGGACAAAGGACAGACACAAATCTCCAAACACACACAGCTAGGTGACTGGTGCACGACCGAAAAAAAAAACCTTCGGTTGGGGCTAGTTGGTTCATATCGATTAAAAGGTTAAAAGGCGCGAACAAACGGGACGAAAAAAGACACACGTACGACGCCTGTCCGTGACGTGCGTGTGTCTTTTTTCGTCCCGTTTGTTCGCGCCTTTTAACATTTTAATCGAAAAAAAACCGCCTGGGTAATGAAGAGGTCCCTGGTTCGATACCAGGACCAGGCGAATTGTTTTCGGTCGCGCACCAGTCACCTTACTGTGTTTGGAGATTCGTGTTTGCCCTTTGTCCCCCTTCTCCGGGGATTATTTTCGTCAGAAAATAGCATTGGCGTACGTATTCTTCACTTCATTTCGCCCAAATAAACGCCACAGTAACACTTTTTTTTTTCTGTGTACATGCAAGGTATAGGGAAGACATTGTTTTTGATTTTTCGTGATTTACTCGGGTGAGCCAATCTTTTCACAATTTTAGCGAAAGCTTCCACCAAATTCAGGCACCTCTGTAGTAAATCCAAGCGCGATACACAAACGGCCATCGGTCCCTTTGACCCACGCGGTATATTGTGAGCCCATAAATCGGTAACTTGGTATATTGTGTGCCCATAAATCGGTAACTTGGTATATTGTGTGCCCATAAATCGGTAACTTGGTATATTGTGTGCCCATAAATCGGTAACTTGGTATATTGTGTGCCCATAAATCGGTAACTTCACCGTTGTACTTTTATTGTTTTTTTTTTCTTTGCTCAGATGGATTTACGTAATTACGTAATTTCGTAAACGAGGGGTTTGCTATACGAATGAGAGCCATTTCTGTAAGGATAACATAAAAAGAAAATCAGCTGTATAAAGTTGATAAAACACTGGCTGGACGTACGGTTGGTGTTCATGACTGTGTCATAATTTTGTCAAAATTAAAGACCTCAGTTTCTGGAATAAGATAGTTTAGCATTAAAACTGTTTGCACGAAGCCTTGAATACGTACGTTTACCACTCCTATTAGCCTAGGTATTGCATGGTAAAAAAATTAGCTTGTGCAGCACTCCACTCAACCAAAAACGCGCACGACAAAAAAAAAAAAAAAAAAAAAAGGCAATGCGCACATGGAGAAACATGGACAATGGAGAGGCCGAAAACACGACGAGGCGGACTAACAAATTAACCAACAGGCACCCTGCTTGATTCTAGATGTACGTAGAATGCGTATCGTGGAGGGTAAACAACAAATCGCGCAACCGCATGCCGAGAGAAAATTGATGCAGGAGCGGCGCGAAAAAGAGCGAACAAAAGCAGCGCTCTTTGAAGGGCGCGAGAGAGCAGACGCGCTTCGCAGATAGCAGACGACAATCGAGCCCACCACAGCACCCCTTGGCGGCCTGCGGGGCCCACGGTCTTCCGCCGTTCAGCTACAGTGTACTACTAATGCACTATAATTAAGCATATTTCTGTATTGGTAGCGTCAGTACCTCCCGTGAAAACGGTCTAAGCAGTCTAAACAAATCTAACATCACACAGGAAAAAATTTTTTTTTTTTTTTGAGGAGTGTAAACAGTCTATATCAGGTGGCGCAAGCTACGCCCCAACACTCTGTTCGATGCGTGCGTCTGTGGTATGCGCGAATAGTGGCTCTTCGGCTTTTCGTCCATCGGAGAAGCAGCGGGATCCACATCAACCGTCTCCCGCCGTCGGAAGGAGATTACGGCTCGGTCAGCTCAGTTCATTGCGGGCACCGGACGTACAAATGTCAGGAAACAGAATGGACACCTCGTACACTCCCAAGGTGCTTCGCAAGACCAACGATTGCATGGTGAGCCAGGATCTCGGAGCGGCTGCAAACGAGTCCAGAGTGCTCGTGTTGTACAGTGGAGGTACCATCGGTATGGTGAGAGGCAGGGATGGAGGTGAGTTTCGGTTTATGTCTTTGTCGCGTCACTTGCGTCATGCCATCCTGCGGTCGAACGTACAGTGCCTGGGTTCATGCGGCGTTCTGCAGTTGGCCAGGGGCTTGCAAAATGCCGCGTTGTCAGCTCCGAAACGAGACAGATCTGTTTTCTTGTATTTTTTTCTCCGTAAACACGGAACACTGCCCCTGCGATCCATTCGGTCGCTTATCCGCACTGCGAAGTTTTTCCGTCAACGCTTGCGGCTATTTCTGAGACCGTAGAAGGGATCACTGACCGCACCGGTTCGACTGCACTTTCTCCAATCGCGCAAATAAACTTGAAAAAAAACAAAAAGATTTAACGCAGTTGAGGCGGGAAGCACCTTAAAACTTAAATAAACACATAGCAACCACTTAAAAAAAAGGATGCATTAGTTTGTTTTTATCTTTATATTAGTTCAACATTTTTTTTCATCTATTTTATTCGAAACTTTGTGCTGCTCGTACTATATATAGCGAACTCCTCACCATCGGACAAACCGCGCAGCTGTGTGGTTTAAAAAAAAGGGCACGTACATACCGTAAATGTGCGGCTTTTGGGAATATTTCGCGACTGCGAGTGGTATATGCCATTAAATCGTTACCACGAGGTGAAACATATTCGTCCGATAGGTATTTCGCGATATTTTTTTCAAGACTTGAAATTCGTTAAACTGAGGTTATCTGGAAAGTTAGGTCATTTAACAGCATATGCCGTTTGACTTTTCGGCACACAGTGCTCCAGCCAATGCCCCTGGTGATGGAAAGTCGGCTTCGGGACTTTCCCCAACTCCACGACGCCGAGTATTCCAGCACACACTTCCCAGACTCCGACAAACCACCGCTCGTGCTACCGTGAGTGCTTCCTCTCATTTCAGGAGCGCTCTCTCATTAAGTTTTACAGCAGGTACCGCAGTATGGGTGAATATCATTATATTCATTCATTCCTTGCATTATTTTCAGCATCCCACAACCAACTATATGTCCTTTTAGTGGTCCACTGCATTATACTATTGTATTTATATGTCGTATGTGTTGCAAGTAGAGCAAAAGCATATCGCAGGATGCCGGAAAGCATGAGGGAAAAACATGCACTTCAAAGGGTTACCAGGGAGTTTAATGACATTTTGTTGACTCGGGGTGAAATGTCGACCAACCAAATGTCATTAAAACTTGCAGTATGTCTTTTTACCTGGTATATGTTATAGTTAATATATATAACATAATGCTCAGATAAATGTCAATGACACATTTGTTCTAGCTCAGTGTATGGAGTAATTATATAGCATACCTTGAATGCCTAGAGACGTCTAAAAAAGCTCACACTGTTTTTTGTATTTAATAACAATAACTTAAATAAGGTCTCAGCAAGAGCAGTAGGTCTAAGCGTTTTTTCAAGCCATTATGGAGTGGTGTACACCTGCAGGGTGGCATGTGGGTTGTGATTAGAAATTAGATTTTTTTGGCATTTCATTTCAGTCAAATTGGCTGTGGTTTCATTGGCATTTATTTGTTGAACTAAATTAAGTGTTGATTGGCATTATTTTTTATATCCTCTGTTGGAGGCATTTTCGGTATGCTGGCCTGGCAAAGAGCTTGACAGAAGTCATGTGCTGCATCCTTGCTTGTCTGTGTATGCCTCTTGTGCTCATGTCAGCATGTTGTAGGGAGCACACTGAGCTGGAAAAATGTATGAAATAACGTGTAGATGATGACAGTGGTGAAAACTGCTAGTAATTTAAAGTAAGGGTAAAAACACTGGCAAGCTGGTGAATAGGAAGCTGGGACGAGGAACGATAAAAAAACGGACACCACGCACGAGGTCTGAAACTCAGCTACTACCATAAAATGCCGCGCATCCGTCCATTCCACACTAAGTGCCCACTCCCAAATTTGTAAGAGCTGAGAAAATATGCACAGTATATGTGTAAAATTGATGACCGAACAAGCGCCCATCCCCTATTTTTTCGCAATTATCTCCCAATTTTGAGTGGGCACTTGCCCGGTATTTTATGGTAGTATATTTCACACATTCGCTCTTATGCAGTCATCAACGCCCTCTTCACTGAACCCATGCACCTCCTCGCAACAGCAAAACACATATCTGTGACACCCAAACAACGACGGATGATTCAACAGAAAAGAAAACCTAAAAAAAAAAAAAAAAAAACCACGAGGCCAACAGGAATTTTTGTCTTATCTCCCAAAAACTGAAAAATTACAGGGGGACGCTAAAGCTTCGCCTTTAAGAGTGGAACGCGATAGTTAAACATATAAAGCCCGCTTGTCCCCAACCCTTGGAAACGTGTCTGCGTGGCCTAGTTGGTAGCATGTCTGGCTTGCAGCCAAAGGGTCATGAGTTTGAATCCCACCTCCGCCTCATATTCTTAGAATGTTTTCTTAAGGCAAGTGAATTACTTTTTGAAGTGAAACCATTTGAGACATGTGGCAACCTTTAATTCTCATTACATGTCATGTTTTCATCACTTCCATTACATGCGTGATTTCATGTGAGCACTGTGGGTTGTTAGAAATTCCCGCGCGGAGGTCACGTGGCTGTGACGTCAATACCTCACCGTCCTGGTCCAGGGCTTTCCCGTCCCACCGATGCCGACGCCGGCCTTTCTGTGACGCGAGCTCCTTAATACTATCGCGTTGAAATCAACCCGTCTCCTCTCAAACCAGGCTTCCGTGAAGAGAAAACAAGAAAACAAAAATTGCCAGAAAAAAGGCTCGAGATACACCTAAGCACTTCTTATGAGTTGTGAATGCGAAAGCATGCACGCTGCTCTTCCGCTTTCTTTTTTCGTATGAGGCGTACTTGCATCGATGGTTGAGCGCGCGCGCTGTTCTCGGCATGCTGACCTTGGGCGTGGGGCGGTGGAGCTGCTGCCTTGCGGACATACACTGCCGTGGGGTGGCGGTCGTTGAAACTAATGCGCAGCGGCCAATGGGAGCTCGTCGACGGGCGCCAGCCAGTGGGACTGAAGCCGAAATTTATCAGCTTTACTCCACTCCCTTGGGATCGGGGAACCTAGGTGCCGTTGTCTAGGGTTTTCGCATGGTTTCATAGCTGGGAGCTGGCTTCACTTGGAGAAAGGATTTAAGGTGCCGTTTGGCACAGCTTTAAAGCTGATGACGTCGGCTCGTTCCATGGGACAGTTAATTTTTTCGTATTAAAAACAAACCCTAAGACTCGGTGAAATAACAAAGGCACCCCTACATTCGCAGAAACTCTCGGTGAACGACCATAGCCACCAGACTACATATCCAGGAACCTCTTCATTTCACTTTCCAAAGAGAGGGTAGGTTGGCTTATAAAATGACTCGAGCTTATAATTTGCATTGTTTCTTTCAGGACTCTCCTACCTCTCTCCCTCTCTTTGTGCAGAACTTGAGTGCTCCCTCGTTCAGGTTGACAGTTGTTGCACTCTCCCACATGTTTAGCTATTTCAGGGTTCTGAACTCTATCCTTTACTGCCCTCTTATGCTCCAGGATCCTATCATTTAGACAGCGACCTGTTTGCCCTTTGTATGAGAAGCCACACAGGATATTGTACACAACCCCTTCTTGGCAAATCACAGCTGGGTCCTTATGTTTCTTCTGACGTCCCAGGACAGACCCCAAAAAATGTTTGCCACTGTCTTGATGTTATGAGAAACACCATGACATTAAGGCACAGGAACTATATTTTTTAAAACCGGTTTGTCTGCAGGAACCGAGCTGAACTTCTGCAACAGTTTGGGTGTGTGGTTAGGTGGCTTTTGTTGTTCACTGAGAGTTTCTGCAAATGTAGGGGTGGCTTTGTTATTTCATGGAGTGTCTTGGGGTTAATTTTCTTGTCAATTTATTTTTTTTCTTGTTTTCACTTCATGGAAGTCTGGTTTGAAAGGAAAGGGGTTGATTTTCGGTTTTTGGGAGATTAAAAAATTCCTGTAAGCCTCGTTTTTTTTTTTTTTTTTTTTTCTTTTGGGGGGGGGGGGGGGGGGGGGGAGGGTTTTCTTTTGTTGAATCATCCGTCGTTGTTGAGTGTTTCGGATATGTGTTTTGCTGTTGCGAGGAGGTGTGGGTTTGGTGGCGAGGGTGTTGACAACTGTATAAGGGCGAATTTGTGAAAAAAACTAGTAGCTGAGTTTGGCACCTTGTGTGTGGTGTGTCCGTTTTTTTTATTGTTTCTCGTCTCGGGTTTGTAATAGTTATAATTCAATATTACAAAAGCACACGACCTGTCAAAATATTGCTTACCAATTTCAAAATACAGTGCCAGCTTACTGTTGCTTCCAGCCTATGACAAGTCTGCGACCGCTTTCATAAGATTAAGCATATCAGTCTTCCGCCATAGACGGTGTAAAAAAGCCTTTATCCCCCAAAATAATGAAGAAAAAAAAAGAAGATTGAGACGGCATTCCACAGCACCATAATCAAAGCATTTAGTATTCTGCATTGTTCTAGTCTGAATCAAATTCATTAAATAAAAGTTAGCAGGCTTTTTTTGCCTTTATCAGGAAATGTGGAGGATTCCATACCCCAGTTTGATGTCCCTTTGATGTTAACTTAGTTAACTTACAGAAACGTTGCAGTTTTAGTTCTAGGCAATCCGTCTTAATATTGGAGATGGGGCACGTGAAATTGTAATAATGTGTGTGGTGTTTAGGCTTTAAATTATTATAGTGTCATTTAAAAAAAAAAAAAAAATTCTACCTCATTAGAAGGGCTGTATAAGCCATTCTAGTTTAAGCTACAATTTTATTTCTTTAAACTCTGCTTATTTAAATTAAAATTGCAATTAAGAAACCACTAAAATTGCACAGGTCTAATAAAAAAAAATTGCTGTTAAAAATGGGATTACTCCAAGCAGCCTTCAACTTTTAATTTAGCTCACAACAACAAAGCCAGCAAGAGCCATAAAAAAAAGAAAGAAAAAAAAAACCCAGAACAAGAAACAGATTGTTACAAAAACCTAATAATAAACAAGATAAAAAACAAAACAAAAAAACAACAGCTTGTCAAGCAGACAAACATGGCAACAGAAATGGACTCCCTAATGACAAGGTAATAGTGTTGTTTTATTTTATTCTTGCATTCTGTTCTGAATGTGCAAGGACACCTGACATAGCCAAGCTTCCTAGTGGAAGCTTTTTGTCCATAAAAACAACACCTTGTTTTAAAACGCAAGATCCCTAGCCGCCGACATCAGATGTGCACAGATGTGCACGCATGATACCTATCTGCATTCCGCTTTGCATATTTGTATTATTCCTGGGTGTTTGCAGCTGTGCAGCACTGAATGCTGTTGCCCGGTGTTGCCGCTCTGGTACATAGGTGTTTGTTATGCCAACGTAGACTTATCTACACATCTGTGTCATGCAAAGTGTGTAACATCTGTGCCATATGCTCATCGCATTATTGTATTCATTTTGAGTGGTGCCACGGGCCTTTCTGCAGCATTACAGCTTTACGTAGCCAAGATTCGCTTAGACCATAAAGCATTTGCAGTATGCAATGAATGAGCAAAGTAAATTCTTTACTACAGGCTTAAGTTGAGCTAGTTATTGGTACGTATTAATGTTGGGTCAGCTTGAACTTGCAGAAACAGACATAGAAAAGACGGGACAAGACAAAACAGCCAACTAAGAACTTCGGTTTTGTACACTTCTTTTTTGTATGTGTAATCATCCTTTTCACGAGCTGGTCACATATACGCAGAATAACTATTAGTCTTATATGAATGTTTACACAAGGAAATTGTTAAATTTACTGTGACCCGCTCCTCCTACGAGTTACCCAGGCGTGGCACATCGCAAATACTGATTTTCTTCGGTGTGGATAGTGATGGAAAAAATTCTAACACATTCTTCTGCGTGTTCTTCGATGGCCAGTGCCTCGAGCATCTCGTGCGCAAAAGGATTTATGTTTGTTGCCAGAATCCTTTTGCACGTTCGATGCTCGAGGCACTGGCCATCCAAGAACACGCGGAGAAATGTGGTGGCGCCACGTCCATCACACCAAAGAGAAACAGTATTTGCGATGTGCCACACCCAGATAGCTCGTAGAAGGAGAGGGTAACGGTTAATTTAATCATTTCTTTATGTAAACATTAGTTAAAACTAATAGTTATTTTCTGTATACATATATGAACAGCTTGTGAAAAAGGCAATTACTGATACGAAGAAGTGTACTAAAGCAAAGTTGTTAGAGCCGTTTTGTCTTCTCCTGTTCTTTCTATGTCTCTAAGTTCAAGGTGACCCATCGCTATAAATTCTTGATCTAGACATTTTATACAATTCAAACTTTCGGGCGTCTGAAACCTCTTGATTGTCGTTCTGAAGCATTTAAGATGCACACATGTAAAAAAAAAATTAGTATAAAAATATTTTGTTAATAAATCGTTACTTGAAAAAAATTTTAATTATGAAATGTTTCTATAAAATTGTTTCATTCATAGATTGTTTCTATAAAATGTTTTATTAATAAATCGTTTATATAAAATAAGTTTTATTAACAAATTGTTTTTAGGAAATGTTTTATTAATAAATTATTTATATGAAAATGTTATTCAAATAAATTGTGTAATAGTTTGTGTGCACTGAGTATTTCTAAATATAACCATGAAGTACCTACAAGGAACACCAAAATAAAAGGGACAGAAATTTTTGAGCTGCGCCAGTTGTAATCGCAGTCTAGTTATTCAGCGTCGCTACTCATGTTTTGGCAATAACATACTTTTATTTATTAGTTTAAGAGACATTAGTATATAGAAAGAATTATAGTAAGGAATAGTCACATATGCAACAGTCATCAGATGGATGCCATATTCCTTGGATAGGCATGTAAACTTCTCCCAGTTTGTTTCTTGCCAAGAAAGCTTTTGACTACACACGGTCTCTGTGCAACATGTGCCCGCTTAGGTCTGCTTTTGATGCACGAAATTTGAGACCCAATGAAATATAAACGCTCTGCGTGTGTTCGCAAAATAAACTGCAGCATGCATTTTGCAGCTTGGAATTTCCCATATAAAAAAAAAATATATATAAAAACTTTGCAAATAAACATAAAATTTTGAAACAATATGTAAAAAAAAAAAGAATTATAAAAACAAAGTTGGCTCTTGGAACGCGGGGAGAGAGTGAGTGATGTAAATATCACGAAGAGGCATATCGCCTTTAAAAGAAAAAAGAAATGCTCCTCTAGTGGTGCTTGCGTTGCATTTCTTGTGTGCATTCCTTGTGTATAAGAAACTTGAGCTCTGCTCTGAACCGTTAAGATGAAGTGCTCTGTCACCCGAAGCCATCCGATGCCTGCCCTAAATTGTTTAGATAACGGAAAGGCCCGGCACCTGAAACAAAATGAGACTTGTCCAAACACTTGTTTGCATAGTTGAATAGGCTCAAATGAAGTTAGTATTTGTTTAAGAAACATACAGTACATATTAGGTTTCTTGACGTAACTTCGGTGTCCAGTTGTTATTGGTAGTTAAATTCTGTCAGACTTTTTCTTTCTTTATATTTCTGTATATTTATTTATGAATAGTATGTACTTCTAATCCTATGAAAAGATTCTAAGAAATGGTACATTGGAGAAACACCTAACAAAATGTGCACAAAAAACAATGACATAGGCAAAAACATCATGTATCTGATCCAAAACTATTTATGATAAGCAGTCGCTTAAATAGGTTTCTCAATATAAAACATTGTCGTAAGGTAAGAACCTTTTTGTCGTAAAATATACTAAAAAATGTTTACTAATATCAGTAGTTTTGCTATGATTAACAGCTCAAACACTTGTCCCAGGATAAGAGACTCGATTGCTATAGGTTTTTTGACAATAAAGTTATATGCGGTTGTACCGTTTAGTACCGGCACTTAATGTGCTGATGCAGTGCAGATGCTCTGTATATATCAAAGATGTTCGTAGTAAATCGTTCGTGTAGGCATGAGACCCCTTTAATCTAAAACTGACTTCACTGTACAGATAGACTCAAATGTATATTATATCTTCAAATCTCAAACATCTAGCTTTTAAAAAAGAAAAAAAATAGTGTCAGTAAGGTTGAAACTGTCTCGTATACATCTTTGTCGTAAGCGTCACTGCGGTTCTTCACCTCTGTGCGTCACGTCATACGAGTAACGCTGATGGGGAAGCCGGAGAGATGCTCGTGTGCGTATCAGGGCTGTCGTTCGCAAACAGCTTTCTCCGCTCGCTCGTAGGCGATAAGCACGCGGTATGTGTTGGGACGTGGCCAGACTCCGTTTTTACGACACGTGGGCGCAACCGAAACGCGGGATATTTCTTTGCTGCATCATCTCGCTGATTTGAATGGGGAAGATAAGACCTAGAGAGACCCTTAAAAAAATTCTGGCTTATCTTCACCCTTTGTTTTAGGAACCGTTGGGTAGACATGGCACAGCTGTGCGTCGAAAGAGAACGGAGTCTTTTGCAACGGTTGTGTTGTTTGCTTCGAACGGTTTGACCAGCACTCGGAAAGTGACGTGCGGAACGACGACATCTACGACGACTCACTTTTTACTGCTCTCTGTCGAGTAATTGGCTTAGCTGGAGATTGCTACGAAGTATGGGACGCATTTCTAATGACTGTTGATTACAACCACCTTGTGCGTAGTCGAGTCATGCCAGTTGTGGTCCCATAAATGTTTTGTTTTCTTTGCTGTTTGACGTCTTCTTGGTTGCTAGGCCAAGTGCCAAGTTGCAGCACCATTGTAGTTTCAGATATGGAGTAGCAGAGAGTCTTGGGTGGCTTTTTAAATGGAACAGAATATAATGGTTCATGATGGAGATCTGGATTCTCTGTTTGCTACTTAAAAGTTGATGTTTCCACCAGCTGACCGCAAACTAAACCACTTGTTACAAGTTTCAAAATATGTATATATAAAAAAAAAAAAAACTTCTAAAAATGAAGGGGAACTTAGGAAAAAAGCAAGAACTTTGAAAAGAAAGTAAAAGAGAAATCTTCTTTATACACACACTTCTTCTGAAGCAAACACAAAAGTTATATAAGTAAGTGGCTAAAGATTTTGACTAGAAATTTGGGCAACAGGTATTTTTGTCTGTATCCTTTGTTTGTGAACAGGATCCTTCTAAAAAAGTAAAAGAAAAAAGTGCCATCAGTATAAATTGGTGCTATCTGTCAGGTCTGTCCCATGTGCATTTTAGGTGCATGTACTTGCAGATTACTTGAAGTACGTTATTCTGGCACGTTCAGAAGGAAGTACAACAGCTCACTCTGAAGCACACACAACTATCTAAAATTAGGTCTGTGATCAAAGTTGGACACCACCTGCAGAACGAATTGTCCGATTGTCGCATGCCAACTGCCAAGTCCCTAATTTTGGTTCCTTTTTGCGAGGTAGCACAGGCAATTTTTATTGTATTTATTAAGGTTGAAAAAAATATGAGTTTGGCAGAGAGGGTACCAGAAACCATATAGTGTTGTAAAACATTACTTTTACTTTATTTAAAAAGCACATTATGTCTTGAGTTGTCGAAGTGTGCCCTTCATTTAACGTATACCTTTCGCTTTACTTTCCATGAAAGATCGAGCATGCACCCACGTTGCAATATGCGTCCACCCCTACTTTTTGAATATTTAAAATATAGGCAAAAGATGTATCAAATGCCCACCCTAATAAACCTCCAAGCCCACCGAGCTAGGTGCGCGCACTGGCGCAAAGTGGTAAAGCTTTTCTTGAGAGTGCTGGGGCAAAGCGTGCTTTAAAAATGAGGGGTCCTGTCGGAGCCCTACGCTGTTTCTATAATGTTTCCTCGGATCAAACAAGAGCCTACCTTACCACAGGCCCCTTCAGCTTTTCTGCTCATAGAACTGAGAAGTGACGTCCTCATTTTTTTCGTGACGGTCTCTAGCCTTTTGTGCGGGCGCTCGCTCGGTGACTTATGGTAAGAACAATAAATAGTGCAAAGGCCATAAAAGGACAAGAATGCATAAATGGGACTAGCGCTAGTACCATCCATGTGTTCTTGTCCTTTTCTGTTTTTCGCACAATTTATTGTTCATAACGCTTACTATCCAGCTGGCACACCTTAATAATTTTTATTATGTTACGAGTTTACCGAACTGCAGGATTACCGCGGGTATCTTGTGCCATGACTTGCAACACCTTTTATGTGCACTTTTAGTGAATTACCGAACACTGCTTCAGCACGTGGGGACTTGGACATTACACCGGGGTCTGATTGCAGCTGCACAGGGGATCCCAACCGAGTGGTGTACACCATCTACGAGTATGACCCCCTCTTGGATTCCTCCAACGCCACTATGGACGACTGGGGCCGCATTGCCCAGGACATCATGGTGGGTCCTTGCCTGAAGACTCCGCATTGGCAAGCACCGCCTCATTGAAGAAGAGCGCAGATCTAAAGTACCGCATTTTCCGGAGTATAGTCCGCAGACTATACATGCTTAAAAGTTGAAATTTTACTCGGTGTGGACTATAGAACGTTTTGTATGTTCCTGAATCGTTCCTTGTGACAAGACACGAAGAATTTTATGAGTAACAGAGTATATTAATAGTGATTTATGTATGATACAAGCTTCTTTGTGAGCTAATACAGCAGGCATTTGTTAAGGTGTACGTTCAGATTAAGCACTAAGCTCGGACTATGCGCCGCGTGCGGATTATGTACCGGGCGCGGACTATCTAAGCAAAAACTTTTACTTTTGACCCCAAATTCGCCCCTGCAGACTATAGTCCAGACAATACGGTAATACTTTCATAGTTGACCTAAGACGATGTAATTAGGGCTTCCCAAGTAAATTCATCACACTAACGCTCACGCAGCAATCGAAGATGCGAATTGTACCCGGCCAGCTTCGTTCGGAGGAAACATGCGCAATACTTCGGAATCATTGGCACGACTGTTAGGGACGATTCGCACGTTTGCCTCTGAATAGGACCGAATGGGTCGTGCGTGCTTGTGGTCGCTCATGGCGGGATAAAGCAACCGCCGTGGTGGCGCCGTCTGTAGGGTAGCCCTGGAATGTTTTGGATCCGCACATATATTTCCAAACTTTTTACGCATTATTTTTTTATCGTGAGCTTTAGATAATTCCGACAGTGTTATAAGCGACCGTATTTCGTTGACGGTGCATAGATTTGATCTTGCTAATCCTGCGGAACCTTCGGTCTAGTCGTACGTGGATTGGAGGAGTTATGGGTTTCCTCGATAGATGGCACGAGTGTGTTCTCTCGTCGTAAGCCGTCGTAAGTGGTCCTGGCGCTGTTGGTCGCAGTCTAATGTAAAAGTGCAAACCGGCCTTTGGGTGGCTGCCAAGGAATCGCCTTCCTTCTTTGGGAAATTTCTCGTCCTGCTCGTTGCCTCCCTCCTTTTTGACTTCGGCCATTCTATTTTTTTTATTTGAAGGCACACTATGACCAGTTTGATGGGTTCGTGGTACTCCACGGTACGGACACCATGGCCTACACGGCGTCTGCGCTCTCCTTCATGCTGGAAAACCTGGGGAAATCCGTCATCATCACCGGTTCCCAGGTACGCCCGCGTTTGAAGAACTTGTCGCTGCTGCTCTCCTGTCCTTGCCACTTTACACCCTCGAGAGCAAACGGCTACTGGTTAGCTGCAACGCAAAAGGTGCTACTTTTTTTTTCACGGGGCAACACAAAACCTTCGAACAAAGGATTCCTTCGTATGAAATTTGCAGCAAAAACTGGAACTGAGAAAAATGCATTCAAACATTGAACCCCTTTACTTTGTTACTGCTTCACAAGGTGTTGAAAAAATTTTATATTAACATAACTATTTGGAGTATGGTTATAAAATTGGGTGTATGGGTGTATAATTAGTTTCTAAAACCAAAAAATTCAAAGTTGAAAAATTAATTTTTTTAAAAACAATTTGAAATTTAGGCTTATGTCCTTCCTTAAGGCTAGGGAGGCGGGGCTTCAGCTTTATTTTGAAATTGTTCTTATGGCTCTCCTGCAGTTTCCATTGAAACTTAATTGTGATATCTGTTATTCTAAAGGCCATATGAATGCAATTCAGGTGTTTTTTTATCAAGTGCAGAAGTGCCCCATCATCCCTTTAAACCTATACACCTATACCTTTCCGGTTTGTATTTTTTTATTTGAAACGGGACCATAGTTATTACAGTCATTCCTGTCATTCTGTCTGTGGGCTTTAACCAACTTCAAAACTTCATATACTTGCAACATCTCGTGCTGCTTCATTACGTTTCCCACTTAGCAGGAATTACTACAGATTTCTGGCAAAAAAGTAAAAGGCCTAATGTGCAACGCTCCGGATGTATCTTGACGTATCTTTTTAGATTCCCATTTTCGAACCCAGAAGCGACGGACGGGAAAACCTCCTCAACTCCCTCATCATTGCCGGGAACTACGTTATCCCCGAGGTAAGGTGTCCCAACTGATCCACAGGCATTCATTTTGCGGAAATGGGCATCAGGGTTTCACACTGCTATCATTACATTTGGCGAGAGAACACGGCCAAGTGCTAACACACTGTGACGCAAGCCTCGAACGAGTACAATCAATGGAAATATGAGATGGCCCAGTGTAGCGCTACCTGAAAGGTGTAAAATGTTACATGGGTACCTCCGGCATGCTGGGTTATGAAACTGACTGCTACGTTAGGACAGTAGGAGATATGGCAGTTCATTCCAACCACTTTTTTTAACAGCTTTAAACTGTCCAGAGCTCCCTGCAAGGCTCTCGTACTGCCTCGACCCAAACGCTGCTGGATCAGTTCATATCGCCACACCCTGTACTTTCTGCATTAGTGAAGTTGTGCTCTATAGTATCTTAGTAAATTATGATAATGCAGCTCTCGAATAGTTGCCCAAGACACATAGATTGAGCATATTTTTATGAGCAGCTAGCGTGGTTTTTTTTAAGAGCTCATCAAATCTATAGCACAAGAGGGCTTTTTGCTGGCATCCATTTTATGAACGGTGCCTTTAATTGATGTCCCCACTGTACAAAGGAACCGATAAACAACGGTATCATTAAAACAAATAATAGAAAACTGCACAAATAAGGACAAGGAGAGGGATACAGACGTTGCGCTGACTCACGACATTCTTCTTGTGTTTATTTGTGCTGTTTTTTTATTATTTGTGCTACGTACCGACACACCCGACAACAGACGTTGCATGTTTAAAAGGGTCACCGAGGGACATTCTGCCATGGGTTGACTATTATTTATTGATACAGTTAACCTAGGAGTGGTGGTTGTACAAAATCACACAAAGTGCCGACATACCGTAGTCCCTTCTTATTGAGTAACATTGTGCCTCGTGCTTCTTCTCGCCAGGTGACGCTAATGTTCAACAACAAGTTGTTCCGCGGCAACCGCACGAGCAAGATCAGCATCGACGAGTTGGAAGCCTTCGCCTCTCCCAACATGGCGCCACTGGCCACCATCGGTGTTCAGATTGAAGGTGATGACACTGCTGGAGCTATTGAAAGTTTCCGACAGGGCAGTTCTTCTGCGTTGGATGCCGTTGGGAAACTCTTCCTTTTCCACGCTAGCGTGCCGGGTATTCCCTCGACGACGGACAGTCTGTTCAGCTGTGCTCGATGAAAAATGGACAAGAAAGGGGTCTTGGAGACACAAAAAAAGCAGAAATAATAATAAAAAAAATCTCACTGCTACCTATTGGACGCATTACCGGAATGTGACAAGGACGTAATCTCACGCGAGAGAAGGAATATCTGGTTTTTCAGTTTTAATGTCCTTGGTACGTCGCTTGATTTCTTACAATTAATTAAAAGAAAAAAAAGAAGTGCAAGTTGTTTTGATTGCTGTGACATCATGTTCTTGCCTAACGGCTGCATGGAGCGGCTCCGTATCTTCATCAACACTCTTCAGTATTTTCGGAGAAAGAAACATACCGGTAAAGCTCCGTTCAGCGTGTAAATTCAAACTTGTGGATAATTCAAACTAACATGCAGGTCCCATCCTATGCGTGTCTATAGGAGGAAACTCCCGGTAATTTAAACTTTGCTTTAGTCAAGCAAATCTTCGGTCCCCTTCGAGTTCGAATTAACGATATTTGACTGTAACACCGTTGCTCTACCTAGCTACGGTTGCCGGAACGCACCTCTTACATCAGTGTTCGGCATCCCCTATTGCTGCGTATGCGTCGAAAGAGGTCCCGGAGTACGGCGACAAATGAGGTCGCGGGAGCCGACGTGTCGCGCTGTAGGTCGTTGTGATCCTGGCGGTCGTCTGTAGCCACGGGCGTCTCCGTTGTCATGGCGTCCCAACTCCCAGCTGCTGAAGCGCCAGTGGACTATTCAGCTTGAGCTGGCTCCGTGGTCTAACTGTTTGTCTTTAGGAAATGACACATTGGCTGCCCTAGTCATTGCCTTGCTTCCAAGGTCTTTAACATTTACTTTGTTTGCGCATGCCTGTGTCCATGCAGTGAACTGGAAGTCGGTGTTTCGGCAGACGACCATGGAGAAGTGCCGGGTGCACTCGAAGCTCAACCGGAACGTGGGGCTCCTTCGCCTTTTTCCCAGCATCACCGTCGAAGTCGTGAGTTTGCGGTGTTCTTTGGATGTGGTGTATAATGCCGTCACAAAATTTGAAGATTTTTTAAAATTTATTTATTTCAAGTTCATTTGTTTTTTGGGGACATAAGAGCTTTAAGAAAGGGAGTGGGCCAGAACATCTAAGCAGTGTGCATGTTATTGGCTTCTAACTGACGACCTTGTTTTTCTTAACTGCTCACTGTCTTTTTTTTAAATTTATTTTGCCTCTTTAGTGTGTGTGTTTTATATTGTGTATTATGTACTATTATGATTCATATGTGTATAATCATCTGTGTATATTGTTTATATTCACCCTACAGTCAGTGTACCTGCTCTGCCTCAACGATTGGTTTCACCCCATTCCATCAACTAACATATGAGTTTCGAAACTTTGTAACCTCCTTGCTAAAGTTTCAAATTGAACCAGTAGTACAGTAAACTGTCATTAATCGAAACCCCAGGAAGCTGCGGATTTCGTTTGAATTATCAGAAATTTAGCGAATAATGATGCAAGATACAATTACTGTTTGTTATATGGATGGCTACACATTCAAAGCAGATACTTGTTGATTTCCTCTACGCAGGCCTGCCAATCGTAAGCAGGTATACCACACATGAAGCATTAATGAAATGTATAAGATCCATCCCTCAGAAGTGCTGTCTATCGTTGACTGTTTAGACGGCAGGTGACACCTCAAAACAAAATAAGTTTATTAATCCAGCCAAAAACATTGTCTATTGGTGCTTCTTACTGAGCATTAATGCACTGTGGAGAAGGAACACCCCTGGAAGCAAGCTTCGTGGGTGTTGCTTTTCCGCAGTGCACCGGTGCTTGGTAAGATGCGCGCTCAACAGGACCGCAAGAACAAAAAGAATTGCACACAAACGTCATTCGAATTAAGCCGCTCATACATTGAAAACCAGTGGGACAACTAAAATATTTTGAATTAACCAGACGTAAGAAATATCAGAGTTTGAATTATCGTGAGCCCACTGTATTACTAAATAAATAAAGTAAGCTAAATAAATAAAACATGAATGAAGCGGAGAAACAGATGAAAAAAAAAAAAGGAAACATAGGTAATCGGAACACAAAACAAAATCACAAAGTTCATTTTTTCATTTTGCGCTCTCGGCGACAAAGACGATAGGTGGGTGGGAGGCAGTTGCAATTCATTGATGAAATGGGTAGGTAAGGCCAATCGAAATGTGACGACCGACGTTTGGAGATGCTTTCTTTATTTTCATGATTGACACGTGACGAGACGTAAGGTGGTTTTGTGCCAAGAGAAGTTGACACAGCTTGTCGCCAGCTTTGTCCATTTTATGCATATATTTATGTTTTGTGCCTTTACGGTGCTAAAAAAAGAAACAGAGCCAGAGTTTCGAGGCCCTGCCTCTGGCAGCTGATTGTCACATCTGCACCTTTTTGATGATGTGTTTTATTGCCTTAATCTCATTGACAGTCTTTTTTCTAAAAGAGCGAGCACTGCAGTCTGCAAAGATTAGATAATGCTAGGGATGTGGGGGTTCTTTTGCGCTTTTGCGTTCTCTGCTGCAAACGTTTTACCGACCAGAGTCGCCTATCTGATGGTGCAGTTGCTGAAAGTTGTGTTTCAGTTTTTTTTATCCTGTGTGGCTGATAGGGTCATCTTGTTCTTTTTTTTTTTTTTGGATTACTCTGTGTTTCAGTACTCTTTTATGCACTGTCCTGCATAGCCTTCTACTTAACTGTTTCAGTAAACTAGAAAAAAAAAAAAAAGAGGGGTGTTTGCAGTGTTCACGGTCTAAACTTCTGAGAGGGAATCATTGTGGCAAAGATCTTACTACAAAAGACTAGGTTCCACAAGTTGTTAATAAAAAAACAAAAAAACATGGTTGTGTAAACTTTCGCTCAGAACTGAACAGTTCAAAGTTACAAACAGTAGTTTTGGGTGTAAATATGCTTTGTAACTTTGCCTAAAACTAGTGTCTTCATTTCGGGAACCTTGAACTGGGACCCGAATTTTTGTTTTTAGGATCAACAAACATTCTTTTTTTAAAGCAAACTTGATCTAAAGTGGTAGCCGCTAAATCTGGTTCCACTGAGAAATTATTGATCATGTTGGACATGGTGCACACTCTAGTGTACTGAAACTTTTGGCTTCCGAAAATAGGCCACATAGTTTTTGCCTGAAGTCAAATTTTGTTGTCTTGCGAGTGCACTGAAACTTGCCTCCATCAGAGTGTTTGGACACGCTGAATTCCATCATGTTACAGTGCACACATAAAATACTTTTAGGGGCGAAGCTCCTTAGGGTGTAGCCTTGTCCGGTGTCCTTGCTCACATCGATTGACATCCCATCTGTCTTCTTAAAAAAAGCAAAAAATATTTGTGCAGTCGACGGGATTCGAACCTGTGCGGGGAGACCCCAATGGATTTCTAGTACATCGCCTTAACCACTGAGCCACAACTGCGGGACGAGTAGGGGGCTCTGAGATGTGGTAGTAACTCAAGAGCTGGGAATGTCGTGAATGAAACGTTGCATGTAGCCGCTCAACGTCTATACAGGAGAGGGCACTGCAGTTAAATGCGTATATAATCGCATTAAACTTTGCATGCATTGGTTTAACATTTATAGACGAGAGGGTGCTGCGGTCAAATGCTCAAATGCGTATATAACCAGGTTCCATACCACACATTCTCTTTCTGACATGGGCTGTTGACTTGAGCGTTGGAGATGCATTCTCATGTCTTCTAGCGGATCCAAGCTGATCCGCTAGAAGAACCACTGGCTCTGCATTTCACCGACCATAAATGAGTAATAATGAAGAACCCGGAACACAGCACTACCTTTGAGCAATAAAAAAAAAATCAGCACCATCAGCACTACCTATGAACAATAAAATCAGTATCATCAGCACCACCAGAGCTTTGCCCCAATCAACATCATTCACCACGTGGAGATGCGGTCATTTTTTTCTTAAATTTTGTTGTAACATAAGTGTGCACATCTTGGTGTTGTAGAATCCAATTATAGCCACTGTGCCATTTAAGGAAAGAAATATTACTACCTATTTACCACTGCATTTATTGTGCCTGCAAATGGCTCATAACCTAAAACTAAAAACCAAATTTTTTTTTTTTTTCGAGGGGCATTTATGTTTTTTTTTTATTGATCTGAAATTTATGATAATTTCTGAATTTCAGATCAATATAAGGGATGCAAAGTCTTAATTTCTTTAAAACATGTTATCAGGAATTGCTCATTATCATAGTTTCATCGGGTACCTCAGCCTATAAAATGGTAACATTCACGCAGGGTTGCCAAGTGGTCAAGCAGATATTGCCGCCCGCAGGGTCGATAAAGAAACGCTCGGACACGGACTTCTAGAGGATCCGCGTTCATTCTCGCACCAAACGTAACTTTCCTCCTGCTTTGTTATTCTCGAAAGTGCCAATTCATCCTCGCGCCAAGTGCGCGACACTCGAACTTTCTTTGCCGAACTTTCGAGATAGTGACGCACGGTAGATAAGCAGCTGCCCGCGACCTTGTCGGGTCAGTCTCGCTCGCGCTCTCTGTTTCGCCACCGAATTGCCGCCCGCTTTTCTGCTGCCTCGACGCCCTTTCGTTACTTATTTTTGTTTGGCACAAGTTCGCCAATTAAACTTTTATCTTTCAGTTCACTGTTCGGCTTCTCGTCACCTTCATTCGTGACATTTCTGGTAAAGCAGGAGGAAAGTTACGTCTGGTGCGAGAATGAACGCAAATCCTCTGAAAGTCCGTGACTGAGCATTTCTTTATCGACCCTGCGGGCGGCGGTAAAGTGTGACCGAACTCCCTGTTTTGGTTGGGACAGTCCTGTTTTAAAGGTTCATTCATGCCATCACATCATTTTGTCTCAATAGAGCCCCATGTCCCAATTTTTGTGGGTATGTGCATACCTACTTGGTGAAATCAGGACTAGGCGAGGGTAAAAAAACTGAGAAATGTTCCCTTGTTACGGGCATAATTTTATAAAAATAAATATACTATGGATATGTTATTTTTCATAGGCTGTAATTTTAGCTCAATCTGTGGTTACATTTGCCAAGACATTTTGTCTGCATAAATGCAGGCTTGCATCATTGCAAGCCTGCATTTATGCGGACTTACACACATCATTATCTTTTTCACGCTAGTATAAGTGAATCTGGACGATGAAACAAATGAATGTGGGTTATATTGTCACGGGTGGTGACCAAAAAGACAATAAATAAACAGGAAGAAATAAACGTTTAATGTGGCGAACTTGTGCCAAAAATAAAAGGGTACATGGTTAAAATCGCGCACAAAGAGACGAGGACAAACGAGGAAGGAACACAGAACACAGACAGGCGCGCTTTTGTGCGCGATTTTAACCATGTTCAACGTGTACCAACTCGCCCAACTTACTACTCTTCTACAGTTTATAAAAGGGTACAAAAGATAATAACAGAGCGTCGCGGGCGTCGATGTCGGCGAAACCGCAGGATCGAGCGCTGGGGCGAAACTGACTCGACAAGGTCGCGGGCGGCCTCTTATCAAGAGTGAGTCACTATCTCGAAGATTCGGCGGAGAAGGTTCGAGCGTAGCGCGCTCGGGGCGAGAATGAACACGCACTTTCTAGAACAAGAAGGCAGGAATAGAGGATGGAAGTTACGTCCGGAACAAGAATAAACGAGAACGTTGTAGAGCTCCGTGACCGAGCGTTGATTTCCCGGCACAGCACGCGGCAATATAATAAAGGACGAGGATCCCAAACCTCTATATCTCAGAATTCTGAAAAATATGTTTCGCAACCCCTTTAAATATTTGTTTGAAAATTCAGAACGCTACCCCTAAACATAGTATGGCTATATCCAAACTCCTTTTCAGTAGAGGTGTGTGAACATAAAATTTTTGACTGCAAATGGAACATGAATTTCAGATTAGTGACCGCTCATTCTGTCCTGTCTTGAGGTTGTTAAGCTCTGCCACGTGTCTCAGGTGCGTGCGTTCCTGACGCCCCCCATCCAAGGCGTGGTGCTGCAGACCTACGGTGCCGGGAATGGCCCCACGTCCCGTGCAGACCTCCTGGACGAAGTGCGCAGGGCCACCCTGCGAGGCATCCTCATCGTCAACTGCTCCCAGTGCTCCCAGGGCTCCATCAAGGGCACCTATGCCACGGGCAGCGTGAGTAGCTCAGACCGATTAGCCATCGTCGAGACGGCTTGGTTTGAGGCACCTGATGCATAACGCACCGCTATTGTCTCCGTGCCCTGTTGTTCTCATTCTGTCAGTGACTATGCGGGGCGCAAGTTCGTCTGCTTCTTTTGGAGGAGTTGTGGTGACGTCAGAACGCCAAGCTCGTGATTGGCTCGGATTGAAGAATAGTGGGTAGACCTCGAGGCAGCTTGCTTTGAGCTCCACCCATCATCCTTCAATCCGAGCCAATCAGAACTCGGTGTCATTTGGACGTCACTGCAACTCCTGCAGAAGAAGCAGACGAATTGTTCTTCGCATTGCAACTGACTTATACCGTAAAAACCCGCATATAATACGAGTTTTTTTTTCTTCAAAATTTGCCATCTAAAGTTTGCGGCTCGTATTATACGCGGGTCCCAACAATTTTCAGCTTCCATGAGGTGCAATCTAACGCTGTTTGTCGTAGTTTCGGTTTCAGAGCAAAATTGCGCTCAAAATAGCTATCATCATCATTAAAATCAATATGTCCGAGGCGCCACCATCCGTCTACAGTGAGGCTCGGCAATGGCGTCGGCACGAAAACACTCATCCACAGTACAATAATTGGCCGCCCTCAAAAGAAAAGTCCTTTCGGTTGCGGAAGACATTGGCAGCAGTGCTGCCAGACGACAATTCGCCGTAAATGAAGGCAGCATCTGTGGATGGAGACGACAAAAGCAAGCTCTGTTCGCGAGCAACGGATTGAGAAGAAGCTTTAGGAGCTCAAAGAATGGCGTGTTCGCCGACGTCGAGGCAAGTCTCAGCGACTTTGTAAAAGAGCAACGTGAACGGCACTTCGCCGTAAACATCGAGATGCTGCATGAGACGTTTGGGGAGCCGACATTGGGTTGCTCGCTTTATGCGCCGCGCCGGGTTTTCACTGCGTCGGCGCATGTACGTCACTCGCTTTTTCAAGAAGCGCGGGATTTCAAATGCGCTCGACGGCACCGAAGACTTTTGCCTTTGGGAGAAGGCGTCAAACAAGAAGTCAAGGAGTTCGGTGGATGTGATGACGGCGATTAAGGTTCAATTATGACGCAAATAAATGTTTTTCTTAAGACTTCCTGGGTCGCACTTTACGCGGAATATTTTCGTTGTTCTTATATTGTTTAGTATTATACGTGGATAAAACTTTTTTTTTTTTTCGCGGTTCTCAAATCATGTTTTGTATTATACGCGGGTTTTTACGGTAAGTTAGCGTAGGTTGCTACCATAGACACTGACGAAATGAGAACGGCAGGGCATGTCTTTGGAACGGCCAGTCTCCAGCACACGCCCCATGCCCTCAGCCGCGTGCCCTGCCTGCACGCGCACGCATGAGGTACATGAGATGAAGTGTTGTCAAAGGTAGGAAGCCTGCTATGGAGGCGGACCACAGTGTAAGATATGTGTAGGTGAGGACACGCAGCACGGCGGGCGCTGCGACGCGATCGACCCGATAAAGTTCAATCGGCGCGCGCCCGAGTAGCCTCGGCCGACGGTGTCTCTGCCAACCAGACGGCGCTGCTGAGGAAAAAAAAAAGAAACTGACATATCCAAATTAAGTGTCGTTCCCCATGGCATCCGAGCACGTGCTCTTTTTACTCGGAGCGTCCGCTCCAAACTTCACGGACGCTGGCTCGAACGCTGCGCCAGAGATTTCTCCACTTCAATGCCTTCATAAAACTGCTGTTGCCACTGTTGAGGCACAAAACTGGTCGGTGACTAAGAAGTGTCTAAGCGACACGCGTAGCGCAAGCTTTATGTGATGTGGCGCGTCCAGAAAACGACTGTGGAAACGAGCATGTCTCCCTTAAAGAAGCGTGGGAAACCGGGGGACGCGGCGGGCTGCCGTCAGCCCCATGTCTAGGAGCCATCTGGTAGCGTTGCTTGTAACCAAGGCGAGGAGCGACGCACGTGGTGTCCACACGTGTATATATCGTACACCGTGAGGCGGGTCAACCAAAGGTCTTCCTTGCCATTCTAACCTCGTCGGTGACCATAGTGCATTGTGGCATCGTCTCTTGTTCTTCCGGCAGTTTCAGTTCTGCCAAAATTTACCCTTTTCTATATACTAGTGAAGTATTTAAGTGAGGCAAGGAACAGGCAGGAAAACTGCCTGTTCCTCGCCTCACTTATAAAAGAAATGTGCGTGCAACTTTTCGAGTTTCCTTTTTACAATGTATCGAATTTAACCAAAACATCCTCCTCCTTTGCTCTCTCTATCTCTTTGCTTTTCTGATTCTCAGTAGCAGTTTTGGTCTGAGTTGTTAGTGCTAGATTTAGCATGCTCCAATTTGTAAATAAAAAAATTTGGCAGCATGTTTTTATCTTTAACCTAGGGAAGCACATGATGCATTTTGAAAAACATAATGGAAAATTAGGAGTTTTATTGCTAAACTAAAATCATTTGAAAATAGATTTATGATACATAAAGTTTGATCTCCCCACCATCGAAAGTAATGATATGTGAGCAATAAATAATGAGTTGCTTCTAAAACTGTTTTCTTGCATAATTAATTTTTTTTTATAGAATCTAATTAGCATATTACAAATAAAAGGCCCGTCTTGTCACATTATTTATAGAGAGATGACAAAAAGGAATGCCTCCTCATTTAGTGGAAGTCAGCAGCTATGGTTCTGGCTTCACCAGTGGTGTACACCGACGGGGCAACCAACCCATCTTGCACGTCATTGTCCTTTTTCAGGCGCTGTGCGAGGCGGGCGTCATTCCAGGTTCGGACATGACTCCAGAGGCAGCGCTCACCAAGCTGAGTTATGTGCTGAGCAAGTCGGAATGGTCTCAGGCCACGAAGAAAGAGGTGGGCTCACTTTCGCTTCCATGTCAGATGTTCCTCAGGGACTATGTGGACTTTGGACCTTAACTATGAAATGCATATCTAGGGTGACCAGACGTCCCGCTTTGGCTGGGACAGTCCCGTTTTTGAGGTCCGCTTCTGCCATCCCGTCTTTTTGTCCCAATAAAGAATCATGTCCCATTTTTGCAGGAATGCATATTTTCGAAATTGGCACCAAGCGAGTTGGAGCAAACCAAAACGATGCCTACTTATTACTACCGTAGTATAGTTTACAAAAATAACCGTAGGTACTTTAAAATACTTTAAAATATTAGTTAAGCTAGCATGTGCACCTCGACCGGAAATGGCTATACGCACGACGCGATACTTGGTGGGTCTCGTATAAAACAAATAATTACAAAAAACAAATTCGTGAAAAAAAAAGAAAAAAAAAAAGGTAGCGTAGCTTAGTGGAAAGGTGCCTGCTTCATACACATAGAACCGACCAGGTTCAATCCACAAAGTGTGCATATTTTTTTTTTTTTTCAAAAATATTTTTTTTGTTAAGCATTCGGTGATATTTACATTTCTTTTTTACCATGAACACTGAAAAAAAAACAAAAAAAACTAATGTTGTTGACGAAACTTTGCTGAACTAAATAGTATGGGACTTCCTTTCCGGCGGATTGGGTTTGCTTGGGTTGCTGGTTGTATGGTGGGACCAACTGGGTTATAGTTTTCCAATGAGCAGCCGCCGCATACTGTCGCCGTGAAGCGGCGTGAACTCGGGCGGGGGAGATTTACCTAGAGAGTAAAATTTAGTGCAATATGATGACGTTTTGAAGAAACAGCAATTATTTCATTAAACTTTTTCTCCCAACCTCAATCTCTAATCTCTAATAAATTTGTTTTGAACCTCTTAGTTTCGTAGATCAGCCTGATTCGTCGACAGGCGTATACTCGAGTTACACTTCTTTGGAGGCTGCGACTGTGCACACTTGCATTTCACATGTTGTCTCATTGTATGCCATCGACCACTGAACGGAGTATTATGAACAGGCCCATTTTGGCACCAAAATAGTCCAACAGCAATAACCTCATGTTCACACTTAATCTTTTGCGAATGTGACCCCTCTTCGAAAATGCACCAATCAACAACACTCTTTTTGCACAGATGCTTCAAACCAACCTACGTGGAGAGCTGACGTTGACAAATCCCCGCAAACTGGATGACATGGACCTGATTTCTGCCATTGCGAGGACAATGAACATCTCTTCTTCTGAGGTTGGTACATACTCTTCCCACAAGGCAGCTGAAATTTCTAAATGTATTCGACGAATGCCACAGAAAAATGCTAGAATTTTCTGGAAGGGACATGGTGGTCAAAGGTACAAGTATTGTGAAGCAGGGGCATAGCCAGAAGGGGGGGGAAGCTTATGGGGCTTCAGCCGCCACCCCTCCCCTCCCCTCCCCCTCCCCCCCCTCCCCTCCCGGAAATCTAGCCGGCCCAATAGACCCTTTCCGAAATTCAGTGCCATCTGGTGGTTCATAAAGCAGTTTAGGTTTTGCCATATCAATGGCGGAAATGAATTTGTGAACTTGTATCGGCACCGTCACTTTCGCAAGTCAACGGCACGCGAATAATTTTTCAGTGTGAGTTCTTTCTTGATCACTTTCAGTTCGATGGTGACCAAAAACCTGCATTCAGAACAAAGCTCCAACCCACTCAGATGCCTCGAGAACATTCTATACACCAGAGTGCTTTAAAGCCGACTGTGTGCAGCCCGCAGATTGACTGAATCTGCGTTAATAGAAATAAACGCTTACGTAGCTCTTGTGTTCCATTTCTACGTTGCGTCGTACTGACCCCCCGAATGTACAGGCCTCGCGACATCCGCTTAAGAGCATTTTAAACGTCTTCACTGCCACTAGAAGGCCGCCATTGGTATGGCACAGATGCCGTTCCACAGATGATGATAGTGATCAAAGTGGCCAGACTGAATTTCGGAAAGGGTCTATTATATACACATGCATTTTGCCCCCCCCCCCCCCCCCCCCCTTCTCCCTCCAAAAAATTTCCCGTCTACCGCACTGATGTGGAGTGGGTGTCCTGTGACTGACATGTGCACAATATCTTGTGGCTGACCTTGTCACAAGATTACAGTATCATTGGAATGCCTTGCGGGTTTCTCGTTCCAAGTGTTGTCAGATGACAATGCTGGCGGCTTCTCAGCTTTCCAAACAAACGCTGACTGCATTACTTCAGCTCAGCTAAAACATTATCAGCATACAAGAAGCGAGGCTAACTTTTGATGGTCACTGTTTTAGAAAGCCATAAGGAGGCAGCATCAGCATTACCATTTGCCTATAGTGTTGGAAATATCAGTGTCGGTGCATCCTGGTATTTTAGGGCTGTTGGTATATGTTATATTGTCATGAATGATGAGGTGATGAAACGAAAAATAACCGAGGAAACTGAAACGTTTAATTGGGCAAACTTGTGCCCAAAACCAAAAAGGAAACAGAGGATAACAAGAGCACATCGCGAGCGTCGAAGTCGGCGTAACAGCAGGATCAAACGCTGGGGCGAGACTGACTGTGGCTCGGCACGCGGAGCCCCTTATGTTTACGCGTGGGCTTCTGAAACAATCGGTGTAGAAAGTTCGGCGTGTAGAACATTCGGACCTCGAACGAGGAACAGGATTCTCGAATTTATCAGAACACTAAATTGCAAGAGAAACAAAAGACTCGTCACTCCTAGGAATCGAACCCTGGCTCTTTGCGTGGGAGGCAAGCACGATAACCGTTAGGCCACGGGCGCGCTGCCTACTTGGCCAGGTGCGCGCGCGGCATTACTCCCCACCTTTAAAAAGTGCATCGCCCGATGCAACACAAAACAAAACAAAGCAAACAAAAAGAACGGCAAAGTAAAGAGTCATTTGGAACACATAAGGCCCACAGTCCTATCGAGCGTAAACAGCTTCAGGCGCACGACGTGGACGATTTCAGGTCGTGGTAGGTGGCGCGATGTCTGAAATGCGGAAATCAATGCATCCGATAGACGAAGCCCGTCCGGGGGTGGGCACTTCCTCAACCCCAACTTAGGTAGGCATGCGCGCCGCTCAGTTTTACGGTTGATAACTTCTGTAACCACGCAATTGCAGCCATTACGAGAGCGGCTTGGCTTGGCTTAAGGGGGGAGGCTGGTCTTTAACTTTTAATTTTTTATTTTCCATTTATCGTGTTGAAATTTAGTATACTGATGTTTTTCTCTGTGGTGATTTTAAATATGCAATTTGTTTTCAGATAGCTCTACTACATCTTGAGGTATTAATAAATTTGTAATTTTAATTAGGTCCTCACTACGGAGAAATACATCAGTGTACTAAATTTCAGCACGATAAATGAAAAATAAAAAACAAAAAGTTAAAGACCAGCCTCCCCCCTTAATTCGGCCTGGCTGCTTGGCGGCAAAAAATAATTGGCTTCGAAACTCGCAAAGCTAAAAATTAAAAGTGCGTTCATTATGCGAGGAAGAAAAGGAAAAAAAAAAGTCCCAATATTCATGCTTGTTGTGGGTGGTGCGTTCATTATGCGAGTGCGTTCAATGTGCAAGTAAATATGGTAACGCTAACTACCGTAATATCCCGAGAGATAGCCCACCTAAAATCGAAAGCCAATCGGGTGAAAAATAAGGGGTAAGCTAACTTTAAATGTGCAAAAAAAAAAAAAAATGTTTAAAAAATTCTAGTTTTAGATTTTGTGACCTGAGAAACTTAAGGGCGATGAACCAAAAGACGACTGTCCTTCCCATTCGGCAAGGTGTGCTCATCCCTCACTGTGGCTATGTAACGCCACTTCTGCCAAGGTCACCATTGGCCGGGGCCCTGCAATTACTCAAAATAAACTATCTTTTGGTGATTTAAAAAAAAAAAAGCAAATCGTGCCAAAGTTAAGGGTGGGTCATCTTTCGAGGGTGGTGCATCTCTCGAAATATTACGGTAACCCGCCAGAACAGGCCACGAAAGTTCTGAGCATTCTCAGTGTTTGTAGCAGAGGTAAAACTGAATGGGGTGTATTATATGAAGCAAAAATCGAATGTTCCAGAAATCTGCACGATTCTACTGTAACAGTCTGGTCGTGTAGCAGGGCCTGTGCTATTACATTTTCAGTATTAATAAATGGAAATCAAGTTTTAGTGCAATCTTAGCACAAATTCCTCTCATTTTGAGGAAATGCAGCAGGGTAAGCACCTTAGCGCAATTCGGCACAAAAATGGTGCGGCATTCACATCACCGTATGGTTGCGTTCCCTTTCCACTTCACAGGACCTGCAGTCGTTGCAGACGGTGCTCTACCCTTCCATCCTGTGCTCGGTCACGGCGAGAGGGGATCTCGATCGGCTCGAAGTGATGCGGCAGTTTGTGAGTGGCTTCTTCGAGATGAGAAGCGAGAAGTGTGCTGCCCTTCTGTTTGACACGAGGTGCTAAACAATGTAACGTGCTGATACGGGCAGCGTAAGTGGGGGTAGAGTCGCAAACTTATAAGTTTAATTTTTGTGTGGTGCGTTTATTTCTTGTAGTGCCTACGCTGACAAAGGACACTGCATCAAATCCCCCTCTAATTCACTAATGCAGTTTCAGTTTCGGCGTTATTTTTATATTAAGTTTTATGCGGCAAGATTTTGGGAAGAAAATGTCTGAAACTTTGGGAAGACAGTGAAAAATGACGTAAACTTTCCGGGTTATGACATGGGTAGAAAGCTCTCATCGCAGACACTAACCCCAAGGGTTAATTTTTCACCCTCCTTTTAAGCCCACGATTCTCCTTCCCACCCGTGCTTCGATAGTTAAATTGTTTCATGGGGCAGTGCTTTATGCACGTACGTACAAAAAGTCAAACAAAAGATACACGAAAATCATAAATTGAAAGAATAGCTCTACATTTCTTTTAAAAAAAACAAGTCACGCAATCATATTTTCAGTCGAGAAATTACAAATATCTTTAATGAGATCATATTCATGATACGCGTGCAATAAAGGCTCTAGTTTCTCGAAAATAGCTTGAAACAGTGATTGGGTTATTGCCCAATTTGTTTTATGCTTTTTTGCACACGTTTTAGATGGTAGATGAACATTAAAATCAGCCACTTGAGATACTCTGCTTTTAGCTTGCAAAACCCTAATTCTTCCAATTTTAGAGCATGTTAACATCATTTGGGTTCCATTCACACAAGTATGCCAGCGTGGAACGGATACAGAACAAAAGTGTCAGATTTATTTGTAATGCATATAGAAATGTATCTGTATCTCAGTTTGCCCTAGCGGCCTGGGTTTGTTTCAGTTCAAGAAAGAAACTGCACAGGTAGACTTGAATTTTTTTAAATCTAATTAAGGGTCAGTATAAAATTAATGTAGTTGAATATGTACATATCTTTTTCTACTGGCTACACCACCCAACAAAGGCATCCACTTATCATTTTACCTTACCAATCGCTCTACAATAGTTTTAAGTTTTCCCTTTTTTCCTCGGACAGTTACAGAATGGAACGGGCTTTCTTTCGACATTAGTAATCATGATTCTGCCACTGCATTTGTTTCTACTTTGCACTCCAAGTGATCATGTAACTATTTTGTATTATCTTTACATCCCTTTATTTTGTATGTATTTCCACCCTGCCACGATTTCTCCAATAGAATGAGCAGTGTTTGCAAACAATAAATAAGAATAAACATAGTCTTCATTAACGCCGGCGACGCGTTTCCACAGGGGGCTCACCTGTCTTCATGTGACTACGACTTCCGCACGCCGCTGCACATAGCGGCGTGCGAGGGGGACGTGCGTGCGGTAGAGTACCTGCTCCGGCACGGAGCCAGCGTGCACATGCGGGACCGCGACCACAACACGCCCCTGATGAGCGCCGTGCTCTGGGACCAGCACACCGTCATCCAATCCCTCGTCCAGGCTGGGGCCCACCTCAGCGTGCCCGGGCTGCAGCTGGCAGACGAGCTGTGCACGTGAGTGCACAGCCAGGCCAACCTCTTCTCTTTTGTCGCTCCTGCTTCGCCGGGCTCCGAATTCATTCCTCTTAATACGAACAAAGCAATGCACAAACAGGGGACAGAGACAGACATGTACAACCCAACACGCTTGTCAAACTCATTGTTTTCCTAGCACAAAGATTCTCGATCCTTTCAGTCTCGAGGAGCCCCTAGGACTCTCGAGTGACAGCTGTGGAACCCTTCCCGCTTTTAAGCATTGGTGCAAAAAGAGCTGTGCAGAAGCCTACAGATTTTGTAAACATTAATTCACATACCAGGGGAGTGTATGGCCCATAGTTAGTCACCAAAAGGTGGCTGAGATCTAAAACAGTGCTCGGTCTGGAAATGCTTTACCCAAGAGGGATACGGTCGAGGGCTTTTGGGGTAAAAAAGATACGCATCTTGTACACCAAAATTTACGATGTGTAAATCTGTAAAAATTCCAAGAGAAAGGCCCCAGCAGTGATACGGGTTTTTGGTGAACCATTTCACCTGCTTTTATTTTCGGTGTCTGCTTGAAATGTGTTTTTCCTGTCCCATAGCAGTAGATACAAAGGAGCATAGCAACATGCAGAAAGCATGACTTGACATGCCTGGTTGCTGGTGAAACAACAGTGTTTCATCCCACTATGAAACATTTAATTATAAGCGTGAGCAAGGAATAAACTAGAAAAGCAAGCACAATGCTTTAAGCGGGCCTGCTATGCACGCACGCTCGAGAATTGAAAATGTTGTTCGGGACCATGTGCTCACGCTTATGCGGACATCAAGTCGTCTGCTTCTTGCGCAGGTTGCAGTAACGTCAGTGGGCGCGTTAAGTCGGTGCTCCTTTACTCCTACTCCGACGCTCCGAGTTTCATACTCCGAGCGCAGCAACTCAACGGCGCATAGCGTACAAGAGCGCGACACACCGGGGCTGCGTTCCAAACCTACTCAAATGGATCCGAGTTATCCTGGCGGATTATGTCACGTGACAACAAAAATAGAGAAACGCTGGACGCAGGTAGGTTTTCGATAACCACCTTTACCCTAGAGTTAGATTGAGTAAGTTTTGAAACACGGCTAGAAACTATAAGGAGTATTCACTGGACGCCATATTTGTGGGTGCTGTTTAGAGCGCATGCTCAGAACGAGCTCACATCAATAGGCTGCTAAGACCGGCAATCTTGATGGTGCGGAATGCATGTTGCAAAAGAACTGTGGAAGCTCGCCGTCAGCACGCACTCAGCATTCGCGCACACAGCTATGGCCGCCAGTGAATACTCCCTATACTTCGTTTCACCTCATGTTGTACTGGTTATACCGCAGCGAAGGCTAGAAGCGCGAGTTCATAGCGTTGGCAGCCGCTCTTAGGTCACGAGAGCTTGTGCCGCCGAGATGTGCCCCAGAGCAAGGAGCTCACGCTTGTAGCCTTCTCTGCGGTACATCATAAGGTGAAACAGAGTATATCAACAAGCCACACGAGCTTCTTCCGACCGTGGATACGGGTGGCAGAAGCTGAAAATATTTCAAAGATAAATAATTAGGCCCATGTGGAGCGGCAGAGTCTAAAGCAAAAGAGACGGCGACGTTATGAAGTTTCTACCAACGTTTTAATATTCCTGAAAGGTTTGAATTCGACTCAATTTGTGCACATATGTGGAAGCTGGAAGGTTACCTTGGCCGATCTATTTATTGACCATGCATGCTGTTCCGATTTAAATTAAAGACAACATTCTTAAACCCGCTCGTCGACGCAGGAAACCCCCAAATTTGTCAGAGATTCCCTGGTTCCGTCTTGCAGCGAGACGGAAGCCACGCCGATACCGGCACACCGTCGTTCGATAGCACGTCAATTCATTTTTAGGCGGTATGCATGAACAAACCTTTCCCACAACGCTAACTGGTGTTTCGGCTTTCTATTTTAAGTATCTTTATTCGCTGCAGCTGAGCTAAGCATTCTAAGCAGGGCAGCGGTCTGAATATCTTTTCATCGCAACTTTTCTGTCGCCGTGCTAACGGCACGCTCGTTCGACAGATCAATTCGTTTTCAGGCAAGACACATGAACAAACCTTTTCCTTGACGCTCACTGATGTTTCGGCTTTCAAATCGAAGTATCTTTATTCACTGGGCTAAGCATAATAAAAGAAACAGAGCGGTCCAATTGTCTCCTCATCTCGACAGCTTCTCTGTCGCTGTGCTATCGGCATACTACCGTTTGATAGATGAATTTCCTTTTCAGGGAAGACGCACAAACAAACCTTTTTCGGAACGCTAATTGCTGTCTTGGCTTTCAAATCAAATCGTTTTTACCTGCTGGATTAAGCCCTAATCAACTGAAAAGGGGCAGCCATCCGGCTACGCCTCTCGTCTCGACGGTCTCAACAGCAGCGCAGCCATCTTGTTTGTTTACGTGACGTCACGGAGCGCGAAGAAGTCACTCGCACTCCGAGAAATTTTCGGTGCACGAAGAGCGCGCTCGAGTGTCAGTCTCCGGTGGCACTCCTGTCCGTTTAGTGAAAGGAGCGCCAAACTCTCGCGCTCCGGAGCCCAGACTTAACGCGCCCAGTACAACGCGGAGCTCCGATTGGCTTTAATTGGAAGGATAGTGGGTAGACATTAATGCTAACCCCATCAGCGCCTTGCAGTCTGCCCCCTACTTTTCCAATCTGCCAATAAGAGCTTGGCACTCTGACATCGTCGTAACCTCTGTGCAAGAAGCAGACAAACTTGTACTCCGCATAGCATCAACTCTGCTCGCGTTTAATGGGAAGCACTACCCAGAAAAAAAACTATCTGTGAAAGAAGTATATTTCGAAAAATGCCTAATTTGGATCCACCAACATCTAGACAGTATTCCCGGGGAGTTTTATTTTTTTACACTGCATAGTTATTTTTTTATAAATTATTTCCAGTCCACTGACGCTAAAGGAAAGGTAGAGGTTTGAACACATTTTCCTATGTTCCACTTTTTGGCATAAATTCACTTTAGGAAAACTATTGTTTGCTAATGGGACAAAAGGAAAGGCATATTGTTTTTTCTGACTGGAATTTATTGGGCAATGCAGCTGTGGTATTGCTTTTTTTTACTTTGTGGATGTCTTGTAGAAGATGTTAAGATTTTGTCGACAACATAAACAAAAAAAAATATGTATTTGATTTTTCAGCGCGATCTTAGCACAAAATAAATTACTTTTTGGAAATTTTCCTTTCGCAGTTCCACTCTCCAGGCATTCTGCTGCATTCCTAGTGAAGAATAAATGTTGGGTATTATATTAGTTTTCTAACAATAGTTTTTCTGATCAATGTCAGTGTATTTCTGATAAAAATGACTATAATTTCTTTCAAATTCATCTACACAGATAAAACTTTGCACTGCATTCTGCCTCGCAACTGCCATTATGTACTGTAAATTCCATTCACATTAACCAGATGTTCAAAAGTTGACCCTTTTGGGCAGTCTTAAATAAAAACAGTAGGAGCTGCAGGTTAGCAGGAGATTGAGCTTCCACAGTCAACTGGCGTCGTGCATGATTACTCGTAGTGGCAAAGCTACGGTGCGCCGTTTCGTGAGGAGCGACGTGTTAAAGTGGGGCGCGCCCATTCCTTGATTTCAGGGCGGCCCGGAATGGCAACGTCAAGCGTCTGGAATCTTTCCACTTGGCCGGTGCCAATTTCCATGAAGTCGACGCCACCAAGAGGACCTGCCTTCACGCTGTGAGTTCCCTCTCTGCCTACCAAACATGTGCGGAACATGCTTTTATGTAGTGGGAGCTGTATGCTGTCGGCGGCCGAAGTACTGCTCCACGACGCAGCGCTCAGTGGAACAGCCTGAGCAATGGAAGCCGTGGATCAGTATTTGTTAAAGTCAGAAGACGTGCAGAGTGTGCAGCATGCTTTGAGCTCCTTCATTCATCGGGGTGACAATGTTTTTGCAGCGACACGAGTACCCCAGTGTTGCAAAATGAGTAGCCCCATTTCTGATAATTCCATGGCGCTTGACAGCTCGAATAAGTTGCCGGCAGGTAATGCGAGCATAAAGCTGACGTTATCAAACGCATAGACAACTGCAAAAATATGCAAAAGACGTCCCGAGAGCATCGATTCTAGCAAGCTGAGCGATGGGCGCACATAGTGCTGGTGGCAATCGGTATGGTGGCATCGCCGATATCAATGGCACGACCAAGCTTAAAGGACTCGTAACAAATGGCAAAACTTCAAACGCCCGTTTTCTTCACAAAAGGGCCATATATAGCCTCTAGGGGATACATGGCAAGTGAAAAATCATGCTTCTAAGAAACAAGGGCAGTGTGGCATCCTCTTCCTGGTGGCCTACGACTGGTGCTGTATTCGCACCTGGTCACAACAGCCACATTGTCGCATCTTGCAGTGCCAGCAACGAGACCTTGTCCACCTACAGCTTTGGTTGCTTCACTGGGGGTGCCCCCTTCTTCCTCGAAGGAACACGAGCTGGTCAGATAACCAAGACGTCAGTTACCCAAAGTGCAATGATGCTGTTCAAAAGCCCCTTTGGCCACATCGACAAAGCTCGCATAAGAACAGAGCCCATTTCATTCCCACTTCATTCCCGGCAAAATGCGCCTAATTCCATTCCTATTCCATTCCGGGGTCGCGGAAAGGCGGAATGATTGGGGCGGATGGATTCCAGAATCACTCGAACTCCGGAGTGGCAACTCCGCAACGGTGGTGGCAATCAGTTCATCGACAGATTATTTCATCGGCAATTCATTTCATAGACAGCTCAGATTAGCTTTTTTTTTTCTGTAACAAGCTGCATCACACTGTCGTCGCGAAGCGGCATGTGCAGCTGCATCAGGTGGGTTAACATTTTTGTAACGAGCTGCCGCAGGCGGTGTAAACGGGCCGGCTGGATGGGGATGGCTTTTTTGCACGTCGTCAGAGTGCCGTCACATTGCAACAGGGATCACGTGACCACCTATGCTTCGCCTCTTTTTCCCCATCTTAGTTCCTGTTTTTATTTTCCCCACGTTCTCCTCACTCAGGGGCATTTCTCTCCACGTTTTGTTTGTTTGCTTGTTTTTTTTGCTTCAAGCTGGAATTTGGTCATGAAATGAATGAATGTGTGATGTGCGCGCTAACGTCCAGTTGGCGGTGATGCAGTTGAAATCTTTGTGGTTGCAGGAGAAGTGTGTTTGTATTTTTCTGGCAACCCCTGATGTCCGTCATGGCTGAGAGTTTGTTCCTGGAAAGAGTTTTAGGGGCAAAGGTCCTTAGGGTCTAGCCTTGTCCGTCCGGCGTCCGTGCTCACATCAATCTTGCTGGTGCTCGTGCTCGTAAGCTCATGTGCTCACGTGCTCGTGTAAGGCAAAAAAAAAAAAAAAAAAGTTTGCGCAGTCGACAGGATTTGAAGCTGTGTGGGCCACGGCTGCGGGACGAGTAGGGGGCTCTGAGATGTGGTAGTAACTCAAGAGCTGGGGATGTCGTGGATGAAATGTTGCATGTAGCCGCTCAACGTCTATACAGGGGAGGGCGCTGCAGTCAAATGCGTATATAATCGCGTTAAACTTTGCATGTATTGGCTCAACGTTTATAGACGAGAGGGCGCTGTGGTCAAATGCTCAAATACGTATATAACCACGTTCCATACCACACTTTCTCTTTCTGACATGGATGAAAACGAACGAAAGGCTCGGCATGCTGCGGCTCAGTGTCTACACAGACAAGCACCACCAGAGCTTCACCCCATCAACATCATTCATCATGTGGAGATGCGGTCAATTTTTTTTCTTCTCTCCCACGCTATTCTTAGGAAATTTTTAAAGTCTTCGCTGAGACACGCGGTATACCAACTGTCATCATGTTGACCAAAACTGCTATGCTGGCTCAGGGGCAGGGTTCACCCCAGGATTTTTTAAGGACAGGACATGACCACCATGCGAGTGGCGCAAGGCGGGTAGGTTGCAATGTGGCACAATCTGGCTTACCGACAGAATGCACTTTGCATAGGCTCTCTAACTTTGCGGCCCTGTTAGTGGTACCAAACTGTAGTGAAAAGCAAAAACCAGGATGCCTTGAAAAAAAAAAAAAAAATGGGGAAGGAAAGCAAAGAGGTGAAGATAAAGCAAGCCACGGCGCGAGCAAACATTAAACAGTGAAAAACGTCTTCTCAGCTCCGCTCCCGCTCACCGTCTGCGGAGAGAACTCCTGCGCGTGGCGCGTTCGTCGCGCGTTTTTTTTTTTTGTGTTTCTACTCAGACGAGCATCCCTTCCCCTCGGCCTCCCCGCTCTGCCGGTGGCGCTCCGCCAACACCCCCTTGACAACAAGGCTGTAGTGCTGAATAAGATGGCGTCATCAAAGAAGCCCTACGCTGGGCACAGATTGGACACGACGATTGCGTCAGCATTTGGCTCAAACTTTGCTCGAAGCCGAGCGTTGATGCAGCACTCGTTTCCCATCTGTGTCCAGCGTTGGCCTTCTCTGATGACTCAGTCTCATTTAGCCTACGGCTTTGTTATCTAGGAGGTGTTGGCTCCGCTCTCCTTGTTTGAGGGAGTGGCGGCAGTCAGCGATGCGATATCACGTGATAATGTGGCGGTGCGTGGGCCTGCTGAGTACGACGGGTTGCAGCCATGTGCGCAGGCAAAATCGCATTGTCATCCTGCGGCATAATCGAGCGGTGGGCGGTCGGTCAGAGCAACAGGCGGTCAGTCGGAGCAGTGGGCGGCAAAGCCACTGCCGCCCACCGTGGGGAGAACCCTGCTCAGGGGATAGGGTATCGGATCACTGACTGAGAGGTCAGTGGTCCAACTCTCGCCGTGGGACAGCGTTTTGTTAAAGGGTGGCAGGCAGCCAGAAAGGAGGAAACTCTCCCTAAATTCCTCCTTTCCATTCGAGAAAGGGGCAGACCCTCCTTTTTTCTGCGGGGAGTAGCTCAGGGACCCACGTTGCCATTGTTTTCGTTACAACATTTTGCGACGCTCTGCGCTTGGAAACCAGTCCTAAAACGCATTTTGTGCTAAAAGCCGCGCTCCTTCCTTTTCGTGCAGGCATGCGAGGCGAACCGCGAACCAGTCGTGCGGTTCCTGCTGAGCATCGGTGTGTGCCCCACCATGAGGGACGTGTACGACCGCACGCCCAAAGAGGTGGCGCAGGTTCTGGGACACAAGCACCTCGTGGCGCTCATGGAGAACACCGTGACGAACCACAACGGCGATTCCAATCTCCTCGACGACTGAGCCGCGTCGAGTCGTGTTTCCTCTTCCGGACGTGGACCGCCTCCACTTCGCACCCAGACGAGCCGAGGGTCCCTCGCTACACCCTATGCAGCGCACGCTCCAAGCGTGCGCCCCTTGGCAACCGGAGCCACCGAATCATCCCAGCCATAGCCTGTTGCAGGTTGACTTTAAAGCGGCACAAGCTCCTCCCTGCGGCAGAAGCTCCTCCGCACAAAGCCCTCCGCTCTTTCTAGTTTAGCAGAGCGAATGCTGGAGGAAAGGAGAGTGGAGAGGGACACCCTTAATCGTGGCTAGCACGGAGCTTTGCAGGAGAGTGTTGTCCCGCTTTTCTTAAATTGACCTGCAACGAGTGTAGGGTAGAGACACCCCATTCCCACGTTCAGCATAAAGGTATCTTTAAAGGGACACTGACGGGGTATTTATGTTCGTGAAGGTTTTTGTTTGTACATGACATACGAGAGCGCCCAACTACCCGGAACACAAACGCGGCTCGAAATTCATTTTCTTTCCGCCCGAAAACCGCTGTTTGGGAACTGGCCGGTTGCAGTCACGCTCACTCTCTTCCCCGTGGTCACGTGCCGTTTTCTATGGATTAGACACAACCACCAAGGATATCAAAGTCGTGAGTCATCGAAGGTACGCACTCAATGCTAAGAATATAAAAAAAAGAATATGATACCCTGTTTTTGTGGATTTGAAAAAGCGGCAATTACACTTATTGAAAAAAAAAAAAAGTTGCACAGCCATGTGACTTCTGGTAACTTTCTCCTCATCTATATTTCTTCTTCCTTCACAGTCTAGTTTCGGTTTTGGTTTCTAGCAGTTGCGTTTTTTTTTTACTTTATTAAAAATATATGTGACGCTGTAGAAAAATATTGATTGGGTAGTCTTCCGACACCATAATGGATCGCCTGGCAAAAAATAAAAAGTTTCTTTATGGGGGATGTCAGTGTCCCTTTAACATAAGTCCCTTTGCAATCAATGAAGCAGCCCGGGCTCAAATCGCGAACACACGCCGCGCGCAGAGAATCGCAAACTGATTCATCGCCGACCATAAAGGTCCCTTAGCTAAAGTTGCCTTTATGATCGTACGAATAGAGTATTACAGGCGCACTAACGAGGTTTTGGGCTCCGTCTATTTTACGACATTAACTTTTTCGAATAATTGCACAGATGCCGAAAATTGTCGGCATGCGAGCGGGGCACGTACGTCAACAACCCTGGGTGCATTCCTTCGAGGTCGTCGCTTGTTCTGCATTGGAAAGCTCTCGCTTCCAATTGACCTACGGGCTGTCAGTGCTTCTGAACAGAGAGGGTCGAAACTTTTTTAGTGCTTTTTTAAATAGTCACTGGCACTGCAGGAAGTCGTTACCACAATGAGTGCACAAAAGACGGACCGGGGCATCTACAAAGTGTGCATTTAGAGAGAGGAGAACATGAACGGACGGACTGCCGCGACTCCCAACAAGTAATATAATTTATTTGCTTCAATTTACTTAAATAAACTTTGGTTCCAGTTGGGAGTCATGTCAGTTCGTCCATTTATGTTCTCTTTCTAAATGTGTGAATCATATATACACCAAACCGTTCATCCCGACTTCGTTAGTACAAAGTTTGTACTTTCTAGATCATGGAGTTTGATTCTATAGTTGGGCGCAAAAGCGTGGCTTCCTGATTAGATTACATGGATGCTAGACATTTCCCAATATTTCGAAAACCGTATTTGAGGACGTTGCTCGTGGATTGATAGCTTGTATGAGGCCTGTATAATTGTTTACCTTATTTTTTTGTGCGCGCAATCGTGGGGCAGATAGAATAGTGCTTGCTTCTCCCACAGCCTTCGCAGTGAACGGTTGGCTAAAAGCATCTCATACCTTGGTTCTGGGAGTTTTATTGAATATTTTTTGAGTATTAAATCTTTTTTTTTTTTACCATTTTTCGTCGCTCAATTAAGACCTCTTGTCTAATTGCTTGAACATAATGAGTGTCTCTACTCTAGGAGCGCTTAGTTGTAAAAAAGAAAGTGGTGGCAAAATATCTTAGAAACAGTTAGCTTTTGAAGCCCTTTTTATCTTAGATACTGTTTGAGTATTTGTGCAGGGTACTTAATAGATGCCGATTGTTTAATCACCTCAACATTTACGTTTGCACTACGTCAAAGATGGAAGAAAAGGCTCCGATCCATCCTATAGAATACATACCTCTACGGGAGAGCCTATTTCTTTTCCTTGCTTCTGGTGCTCGGTGGAGTGCAGTTTTGCTTTGCCATACATTACCAAGATCTCAAGTTTCAAGTCATTAGTTGCAGTAGGTGCTTGTTGCTATGTGCGTCGTTTATGTGTTGTTTCATTCCTTTTTTTTACATTGAGGTAGGTAGAACTATTTATCTCCTCAGGACAAACCACACTCCTTGTAGATTTTCTGATTCATTGTGTCCATATCAAGCGGCCATTTTCAAGGTGGGCAGGGAGGGCAGATGGACGTGCCATGCAGGGCACAAGTTCGTCTGCTGCTTGCGCACAGTTTGTGGCCGAGATCAGATAGTAAGAATGGTGGATAGACCTCAAGGCAGCTTGCATTGAGGTCTACCCACTATCCTTCCAATCAGAGCCAATCCGAGCCAATCCGAGCTCGGAATTTCAATGTCGCCCCAGCCCCTATGCAGGAACCAGACAAACTTGTGCTCCGCATTGGATATACTGTACTGCTCTTAGGATTTAGTATACATGTACATATGTACACAGGTGCCCTGCCTCCTTTTGCTGCACAATGCCAGAAGTGCAAGCTCGAAGATGTGAAGTTTCACAATCTGTCATCGAGGTGTACTACAATCCTTGTAGTCAAGTTGAAGTATGTTAATTTATTGATTGTGCTTCCAATAAAGAAAAGTCTGGATTAATGTGTTTCGTACGTTGCCCTGTGCACCGGCATTACGAGTCTCCGGTGACGGAGACTCCTATGGGACGGGTCTCCGGTGGCAGAGAGGGGATGTGGATGTACAGCCTGTACAGTACGTATGCAGCCTGTACAGTATGGGCAGCCTTGTGTTCGCTTAGGAAGAGAGCACGCTGGCACCCTCTATTGGGCCGGCCTGGAACACTTGTGGTTTACATATATATCCTAATTTTTGCATATCATTCTTAATGGTCTTGAAAAACCAGGACGAAGAAAGTTTGTCTGGCGAGACCCCATCACCCCACCCGTATAGATGGCTTGAGGAAGAATGTGATAACATGCACAAACAATCTTATCGGTCAACTTAAGTGCAGTTAGCAGGTAACTACAGAACAATAATGCTATATATATATAAGGGAGTGAAAATGTGAAAAACTAATTACTACGAAAGCACATAACAATTATCTTTTACATAAAGTATGAATCCATGGGAAGCATGTACTATGTAACGTAAAGTACAACTTTTAAGAAGCTTGCAATTCGTGGGAATATCGAATCTAAAAACTGAAAACTTGCATTCACGATTGATAAAACTATTCCAACAAAAGACTGCACAAAGATTTGGTCTCAAATACTGCAGAACCTTCGCTCTAGTCAAATGCAGTTCTAGGGCTGCCTCATAGATGGCATTCGCATACTCTCTTGCCTAAGGGAGCTCAAGACTGAATGTGCACTCTGTTGCAATCAAATCAAATCAAACATATAGGAACCGGAATTTTTTGGGGAAATTGAGTGAAACACCGTTTGAGCAAGCTGAAAGTGAACAAATTATTCAGATTAAGAAACTTTTGTCAAATTCCCCAGCAAAGCCCCATAGCGTCTAATGCATTCAGTTGAGTGGACCCTTCTGCCAGGTAGAAAACTGGTTCCTAGTTTCCTCCTCTCTATTCACCCTCACACTCTTCTCTCCTCCTCTCCCAACGGGCAGAACTACTACCCCTCGCAGAAAGGACGAAGCTCTTTCTCGAATGGAAAGGAGGAATCGAAAGAGTTTTGCCCCCTTTCTGGCTGCTCGTTGGCCTTTAACTCTTTCTTGAGGTTCCTTGGAAGTTTGTTCAAGCGGTATCTCACTACTTTCTTAACCACAGTTAGCAGTTGCGCGCCAAGTAGCTGTTGGAGTGCTCCAACGGTACCTTATGTCACTCGCTCCCGCTAACTGTGATTAAGGTAGTATTTGGAATTGTCGCAAATAAAAAATGTACAAAGTGAAATTTGTTGCGTTTCTGTACGGCAGTGAAAAATGGCGTCTTGTGTCACCTTCGTAAGGGGGAAATTAGGTCGACGCAGCACTGAGTGCGGACCGTGGTTGGTTATGCGTCGTGCAGTAGTAGGGTGACCAGACGTCCCGTTTTGGCCGGGACAGTCCCGTTTTAGAGGTTTATTTTTACCATCCTGTTATTGTGTCTGCATAGCCAAATATCCGTTTTGGGGGGAATTTGCTTGCAAAATCAATACCAGGCGTGTGAAAGAAAACAAAAATTGATTACTCATGACAGTATTATAATAAACAGTATAAACGTGTCATCTCCAATAGAGTACGATTTTTAGCTTTTACTGTTGACTCCACTTGCCAATAAGTTTTGTTTGCACAGACTTGTGTGTGGGACACTTTTCTATATTACATTTTTTGGCATGTTTAAGTTTTGCAGAATGGGTAAGAAAGGTGCTTGTGTACTGAACTACTCAACGAAAAGTCCCGGAAGAGTGCAACTTCATGATGAACTCAAGTAGCAAATCTTTTTTCTTTCTGTCTCGTTCTTTTGTTGTTTTTTTCCTTTTACCCTCCTCTGTGAGCAGTAATGTCACCCTACGCAGTAGCGATTTCACCGAAGCAAGCAAAATGTCCCTTTATGTAGAAGCTGCTCAGGGCCTTCTCGGAGCAAGTTAGATGTGGCTGTGCAGTGGGAGTTGAATCTCCATGCTCGTTGCCTTTAGCAGCGCTTCAGGAACGAGAGATGACAAAAATGATCTGCAGTGGCTACCGAATCAAGAATGCATTAATACAAATGAACTATTGTCATAAGTGGGGTTTCCGCATTTTCGAGGTTTTCTTTTCAAATTTGGGTGTGTTAGTGTCTTTTTTTCCCCCCTTAGATTCGGCATTTGTTGGGGCTTCTGTTGAAGAAAACAGCACGGATTGCCGAACCTCCAAGCAACATGTGCGTGACCAAAATACTGGGAAAACGTTTTGGTACTTGTAAGAGAAGGAAACAGGACAATGGGCGTGTTTCCCAAAGGAAGTAGCAGCCTCGCAGACGGTTCGGTGTGAGCTGTGTTTGGGATGAATGCAGAATATATAGGGCTGCAGATGAAGATTTCTTTCTGCGAAGCTAGGGTTTCTCATATTCAAGGTCAGCTCCAATTCGGGGCTTTTCGGTCTTCCGCAAACTAAATGAAACAAGTTTGCCGGGTTATCGGTATTTATTGAAAACACTAAACCCTAGCCATTAATCGTACATGCCAAACAATCCCGAGCAAGCGCCCTTTAAAAATTTTGAGTCAACCAAAACTGGGGGACGGGTGCTCCTTAGGTCACCTATTGTTTAAAAGCCACCAACACGCTCAAATAGTACAAGTACATCAAGTACATAAGATATGTCCCTGCTTGGGAGAAGAGCGTGTTGGTTTAAGTCATGGATGAAGAAAGAATAAAACAATTAAAACAGGGACAACATAACCACATCTTTCAACTAGCAACAGACGAGTAAACTTTCAAACAGCGAGCAGCCGACTATACCCAGTAGGAGTAGGGGAGAGAAGGAAAGAAAAGAAACGCAAAGTGCAAGTCAGGGTGGAAGGATTATCTCGGATTTTAAAAAATTCAACCTCAGTTTTCGTCAGCAGGAGGGAAGGGTTAGACACGTTGTTTTTTGCTGTGGTCATCGCGAATGATTCTATGATTTCCCTGCCGAATCTGCTGTCATGCCCCCCCAGGATTTTTGTGCCATCAAAGAGGGGATGACAGACCCCTTTGATGGCACAAAAATCCCCTATCAAAAGCTTGAGCGCTGTTCAAAGCAAAATTGCTTGCAAAAAAAAAAAAATTTAAGTGGGTGTATGTTTATACATTGTGAACTTAATCTGCCTCAGTGGGCGACTTGTCTCTCGGCTGTAGATGAGCAATTCAGCCAAAGTGGTACAACCGCTAGCCTGGGGTCTTTAACGTACACCACGCATTATGATGCTCTTCCAGATCGAAACGGGCAGGGGTGGGGAGTGAACCGACGATCTCTGGGTTCTGCAGTGCGAGCTGCAGAACCCAGAGGGAACAATTATTTATCAGTAGAGCGTAGAGGGATTCCCTTGGCTGTTAAGGAAGCATCTCTGCGGTTTTGCAGAAAATGGCAACCAGCTAGCAATTGTTTTGCGGTGCTTCAGTTTTGTTGTCCAGCCCCTGTATGTCTTGGGCGCTATGAGTACATATATGTAAAAGGGAAAACAGTTCGCGTCGGCATTCTGAAAGATTTTCTGACAGCACAGTTGGTCATTGCCAAATCTTCATGAGAGAGATATGAAGCGTTTTTTTGTTTATTGAGCTGACGTTGATGTCGTTATACAATGCACCCAGACTTCCTTGCGTTGTTCCTTCGATGACGATTTAAAACGTTGATGTCGTTATACAATGCACCGAGACTTTCTTGTGTTGTTACTTCGATGACGATTTTAAAAAAATAAACTTTTCTAAAAGCATTTTTTCTTATGCTTGTTTACAGTAACGTTTATGACGAAAGATAGGGCTGAACGAACGTAAGCCTTGCGTTCAATACGACGCAATGCAGCCTAGTCGGCCTAGTGCCTAGTTGGCAGAATGGGCAGGAATAAACACGAACGACTGTGCTGCGAGGCAAACCTCCGGTTACATATGTCGTCACGTTGTTCAGCAAGACCTCTGTCTTTTCGAAGTCCGATCGAGGGTTTTCTCGTGAGCGTGTGCTTCCATATGGAACGACAAAAACATTTTAATTCCTGGTGCTTTTACGGTCTCGCAGGTCCCCACGAAGTCAAAGTAAGTAATAAAAACAACAACCACAAATAAATCGCCAACGTTACATGAACGCTCTCCGCGGCAGCTACACCGCAGAGACAACGACGCCAGCCACCCAAGATAACATGTTTTTGAAGTGGCTTCCCCGGGCGGACTGGAAATCACAAATACCTTTCACGATAGCAGTGTATCACATCAAGGTGTCGATCAAAAACGATCCTGCGACGTTTTCGTTACAACGTCACAATCTAGGCCAACAAACGCATACACAAAAAAGAAAAACGAGGGTAAGAGACAAAAGAAAAGTAAGAAAAATCCCAAATAAAACACAACCAAAAGTGGAGCCGTTGCCTTGCCAGACACGGTCAGACGCGTTCGTGACGTCAGAGGCGGGACATTTCCAGAATGCGTGATGAGGCGTCAGACAAAAGCATCCGCGCCGAATTCTGGGGCGTAGTTTCCAAAAGCAAAATATAAACGCACAAGAAAAAATAGGAGCGTGTTAAATACATAATAAATCAACTAAATACTTTAAATATTTACCAGTAAAAAGTTTTTATTTGAAAGTTTGAGCGTTTTACACTTCGAACTACATACCTTCCTCGCGGAAGAACACACGTGGTGCAGCACGGGTATATAAGCGCGTGTGACGTTCCTTTCGTCAGAACTTTTCGCAGAGACGTACGACTTCGGTACTGCAGCGTGTCTGCGATAAGGTAAGCGAGCCTTCGCCCCCTCCACTCTGCCTGCCTTACCTAAAATCCTCCGTTGTCGGCGGACAATACCCGAGAACGATGGTAACCGCGGTAGAGGCGGCGACTGCGTCGACAGTCGTGAACACGCAAGAGCTGCAGAAGATCGTGAACGGCGCACTGCAAAAATGGCTGGGGCGGAAGTGCGACCTCCGCGTGAACGTTCTTGTGCGTGCCACGTACGCGAGGGCGAAAGAAGAGCTGGACCGCAAGCGAGAGAGCCGCAAGCGCCGCTGGCAGCAGCTGTGGTCCGAAATCAACACAATTCCGAAGAGGGTGCACCGAGAGCGCGGCGACGATCTCCACCCCGACGACGATCCCCTTTCGCTGAACTGTTTCTTTGAGAAGCTACGCTGTGGATCTGTGCCTCCCGCCCCCACGGACAATGTCTGAGAGTGCCATGTCGTCTCTTTTCTTTTACAGTTCCCACTACCGTCCTCCCGCCCCCACGGCACGACTACCTTGGGGTGATGTCGGCGTCCGGTGGAAGGGAGTGAGTTTTGGTGGTGACCGCGTCCTCGCTGCGCACCCTTGTGATATTGTACAGCTTCATTGTAAATACCATCGTCACTCAGCCTAGTCAGCTCTGTATATACTCATCTACGCAGAAATTAAACAAAAGAGAAATAAGCGATAACCGTGTGTCGTATTCTGGAATATTCCATTACAACCGCCATTGCGGTAGGCTTAGCTCTGCCCATTTCTTTCAAGATGGCGTCCTCTTTGACGTTAGGCCTAACCGGGGGTTGCGTCATCACTTTTTAGGGTTGGCTTGCCGTTATTAGGGAATTTAAATGTGCGTTTTGTTCTGGTTTTGTCTTGAATATTTCATCGCTACGGCTTCGTTCATTTCAAATTTTGTCTCGATACATCTTTGACCGGAATTCGTTTTTTTTTTCTTCTTTGTAGCGTTTGGAGTCTACGTCGCGCCGTTTCTGCCTTTATGCTCTTTCCCCCCATCTCTCTAGGTCGATGAATTTAGTAGTTCTTTTTTGCGGAATACGTCGTCCTATGCGGAATTTTCGATGCGAAATATATCGTGGTATCGTCTCATCCGACCAACGGGAAACAATGGAAATTGCAACTACGCACTACCGCCGTGTTCTATGTACAGTCTGCGACGTGTCGTCGGTGCATTCCCAAGTTGGGCTAAGTATCACAAATCGAAGTATCAACTTTTAATTCACCTAGTAGTATCTTCACAACAAAAAAAATTTGCAATAATTTTAATTTATTTGTTGCTTTCATAAGTTTAAGCAATGTTAAAGACTGCAATGTTCAGTTTTCGCAGCTTTTTTTGTTTTTTTATGCTGGATAAGGAAATTGCTGAGTAATGACAGTTTAATATCAACCACACTATTAACACATGTTGGTCCTATACATTTCCTCCCCTTTTCTAGCCACAGATTCAAGTACTGAAATTCTGGGAAAAGGAAAATTTCATAAGTATTGAAAGGATTTGCAGAGAAGTCTGGCATATTTTGTGGTTTACAAGTTGCAAGGTTTCTGAAAATATCAAGAGCAAGCATCAAAGATTACTCAGTCGGAATGGGTTTGACTGGATTCAATCTTTTTTTAAATCCTTTTTGAGTTGCACAAGTACAGGAACAAGTTATTTCGTAAAAAAAAAAAGGCCAAGTTTTGAGTCACTTTTTTTTCTTAGTTCCAGGTTCAAAGACAAGTAGAGTTGAAGTATAAGGTGAAAAGTTTAAGCGAGGTAGTCCAGTGGAGTTTGTACAGCAGTATAAAGTGAAAAAAGGAAGTAGAAGATATTTGAAGCAAGGTAGACAAGTAAAGCATGAAGTTGAAAAAACAAAGTTGAAGTTGCAGCAAGATAGGTGACAAGGTAAAAGTTTAAGCGGAATCAAGTGTGGAAAGCGCTCAAGGTAGAAGTTCAAGCAAGTAGACTAAGTAATACAGAATGAAGTGTGCAAAAATGTTGAAGGTAGAAGTTCAAGCAAGTAGACTTGAGTAATACAGAATGAAGCTAGAACAGAATCAAGCGTGGAAAATGCTGAAGGTAGAAGTTCAAGCAAGTAGACTAAGTAATACAGAATGAAGCTAGAACAGAATCAAGCGTGGAAAATGCTGAAGGTAGAAGTTCAAGCAAGTAGACTGAGTAATACAGAATGAAGCTAGAACAGAATCAAGCGTGGAAAATGCTGAAGGTAGAAGTTCAAGCAAGTAGACTAAGTAATACAGAATGAAGCTAGAACAGAATCAAGTGTGGAAAGTGCTCAAGGTAGAAGTTCAAGTTGACAAGTAGACTAAGTAATACAGGATGAAGGTAGAAAAGAATCAAGTGTGAAAAGTGTTCAAGGTTGAAGTTCAAGCAAGTTGACAAGTAGATTATGTGAATCAAAACTGAAGGGAAAAGTTCAAGCAAGGTAGATTTGGCAGAACAGACAAGTCTCAAATCCAAGCTTAAGTTCAAGCAAGACAAAAGTTTCTCAAGCTGAATATTCACCTTGCCGTACAGTTCAAGCAAGTGTGTTTCTCTGGTGGATCTAGGATAGGAGGTTGAACACCCGTAATGTACTCCAAAGCTCGTCCAAAAGGGGGCCAAGCCGCTTTCAAATTGGATACACCGAAAGGTTGACAGAATGTCTACTCTCCGTGCAACTAGCGTCTGAGAATGTCTTCATGCCAAGATTGGTTCGGGAGTAGTGCACCTTTCTTACATTTCTAGTTCTTAGTCTCTTTTTCTTGCAGTAGTACCCCAAGTTTCAAGTCAGGCTATTTTCCTCAAGAATCTTAACTTTTTGCAATCTTTCATTTCTCCTTGCAGTAGTGCATAGAAGTTGGATTCAAGGGTGTTTGTCTTTCAGGCGGAATCTCCCAACGTTCAAGGCAGATGCTTAAAGAGGCTATATTTCGAAGATGCGGTAGCGACCAAGCGTCCAGTACGATTACTACTACGGTCCCGGAAAAACGTCTGGCAGCTGCGAATTTGAAACCGGTCGTGATTGCGTCCCCGTTTGTCTGGTAAAGCTGAAGTAGACGCCTGAATAATCCTTCCCCGTTTGATGTGCCAAGGTATTGTCTTCCCCCTGTGGAACCTTCCAAGTCTTTCCTTTTCACGTGTTTTTGTTCTGTGCAGCTTGGGTAATCCTGCCTTACTTTTCCCCGTAATGACTCGCCCTTTTGGGAACCTCGATTGCATTCTTTAAAAAAACGCCTTGTTGCTTTATGTGCGTTGCACAGTTTCCATTAACGCTGTCTCGCTCGAGTAATCGTTTCAAGGTATCTTACTGCTGCACGCCAGCTTTGCCCGGTTATACTTGGCCGTGTGTTGCTATCTTGGGGAACCTTGCAGCTAAGTGGTTTTAGTGCATTCTTGCCTGGGGTGGAAGGGGGGGGTTACCGACTGTATGCCTTCGCTTTTAGCCCTTGCAGCAAACTAGGTATGCCACGCTCGCAGCCTGGGATGCACTCTAGGTCGAAAGAAAGGAACCCCTCCTTGACACGCCTCGTAGCACAGTGTTCTCCCACCAAGTTCCGCTTCCTTCGCTGCGCACCTCTTCGTCAGAACACCGGTTTGGAGCCTTGTCCTGCACGGGCGATATGTAAGCACAGTGTTGCTGGGATGGTTTCTTTTGGGCATTTGCGGTCTTGAGAATGCAGTAAAAGTTGACTGTTGGAACGATTTTGCTTGGGAATAATTGTGTCTTGTTTGACTCCTTTTTGTGTTTGTGCGCCGGGGAATGGGGGGGGGGGGGGGGGAAAGTTTGGCGAGCCTTTGCAGCATCAAGTTTGGTCTCGGTTGAACACGCTTGCGAGTGGCACGTTTTTCCGGTAACCTTTCCTCCATTCTCCGTTTTTCGTGCTGGTGGGTGGTTGCTTTGGGCAGGGGGGGGGGGGGGGGGGGGGGTGATCAAATCGTTCGTGTGAGTTTTTGCAGAAACCACAAGACCCGAAAGAACGACAAGGGGCTAAAGATTCCAGCTGGGCCATTTGTAAGCCAGTAAATCTTTTAGTAGCATCTCTTCCAACATTTAGTGAACACTGCGGCTTTCATCTTTCCATAGAACGAAGTATTGGAATCTTGGGTTAAAGTGAGCTAACTAGTGGGGGGGGGGGGGGGGGGAGGATATCAAAATGGTTGGCATAGTTTTACAGAGCCCTGCAAGACTGCAAAAGCTGGGGGCAAGCTAATACGGCCGGCCGGGGACTGCTGTAAGCAGAGTTGGATTTTCCCACATATATTTCATCTGTACTTTTTTGTTTTGGGTGGACATGAGTTTTTTTTTGTTTTTTTTTGGGGGGGGGGGGGGGGGGGTCACCAGGTCGTTGGCATAGTTTTTGCAGGTCCACAGATACCTGGCCGAAGGCTCGAAGAACACTTGTCCGGCCTGGCAGGCTGTAAGCAGTTCATTGCATCATTTTTACATTGAGAGATCATTTATATAGGTTTTGATATGAAGTAATATTACTAAATGGCTGATGAGATAACAATTGCCATGTAAGTAGAAGAGATTAATATGCAAGAGTTCTACCACGTAACTTTAGAAGAGTTGGTATTGTAGCCTCGTATACGGAGGGGGTGGGTGGCTACACGCGAGTTTTTACAGAATTCGATGGATCCGATTAACCTGAGCGTGCTGAAGACTGGTAGTGGCAACTTTTTCATTGAATTTTTGGGATGGAGGAGGGGGGGCAGGGTAGGGAGGGGTGACCGGATGGTTGGCGCGAGTTTTTGCAGATCCATCGGTGGACTGGCGTTCCAAGTAGTCGAGTACAACCTGCTGCAAGTTGATTTTCGGTATTGTTCCTTTTTCGTACAGTAATAGTTTGAGCCATCCGAGGCTTAGAAGTATGAAACAATACACTCAATAATTAATATTTACATACACTTAAACTTTTGGGAGGTTCAAGAGAATAATAATTGCATTGCTCTAGAACACTTAAAGCTTTTGGGAGGTTCAAGAGAATTTTGTGGGGATGAAGGTTAGTGAATTAACTGAAACCAGTGCAGAGGTAATTTTGGACACAAGTCTTGCCTGCTGTGAGCAGTATGTAGGGAAATTGGGGGGGGGCGGGGGGGGGGGGGGGGGTAAATAGTTTTCCAGTTCTTTGCAGCCCCCATCAAGGTACAGCCTCTGGTGTCCGTCCAACCCTGTGTGGTGGATCCGGTATGAAAACTCGTGAGCACACAAATGGAGTTTGTCACATTTCATGAAACCGCTTCAATACTGTCGCTCGAGTCATTTTTGTATACTGGTTTTTCGATGCTGCCGAACATGTTTTGGGGAAGTCGTCCGAAGGGATTGTCCGAGGATCTGGGGAGTGGGTTGTTTTCTCCAAGGGGTGGGGTGTGCCTGCGTGTGTGTGTGTGCGTGCGTGCGTGGTCTTTGCAGCTTTGCGCGTCGCCGTTCAGTCTCCTGGTCGTCGTCTCTTCCTCCCCCTCACACGTGGAAAACGTCCGCACAAGTCCCTGGCGTGGTTTGCTATCCCCCCTCGAGCGAAGGATGCAGGGAGTACCACTGTATTGCTCTGGCTGGTGGCTGGATGTCTTGCTGGGAAGCAGCCTGCTTACACCCGGGCGGTTCCGCGCGTGCTTAGGCAGTCGGAGCGAGTTCTACCATCCTGGCTTTGGTCCCGTCTGGAGGAGTTCCTAACATGGCTGGGTCCCGTACCGCAAGGAGTCCCGTTGCGTCTGCACCCTTTCCCGCAAGAGGGCTGCACCCATCTACGCCGTCCCGTCCTGCCCGTGGCGTAACGAGTGGCCGTGAGAGCGCCTTCCCCCACCCTGTCTTGGGCCTCGTGTGGCTGTACGGAGAGCCTACCTGCTGCGTGTGTGTCGCTTGGTGGCTGTTCCCCCGGTCCGGCACGGGTTCCAGTTTGTGCACGTGCGCAGGAGGAAGGCGGAAGCAAGGAGTCTCCGAGAGAGGTTTGGGGAAGGGGCGGGTGGGGGGGAGCCAGGGGGTTCCTTGCAGCTGGTTCCCGTGTGCGTGGTTCCGGATGTGCGTTAAGCGGAGCGGTTCGTGGTTGGCGTCGAGCACCGATTTGCGGGCGGCCGTCGCTGTGGGCAGCCAGGCGGTGTCCCGGGGCTTTTGTGGGTCCGGTCTCGGTTCCGCGAGGGTTTGGCCCCGTCCCCCGGCGCTGGAGGGCGGCTCTTCCTGAGGGGGCCTCCGGTTCCTGGGGCGGACTTCCCTGCGCGAGACGGTTTCCAAGCTCCTCTGTGCCGCGGCGCCCCCCCTGGCGAGGACTTCCACCGCGTGGCGTTCCTGCTTTCCGGTGCTCGAGGTCAAGCGGGCGTGTGCAGTGGGGCGACAAGGATCGACCGCGGGAGGGACTTCCTTCTACTCGGCCGTGCAAGCTTCTTCGTTCGCAAGGATCGTCTGTCGACGCATCATTGTTGTCATCATCATCATCATCATCATCATCCATTGATTCATCTGTTGCCATAATCGTCCATCAACGCGCAATTCTACGGTTTTCAACATGCGTGACGCTTCGTCGTGCTGAGTTTTTTGCTAAGTTGCCGAAGTTTATTCAAGTCTCATTGCGACTTTAAATTCGGGCTTGCTTCATATGTTTGATAGGTCTTATCTATGAAAGAATTTCGTACAAAATGGCAAATGACGCTCCGTCTGGCGATTTTAAGCGAACGTGCATGAGACACTTTCTGTAAATCTGGCACCTAATAGATATTTTTATACCACAAATTTTCAGCGTGCTGAAATATACTAGAAGACCGGTGTTTGCATTAACATTCTACTTCGCAGCCAAATTGAGGAAATTCATTAGGAAATATTTGCTTAAAAAAAATATTAAAAGGGCGGACAAAATTTGTCCTTTTAGCCTGGAAACAAGCTCTTGTATGAATAGCCCGATATAACAAAGTTCGCTGAATTTGACAAAGCAAGAAACAACATAATTACATTTGAAACCAATTTAATTTGATTTTGAAATCTTCGTTTCGGGGAATATCTGAAAATCGTGAACGTGTTTCGAATATTCCACGCTACTACGTGAAACCATTCTCGCGCTTCTATTTGAGAATCGTCAAATTTACAACGCGCACGCTTGTTTCTTCCACTGAAAAATATTGACTCGTCCTTTCAAATGTTGAAATTCGTACAGACTTCTGTGTACTATTCAAGAGTTTGCCGACTCGTGGCGATGTGCCCTCACTTGGATCAAAACTTTGATGAAAATGGCTTTCAACTGTCCAAATGACAAAATCTTGGTTTTCACTCATGATATGCAAATCTCTTCATGCGTGTTCATATTCGTTTCAGTAGAAATATAGACTTGTGAAGTGTGTTCCAGATGTTCACTAGAATGGCTTGGAATGCCCAAAGAACAGAAATGTCAAGCATTTGTATAGTTCCCAAGTTTTGTGACCTATGAAATGGAAAGTTGCATTTGTACAAAACTATGCTATCGCCAGATGAAATTTTGCTGATCTTGGAAATTTGCTGGAATTATTTACTAGATATCTGCAGTTTCGCAATGCGATATACGTTATGAACTTGTTTCAGTCACCGAATTTGTTTCCTCTTATCTGAAATTATGATCGTGCTCGTGCGTGCAAATGTATTTTGAAATTTGCTGTATTTTATGCGTCTGATTTGTTCCGCGACACCATAATTCGCAAAGTATGACTACGGCTTCAGACATGTCATGGCGATTTTCTGTGGTTGACATTTTGCAATAGTGTTCATTTGGTTAGCTGTTCATTTCAAAATACCTTTTTTCGCGTTTTATGCATTCGAGCTATCATAATGGTCCGCGATTGCTGGCATTCAACCTGATCGGTGTCGGTTATGACCTTGACAATTCGGTCGGACATTTTGTGGTGATTCATTCATTTCTGACGACGATTGCCGTTGATTCGCTGAAATATTTTTAGTGATTTACTATTGCGTAAAAAACCGGCAATGAAATATTGAACTGAAAGCAGTTGCACAATGAAGCTGTATGGCAATTTTACTTCCGAAGCAATTAAGACAATGAAATGGGCCATGTTTGGCACTTTTAATATGGAGTCTATGAAGAGAACGACTTGTGTTGAACTGGATGCTCTAAATCGAAATCGGTCATATTGATCAGTTTTACTACCGTTTCTACGAAGATATGACATTCAACTGAAAACTGTTCCGAATCGAAACTGGCAGTTTTAATACTGAATTTATGAAGACATGGCAGTTTTAATACTGAATTTCTGAAGATAGAAATGTTACTGAATGAATACTGCTACAAATTGAAACTTATGCCTGGCGGTTTTAATATTGAATTCATGAAGACAATGAAGTATGAAACTAAACATGTTCCAAGAATTTTAAACCATGGCAGTAAAATGAATTTCAATACCGACTGAGGGCTGACGTTTCAAACTGAATGCCATTGCTAATCAAAATCTGCCATGGTTAACATTTTCAACAATAAATCCATAACGAAAATCTTGAAAGGCCAAGTTGGTCTTCAAATCTGGACAAAAAGACGTGAATGTTGCAAAGGACTTTGAAACTGGAGACTTTAATAGCAAATTATAATGCAATGAAACCTTAAATGCCGTTTCAAATCGAAACCAGCCGTGTTTGGCACTTTTATTACGGAATTCGTGGAGCGAATGATGCGGAATTCTGCTGTGAATCGAACAAGATACCAACTAAATTCTGTGAAGAGTAAAAAAGAATCATCTTTGAAGAAAATAGCGGACGTCCTGAGGAATTGAAGCCAGCCATATTTGGCACTGTGAAATACAAAATCTATTACAGCTTGCTATAAACGAAATGCGATAAACCGCCGTTTTTTTGCAATATTTTTATAATGCAGTGTATCGGTCAAGTTGCGCAGGAAATACGTGAAGATCAGTATGCTATTGCTTTCCACATGATGTGCTGAAGATACTGATGTACGAAACTACAATCTATGGTTACTGCGGTTCATGCATTTGACGACTGTTTGATTTTGCGATTCATGCTTTTGATTGAAGATTGCAATTCATACGATTCAGTTCTGAAATTCATACGCTTGAGTTCGGATTTGTCATTGCATTCAAAGTATTCACCTCGGTTTGATCGCGAATGAACGCTGTCTAATACTGAAATTGAAATGTATTGCAATTCATACGCTTGAGTTGGGATTTGTCATTGCATTCAAAGTATTCACCTCGGTTTGATCGCGAAGGAACGCTGTCTAATACTGAAATTGATATGTATCATTTTTATTTTGCGCGCTAAAATTTGATAATGTCTGGATATGAATATTTACAAAATATGCCAATAAGCCGGTCGCGCATCATAAAGCTGAATGAACGAATATTCTACATCCTGTATTTATGCATTTTCATAATGACTGCATTCATTCATTGTATTGATCAGCGCGTCATTGCAAATCGTCCAGCGCAACTCTTCTTCATAATAGAAGTCAAGTCACTATGCTTGTATAATTCGGCTTCATATTTATAGAAGTCAAGTTACAATGCTTGTATAATTCTAAATAACTGATATGATCTATATGGATACGAGAACTATTTCATATTTTTATCTTTTCATATTTTTATCTTGACGTTTTCGCGGTCATAAAAATCGACCCTATCATGCGCGCTGATCTGTGGAACCCATCCCATGACAATTCATCGCTTCATGCGCGTGGTGAGTGCAAACGTTGCTGTGATAATGTATGATCATTATTTATTATATCAGAAAATAAAGAAAAATCAACTTTAAAGGAAAATAACAAAAAAAATTATTAAAAAAAAAGCAAACCAGCTATAAAAAAAATTCAATTGGCCTAATTAAAAACAAAGGTGTGGTATTGGGGCAGGTGCAAGGGGTGAAGGGAGCCTGCCATAAAAAAATGTGCTAAACATGGCAACGTTTGCTTTCCAACTTGATATACGAGAAGTTTGAACCTTGATTATGTTCAACGCAAATTCGAGGTGTCTGCTGCAAAACTGGGCCTAATAAACAACTTAACAAGCACCACTGTTCCTCTCTTTCCTGAGAACTGGCCTTGCCTCTAGTGCATTTTTTGCACCGTTGGCGATGCTGGTGCTCTGAAGCAATGTAATCCTGAAGAATGGGAGGCAAGTTCTTGCCAAGATTCTGGAGCAATCTGAAGCATCGTCCATATTCATGGTAAACCAATTTCCGTTTCTTTAAATCGATATTAAATCGACCTTATGTTCCTTTTTTGTGCCACTCTTCAGGGACCCCCAATTGGAATGATTTCTACAGGCCATGAGGCCTCCTGCCTGCATTGACAAAACGCGCCCTGTGCGCATACATAATTGGCAGTCCGTCCCTCCCAATTTTCATTTACAACGCCTACACGCACACAGGCACTTGTGGGTAGCGCCATTTTGAGAGCGAGAGAAAAGGGGAAACGGCTACCAGCGCTTTCCCCCTTGCTGGAGCGTTAAAGTGAAAGTTCCGGATGAGAGCTACGGCCACTGGCGGACATCTTTTGGTAGAGTTATATTACCTCTAGCCAATGTACAGCTGGTGCAGCCACATGCATGCACCACTACCATCCATCTATGGCAGACAGTGTGATGGCAGTTGTGGGGGACTGTATAAAAATAGCTGTGGGTGATATTTCATTTTTGATTGAAATTGTTCGATGACCCGGCGTGAACGGTAGCCCTATCTTTGAAGACCTGGTAAAAGTTTCGTGAAATCGTAGCACCGGGGAAAAGCAGCACAGCACTCGTCGAAAGTCTCGTCAAAAGAAGTATTGAAAGCAGATGCGTCTGCTTTCGATGCGAGCTTCGCTGCTTTCCCCCGGTGCTGCGCTTTCGTAGAACTTTCGCCAGGTCCTCGAAGATGGGGCTATCGTTCACGCTGGGTTTCAAGTATCTGCTTCGTCGAACAACTTTAATCAAGCACGAAATATCACCCACGGTACAGTGTACTAGACCCACGACTATTTTTATGGCAGCCTGCTGCCATAGTGCTGTTCGCCATATTACTATGATGGATAGAAATAATATAACTCTACCAAAAAGGTGGCCGACCTTGACTGCATTCCTGTCCATAGGCGGGGCTGGTCAAACACAATCCAGGAAATAGACGTAGAGAGCAGTGGCTTCGCCGGTGTTGGGTGTCTGCGTTGCCCGAACTTCGTTTGCGCTTTCTTGTCCCTTTTTAAACTATAGAGCCATGGGCAAAAGATCGCGACCGTTGCGCCATCTCTTGTCTGACGTGCCAAGGGGCGCCCTATTGTTCGAAGACCAGCGACTTTGCTGCTTTCCTCTAAAAGTTAAGCCTTTTTCTTTTTTTACTTTTTCCTCAGGTAAGTTCGCTCTGCCAATTTTATAGAAAAAATGCACCATCTGTGGGCAACACCGCACAGAATCGTAGCGCAATAGGTTAAGAAACCGATTTTTGAGGTCAATTTAAAGAGCCTGGCCGCAATTTGAGACACCCTGTAGTTATGCCCCCCCACTGCTAGGGAAAGGTAAGCTTTCTGATAAAAGGATTTATATGGTAAGCAGTTGCAACATCATAATCCATTTATTTCGTATATATACTAAGGGTTACGCAGCTTCTTAGTTGGGACACCTATGCTAGGCTCCTGGGCTCGTCAACTGCCAAATGCTTTCTGCAGGATTTCTTGGCATTCCCTCTGGTGGACTTGACCTATGCCGACCGCTGGGACGCCAAGGTTTCCACGTCCTGCATACTTGAGCTGGGAGAAACAGATTGCACGGTCGGTCGGAAATGTATGCCGAGACCTTTAAATTGCAAAAGCTTGAAGGGCCCACAAAACGATGTGGGGTTTGAGATTTTGGTAAAAATGCGGGCTTGCCAGACCGGTTGATCAAATTTAATTTTTTTTTCAAGTAAAAAAGCATGTTAGGTGGTTATTAAACACGGAAGATATTACACCGATGTAAACACTTACCTGTGGACAGCTCGATAAAGTTATTCTAATTAAACTGGGTAAAACAAATCCAGCAAATACTCTGCCTTAAGTGCAAGCTTTCTTCCTCTCTTAACACTTTGCCACATGTGCAGCCAGAGCTCGGTGAAAGGCAATGTGCACATTTTGTGGACCTGTTGCCGACTGTAAAAGCGTCCATTTTAAGTTTAGTTGCAAAATTACAATACCTTTTCAAAAGGGACTTTCATGACATTGGATTGGCTTCAATGACCTGTAGTGACTTGAATTCTGCCGCAAGGCGAAACGAGGTACAATTGTTTTTGACATGCGTCCTAGACCTTTTTTACCGACCTGCTTTCCAAGCAAGTTCTGGAAACGAGGTTGCACAAAGAACCATGGCCCCATGTTGCGATGTTCCTCTTGACACCAGACAAACTCTGCATAAAGAAATAAACAATAAAAAAAAGTATACAGACTTATGCACAAACACGTCGTTTACAAATAAGCCCACGTTTACCAAATCGGATTCACGCAAGATAAAGCACCTGCAGATTTGCGTGCACAGTGCAGCAGTGGTGTTGGTGAGAGGAGTTAATGTACCAATACCGAGCAAGCGCCCACTTGACATGTGGAAATAATCTTGAAAAACCAGAGGACGGGCACTTGTCAGATAGGCTCAAAAGCAAAACCGCAGAAGAGGCACACGAAAGGGTGGGTTTCACGGTCACTGCTTCGCACCGGGGTGTTTGGAGAAGCGGTCGACAAGAAGCATCTCTGTTAGCTGGGTGCATTCAAAAGTCTGAAGTAGGCGCCTCATATGTCCTTTGCTTAGTTTTCAAACATTCTAAAAAAGGCAGATGGGCACTTGATGGCGGAGGGACTCAAATTATTTTTTATCTTTGGAATGTAGCGTTACAAACTGTCTTTGCAACAAACCCACACCCTTGCAGCCATGGCTCCACTGGTACCTTCATGTTTTGACAAATGCAACATGTTTCTTCAAAACGCTAGCCAACTGATATAACGGACAAATTAGTTTTTGTTTTGCTGGACATGGACTCACCTTTGGCACGGGTGTATTTGGAGAGTTCTTCGGCCAACTCCTTGGCCGGGAAAGGGCAGAGCGCCTGCAAGAGGAACCAAAGAGCAAAAATGAGCTGAATTCCCAGAAGGAAAGCCTGCTAGAAGAAAGACTGCCTTCTATGAGAGTGCTAACACTTCTGAAGAGAAAGGTAGGAAACACTTACAACTCTAGACCCCCAAGACAAGCCAAAAGATACACAAGCATGGAGAAATCCCACAGGCAATTCCAAAAGAATACTCCAACTGCTGAGATCCATTATCTCCTATCTAGACCTCAGTAAAACATTGAACTTTTTTTTTCTTGTCTGGCCATGCCACAGTGCAACTGCCCTTTCTATTTTTCACCAATAAACACAATTTCATTCATTCAACCGGAGTAAAGGTTATGCAGTCTCTGCAAGATCAAGCACTACCTACGTGAAATGGTTGCTTGCAACACCGAGAACTATTTCAAGCCCAGGACGAAAGAATGATGCATAAAAAAGAGGTTGCGAGCAATGCCGCTGCAGTCGACTGAATTTGAACGTAAACGTGTGAACTGGTCTTGAGAGGTCCAACAAATGCACAGCATCCCTCACACCGTGCGCGTGGGCGCGAACAGAGTGCGGGCACGTGTGTGAAACCTGGCGACGAGTGATGACACTGATCGATCTAATACCCAGTATGGCAGAAGTGATGCTGCTCTGAAGCGTAAGAGCAGCAGAGGTGGACACAGCAGACGCCCAAATGCGGATGAGAGATGGGACGTCGCGACGACAGCGACCCGCGCGTTCGCTCGCCTTTTTCGTCGGCATTTTTGTGACCGACCACCTGGAGCACGGCGTCTGACAGTGTGATGTTCCAGCTCCCGTGACGCAATTCGTTGTTATTTTTGGACCACTTTCGAAGTGCAGGTGGGATGGGGTGGCAAACGTGCCGGTCAAAGATGCATTCTAGGCATCATACTGCCAACCTTACCGTTACGGTTACCGCAACAAAAAAGTAACTCGTTACAGTTAGTTACTTTTAGTTATATTAACAAAACAAAATTTAAAAAAGTAGAAAATGCCCCCCTCCCTCTCCTTTTACACACACACACACCTTAGCCCTATTGCACGATGCAGGTAAAGTTTGCGCAAGGCGATAATGGCACTCGGAATGTCGGAGCACATCATTTGGAGAGTGCGAGGAATGACTAGATTGTATTCATTTAGCGATATCTTAATCCTTACTAAATTGTGAAATGTGGCGACAAAAGTAACGTTGCTACTTTCATCGTTACTTAAAAAAAAATAAGAGAAATACAGTTGCAAGTTACATTTAGAAAATGTAACGCACCACAGTCAAAAGTTGCCAAAAAAGTAACGAAGATACATTAAGGAGCACTGACACATAAAAATCATAGATTTTTTTTTTATTATCTGAAACAATAATTTGAAGATACATTTGGGGAAACTTGGGAATTCAGCATTTGTGAATTAAAAAAAAAAACGATTTCCAAATGCCGATTTTGAAGTTCCCGCGCGATCCACGCCAGTGAAGTGACGTAACATTTTGCGGTCTCCTGCGAGTCGACTTTCTGTCGGACCTCCACTCGACGCTACGAAGCAAAGCGCCGTAACCATGCACCGCGACCCGAAGCGAGGAGAAGGTGAGAAGTGGGATAGAAGGGCGCCGGCCCGGGAAAAAAACGGCTTCTTCCCCGACTTATCGATCATCCTCTGCTCAAGTGCCGCCAAGTTTTCCGAGGGACGATACAAATCCAGGAAGCGACATCGCACCGGACTCTGATTTTTGGCATTTCAAAAAGAGGGGCCGTAGTGCGTTCGCAATTGCGTTAAAACCATGTTTTACGATTTCAGTTATCAGAAATGCCGCCTACAAAGCTTCTAAATTTCGTGATTTTTGACATCACCGATCAAAAGAAGCAAGGAGGTAAGCAGCGGGGAAGAAAAACGCAAAAAATAAAAAGGCGCGCACAAAAAAATTGTTTTTCGCGATGCATTTTTTTTTTTGCATGTCTATGACTACAACTTGCATCATTTTAGACAATAAAAAAAATACAACCTTTTGGGGTGTCGGTGCCCCTTTAAGACATAACTTAAAGACCGACGACCAGTTCGCGCTTTCCACTTTTCACCCGCTTCCCCCTCTCCCTACCCTTTCCACCCATGCCCGCCCCTCTTGGTCCCTTCTTTCCATCCTTCGCTTCCCTCGCCCGAAGGCATGGAGAGGAGGGTCTTCTGCCTTGCAGAATCTCGAGTCTGGTCGTCGGCCTTTAAGACAGTATGAGCACGTTTGCAAAAGCTGGTGACGAGTAACGAGTGGTAACACCTATCCAATCCAATCTGGCCAAATTGGTGTTGCGCTCAATCATAAGCGAGGCTCCATTGTCGACCCTTACCTCGAGCCTGACGATGGCTACGTCCTGGTCCTTGCCCAGTTCTTCCCTCTGCTTGGCCAGGGCATAGTAGTGTTTGCCGCTGCACAGCAGAACCTTGCTGGCAGAGGTTCGAGGAACCGCCTCGCCGAGAACCGGGTGAAAGAAGGTGCCGGGGGCCAACTCCGCGAGGGACGAAGTCGCGGCAGGGTGGCGCAGTAGGATCTTGGGGGAGGCCACCACCAGGGGCTTGCGGAAGTTCCGCAACATCTGCACGGGAGGGCCAGAGTCACAATGGTCTTTTGCAGGTTAAGAAAAAGCGGAACAAGTTCCTCCCAAAATGCCCTCCACTCTTCTACACTTTAATGAACACCCCCTTGACGTAACAAGGCCAACGGGCTGAACTTTCTACATCATCTAAAGAGGCAAATGCGAGGCATGAATTGGACACAAGTGCTGCATCAGCATTTGGCCCATACTTCAGCCAGTGTGTTGCACCATGTTTGCAATAACTTCTTTGCTTTATGAGGAATTGATGTCAAAACATGTGAGGAGATGTGTGCTTTGGTTAAATGATTGTGCGAGATGTTGCATATGTAAAAAAAAACAAAAAAACACAAAGACATGATTTTTTTTTTTCTGCAGAGCTCTTTCAGAAAGGGGTACCCGTGAGCGCGCCTGCGATGGAGAAGCGAAAGTATGTGTGCAAACTGTTCTCTAGAAGCGCAGAGGAACGCGAGAACATAACCTGGGTGGCGAGTGAGCATGTCTGCACAGTGCGACCACGCGGGTAGTTTGCAACGGCGGCTGCCGGAGGGGTGGGGAGGAGGAGGAAGGGAGGGCATTGCGGGAGGGTATGTGGATATAGCAGGATTGATGTGGAGGCGAAGAGCGCTCTCCCCGTGATCGCGTGGGTTTTTCGGAATGGCGGAGGTCTACAGGAAGGAAGGGGGGGGATGGAGGGAGAGTCTTGCCATGTGTAAGGGAGAGAAGTGCCTCTGCTGTAGAGTGGGGTTTCGCATTTGTGTACGAGTATTTTTTGTTGGGAAGGGGCACTGTCAGCTACCGCTGTCAGACAAGTACAGCAAATGTGATCCTATATTTAAACGTTACGAATGGTTTACTCTGAAATAAGAGTCAAAATGCAGGCGAGCTGGTGAACAATCATTATTAAGAATTAAAACCTTGAGACAAGGAAATGAAAATGGACATTTTGAGATGGTGGTGTGTATGCCCCTTTTTGTTTCCGTGTCTCAAGGTTTTAATTCTTAATTATGGTTTACACATTTGCATTTGCCTGTGATTGAATTACCACGGCTTAAAGTCTGGGGGGTCTCAGACCCCCCACTGATTTTAATGGATGGTCTGAGACTCTCCTCCACAGCCCCAGCTTTAGTGAAATTAAAATCATATCTTTCAATATAATAGATTGTTTTCAGGGATGTGACATTTGGGGATTAGCAATTTGAGGGTGGCAGGTCTAGCGTGGGCAAAGTCAACAGTGGGGTTTATTTTATGTGCATCTACTACATCTCGTCTGAGCCAAGCCAGCCCGCCCCCCCCCCCCCACTATTTTCTTGTAGGGACCCCCTAAACCTACGGGAGACTTTCAGCACTGCTTACGACGGGAGAATGCACTTGCACAACCTACTATATGTATTTTTATGCTTTGCTTTTTCACCGTGGGCTCGAAATAATCCGTACATCTCTCATAGATTTGATCGTGCATAGATTGGATCCTGCAAGTACTGCAAACCTTTGGTCTAGTTATACGCAGGTCAGAAAGGTTCCAGGACTATCCGATAGGTGGCGCCAGTGTGCTCTCCAGCGTTCTCTCGTCGTAAGCCGTCGCGAGCGAATGCAACGCAGTCAGTCTGTCAAATGCAAATCTGTGAACCAGCCTCAAAAGGATGGACACCCATCTGCACATACATCTGTGTCCTGTGCATGCCAACATAGTCCCCTCATCCTTCGTCGTCGTCTACACATGCTAGCTGCATTTCTACAGCAATTCGCGTCTCCAGCTCGACGCTCGCCCTCCCGCGGCGGAAACGGGAAGCGCTCTAGTGAGGGTCCCCCGACTCTCCTGCTCAGCGGGCATGGCGGAACTGCTCGCGATCATGGCTCGCGAAATGTCGTTTCCGAATGTAAACAAGACTCTTCACTGTCCCAACGTAGTGCTGCAGCCGGTATGGGATTGTACCTTACTGAAGAGTATTAGTATTGCGCATAGAAGCAAACGCAAGCGGTATGCGTTTGCGTTAGAGTTCCGTGCCCCACGTTGTGCGTGCGCCCCATCGCCATTCGCCATCCAAGACCGCAGTTTCGGGCTCCGCGCACGCGCAGTGTAGAACACGTAAAGCTAACGCAAACAAACAGGGCTTGAGTTCGCTCGTATACGCAATATTAAAACTCACAACTGTTTCACCGGCTTCCAACGCCAACGAAACGTGCTGCAGTGACCAGACGTGCAAGCAGGTAGGCGTTCCTTCGAACTGGAAAGGTTGAGATTGGCAAAACAACGGCGAGCAAATACAAAAGTAAATAAATGTTATGAAAAAACTAATAATTAAAAAAATGCTTTTTTTATTTATTTATTTTTTTTTTTGGGGGGGGGGGGGGCATTTGGTTTGGAAGGTTATTGGCGGCGACTTTGGGCGTTTCGCCGGTTGTCAAAAGTCGCGACTTTGAGCACAATATACTTTATTCACAATTAATGTAATTTTACATGGATTTCTCACATTCGCTAAAATGTTTTCATTGATTTTAGACTATTTTTTTATTGGTAATTAAAATGCAGCAACTGAAACCAGTGATGATAACTAGCACAGTTTTTATTGTCATATTTCTTCGCCCGTTTAATATTAGATCATAAGCAACAAATTATATTAGAACTTGAAGAATTACTTATTCAAATATGTGAATTTTAATATTATTATTATTAATACAAATCGCGGCAAAGTATGCCTCTAATTAACGCCAAGATCGCGAGAATACGCTATTTAACTATAACAGTCTTTCCAGAAAGGTATAATTCTGTTTTCTTTTTAGCATATGAAAAACTCTGACATAGTTATCAAGATAGACAAACAGTCAAACAATGGATGTAATATGAAGTCCTACACGTCCCGTGGTGCTATAAACACACACACACACACACTTCAGCTGTCTGACTCGGATTCCGTCTTTGGGTTGTTGCAGTTTATTAGTTTATACGTTTCATGGACATATTATAAAAATTATAATTATTTTCTTATTCTTGTGCTGGAATAATTGTCATTATTTCCCATGACAATTATCTGAGCGAGAGAAAGGCTGCGAGAACGCACAGATATCAGCGCTGATTTTTTCAGCAACTACAAATATCACCCTGGATCGAACAATATGTCACAAAATAAAGTTTCCGCGAACAACTTTTCTAAGTAAATAATTACGATGTGAGACACATCTTGAGTCGCGAAATAATTCGAAATTAAGGCCTATATCAAGAAATTAAATCCAAAATAGAGGTAAGTTTCGGTTTCGCTCCAGAATTAAAACGCGCATCCTTCCGTAAAAAATACGCTAAACACCGTTCTTGTTTTCAGGTTAAAGGGGTAGCCTGCGCTCATAAAACATTAGCTTCCTTGTATTACCAGAAATAATTTATGCCGCTCAGTGAAGCCAGCACACTAGACGGGCTCAACAGCGGCACGCATCTCTGACCCTCACTAAACCCGCCATCTTGGAAAATGAGTGGCGCCACCTATAGTTAGTTGGAGTCGCGGATAGCTATTACGGGTTCTTCCCACCGCTGGAAATGACGTCAATTGTTGATGTTGTAGTAGTTGTCGTTGTTAATGTTGTAGTAGTTGTACTAGTTGTGATTGTTGCTATTACCGTTGGCAACGTAGGATGTCCGTCGTCTATGTTGTCAAATCCTCAAAAAAGATTGCCTGCGGTAATCGAACCTGGGTTTGCTACGTGCGAAGCAGAACCAAGCGTTACCACATACTAGCTACGCCTCAGCACTAACAACTCGCTCAATACTTGGCGTTTTCGTAGTACTTGCGCGTGCTCTCTGGAAAAAGAAAATAGCCAATAACAAAATACCGTTGTGGTACGTCAATGCCAAGAGCTCGTGCCAAGAGAGGCGCTTTCATGTGCTCCGCAACAAAAAAAGAAACAAGAGCGTTTGCAAAGAAATGGTCAGATGTCCATTTTGTTCCAAACGCTTTTCTTCACGCACGCCACGGTGCGTGAACGTGACGCCGATGCTCAATGACTTTGTCGCGACTTGTTGCAGCTATCGCTGGGACTCTACTGCGGGTTAACGCAGGACTGCTAAATTTTCATAGCACAAATCCACAACCTTGTTGCCTCATGTGCACATGGACGTTGCACCACATGCTGTGCACGGCAAAAGACGGAGCACATTGAGCAACCCTTTCTGTTACAGCACTGCCATGTGATGCCGTCACTCAATCGCCCCTCTTCCCGCCAGACGCTCACCTGCCTCCTCAGCAAGTGGAAGTACTGGGCCGGTGTTGTGGGGTGCACAAAGGAGAAGTTGATGTCATCCCCGTCTACAGCATCCTCCTTGCTGTCTGTCATCTGTAGAACATTTTAGAAAACGATATAGGCTCCAATTATCATCTGCCATGACAAAACATATAGGAAAATTACACTGGTTCCTATCATCATCTGTGATGCTTTGAAATGCAGCGTATTTCGTCAAACACCTTCGGCAAAAGCAGACTCTTGGGCTATTTTCACACTGGCTGCATCTCAACTGGGAGTCGAGGCATAGCCAGCACCGATGGCGCCACCATATGTGGCTACAGAACCGAACACTGAAGTAAAGTTTGCTAAACAAGCCTCCAGCATTAACCAGGCAGTAACACCACTCCCGAACTGCCCGAGTAGTTCAGTGTTTTGAACTACTCGGGCAGTTCGGATGTTCAGGCAGCATGTAGGCCTCCAAAGTTTATGCAAGGTTTTCTAAAAAATTTTAGTGCCAAAAAAGACTCAAAGTTCCGGATAGTATCTGACAAAAAGTATTTGAAAATCACCGAAATAACAGCAAGTTTTAGGCAACCTAACGAACTCAAACCTTGGATGGCTTCTGGCATTTCTAGTTGCAACTCAGTAAAAAACCCAAACATTCCCAACCTTTCTACTGGGTGGATCTGATGGCATGGTAGTCCTTTAAAGGAACCATACAAATATTTTTCATGATGTGCTGTGCTACGATTTATTAAAGAGGTGCCAACAGGTAGTGCATTTTGTGTATCAAAAGTTCAAAGAATGAACTCACCCGAGCAGAAAGTAAAAATTAAGCATGCTTTTTTCCTACATGCGGCATCCGTCTGCAAAACGACACACATCTGATTGGCACAGCAGCCAAAACAAACTACTTTTATTCGTAGCTTGGTAATGATTGGGATGCACTTAGACACGCGGTCTCAGTCACTTCTTCTGACATCTGCTTCACTAACAAAGGCAAGGAGACGTTGGTCAGGATTCCCAAGATGGCTTCTTAGCCCCTGGTAGATTGAAAGAGCTGTTAACGCAGGTTAGAGAAAAAGATCAGAATGCAGTAGCTTGTTTTTGGTCTACAGTGCAGAAATATAAATGGCCAGCATGTGATTTTTTATTTCTTTAATTAGTTTTATCTATCTTAAGGGGCCACACAACAATACTGAGTTGAAATGTTTCTCTCTTCACACAAGCTTACTGGCCCCAGTGAGACCCTAGTATACTCTCACGCAACACCATAGAACGGGAAGTTTCTTCGTTGCGATGTAATATCAAAAATAAAAGCAGACTTTTTATTCCAGTTTCTCCTTTGCAAAACTCAAGTTTTAGAGAACGAAGGCTGCATTGTTGTTGTGACTAGTCACAGGGATTACCCTGTGATGACGATAATCGAATGCAGCTCATAAAGTAGACACGAGCACTGCATGAACACTCGGCTTGGGATGAGCATTCGGGTGGTGGCTCGTGTCAAATCGCCGGAGTGACAGAATCTGCCAAATCCCAACGATGTTGCTAGCTTAGCACGTGCACGCTTTGCTAACTTGAGCACGTGGCTATGGTGAACACTGGCGGAACATAATCAACACCAGGTGACGTAGCCACTCATTCTATTTGCGAATTAAGAAATGAATGCTGCTCGTTTTTCTAACTATTTTTTCTGCAGCTACTATAGTGTGGAGAGATAAACTGACGAGTGTTTCATAGGCTATAACATAAAGAACTAATTCTATGCGGTATTTAGTGGAAGTACGAAAATTGTTGCAGTGGCCTTGAAGCATACTGCCAGCCATGAGGCCAAAACAGGAGGATAAGCTCGCCGACTGCATTAACAGCCTCAAATTTTAGTATCTAGCAAAGCGAGGCAGAGGCTTTTGTACTGACCTGAAGGAACCTCTCGATGCGGCACGAAGAGTGTTCTGGCCCGGCCCCGTCAAAGCCATGTGGAAGCAGCACAACCATACCGCTCTGCAGAAACCACTTGGCTGAAAACAAAGGGAACCAGAAATTTAAAATTCAAGCATTCGAAGAATGCTTGAATTTTGAATTGAGAAAAAACTGGCAGCATTCATAGAATATGAATGCTGCCAGATTATACTAACCGACACCTCTAAAGCACAAAGAGATGAGCTATGTTTAAAGTGACATGACAAGTGGTTACATGTAAGACGTCACAGTATGGTGAACTTTTGATGTGTTACATACAAACAATATTTAGAAAAGTGGTTCTAAAATGGAGGTCCGTGGACTGTTTGGGTCCCCGAAGCCCTCTTCCATCAATCAAGCCAAGCAAAAAAAATTTTTTTTTTATTGATGCTGGCTGTTTTACAATGCTAAAAAGACAAAACTTCACGTGTGCCGAGTGAGTGGTGTTGATTATTCTGTGTTTCAGAGCTTCAAAGTTTACTTTTGTGTTTTCAGAGCTTCAAAGTTTACTTTTGTCATCGTAATTATCCGAAATTCGCGAAATATTGAGCCCGCGAAAATAAATTGTTGTCCACTGGCCTCTAAGGGGACGCAGTTTTGTTAGGTTTCAAGTCCCCGGGATGACCCACCTTCTCCCGAGGTGACGAAGGTGTCCACGACGACCTGCGCGCTGTTGTGGAAGTCGCCGAACTGGGCCTCCCAGATCACCAGGTTCCGAGGGCTCTCGAGGCTGAAGCCGTACTCAAAGGACAGCACCGCTTCTTCTGACAGCAGGCTGTTCACAACCTGCACAAGGCGGGGAGGGAAAAAAATGATACGAAAAAAATTACGGCTTCGTGCTTTGCATCGTCAGTAAGTTTTTGTGATTTTTAAAAGTAATTGTGTCGTGTTTGTTAAAACAGCGGGGAGTTAACCACTTTCGGTGGACATCTCGTGTCTCCCGTGTAGATGAGGAATTTAGCCCATGCAGCACAACTGCTAGCCTGCACCTTTTAACGCACATCGAGCAGTTGGTACAATTCTCATTTGGATCCAAACGGACAGGGGTAAGATCGGGTTGAAACAGCAGTAATAAAGCACCTTTGCTCAGGCTGAAACTTCCCAGCCACGTTTCTCATTTTCTGCATTGAATAGCAACCACAATGTAACACCTGTGCCTCTTCTCCACTAGTACACTCCTGTCCCGAGTGTCCTTTTTACACACGTTTAAAGCTTTTTACATAGGTCTGCATAAGCTCAAAGGTGGCTTTACGATACCATAAACTCAAAACCTTTTAAATGCACAGCATTTATAGGGCCAGCAGCTCTCGGCTCTTACGTGTCCATGGGATGTAACCTCAATGGCGAAATCTTGGTGTTCACATGAAGTCATCGGTGTGACATTGCAGAAGACCCATAAATGCCTGGCATTTGCAGCATCTTTGGGACGTACCAAATGTACGGGTCGATTTTGTTTGAAAACTTTATGGCCTGTTATGATAATGCAATTGCAGGCCGTTCACCTTTGTTGGTGTTAGACTGGTGGCATCTGATAAAACCCGCTTGCTCTACTGACGTCTAACTCCTGGTTAGCTCAGTTGGTAGAGCACTCTGCTGGAAATGGAGGGGTCCCTGGTTCGGTACCAAAACCAGGCAGGTTTTTTTCAGTCGTGCACCAGTCACCTAGCTGTGTTTGGAGATCTGTGTTTGTCCTTTGTCCCCCTTGTTCCCCTTCTCCAGGGATTATTATCGTCTTCATGACCTGACAATATTTGTTTTTGAAGGAGAACTTTTTTTCCCCGGGGCTCGATCAAACCGTGCTTGCAAAAGATTTTTTGGCACTTGCCTCGTAGTTTCCTTGGGGAGGGTGGTCGGGAGGGGGACACAGGTTGTTCAAAGGCACGTAGGGGATCTCGGTGGTGCGGTCCACCAGAATGGAGTGCCTCTGACTGAAGGTGCCCCGCCCCACGTCCTGGCCGCAGATGCGGACGTTGAACCCTGGAAAACCGAGACGAAAACCATCCTTGTGCCTTTTTTTAAAATCCAAAATACATCAAAGGGATCCAAACTTAATACCCTTAACAGGGGGTAGAAGCTGAGCTAGTTGGTGGTACATATTACAACGGTTAAACCAGCTGAACAACGAAATTAGGGAGAAAGGAGTAAAGACAGGCCCAGCGATCACCTGTCTTTACTCCTTTCTCCCTAATTTCGTAGTTCAGCTGGTTTAACCGCTGTAATTAATACCCTTAACGAGAAAAAAAAGAAAAGAAAATTCTTATGGTGACTTGGTGCCATTAGCAAAATGTTAAGCTCATAGAAGTGTTTTTTTTTTTTTTTTTATGGTATCTGCATGAAGCTTTTATTCACAATAGAGAAGTCTGAATTTGGCTGATGGAAAAAACAAAACAAAACATAAACATTCACTGCATTTTCAGAGTTAGTACTATGCCCTAAATGCGTTTAGGAAAAAAAAGAACTTAAATGTCTCCGAGTATTCACAACTAAACTTGTGCTCACCAATGAAAGCAAAAAAAAAAAGAAAAAAGATAGGTATACAGAAACATGTGCCATACTTGCTAACACCCAATAATAGGAGTGAAATTAACGACAAAGGTAAGTATGCAAAGCAGGGCAAGTTGAACGCCCCGGAATCCCAGGAACAACGACGGATGCTTTACAAAGAAGCTGAGACTGATCAGAAAAAGTATAGGTCTCTTTGCGAAATGATCCTTTGTCAAGGGTCTCATCTTAGTCTTTATCGCTCCTCTTTGTACATTCTATAAAGGTAGTACACACCATTGTAAAGCAAGAAAATCCATGTTGAAAACACTTACGAGCAAGAGAAAAACAGACGCTGAAATGCAAACAAGACGACGTGTAATGGCAATGTTTGTCAGTGTTCTGAAATTTTTCTATCTCGAGGAACGCCCATCTTTCTCGACTGGTAGCCGAAGTACCCCTCCTGGTTTCAGCACAGATACAATAAAGCACTGCAGGAGTGTACAGAGCTTGTAAACAATGCGGTAAACTGACCCCGGGAAAGAAAAACAAGCATGTGCAATTAATAATATCAAAACAATACTATTTCCCTTAGATGGTTAGGATCGTATGTGGCAATCGCGGAATCGGGAAACATTTTGAAATCTGGCAAGTCCTTCGTCTGTCCAGCCTACGAACTAAGATCCTAACCATTTAAGAGCAATATTGTTTTGACCTTGTACAAACAATAATGCACACACAGACCTTGTAAAGAATAATACCACATAGTCATGCAACAATGGAGGGTTCAGAGCTTCTAAAATCGAGCTTAAACTACGGGAGAACGCTCTATTTTTGTTTAAGAGTTTGGGGTAACCTTCGAAGGTTTTTGGGTGGGAAAAACCCCTAAGGTTCCTGGGAACCCGGTTTGAGAAACCCATGGGATAGGAAACTGGCCACCTTACCCTGGTAGAGCAAGGAACCAAGAGAAAGTGCTTCGGCCGTGGCCCATTCCAGGTTCGTCCCCTCCCCAATCTTCTTCAGTCGCTCTTGCACCAGCACTTTGTTCAGGTGCGGATGCACCGTCTGCAAATAGACGTCGTAACTTCTCTATCCCTCCGCAGATCCACGGTTGGCAGAGATACAGCAATCGCCCGGATGTCGAGCGACTAAGGAATGATGGTGGGGGATGAGCATTGTGAGCATAATGCCACTCAACCCAAATTTACGTATAATTTAGCAAGATCCAGTCCGGCTTTATGCAAGTTCTTTCCCAGAGATCAGGGGCAATGCAGGTGTTGCCCCACACACAAGTGTATTTTGATCTACAAACAGAACTGAGCTCAACCAAAAAGGACAAGATAGCGATTCGATTTAGAGTTGGTGACGGGCTTCCTGTCTATGATGACCCTTAGCCGGATAGGCATCTAAAGCCCGTCGCCGTCTGGAGGTGCATGACCCTTCCAGACGATAGCAGCGAAAACATCCAATAAATTATTGCTTCACGCTATTTAGCATGTTCATGGATAAACTTTCAGTTCGTCAACAAATAACAAAATGGGACCAAAGCATGCACAAACACTCAAATGCATAATTTTGTCCCCACTCAAAATTCAGCCCTATGCTCTGTTCACCTTATAGGCTGACAGTGCGGTGGAAGCTTCTGGGAGTTGTATGCCCATCATTCTCCATGTAATCGTGCCTTTACCCATACCCTCACGCCGAGAGAGAGCGAAGTCAGGTGATAAAAAGGAGGCTGCTGATTGGTCCGGCAAGCACGTATTTTTTACCGCACTGTCTTAGGGGTGAACTGAGCATACACACGAAAATGGATCTTCAAAAAATAACCAAACAAGAAATGAACGCATGCAGTTGATTGATATTTTCTTCCTGTATTAAAAAAAAGAAGAACAAAAGGGAGGAAAGATCAATCGGGCCGAGGCCGATGTTGTTACAGAACAAAAATAAGACGGAAGCTCTGTTTTGAGGACTCACGACATCTGGAGGCACTTGCACCGAGCGTGCACCCAGGTACTTGAGCAATTCGGTCGGGACTCCAGTGTCCCACGTGGTGACGGCCGACGGTGCTTGGCTCAGTCCACTCCAGCGGCCTCCGAACCGTGCAAACTGCAGGTTCCCCAGGGGAGAGGATATAAGAGGATCGGCATCATTTTGAACACCTGGGGAGTCACAGTGCATTCTCATGCTTTCAAAAGCATTACCAGTTAAACTGGTAAACCACAGATAACTAGCACATCCAGTTCAACTTTTATATACCATAATTTGAACAAAAAACATGTGAATTGTAAGATAGCATTCTACACAACATTGGGGGAAGGAAGCACAGCAGAAGCAAAGCTCACAATTTTACTCCACTAGTACTAGATACATGAGGAAAGGGTTGTAGGTCCCGACAAAGGTACCATTCCAATGGATATAACCATCAGTTAAAAGGATAGTGCATGTCCTTCAACAAAATTTACAATTTGTCTTCCAAATTTCATATGAAAAGTCAAATTAGAGTACATGCGATTAATATAGTCAGCATGTCTGCCCACTTCAGTTACATGTGTGTGTGCATCAGAACAATGGTAGAGTAGAAGTGGCCCCGCAGTGAATATCTTTGCGCAAGTTTTTTATGTGGGATATCCTCGTATGGGTGTCACAAGGCTATGGATGGTAACATTCACACCCTTGTGACAATAATGGGGAACAAAAGGGTAAAAGTGATCACATCTGGGTCCTTACAATGCCTGCCTCCACCCATAACAAGTGTGGACGTCGCGAGGGTAGGGATGATCACAACTGAATCTTTGTAATGCACATACCCTCGCAATAGTCACGAGATTCACAAGGATGTGGCTGTCAACAGGGCTCTCGCCACAAGAGCATATATCCAGTCTTGGGTAGTAACGTGTTACTAGTAACGCGTTACTGTAATTTTGGTACTTTTTTGATAACTTGTAACTTTAACGAGTTACTTTTTAAATATGTAACTTGTAACTGTTGTTCTATTACTTTTTTCGTTACTTTCCAGTTTTTTATGAATAATATATCACTGAACGAGTACAATTCAGCCATTCTTTGCGCTTTCCAAATTGTCTGTTCCGACATTTCGAGTGTCAAGTTATTTTTTGCACAGGCAAATTTGTAAATTTGGTGAAAAAAAAAAAAAAGTAGTTATCTTTAGCATGTGCTTGTACTTTGTGACTGAACACTTGCATCTTAGTATCTTGAAGAACTATCTGTGCAAACGCTTTTTCTGTGCAAATGCTTTTTAATCGGGTGAATCAAACGTAAAACAACAATACGCGCGGAGGGCACTGCAAATGTTTTGTATTTTGATTAGCGCCACCACTCCGCACTGCGCACGTTTCATATTTTGATTTGCGCCACTACTCCGGTGTAGTGTCAACAGTCGAGGCAATATTTACTGCTGTTTGCGCGGGGTTTGTTTATGGCTTGCCGGATACAAACCAAAATATGTCCAGGGACTCTATGAACCCAGCGCGACCGTCATTGAGCCAGCAATGTGCTAGTGCTACCAAGGATATGAATGTTGACAAGAACAAAGAAGAACTACCATGGTCGGCGTACAGAGAGTATTTTGCTGTGGTGGAGGTGGTTACTAACACCTTGACCGCAGAAAACGGCACTCTGTTGCCTCAACACCTACACGGCAATCAAAAACCTTTTCTGGCGAAACAACACGGCAATCCCATCCAGCGCGTTAGACGAGCGCCTGTTCAACAAGGGCAGGGACGTGTTCGTTATCAAACAAGGGAAACTTTCAGACACTAATTTCGATAAGCAACTGCTGCTAAGTTAGAATATGAAGTTTTAAAAAGCACACTTTTTAATTTTATGCAAATAAACTTGGTAAAAAGCGTTTTCTAGTTTTTTCTAATTTTTTTTGTGTTATAGAAAAGTAACTGAAAAGTAGTGTCATTACTTTTTAGAAGTAACTTACCCAAGACTGCATATATCACAAAGTGGTTGCCACGCAGCAATTTCCAAGTGTGCATGCAGAGCACACACATATGGTCGCAAACAAATCCCCACCCCTGCCCGTTGACAGTGTAGACAGCAGATGCCCGCTGGGGTCGACAAAGTGTCTAAACAAACACAAAACGCAATTACTTTTTTACAGATGACAAACTGACCGGTGGCACGCTGGTACCCAGCTTCTTGTGTTCTTCGTTAAGGTGCCCCGTGTGTTCTGCCACCATGCGTTCCTTCTCGCCCTCTTGCAGGCTGCCTTCTTCCTGAAAAGTTGAAGTGATCTTTGCAGTCTCCAGCAAAGAGCTCACTTTCGTGCGAGTCATTCAAAGTTGCAGTGCTGTACTGTATACCAACTCCTATGGCTCGACTGAGCCCTCTAGAATGGCTAGCTTGCTGTCTACATGGATGTCCGTAATCTCACCGCCAAAATTAAGTGTTATAGCGGTTTTGCGACGTTAGCATCATCAAAAAATGTCAATCTTCACAAAAGTATACCTTTACTTGGTTTAAGAAAACCTTCGCGTGTCTTGTACATACCATAAAATACCGAGCATGTGCCCATGACACATTAAAAGCCTACCCGCTACTTTTTAAGGCCCGCTTCAGACGGGGCGACTTTTCCAGCAATCTTCAGGTTGCTGGCGGGTTGTTCCCTAGCTTTCCCTAGATCGACGCGAATTGCTGAGATCGGGTCCGGCTCGAACAAGCGAGCAACTCGGAGCAATTCGAAGACGGTTGAGGCGGCTGCAGCCAATCAGAGACGCAATATTTTCACGTGACACCCCTGTGGTGTCACGAGAATGATTTCACATCCGCTTCTCTATGCGCTCCGGTGCAAAAAAGGTGAACCCTACTCTATCACGTGCCTCTTCTGCATTTTTGCTCCTGGATTTAACAGATGCCCATCCCGAAGTTTTAAAGCGACAGCGTTAAGGAGCTCGTGTTGCAGAAAAGCCAGTGTCAGTGGCGTTGTTACGGGAAAATCCTGATTGGTCGATAGGATTATGATGTCACAGCCACATTAACTTGTGCGGGAATTTCAATCAACCCACAACGCTCACTTGAAACGTAACGTCACGCGCAGAATGAAAGTGATTAAAAAACATGACATGTAATGCGAACTAAAGGTCGAAGCATGTCTCAAATGGTTCCACTTTATAAAGTAATTAATTTATCTTAGAGAAAAATTTCTTTAAAATAAATGAAATAAATGAAAATTTCCACCCCTGCCCGACGATTTGGTTGCAAGCCAGACACACTACTGACTAGGTCATGTCCGCCGCACTTCCTGTTCACTGGCAGGAAGAGCATGAAAAGCGAATGAAAAGGCAATGGAAACGGGGCCCGATAAAACTATCGCGTTACATTCTTAAAGGCGAAGCTTAAGCGTCTTCTACTATACAATTATTCCCAAACTTTTCCAGTACCTTACGGTAGTCGACACCCGGATTAATACTTTAACGAGGCAGCAGGAACGGGATTTCTCTATACGGCGAGTTTGAAAACCAAACTTTTTAGTTTATGAATGCCTGTAATAAGTGCCGGACACTCACCATAACATTTTTCTGCCCCATACACTATTCTATACCAAGGTAATATAGAATGTAGAACTAAAATATGAGTCGAACTGCCATGGCTGCCACCAGGCAGACTGGAGCATGGAGCGAATACAAGTTTACCACGTGTGATGAAAAGATATTGTGCACCTCAGCTTCATTATGGAGATCATGCATTCTCGTTTTTCTACCACAATCTCCTCAAGAATGTGTAGATGGCGTTCTACCATTGCGCCTGAAACGTGTCTTCGACTTTTCCTGAAGTGGCAACAAATGGTGTTGCAGCAGCCGGCTGGCGCGTCACGTTGAGACGACGCCAGGACAGTGCCAGGATTGTGGCGGTCAGCAGCATGACGCTTCCATGACGTCGTCAAGCGGAAATCGAGGGACCACATTTGCGGAAGCAATAAACACACCAATCGGAGAGACACCTTTGAGGCACCATAGTTCCAGGGGGTTGTTGCGTTTGGCCGAGCAGGACTCCAGGCCACGGCGAGAAGACGACACGGAAGCAGGGCAGACGGACTTTTTAATCCAGGCAAGCTCGCCGACAGACGAAAATCGAAGAACCATACCGGCGGCGGCGCGACCGAATTTTATCGGCTGCTGCCAAGAACAAATGAAAGAAAAAGTTCAATGCCAAAGATATTGCTTTTGGCGCGGCGGCTATCAACATTCGCGAGTTCTTGCTGCGCTCACGCGTGACAACGCAACAGGGTCGTCGAAGTTGCAGCCAAAGTGCAACGGATCACGCGTCTCACCTGAAGCTTCTTGGCGTACTCGTCCGGAACGCTGCTCCTGGAGTGGATTACGTCGTACATGAGCGGATTGGTGAAGGTCGGGTCGTCCATCTCGTTGTGGCCCCAGCGCCGGAAGCACAGCATGTCCAGCAACACGTCTTCGCCAAATGCCTGGCGGTACTCCAGCGCCAGGCGTGTGGACAGTGCCACAGCCTGCCGTAAGGTGTTTAGAAGGAATAAAAGTTAATTGCATAAATATTCAAATTTTGATATACCAGTTTGGAGTAGTATGCTATTCGACATTGTGATATTCATATTCTTCGAAGTGTTGATCGCTGCGTGTTAGCCTCGTTGTGTGGACTCCCTACTGGGCACCAGTGCACTGCTGAGAATCAATAACCGTGAAGCTCGCCTCCACGGGTGTTGCTTCTTTGCAGTGCACCTGTGCTCGGTAAGGCTAACTTGCCGCGACCAACACTTCGAATAGTACAAATATTGCAGTCAAGCAAGTCCCTGCCTAGCACCTGCCTGAAGGGCACACTGAAAGCCTGGAGCTCATGATTGTAGCATGAGCTCTTTTTTTTATTTTTTTTTTGGCAAACATTTATTATAATATTTGCGCCTCCTAACTAGATAGAAAAAAAAAATTTTTCCTAGGTTCTGTGTCTTTTTAGGTTCAGCTGGGCGTTTCTATAGGCTTCATTTTATGTCAAATTTATTTATTCATTACCAACATCATCCAGGAGGCATTATCGTAGGGGCTTTCTAATACAAAACAGTTTTTCGCACATACAAAAACAAAATTTTTCGAAGCACAAATATTTTACGTATTATAAAAAATAAGTACACAATAAGACAGAATATCACTCTGAAAAAGCTTGACTTTGAGTTTTTCGCTTTCATAATGTTCTTGAAAAAAAAAATGAAAAAAAAAGAGAAAAGCATTAAAACAACACAGTTAAAAAGCTCATTTCTAATGTAAGAGAAATTAGAGTAAATTCACAAGACCAGAGAGCCTACAACGTTCGCTGGACTGACTCTGCGTGACATTCGTGAGCTTTCACCTCCGTTCTTACCTCTGGGTCATCGCCATTGACGTGAATCACAGGTGCACTGATCATTTTCATAACATCGCTGACGTAAGGGGAGGACCTGCAAAACATTTAATTCCTGTTTATGATTATTTGTGTAGTTTGCCAGACCAGGCACGTGACACTTATGAGAGATTTCTTTTCTTATTCTCTTTTATGTAAACACACATTATGGATAGCTTTCAGGCCCAAAATGGAGAACTCCATTGGTACGTCTGGTGCTCTGCATCTAGATCCTTTTGCGCAGTGTTGCTACTCTGGCATCTAAGCTGTGCCGCAGAGGAACCAAACCAATACGACTTTCAAGAGAAGGCTTGCGACTTTCCCTACCAATTATCATCACAATAGTCACTGAAAGGTGAGGACAGCGGAAAGTTGTCTCTTCCTCGTCCACGTTTTTTGCGCTTTTAGGTATCCAAAGTTTTAATTCGTAGGCAGGTCTTGTCTTCTAGGAGGTACCGAGCATACCCACCTTCCGATCCTGGCCGGGGTGGTGAACCCGATCTGGTTGTTGACCACCAGGTGCACCGACCCACCGACGCTGAAGCCCGGCAACTTTGAGAGTGCCAGGGTCTCCATGATGACCCCTTGGGCGGCGAAAGAGGCATCGCCGTGCACCTGGACCGGCAGCACAGGGCAGCTCCCGGGCACGACCTGTCCCCCGCTCCCGGACCGGGACAGGTAGCCCGAGGAATCCAGGCTCTGCAGGCGGGCCCTCGCCTTTCCGACCGCCACCGGGCTCACGGCCTGGCCACGCGGAGACGTTACGAGTCGAGTCAAGTCGAGTGGTTCGGACGATCACGGGCGGAGCGAGTGAAGTCGTCTGGTACCATCTAGCCAAGCCGAGTCGTCAAGCACAGACGCCTATAATTCGTTTCGTGCCGCTTCGATACGTGCCCATGCTTGCAGCTTCAGCTTTGCTCGCACGGCCAAGTGAAAACAGTCAGCCAGTCAGTCAGTTAGTCAGTATTAATTTTCTCTCTTTCGTTTGTACATAATACAAAATATTCCTACAAAATCCTGCACGGCTTGTGTAAAGGCTTGCAACAAACCGTTTACAACAGGACCCTTCACAACAGGTTGCAACAAGTTCTCTACACACAATGCTTCTCTTAACTATCACTAGACCCTCTAGTGAAAAATCAGATGAACGGAAAAAGAAATGCATCTTTACATGATTTTTAGCACGCCTCCCGAGCGTGCTAAAAATGTTTGCTTTTTCTTTCGGTAGTGAATCATATAATTTTGGTACATAAGGATCTTAGAGCTTGACCATATCTTGAGGAAACCGTCGGATCATAAACAGTCTTGAGAATTACAGCGGAATAATATCAATATATTTTACAACACTAAAAAACACGAGCACAAAAGAGACATAAGAAATGCTTACTTGCCACCACCACAGTTATTATGGTTGCACTTTTTACCTTTTTATGCAGTTTCAATCGTGATAACAATTATACCACAGCTGATCACAAGTCAGACTTTGCACACAGAATCTTCCTAAATAAAGCCTCAAAAGAATCAAATCCCGACTGCCCTTTTGTTCCAAAGCCTTCTAGACCTTTGTGAAGCAACAAAAAACACCAAAACCCTCGGCACGCTTTCCAGAGCGGACTTGGGCGTCTATGAAATCACTACGCGCAAACGGGTAATCCGCTATCAATTTTCCGTTTCTTCACAGATCTGATCCTCAAGCTCCAATTTCCGAGGCCAACATATGCCTTTCGTGTCATTTGACGTCTGCCGAAAAGAGCTTTGATTTTGGAATTGAGGAGTGAGCTGCAAAATACTGACCTCCAGATGGGAAGGGTTTGGTAGCAGGGTTGCGTGCAGAGGCCCTGGATAGCCCGACAGGTCGACAGAGGTGCCTGCGGCCACGTTTTGCATTCAAAATTATTTTTCTTGCCCCGGCGGAGGTTTTCAAACTTTTCGACCTTCAGCAATCTCTTTCCGTCTTAAATAGTAAGTGAGCAGCCTCTCCTGCAGTCTCAACACTGATGCAGCAAAGAAATAAATAAGCTTACGGACATTGTAATCAATAACGCAGACTCAGTGTCGACAAACGGAGCAAAATGAAAAAAAGTTGACAACATTGCGTTCAAACGAAACGAAAAAAAAAAAAAAAAGAAAACCTCAACGCTTTGCTGGTCCACGCCATGTCTTCGAGCCGAGCCGCGCAGACAATACCCTCTAGACTAGCCTACCACCTTTATAAAGGAACAGCACCAAATAGTACTAAATAAAGGCCTCACTGACATCTCCAAAAATGGTCCTAAGGAATACGCAAGAAAGGACCCCCTAAAGAGCCTAAAAAAATTCCAGAAATATATAAAATTTCTTTGAGAAGTCGCGGGTTCGGTTAGACCCACTCTCACAAATTCTTGTCACCGCCATCAAAACCACGGGAACAACTCTACAGGATCCTTGGCATCCACAATAAGTTGCGCGAGGCGAGCACGTCATCTGAAAGTCATGAGCCCGTGCCTCCCGCAACGCCGCACACAACTCTCAAGACGAAGCGTGATGTGCAAGTCGGTACCTTGCCGTAAGCTACTTGCGCGGAAAGATCACATAACAAGAGGGCGAGCTTACTCAAATGAGAAAGGACGTCTCCGGATCCCTTGACGTCGGAGGGCACTTCGGGCATACCCTTCATCTGCGACAAAAAAGAAAGTTCTTGGAGGAATCTTATATGGAGTTAAAATAAGCAAAACTCAACCGTCTGTTGCTCTCGACGGTGCCACATATGTTTGATCGCGCCATCGGTTCATAAATGTGTCCTTTCTGCTGTTTACAAAGAGCGTTTCCCTGCTTTATCCAGGAAAATTCTTGGTTGCGGCAAAATGCTTACTTTCTGGAACACCTGGACGGCGGGAAAGTCCAAGAGCCCCGTCAGCAGATTGAGGCGACCTCTATGAGGCATTCCCACGACGATGTCCGTGACTCCCACTGTAACGAGTTTGACAGATTATTCACCAAGTGCTCCTGATGCACTCTAAAGTCTGTCTCAGGTTTTAGACTGGCAGGGCAAGCTCGACCCACGCAGCCGTCCACTCTTTCCCCTTTAGCAGAGTGAAGGTTAGAGGGGAGGCAAGAGGAAAGGAGGAAACCACCAACTGTGGCGAGCAGAAAGCCTTGTAGGAGAGGCTTGTCCTGCTAGTCTAAATCTGCAACAGACTGGTCTTTCAGATGACTGGCCTTTCAAAACCAATGAAACCGTAATATAATTTAGGGACATCCTGTTTTTCTAGGTGTCTCCTCGTATTGGAACAATGGATTTTATCCAAAAGCGTTGTTTTAGTCGAGCGATTTCAAACATTAAACGAGGATTAGTATACCTCTAATCTGATGACAGTCATAAGCACTCACTGAAGCTTAATTGGATCGAGCACTTCATGATGTTGTTGGTGTTGATAATTCAGATTCCTGTCGCGTGCACTGTTGAAGTATCCTCACAATTAACAATTGCAGCAAAGAGAACAACACCCCCCCCCCCCCCCCCCGTCAAAGTGCGCACATCACATAATTTTCGTACGTATCATTGCACCTGTTTCGTCACTCATACACAACTTTCCTCATTCAAGTGATAAGAGAGACTGTGCCTGTTGATTTTCTTCCATCATTCGAACGCTAACGAGGGTGTGAAACGAGACATTAACACATTTGCTGTGCATTCAGCTTTGATTTTAACAGCATTCAGTCAAACATTATAAATAGGGTTCGGAGTTTTCGGTTTAAACCGATAAAAACCGATAAAAGTACGCCGAATCCATTTTCGTAAATTCGGTTTTAAAGGCCGACGAACAAGCAGAAAGGAGGGAACTCTCCCTCAATTCCTCCTTTCCATTCGAGAAAGGAGGATACCTTCCTCCCTTCTGTGGGAAGTAGCTCGGAGCCCCGCTCCTGTGGGGAGAGGAGGAGAGAAGAGAGCAAGAAGGAATGGAGAGAAGGAAACTGGGAACTGGTTTTCTGCCTGGCAGAAGACAATTCTGTAGGTCGGCCTTTAACCAAAAAAGGTCAGGTTTTAGGTTCGGCCTTTTCGATTTAAACCGATAAAAGTATGTCTAATTCATTTTCTAAAATTCAGTTTTAACTGGAAAAGGTCACTTTGACCTCCCAGTCGTACCGCAGAGCCTTGGCGAAAAAGCGGAATGACAGTGTCTATCGAAACGTGTCCGAATGTATGGGATACGCGAATGCCATCACGACGTTTTGGTTTAATGTGCGCATCACACATTAAACCAAAACGTAAAGTCCGAAATGCTCCATGACTTCGCCCTGTACGAGCGTGTTTTCAAACTCGTTGTGAGAAAAACTGACTTGATGCAAGCTCTGCATGTTGTGTCGTGCTTCAAAACGTCGCACCGTGTCTCTTTTGGCGGTCACAATTGGTTGATTGGCAGATTTTGGCTCAGGCAGCGCTTCACCTCCTCAGCCGGCCACTGTCCAGTGTTAGCGTTAAGAGGGCATTCTCGAAGCTCAGGGTCATATTAACAGGCAAGAAAGGGTGCCGATCAACGAGGAGAACCTAGGAAAGTACATGTGTGTGTACTATAATAAGATCACGTAATCGTGATGTACAAAAGGTGAAGTTCCATGTTATTTCGGCATAGGCTTTGTATCTGACTTGCTTGTACTTCTGTTGTTGTTTTCTCGTTTCTTTTACAGTTGCACATATTTGCCAAATAAAGTGCCCATTTATGTTTCAATGTATCTGTGCCGTTATTCTTTGAGTGATCACAAATATCAGAGCTAGAAGGACCATCTTATCCGGTGTCCGTTGGTGTTCATTTTATATTCACCGAAAAAAGCCGATAAACTTTTGTGGGCATAAATATACGCCGAAAAAAACCGAAAATTGATTTTTAAAATAAACACGGAAAAAAGTACGCCGAATTTTGAGAAAATAGAAACCGAAAACGCGAAACCCTAATTATAAACAACTACCAGGGCCCCTTAAACTGCTCGAGACCAAGTATAACCCTATTACACGTGGAGCAATAAGATATACAGACAAGAGACTGTGCCGTCCTGTCCATTCTTTCAGTTTTTTCGTGTCTCGGGGTTTAGATTAAAAACATTCCCTAACCAGCTCGCCTGCATATACTTTCGCTCCTTGCAATCCTGCTTTTCACTTACCACTTGGTGCATGGCAGAACAGCTCGTAGAAGAAAGTCATCATGCTCTCGGCCCCCTCACCCCCGTAGCGTTTCACCGTTGAAAACTTTGCTGCCAAGAAGTTGTCAAACGCCTGTCATACAGAGCAAAAAGGCTTTCAAATTGGAAGAAAAACTATTATCGTACGTCACAAAACAAAAGGAACAAAGAGCCTAGAGAAACCACTGCCGTGAAGTCATGTACCCTAAGAAAGCAAATCAAAGTCATATTGAACTGAAGTGGTCAACTCGGCTGGTTTGTAACTAACGCCAACTAAAACCAGGGCAAACACATGCAAGACAAGGTAAGGCCAAGCACAGACATGCGCATGGACGTTGCATCGACATGAATTACTGTTTGGTTGTAAAACAGAGCTTGCAAATCTACACCCTTCTCTACCTTACCTTGTACACCTTAGTGTTGCCCTTAGTTACTCGCCTCAAATTAAACTTAAATGATCACACCAGCACGGACGTGGGTGTCACACAGTGCTCCTGAAGAAGGTAAAAAGACCACTCTGTTTCGGGGGTGGATTCCGTGCACGATTGTAGATGTACTGACCCGAAATCTTGTGGAGAGTTTCATCTGTCTAGTTGAGAAATTTTCTGTTTCAACAAAACCTAACAAGAGATGCTCAGAACAGCTGCAGTGGACGTTAACTTTCAGTTAACATCAAATTTTCAACACCGGAACGTGCGCCGGTGCTCAATAAACCTTACGGTGATGACTGCTAGCATTTCCGTTCAGGCAAACGTGAGCTCACCTGAGATTTTAACAAAATCTCGGCCATTTTCTTGCGACGTTCGACAGACGGCCTTCCTTCGCCGACGAGGGTCTCGTAGCGCTCTGCAAACCACGTCCTCCTGTCTTCTTCCTGAAACAAGACAATTTTGCTATCTGCCAAGGCATGACACGGCAGAAACACAGCATCAACACATCCTAGCTGTTATCGCAGGTAGGTTAATGATGAACAAAAAGTGAAAGCCGCTTACAACTCCCTGTAACGCCGAATTAGAGCGCAGCTCTTGAGGAGGAGGAGGGAAGGGCGCTGGGGGGGGGTTAGACTAACCAGGGGGGGTCACGTGACCTTGGGGGTCACGTGACCCCCAATGCCGATGATGTCATCACTGACGTCACTGATGATGTCATCAGTGACGATGACGATACGGGTACCGATGACGTCATTAGTGACGTCACTGATGACTTCACCAGTGATGATGACGATGACGATGCGAATGTCGGTGACGTCATCAGTGACGTCCCTGACGACGTCATCAGTGATGATGACGATGACGATGCGGATGCCGGTGACGACATCAGTGACGTCACTGATGTCATCAGTGATGATGACAATGACGATGCGGATGTCGGTAACGTCACCGGCATCCACATCGTCATCATCACTGATGACGTCACCGCCATCCACATCGTCATCGTCATCATCACTGATGACGTCACCGGCATCCACATCGTCATCATCACTGATGACGTCACCGGCATCCGCATCGTCATCATCACTGATGACGTCACCGGCATCCATATCATCATCGTCATCATCACTGATGACGTCACCGGCATCCACATCGTCATCGTCACTGATGACGTCATCATCATTGATGACGCCATCATCACTGATGACGTCACCGGCATCCACATCGTCATCGTCATCATCACTGATGACGTCACCGGCATCCACATCGTCATCATCACTGATGACGTCACCGGCATCGTCATCATCACTGATGATGACGTCATCAGTGATGATGACGATGACGATGTGGATGCCGGTGACGTCATCAGTGTCGATGACGTCATCGGGGGGTCACGCGACATCGGCGGGGGTCACGTGACCTCGGGGGGTCACGTGACCTCGAGGAGGGGGTCACGTGACCTCAGGGGAGTCACGTGACTTCGGGGGGTCACGTGACCTCGGGGGGATCACGTGCCCCCCCCCCCCCCCCCACGAAGTCACGTGACCCCGGTGGGGGCTCGCGCGGTGCATTATGGGACATTTCCCATGATGCACCGCGCGATTACGCCGACGCCGACGGCGACGCCGACGCCGCTCAAGCCGGAAACGGGCCCCTAAGAGCTGCGCTCTAAAAAATTTGCCACCAAGTTAGCACCTTGCATAAGTGCAATACAAATCAATAGTTGTATTGCTGTCAGTTTTTCAGTTATACAAGACAAACCAAAAGAAATACGAAAAAACTGACGATTCCTGCAACTATTTTGCGCCCTACACTTTTTCGGATTACCAAACTTTCGTCCCTTGACCACACGTTTCAGAAACATGCCTTCAGTCAGGCACGCAGCCGGGGGGGGGGGACCCATGGGGCCCAGGACCCCCCCGAAATCTTGGATTTTGCTGGGACCTCCTCTCCCCCCTCCCCCTCATACAGCATTTTGTCAAGGGCGCGCCCCCCCCCCCCCCCCCCCCCCTCCCCGAAGCAAAATCCTGGCTACGTGCCTGCCTTCAGTGATACGGTTGAACAAAAATGTTCGAGACCACTGGTGCTCTCTACCATCACATGCTCTGCCGTTGAGCGCCTGGCAACTCTCCGACCTTCTCGGACTGCTTTAAGTTCCCCGAAAATTTATTGATAAACACAGAACGAGTGAATCTGGGAATCCGTAAGCTCAAGACGCTGCTGGTAACAATGAGAGTCTGTACCAAGTGCATGAACTCGACTCCCATTGGCCCGCAGTATGCGTCCCTCAGGTGTCCCACGACCTCCTCCACTGTGTGGCCAGACACCCTTTCCGTAGGCTTGAGACTGTACGTCTGGAGGTCCAAGTCCTTGATGTACCTGGGGAGCAGGCGTGAAAAGCCATGCCAGGGTCACCTACCACGATACACGAAATCTTACCCAGAGCGTACTTGTGACACCCCCTGAAAAACGAATCACGCCTTCAAAATTCAGATTTGTGTAGAGTGCTGCACATTGAAGCATGCCTGCAGGTCAGTTTGTTCGAAACATAGTCACGTTTTATTTAAGGCAGTCTGAAAGCAAGCACTGCCAAAGATACCGCAGGAGTTTGTGTGAAGACCACAGCTCATGCACTCGTGTGCCCCAGCCCCCTTTGCAGTGCTCGTTTTTTATATTGCGCCTTAATTAAGACCGGCTGATTTCATTTCGGGCAAGCCGACCTCGGTATCCAAGGAATTCAGTTTGAGAAATAGTGCACTAAATTAGGTTTGTCAGATTTACCTGCATCTCTTGCACCGGTGCAGAAAAGTGTAGGGCAGTGTACATCTGGCGTGTGTATACACTGAGATACAACTGGCAGTACACCGTCCTACACTTTTTGCACCAGGGCAGGAGGTGCAGTTAGGTAAGTTGAACGAGCCTAGTGTTGCCTCCTGCAATACTGCAGGGCGTTGTTTGTCGAGATAGATATCAGCTTAGGCAAACATACTGTGCTGTCGAGGTCTTGACGAGGGGATTGATCTGGGCAATTCTGTGGCCATTTTTTCGGTAGGCATCGATAAGCCCCTGGAGCCTGGAATCTTCCCTGGCAGCATTAATCACTGGATAGAAAAAGGAACACATTTCAGTATTCCAACACACAAGATGCAGATCAAATGTTCCGTACATTGCTGTTGTTGTCACAGATGGGAGGACACAGAACAAAGTTGTTAGAAGTCCACTTTGTAGACCATACCTAACTGATGTCGCTACATAAGTAGGATCTGCATATGCCTGACATACTGATCATTTTTTAACTGTCATACACTTTTACAAAATCTGTGACAGATATCCATTTCATTACTAATAATCAAGACAAACCATCCTTGAAAGTTCAGGGATCGCTCGCATAAATGAAGTGCATGGGAAAGATGTTAAGTGCACTGACTTTAAACGAAGCCACCGGCTTCTATTTTACTCCTACTTCTTCACTATGCACACGGACTTTAACTATACTTCAAACTTGAGCTTGCTTTGAGCACTTCGGTTTACAGCGTTCCGCTTTACACTCGGGGACAACGCCGAATTTAAAGGTGACGCGTAGGACGACGTTGTGCGCCCGAGCCCTTCGCGTCTTCTACGCTCCTGTGACCTTACGTTCGCTGGAAAGACCCGTCGTGCAGTGAGATCTTCGCAGCCGTCCGTGCCACCGCCAAGCTCGCTTGCCCGCCGCGCTCAGCCTACCGTGCACGAATGGGTTCATTCTGTCACTCAATCGAAGAGACCGCACGCACGTTTTCTTTTTCTCTCTTTCCTCGCCGACGTCAACGAACCTCGTTGCGGTCTCGACGTTGGACACCTGTGGCTCGAGCGCTTTCGCCACAGCGACTGCCCTGTTGGCCTTGGTGTCTTGGTCGAGCGGTTTCGCTGGCTCTCTCCCCCCTAGCCAGGTCGTCGGCGGACAAGCGTTTTATCGCTGCTTATCTTCGCCTTTCTTGGCTGGTTTTATTCGCGTTGAGGCTTCGATGCCGTCGGGACATCAGTGGACGGCATAGATTAGACGGCATAGATTAGGCATTGTCTAGTTCATAAGATTAGTTTTGCAACTTTTTCTCAACCACCTGCTCGCACCTGCTATGTGTGCGTGTGTCACTGTGGATGCAACAACCAACAACAAATGCAACTTGAGTGGATGTAAGGTTGGTTGGTGCTTGCGGGGCTTGCGGTTGAGCGTTGAGCCTTTATTGTAGACAAATGTAGGCCACTGTGCTGTAGGCACGGTGCAAACTGGTGCAAACATTTTGGCGAACTCGGGCAGGCGATAATGCGATAAAAATATTGGGATACAGATGTAGGGAAACCACCGAAAAGCCGCTCAAAACTCAACTCCGCTCAACTGAAACCGAAACCAAGTTCGCAGAATATTTTTTTAATAATAAGATTTTGTTAGATCTAAATATATCACAAACACTTTATTTGCATATTTATTATTTAAATTATATTTATATTTTAACGCCTCTTGCACTGCTTCTTGATTGATTAATGCATGTCAATGGATGGAAAAGAACCGTACCACATAACCTTTTTGAGCTTCTTCCAGTATATATGTTAATTATATTTTGTTTTATTGAAGTTTTTAAAAATTTGTTAAGAACAAATTATTTTGTGTAGCTTAGTTGCCTGTTGTTAAACTCCGTCAGATGACACGAGCTACCTTCCAACTTGGGAGGAGAAAGTCCCCTCTCCTCCATCCGCCTCTCTATCCACCCGTAAAGGCCGTCAACTCTATGGCCGTCAACGACAGACGGACCGACGAACGAGGAGGGCTGCGGTTCTGGATGCCGAGAACGATGCTTGCTACAACAACGCGACACCAAATCGGCATGAGTTAACCGTGGAAGCGACTAGCGCACCCATCGCGACGGCTCAGCATGGCTAGTGGCGAAGAAAACTTCCTGCAAAGTCCCCTAGCAGCCTGGGTAAGCTCAGCAACCCCCCTCCTCCCCGTTCCTCAATCCACCTGTGCTGGTAGAGCCGTTTTCGCTGCAAACTGCCCCGAAAGCAAACAAAAAGTAAAACAAAATCTAAACTACAAGTGAGGTACCGTCTTTGAGGCAAAGCGAGCCAACTTTAGACGTTTTAGATCCTTTATTTGCTGCAGGAAATCTACGAATCGAGGTGCGAGTCGTGGGAATCTCGGCAAAGTTTTTCGCCAGCTCCGTTGCTCCACATCGGGCCAGTTCAGCGTGCACAGGTGTAGCAAATTGTTTACTGGGCATTGTTGTCGTGGGTTCGGTCTTGTTCGGTCTTTTCGAGCGATTCGACGGAGTGGGCGATCGATCTTCTTGCTGTTTCGGGGCTGTCCGCTTGGACGCGAAGACGGAGTGCGTCTTTTTCTGCGGCATCGCCTCAAAGGGTGCTTCGCGTAGAGGCGGTCCAATTATGACAATGGCTTCGGCTCTTCTTCGCACGACCTCGTAATCTGTGCTTGTTCTAGCCGCCGTAGTCCGGTGAACTTTGTGGCAACTTTTGAATCGATATCTTCTTTTGTGTTCTGTTTTAATTGTTGTCGTGTGATGATCGATCTGTGTGTGCGAGACTAGCTCAACTTTTGTTTTTGTTTTTTGTTTTCTTTTAGCTCGCGCTTTAAAAATAAGCAAACGCAAATTTCGCGTTTGTCTGTTTGCGAGCGCACCACCCTTTTACCGTATTATCGATATGAAGAAGGAGTTGCCCAGGAACGTAATGGGCGTCGATATCTGCTGATTAAGATTTTATGCGCGTGTATGACGTTACATAATATAAACAAAACAGAAAAAAAAACTTTTAAAAGAAATACAGATCTAAGAAAATTTAAGATTTTTAAGTAGTTTCTAGGGGTGTGTGAATAATGCTTAAAATTGCATAGCGCAATGCTTTTGATACTGTGAAAATCCTGTATGTCGTGGCTTTCTCAAAAGCCGTCAAGAATATAAAAACAACAAAATGTTATTCAATTCGACTCGCTACTCACACACCCCTAGCGGATTAATTTTTGTCATTGAGATCTTGTGGCTATGGGCCGAGCGTGTGAAGTAGAATATTTGCTGCCATCAGTGATTTTTCTTTTCTTTGGAACGTCCAGGTGAAGACATTTTACGATGACGACGGCAAGCCTCTCGACTTCAGGCAACTCTGCGATGGAGTCTTCTTGCACAACGTCTGGCTCCAGATGTAAGTGGAATTTCAGCGTTGCAATTTATGTGAAAATATCACTGAAGTGTTCTTGTTGTGATTCAGCAATATCAGGTGTCTGTGTTTTGGGTTGAATTTGTTTATTTTTTCTGCCTGAAAAAGAGAGAGGAGATTTGAAGAGAAAAGACGTGAGAAAGCTCTGTCTACTCGAAACAAATTTGAAAAAGAAATTGGGTGTGGATGAACTCCAACGTTACTGAATGGGCAGATAATGAGCCAATGCAAACAAAACTACTATAGAGAAACAATTGCTCAAAACTTAGTGAACTACATAATGAATCATTACCATTACATAATGCATCATCACTATTACGTAATGCATCATAACCAATATATTGCCTACATTGTAATCCTTCAATGCTGTTTGTGTTTTGTCCCGCCTCTTTATCTAACTTTGGCTTCAAGGCAAAATAATAAAAGCACAGAAGGGATACTCCACACATGACTACACTGAAAACGTGTAGTCATCTGTGCTCTGTTGTGTTCCCTTGTTCTTTCAGTTTGAAGTACCCTTCGGCAGCATGCTTTGCGTGTCTAGCAGAGAACTCACTCTTATGCCAATAAATTCCTACTAATAATTGTCATCATCACCATCTAGTAGATAATCTCACTTGCTGATAAACAGGGATACCAGGTTTTATGGGAAAAATAAAACAAGAAACAACTACTTCTCAATATGGCTGACAGTTTTGATGTAGGAACAAAATAAGATTTGGAGCTTCTTTTCCCAGGGGCTTTTTAATGGGTAGCTTTATTGCAAATTTGAACAATTACTATTACCTTTTTTTCCGTTGGTTGTTTAGTCTTGTTACAATGAAGGCCCATGTAATCTTGTAATGTCAGTTACTGAACAAATGAATACTGAGAGCTGGATGCTTCACTGAAAAGTTAAGGACATGACATGCAAATAGAGCTGCTTTAACCTTCCCAAGATCAAAATCATAATTACTTGTTTATTCATCTGTATTATTACCAAGCTAATGAGCCATACAGGCCGTTTGCATCGTCCCCTTGGCTTTAGCAGGAGCATGCCAGGTTTCTTTGTTTACAGCCATCGGACTCCTTAATGATTCGGCATTAATGGTGGGAATTGCACATTTATTTTGATGTTAAAAGCTTGAATAATCGGGAGATTAGTAACCATTTTTATTTTTGTAGCAACATACAGAACCTAAAGCTTTACAAAAAAAAAAATCTTTGTTGTTGATTCATTGCAGCGACACCCATCCAATGTTTTCTGGTGTTACGAATCCGGCTCCCGACATGACCGCCCGGCTTCGAAACCTCAACATGCTTGTCCATAACATCAAGGTGTTTTATGAGGTATGTCACCTTCTACTGCTGTTAGCCCAATATATAATAGTCGAAAGCTGATTTGCCAGGACACTTCATGCAGCATTAGTATTGCTAATAAATTGAAATTGTATAATTCCTTAATTATCCAGCTTTTTTTTTTTATTGCTTATGGTGTGGCGTGGGAAAGAGGTAATGCGTGATGTTATTAGTGCTTAAAGTCTTTTAGCTATATGAAACATCTCTTTGCTGCAGGGTGTCTCGCAGCACAGAACGAGTTTATGTTCAGGGAATTTTCGAACTTGTTTCAAAATAGTAAAATCTAGATTTTCGTCGAAAGGCTTGAACACCTTTTGAGAAGAAAGACAAGGAAATCAAAGGCAGCTGAATTTTTTGTTTCATTACCTTAGCTTCGCTGAAATGGTGTCTGCTATTTCAAATCAGAGCGGCCGCAAGGTTTCTAGTCTACCAACTTCAGTGTGCACTGTAGATTTCGTGCCATTTCGATGGGAAATGGTCAGAGTACAGATTGTTGGGCATTATGGATGTCTGGGACTACTAATGCGGTCGCATAGCAACTTTTCCTCAGTCCTGCCCAACTGGTTTACGGAAGATAATAATATTAATATTGATAGTTGGAAGTCGTTAATTGTTCCGCGTTTGCTGTCATTTTCTGACACTCTTGTGACCCTCTCTTGTTCAGGAGGTGTTGGAGCAAGTCCTTGTCATGCACCTGCCCAATGTTGTCAGCATTGCAAAGGGAACTTATGATGGTGAGTCGTGCATTTGTTGTGAAATCCCGTATCCACTCCCGTTTCGGTGAGGTACCACCCCAAAAGCTCCGAAGATTACTCCCCGGTATGATTGAAATCGGACTGTGCCTTCCAAACTGAAGTCTGTTGCAGGTTTAGAATAGCAAAGCAAGCTTCTCCCAGAAACGCCTTCACTCTTCTTACTTTAGGAGAGCAAACGCCAAAGAGCAGGCGGGTAGAGAGGAGAAAACCTTCAATTCGGCAAGCAGAGAGCTTTGTGGGAGGTGCTCTCTATGCTATTCTTAACCTGCAACAAACTATGTCACACCTGCAGACCGATCATCTTCCTAAGCCATTGTAATAGCCAGGTGCGCGAACCTGGGCCTACACTTGGGACGGTTGTCGTTGCCGCTCGTCCAAACGGGCATTTTCTTCGTAGGGATAAGTGCGAAACACCGAGCTCCGTCACCCAAAGGCCCGTTCACACTCTTGCGACTCCGTGTCTTAGGACCGCGCGTCTTAAAACTTCTTAAAATCTCTTACAGTGATAGAATGCACTGATGCCATCAATGTGGTGACCCTGGAACCGCCTTTCACTGCAGCGGAGGCTCTGCTGTGTTTGCGAGATCAAATGTGCCTACTGCCTATGAAAAATGATAGTTCTTAACATCGGCAAAAGTTTTTCGAGCCGAACAAATAGGAAATATACGGGACTGCCAAGTGTTTCACAGCTGCTTGACAGGTGGTGCTATGCGTTCCCATGTCGTAAGAGATTTAAAGAGGTTTTAAGGTGCACGGTTGTCATGAGTCGCAAGTGCTTGAACGTGCCTCAACTCGTCGCCTTTCACACACACATTTCACTGAACTAAGGGTTTTAATGGCAGTGTCTCGTGTGCTAGAAAGCTGGGAAATGGGGCGATTACATGTTTGGGCCAATTGTCACTCCCCATGCGCGAACGTTACTTTGAGTAGATACGTTTGATCGTTCAAGCAATTTAGGACATCCCCATCGACTTTTAGTTATTCGAAAATTAAAATATATTTCTTATGCTGGTAAACGTTCGCCCATCGGTTGATTTCGTCGAGGCTCGAGCAACCCTTACTAGGGCGGTTTTTTGCGAGTTATGCGCCATGCCTGTTGCTTGGTAACAACGAGTGTAGAGACCTGTGTGATTCTAAGTGACTTTTGGTGGGTTACCTCAATTCACTCGTGACAGACTGGTTTCCGCATTTGCATTTGAGTATGATCGACAGTGTTGCAACCACCTGTAGCCGCATACAACAAGAGAGCACAGTATTTCCGAGGTTAAATCTACTGACTACCTATGAGAAAGGGTGGCCTATAACATTGTCCAAGTAGTTTTGAGAACACGGCGAGAGAATAATGCGTAAAATATATGCAGATCGTAGGTGTTCCAGGGATGCTGTCCATCACACTGAAATGCAGGCGTGTAAACCAGCCTTTGTAACGAACTACCGTTACAATAGCAAACAATCTTTGTAAAACATGGGAGGTGTTTTTGTTGTTACACTATAGCCCTCTCGTTTCGTTTATTCTGAGGTGCCTTCCGTGCAAATTGCCACCTTTCTGCAGAGGGGAGCGAGCAGGAGCTGAGTCGTCTGCTGCTGCTGATGCTGGGCTGCGCGGTGCAATGTGGCCGCAAGGGCCGCTTCATCGAGGCGATCCGGCGGCTCGACCTGGCTACGCAGGCCTCCCTGGCCGAAGCCATAGCCTCGGTCACGGACAACCCGGAGGCGGTCTGGACCAGGGACTGGGGTCGGCTCGAGGCACTCCCGGACTGCGACCGGGCGCGCATGTACACCACCCTTGTGCGCCACGTTGCCGCCCTCGCCAGGCAGCGGGACGCTGCTGCGCAGGTGCGTCGTTTGGCCTCGCGCTTTCAAAGCGATAGCTTTTAATGCAAAAACATTAAAGGGCAACTCCGCTCAATTCCGAAGATTTCGGGATAATGAGTGATTTCGAATTAAAAAACCCTAGTAAAAGACACTACGTCGTTTGCTTCGCGAAAAATGGGATATATATTTTTAAATCTAATTTTAAACACGAGCGGAAATCGAAACCGAAACTTCGGCTCCGTCTGGCAACATTGGCCTCGGGCCGCCAAGTACATGGCCATCACGTGGTACGAGATGTCACTTGATCCTCGGCCCAACGACGGGCAGGATGGGTGTGGGCGGGCAGCAGGCGCGAGTGTCGTTTGCACCGCACTCTTCGCCACGTTTTGGTGTCTACGGCATTCGACGACGTCTGCACAACTGCGGCATAAGTCTGCGACTCTGCGCACGTGGTGTCCACAGTGTGGATGAAACTCCGAGAGGCAATAATCACAAACGGTGAGACGACGACGGTGGTCGTGATGCGGAAGACGGCGGTAACGGCGGTAACGGCGGGACCACGGCGGGCGGTTGGTCTGCTCCCAAGAAGCGCGCTGCCCAGGCGCGTACGCCAATCACGTGGACACCGCTGAGCGCCGAGAGGCAACGTTGCTGACGTCATGCGCTACGCTCGATCGGAGAAGTAAAAACAAGCAAAATGGGGCCATGATGATGACGTTTATCTCAGTGTTGGCTCCGCCCATGCCGTAGCCTTGACTGAGCTGTTGGTTGCACCTGAATTCGCCCGCTCGAGTCAGCCGATTTCGGCAACTTGGCGAGTTGCAAAGCCGGACCGTTTAAGAAACATTTAGACAGAACTGCGTCGTAATATTTGTTGTGTGGTCTTCCTTCCTAGGCGATACTGAAGAGGACTGCATTGTTTTTTCAAAACCAAAAATGAAGCGGAGTTGCCCTTTAACTATTCCAGAGAGTGGAGCCGGCGGCTTCCGTAACCGCGGAAGGATGCGAAACAAAAACCCCTTCTCCTATTGGCTGAGCAAAACGGCTCGTAGATAGCCATTGGCAGCCACTTTACGAGAGCGCGTGCTCGGCTACCGCTCTTATGTCAGGTGTTGCAGTGGGGGGGGGCTGCGGCCGCTTCACGAGAGCGCATGCTCGGCGGCCGCTTTCGTGTCATTCGTTGGAGGGGGGGGGCTGTGGCTGCTTCTTCTTTTCTCGGTGCAGAAGATCGTAGCGGCACCTGAGGCATCTATATTGTTGGTGGCTGCAACCTCGGCAGTAGCGAAACGTGGCCATCCACGCCAGTACACCACAGACGAACTAAGGGAGTGGAAGAACCACATTCATGCTTTCGTATTCACAACTCATAAGAAAAGCTTATGTGTCTTTTTTTCACAGTGATAGCTGTTACGGGCTCTTCTCACCACTGGCAATGACGTCCGTTGTTGATGTTGTAGTTGGCATAGTAGAGCGTGGGGTTTTTGCCGTCAGTGGGCGCGTTAAGTCGGCGCTCCTTTACTCCTACTCCGACGCTCCGAGTTTCATACTCCGAGCGCAACAACTAAACGGCGCATAGCGTACAAGAGCGCGACACACCGAGGCTGCGTTCCAAACCTACGCGAATGGATCGGAGTTACCCTGGCGGATTGTGTCACGTGACAACAAAAATAGAGAAACGCTGGACGCGGGTAGGTTTTCAATAACCACCTTTACCCTAAAGTTAGATCGAGTAAGTTTTGGAACACGGCCAGAAACTATCAACGAGCCACACGAGCTCCTTCCGACCGTGAATACAGGTGGCAGAAGCCGAAAATATTTCGAAGATAAATAATTAGGCCCGTGTGGAGCAGCAAGGTCTAAAGCAAAAGAGACGGCGACGTTATGAAGTTTCTACGAACGTTTTAATATTCCTGAAAGGTTTAAAGACTCGTTTCGTGCACATATGTGGAAGGTTACCTTGGCCTATCTATTTATTGACCATGCATGCTGTTCCGATTTAAATTAAAGACAACATTCTTGAACCCGCTCGTCGACGCAGGAAACCCCCCAAATTTGTCAGAGATTCCCCGGTTCCGTCGGTTCCGTCTCGCAGCGAGACGGAAGCCACGCCGATACCGGCTCACCGTCGATCGATAGCATGTCAATTCGTTTTTAGGCGGTATGCATGAACAAACCTTTGCCGCAACGCTAACTGGTGTTTTGGCTTTCCAATCTGAGTATCTTTATTCGCTGCGGCTGGGCTAAGCATTCTAAGCAGGGCAGCGGTCTGACTGTCTTTTCATCACAACTGTTCTGTTGCCGAGCTATCGGCACCTTGTTCGATAGATCAATTCGTTTTCAGGCAAGACGCACGAACAAACCTTTTCCTCAACGCTCACTGATATTTCGGCTTTCAAATCGAAGTATCTTTATTCGCTGGGCTAAGCATAATAAAAAAGACAGAGCGGTCCGAATGTCTCCTCATCTCAACAACTTTTCTGTCGCTGTGCTATCGGCATGCTACCGTTTGACAGATAAATTTTTTTTCAGGCGAGATGCATGAACAAATCTTTTTCGGAACGCTAATTTCTGTCTTGGCTTTCAAATCAAATTGTTTTTACTTGCTGGATTAAGCACTAATCAATTGAAAAGGGGCAGCGGTCCGGCTACGCCTCTCGTCTCGACGGTCTCAACAGCAGCGCAGCCATCTTGTTTGTTTATGTGATGTCACGGAGCGCGAAGAAGTCGCTCGCGCTCTGAGAAATTTTCGGTGCACGAAGAGCGCGCTCGAGTGCCAGTCTTCGGTGGTACTCCTCTCCGTTTAGTGAAAGGAGCGCCAAACTCTCGCGCTCCGGAGCACGGACTAAACGCGTCTATTGTTGCCAAATCTTTAAAAAAGATAGCCTGCCGCCCACGTTAATCAAACCTGGGTTCGCTGCATGCAAAGTGGAGGTGTTAGCACAGGGCTATGCCACAGCATTAACAACCTGCTTCATACTCAGTTTTTGTAGCATCTGATGCCCACTGAACGCGCTCTCTGCAAAAAAAATTGCCAATAGCAAAACACCGTTGTAGCACTTTTAATGCCGAGAGCTCGTGCCAGGAGACGTGCTTTCACATGCTCCAAACAAAACAGAAACAAAAACGTTCGGAACAAAACGTTTGGATTTCTCTTTTGTTTCTAATACTTTTGTTCATGCACCCCACAGTGCATGAACGTGACGCCGATGCCCAATGACTTTACGTGGACGTATCGCAGCTATTGCTGTGGCTCTACTGTGGATTAATGCAGGACTGCTCAATTTGTTTAGAGCGCAGCTCTTAGGGGCCCGTTACGGCTTAAGCGGCGTCGCCGTAACCGCGCGGTACATTATGAGAAATGTCTCATAATGCACCGCGCAAGCCCCCCCCCCCCCCCCCCCTTGAGGTCACGTGACCCCCTCCCCTCGAGATCACGTGATCCCCCTCCCCCGGAGGTCACGTGACCCCCCCTCCTCCCCCAGGTCACGTGACCCCCCCCCCCTCGAGGTCACGTGACCCCCTCCCCCAAGGTCACGTAACCCCCCCCCAAAAAGATTCAAGAATGAGGGGACGAGGAGAATAAGGCAGTGAGGAGGGAGGGAGGAGGGGTATAGCTTCCTCTCAGTACCCTTCCATCCTCCTCCTCAAGAGCTGCGCTCTAATTCGGCGTTACATGGAGTTGTAAACGACTTTCATTTTTTTAATCGATCAATTAATCAAATTTATTTGCAATAAATGCAACACTTTTTTTATGCAACAAATATAGACAAACGTCTTATTGGTTTGTTTTGCATCTTACGTTAAACAAACAACGACATGTTCGTCTCGCTTTCCGCAGCGGCTGGTCAATTTGACGCTAGAGCAAGAGTCGTGCGGCACGAGCGCTTCGGATGTGACGGGCGACCAGTTGTCAAGCGGGGGCGGAGAGGGCGCCCCCTACCAAGCGGTGGACTCTCGGCTCGGCGTGGAGTTGGCAGACGCCAAGGCCAAGCTGCGTCGCTGCCAGCAGGAACTGTGAGTTGTGGCGTTCGGAACGCCCTCTACTTTTCTCCTCTCGCCTTGCGTCGACGGGAGTAAAGGCTGGTTCGCACGTTTGGGTTTGGGTGTGATCGACCACGTTGCACCTGCTCGTAATCGCTTACAATCGCGGAACACGCTTAAATCCTTTCAATGTGTTTGTGTTTTTCTCGCAAGTAACATCAAATGCGTCGACGCACTCCGCCAGTGCCTCATCTGGCCCTTGGAAGCAAACAGTGGTGCAGCGTTGAAATGAGCGGCTCTTGAAAGCAAATGGCGGCAGAGCAGTTGCTCGTGGCATGTGTCTCATTCGTTTGATCAAAAATGGTGGTTGGCACTTGTAAGAAACGCGAAGTGGGAATTTGATCAAGGTATATTTTAAACACACGAGTACACTGGCCTGTCGGATAGCCCTGAAACTTTTCCAATCTGAATGTACCTAAGTAATCCAAAGGTTTTGCTGTGGTGCAAGATCAAATCTATGCACTGGTTACGGGAATGGCTGCCTATAATAATTGTCAGGATTATTCTAAGTGCACTGTTGAAGAACGATGCTTAAAATACATGCAGATAGGAAGTGTTCCAGAGTTAACCAGTAGATGGCGCCAGTGTGCTCGCTCATTGTAGGCGACTTCAACGCAGTCAATTAAGCTCCAACGCAAATCTGTGGATCAGCCTGACCTTGTTGTAAAATAACTCGGCGTTTGTAAGAGTTGGAATACTTGTAAGCAATACGCCGCGATTGTCCTCTCTTTTGTGAATTAAACGTGTCTTTTTTTTTTTTTCTTGCTCTCAGCGAGGAGAAGTTGGAGGTTGCTTCGGAACAGAAGGAGGAACTGCACCAGCTCAAGGAGGCCATTGCCCGTCTCCGGCAAGAGGTGGGTGTTTGTGGAGTCGCCGACGTTTCGCCGGCATTACGCCGGTTTGCCGATGTAACGCCGGCGTCCTGTGTCTATTGTCCGTTTGTAGAACCTGGAGCTGGTGCAAGACGCCCGGACTGCCAAAGCGTACCGAGACGAGATAGACATCCTGAAAGAGAAGGTATGTGCTCCTTCTATCGGCGCTACAAGCAGGAAGGCGGTGTGCTAATTGGAAACTAACCTTTTGGCAGACGGACGGGTTTCGGAGCTTTCGAGGTCGTGAATCTGAATGAGCCAAATTTGTTTACGGTTTTGAAAGGGTTGAAGTGCAACCCTGTGGAACCGAATGTGGCATAGTAGAAAACATTTGAGTTCCAAACAGTTGCAACGAGGTATCCCACTGTTGCAGATAAAAACAAACTTTCTGAAGAGCTTGGAAACAAAGACTTCCTTGACACATTTTCTTCCCGCACACAGTCTCTTTTCACCGAGGATGCAAGTTAGAGGAAATTGTATCATCCACATTTTATGTACCTCCACGATTAACTCTTAGACGTTGTAATGTTGTCCTACTAAACAGCGTTCAAGTGTCATTTTAATTTTCACATTGTACGTGCTGCGAGCACTGTGCCAATTTGAGTTTCCAATGTATTTGCTTGATATTACGTTTTCTGTTATTATTTTGCTCGTTACTTTTTAAGTTACACCACACCCCGTTGTTGTAGTTGCCTTGGCCTCTGTATGAGCGGCTGGAAAGTCAACAAATAAATGAATAAAAATTATATTGGGGATGAAATTAAACTTATTGAAATGAGCATACTAGTGGGCCTGAAGTTGCACTGGCTGGAGTTAGTACATGCAGAGAAATAGTCGGCTTTTTGATTGGCGCTTTGGCATTTGTTTGTTTCCATCTCGTGACGGCTGCACAAATTGCACGTAGGTGTTGAAGCTGGACCGGCTGGAGAGCGAGATCCAGCGCTACAAAGACAAGATGAGTGAGCTCGAGTTCTTCCGCAGTCGCGTGGAGGTGAGTGGAGGGGTCGACCTGGGGGGGGGGAGGGCAGAACACGATCTTGATGGCAGTGAAGCACGAGGTCGAAAACCTTTGCTTGTTTGGCCTGTGTTCCTTGCACGTGTCTTTTTCGGGTACATGCAAACTATTTTAGATAGCCCACCTAAACTCGAAAGCAAATCGGGTGAAAATAAGGATTGGGCTACCTTTCGGTATGTGATAAAAAAAAAAGTGTCAAAATTGCTAGTTTTAAATTTTGTGACCTGCAAAACTTGTTTTGCAGAATGAATCAAAGATGAACTGTCGTTCCCTGTTATCAACGTTTGCTATCTCCCGCCATGGCTAAGTAGCACCATTTCTGCCGAGGTTATCATTGGCCAGAGCCCTGCGGCTACTAGCACAGTAAACTATTTTTCTGTGTTTTTGAAAAAAATAAAATAGCAAATTATGTCAAAATAGCAATGGATTACCTGTTGGGGGTGGGACGTCACTCGGCGGGACATTACGTTACGCTTACGCCAAAGCCCTCTTGGCATACAAATGCGTCTACTCCGATGTTTCAGGAACTGCGGGAGGACAAGCGGATCCTCGGAGAGACCAAGGCCATGCTGGAAGAACAGCTCGAGGGGAGCCGGCGGCGAGCCGAGCACGCCTTGCAGCTCGAAGCCCAGCTGCTGAAGACGCGAGCTCGGCTCAGCGAGTGCACTCTCGTGAGTCGGCCCCCCTCTTCCTTCGCCGTCGGGACTCGCGATTCCGTCTGCCGCCGACCCGGAAGCTTGCGCGTCGGCAACACGTTCCGCCATACTTTCTGTTCAGGCCTCGGTGCTCTTCCCTTTGTTCTGGATGTTGGTTTCTGAATGCCTTTACGTAGTAGAAGAATAGGCGCGTGGGTTAATGCTGGTTACACGTTTACTTTCGAGTGCGATCAACCTTGTTGTAACCTCTTGCAATCACTTACGACGGGGAAACGTGTAGACGCCATCTGTCGAGCAGACGTGAGAACTCCTTTGTAAGTACATATGTGTGAGTAAGTACCGTAGGTTACGGCGATGGTTTAGTCGAGAGGTGACGAACCCGGTATGGTTCCGTTCATGGATGGGGGGAACCGTCTCGAGGAGAAGTTTCTCGTCTGTCTGCAGGAGCGCGACTTGGACCGCAGCCAGGTGCAGAAACTACTGGAGCAGAACTCCCAGCTGCGACTTGACCACCAGGCCAGCCTGGAGGAGTCGGCCCAGCTCCAATCCGAGCTCCAGCGACTGCGTTCGCAGGCCGCCTCACCCCGTGGGTGCAACTCCTCTCGTCGCCTCGCTGGCACGGCTGCCATGCTCGTGCACGTCGCCGTCTTTGAGGGGGTTTCTACACGAGCCATAAATTTAATTTACCGTATTTTCTGCGGTGTAAGTGACACTGCATATAAATAACTCCTTTCAAAAAAAGGTTGATATTTAAGCCGCACCCACATATTTTTACGGTTGGCGCAACAAAACTGTATTGAAAATGTGTGTTACGATTGCAATGTATATGTAGGCTGAAGCAAGTTCAATTATATTCTCGTCAACGAAGCGAACGAGAAGTATAACCGACAGGGCAAATTTCTGCAGAGGGAAAATTTGAAAGAACGGCAGGACTTATACGTCGGGAAATACGGTATATACTATGAACTCGTTTCCATCAATATACGCTCGTAAACGTTTCATGTTCACAGTTTTACGGCGATGGCCATCATTGGCGAGGTTTTGCAGCGGTTTTCCGGCCCGTGTTTGGAGTACGGCGTAGCGTCGTGGCCCGCCGAGTTCAGTGGGAAGCGCTTCCCACTAGGTCTAGCGAGGAATCGCGCCACGCAACACTGATGCCACAGTATCGCACCACGTTACGTGACACTGTGACATTAGGCGAAGTGCTTTCCCGCTGAATGTAGATAGAAAATTGCAATATCATGCGACAGTATAATTGTTTGCATCTCGCAAGGGTGGTGGAGATTGAGAGTATGGTCTGCATGCTGTAAGGTGAGCGGTAAAATTTTGCCGCCAAATTTAGTGGGAAAAGTTTTCCACTAAATTTAGCAGGGAAATTTTCCCACTAAATTTATCGTAAAAAGTTCCTGCAATTTTCCTGGCAAATTTAGCGGGCAAATTTTACCCTCGTGACGTCACACGTGACAGCACACAAAACTTTCCCGCTAAATTTAGCGGAGAAATTGACGGCACGTGACCTCAACACCAATTCAGCTTCCCCGCTAAATTTAGCAGAAAAATGTTGGTAAATTTTCTGCAAAATGTAGCAGGAACATTTCCCCGCTTAATTTAGCGGGTGAAATTTTTGCTTACTTTAGTGGGAAATTTAAGGAAAATTTCCCTCTAAATAGGAGGGTAGTAGGAGAGGAAGAGGGGAGGGGAGGGGAGGGAGGTGAAGGGGAAGGAGGGGCATACCCTCTCCTCCGTACCCTCCCCTTCCCCTCCTCAAGAGCTGCATTCTACTTTGGCTCTACAAAAAATTGTAAACGTCTTTTTTTTTTTCCTTTAGTTCGTTTGCCATTGGGATAGTTCATACCAGACTTTGGGAGCATTGGTGTGCGGTTGTGTCGATGCAGGGACAGAGAACAGCCTGCTCGAGCAGCTCAACACGGATGCCGAGACGAGGGTGCTCCAGCTGGAGTTGGAGAACCGGAGGCTCCAGGTGTCTCTTGACGAACTCAGGGCTAAGGTAAACACGGGGTTGCTCAGTAGGCAACCCTGACAAGACAGATGCTTTTTTTTTTTTCAAACATTGAGTTAGGGCAGTTTCACGTGACACCCTCTTTGCTCTAAACCCCACCGGAGAAGGTGTGGGTGTATGAGGCCCACATACATCCCTGGTCATACTTGGCGAGTTCGTTTGTCGACAGAACGACTCGCCATATACAGTTGAACCTCGATTTAATGAAATCCAATCTTATGAATTTCCCGATTTAACAAACAAATTCGGATTCCCCGCGCAGCCTATGCCCGCAAAATGACTTCCTTAATTTTACGAAGTTCCCGATTTAACGAAATAATCAGCGGGTCCCGGTGACTTCGTTAAATCGAGGTTCAACTGTATCTGCATTTCGCCGACATTAAAAACGACGCCGATAACTAAAGGCCCGTTCGCACTCTTGCAACCGAGTACGACCGAGAGGGACCAGACCGGTTTTTAAGCCTCTTGCGACGCTGCAGCGCGTCCGGTCCTAAGACGTCGCGAGAAGATTAAAAACCAGTCTGGTTTCTGTCGGTTGTACTGGGTTGTAAGAGTGTGAACGGGCCTTAACCGTCTGCATGCAGACTATTGGGGAACGCCTCGAACGCTGTCCATCAACGTTACGGAACACGGCCTGCGAGTAGGGAAAATGCGCTTCGTGAAACCGGCTTACGCATAGTGTGTCCGAAATGCAGAGGCTGGCTCTAAAATCGACCATATCATTTGCATATTTTAGTGGTGAGTTTCAGCTTGTGAAATTTTAAAAAAATTTCACAAACTGATTAAAATTTAAAAGAAAAAAGTGACGTCAATAAATTTGTTTGGGTAAACGGCGGACGTTGTTGCAGACGACTGATTTAGCAACATTTGTAACTTGTTGCCTTCTCCCAATAGACGCGGCGGGCAGTACGACTAGGTCGTCTGTTTCCGAACGAGTACATCATTTACGGCTATCATTTGGGCAGTGTCAGGTTTTATGATACAAGATACTTTTTTTTCAAACTTTTTATGAGCTTAAAGGGGCCATGAAACAAATTTTGGGCTGGGATGAATGATTTTAAATTGTGACTTTACTAATCACATATCGAATAGTAGGCCAAAAGAAAGAGGGTAGAAAGTTAAAAGCCAGCTTTTCGGTACGATCAATTGAAAATATAGCGGACTATTTTGTACCTTCTTTCCTTCGAAAGCTCTTCGCCTTTCACTATGATACATCTGCAGTTTCCAAAGTGCGTCAGCGGTGCCAAACTGACGTCAGCCGAGCACTGCTCACGCATTGGACACGAGAATTGCGTCACTCGGACGTATGCGCTCGTCAACAATCAATCCGTCGACGAATATTTGGATTCGCGTTCGTGGCCAATGAGTGCCCTGACGGAACTTATCATCACTGGGGAATGGCAAATTCTATGGTGTGCCTAAAAAGCACAGTGGAAGCTAGGAGTCATCGCACCGGTGCCGAAGAATGTCACGATGACGTGATTTGAAAATTCGCGTTTGAGTTGAGGATTAAAGCTAAGCAGGAAGAAGTAGGAAAATCGTTTCATGACCTCTTAAAGGGCCACCTAAAGATGCCTTAGCGCAAAAGTTAGGTGCAGAGTCTCTTAGTTCGTTAACCTGTGCAAGTCATTTAATGCCGCTTTTGCAGTCGTGCCTGCCGCGGACAGGACGCTCACCCTTTTCCATTGCCTGCAGGTGGAAGAAAGTCCAACCAAGGAGGACTTACAAGCACAGGTGAGTGTAGACCTGGAAACTGATTGTGAGGCTAGAGTTCTTAAGAACATCACTTTTTATAGAACCCACTAGCGAATGTGAGTCAAGCCAGGGCTTCTAAAACACAGATGTTTCACTGCTTGTAAATGTAATGTGTGTCAATTTGTTTCAGCCTGAAACCTGACTCGATTTGCATGTTTGTAGCTTCTAGAATGGATGTATGCTGCGAGGCTTTTCGACGGAGTCTAATCTCATGAATAAGGGCACCTCTGTTCTCCCACAATATTGTCCATAATTCAATCTGTTCATAATAATGAGACAAAAATGCCCGTATTTACCCAGTTCATCTTTGAAAAGATTGTCTATAAAGCGGGGCATTCATATTAACGGGGGCCTATATTAACGAGACATCGCTTTGTAAATAAGCTTGGGCTATGAAACTACATAGGGTGGCTCCCACTTGATGTGGGCATGATGCATTCAGCTTTCAGAAACAGTGAGCGAAAACATCTGGTTTTCAGTGCTCTATGGTCATAGTGCTATTTTCTCTTGTTGTTATCAAACAGCCATCAAAGTATGGTACTTTAGACAGTTGTTTGTAATAAAATGTTTTTAACCCAATATTTTTTTATTAGTAACAGATTTTTGGTGTGACTTTTTATGTAGGAAACATAAGTCATTTGCCTTTTTCAGTATTAAAACATTGTGCCTGTGCTGACATGAGTCATTCTTAGTTTACAGAAAAAGAAGTCTGTGCATTTTACTCCTTTAAAGTATATAGCTGCTAATCTCTGGTCTTTGTCAGGAAACCATTCTTGCATAAAAAAGATCCCAATGTGCTACCACCTAAAAAATTGGGCACGGCTTCTTAGTAGTGCGCCTTTCGAAAGTTTCACACCTGAGTAGATTTATAACATTGCTGATGATGGCATTTGTAATGTTTCTTCGTAATTTGAGTGAGCGTTGGGCTTGAGGTAGAGATCACCATATTTTCCGGTCTATGCACCGAGAAACTGAGGGAGAGGAGGTGAGAGCAGACGGGGACGTCAGTACGCCGAGTTCTGGTTAAAATAATTAGTGGGTAGACCTAAGTCTAGCCGCTTCTGTTTCCACTGCACTCGTCGAACACGTTGAAACGCTGAACGCTGCTGTTTGGCTTTCGCATTTGAACGCGTTCGACGAGTGCAGTGGAGACAAAGCTAGCTTTAGGTCTACCCACTAACATTCAAACCAGAGCTTGGCATTCTGATGTCCGTGCGTGCCCTCGTCTCCTCCTCTTTCTCAGTTTCCCGGCGCGTAGTTCATACCCAGTGTATACTATTCCAAAAAAGGATTTCAGCCGAAAAGTTAAAACTTTGCTTAATTAGTCTGCACCGGTTGCATAGTCCATACATGAAACCTTTCATGTGCAACACACCTTGACAAATGACTGCTTTATTGGCACACAAAGAGCCTGCTATCATATAAAAATCTTAATTAACCTACTTTGTCATTTTGTATATCTGTCGCATCTCGTTGTAACAAACAGTCTAGGAAAAACATCCTCTTATAGTCCACTCCTGTAGTTGGTCTGCACCGCACAAATTTACAACTTCTAAACACGCAAAGTCTACAGACTATAGTTTGGAAAATACAGTACTCCTTATCTTGGAAGAGAGAGCAGACGACATGTCCCGCGACGTCTGCTTGCAGTGTGCAGTGGCTAACGAGCGCCTGGAGCGGCTAGAGGAGAAGAGGGCAGCCTTGGAGCAACAGTACGAGGCACAGCTCCGGCGGGCGGCCGAACTCGAATCCGCCAACACTGAACTTGAACGCCAGCTAGATTCCTGCAAGGTGGGCGATGTTTGCATTTGTCATGACAATTTGTGTGGGGGGTGGGGGTTTAAGGAGTTTTCCGCAGCCATTTTGGTGACTTAGTTTTATTTTGGGAGATTTTTTTTCATTCTGATGAGACTTTACTGTAAGCGATAATTGTTCTATTATTTGAGCTGTTTATTTTTGTCGGTGATGTCTAGTCTGTCCATATCAGGATAAAAGAAGTAGCTCGATTTTTTAAATATTTTTATTCATATCTGGAAGTTTGATTGTCTGAATATTTCTCCTGGGTGCTATGCTTGGGAAATGTCGGGTTTGGTATAGATGTTTATACAGCGCCAATTCAATATGCATTACGATTGATTTTACACTGCATTGGTGTGGCAGGGCAGTTTGGCAGGGCCAGTGTACTGTATAGTCATTAACCTCGAATTTTTAATGTTCATCACATAAAAGTTATAGTGATTACAGAGAATTACATTACTACAATGTTCATTAAAATAAACACTGACTGAAAAAAAAAATCATTGATCATTGAGTTTGCAGCATCTGCTTTTACAGAACAGACTTACCCTAGTGTCACAGTGGTGCCTCAAAAAGCTCACAGCAGTGCCTCAGAATTCTCACAGGACTTCCTCAGATGTGTGAGAGCAGCATCACAAAAGCTTCACACCAGTGACTCACGAGTGTCACAGCTTCACAGAGTGTCACAGGTGTGAATCAGAAGTGTCACAGCAGTATCTGAGTTGTGTCACAAAAATCTTGGGTTAATCGCTTGAAAGTGTCAGAGCAGCATCACATAACCTTTACACCAGTGCCCCAGTGCCTTAGCAGGATCACAGCTCTGTTAGAGAAGTGTCACAGCAGTGTATCAGAAGTGTCACAGCAGTGTATCAGAAGTGTCACTGCAGTATCTGAGAAGTGACACTGCAGTGTATCAAGAGTGTCAGCTGTATCTGAGAGGTGTCACAGCAGTATCTCAGAAGTGTCACAGCATTGTCACGTCAGCATTATCGTATATTCAGCTGGTCACTTTCCAGCATTTTTGAGCACTCTGAGAAGCCAATGCGCATTCGGCTGGTCGAAGTCGGGCACTCTAAGTACAGTATAGACCACTTACAACGTAACCGCTTATAGTGCAGGACCGGGTATAACGCGGTTTTTTTAAACCACCGGTTCACCTCCCATAGAACTCCATGTAATTACATACCGCTTAAAATGCAGGCGCGCGAAGGGAAATACCGGTTATAGTGCGGTTTTTGGCACAGCCCGCCGACCGCGCCGACGACCGAAGCAGCGAGCTCGCTTCCCTGTGCGACACTAGATAACGGCGCTGACGGCGCGAGCCGCGGCCGCCGCGGCCTTGCGCGGCCGCACGCTGCACTAGCGGGGCAAGGATGTTGCTCGAAAAAGCGGGGAGAAGCGAGGAGAGAGGCTTCAGTTGCCTTAGCGACGGAGGGACGCACGCACGTGTCGTTCACGTGCGTGCGTCCCTCCGCTGCGTTGGAAACAAAGAAACAAACAACCGCAACGACAGACCAATCGCAGGTCGAGGAGAAGTGTTCGCGCGCGTTGCATGCTGTCTCCTTTCCCCCCCAACCTCTCTTACAACGCTTCTCCTCCTCCTCCTCCTCCTCTCTGGTCGCGGGCCGGCTGCTTATGGGCTGCTTCTATCCGTAAACATGGCGTCGGTTGTGATCGTCGTCGTAGACGGCGTTCATCTCATCGTTCTGCGTAAAAGCGCTATCCTTGACTGTGAATTTTCCTTGTGTGTTGCTGTGATAACCCAGCACGTAGTACTAGAAGGGAAGATCCACCTACTCGTGCGGCGATGTCGTGGCGGCGCTCTCAAGACGGCAGAAACGCCCGTGTCGTTGTGTTTGTTTACTTCGACTACAGTGGTGATTTCTAAGCATTTGTGTCCTCGAACATCGCCCGGATTTCTTATTTGGCGCATTTCATGCGTGGGCTCAAGTTCAAGGTATTACTGGCGCGTACCGTATGAAGGATGCGAATTTTCACGCGTTTTCATCCCCGGAGAAAAGTGATTAGGGTTAGCAATCCTGAACGCTCGCAACGTCCGTCCGCAACTCGCGACTCCGTTAAAAGGCTGCGCCAGGCAAAAGCCGCTCATTTCTTTCAAAATGTGTGACACACTTGAGACAGAACTGTACTAGTCTGGTGAAATAAAGACTTTCCTCAAATTAAGCTTTATTTTTTATCTAACATAAAAATAAATTTTTTTTACAAAGGTAAGTTGTTCCATGGCATGTATTTTGGCCTGAAAAATTGATGTTTTGGTTATAGCGCGGTACCGCTTATAGTACGGATTTTCGCGACTCCCGAGACATACGTTATATGCGGTCTACACTGTATATTCGGCCGGTTTCTTTCAGAGTGCTCTCAAATCGTTGGGTTGTGCCTTCCTCCGACTCATAGCGCTGTGAGGCACTCCAACTTCTAAGTGGGAACGGTGGCAGTGTGCACGAGATGTCCAGTCACATGACTTCAGCCACTTCCGCTGTTGTGTTAAAAGGGAAAGAAGCAGATATGGCCAAGAAGCTTAGCGTCAGACACTGCCGCGTTTGAAGACCGCACCCTTCCCACGGTGCCATGCAGTTAGTACAGGAGGTGCCCAGTGTTTGATGGAGGACTTTCGCATTGAAAACCAGCGTCTGCATTGAAGGCTGCCATTTTTAGTGCGGACATGTGGACATGTGACGGTGGCACTGGTGGTGCGACATGCAGAGGTGCTGGATTGGTGAATGGATGATCGGTATTGGCTACATTCTTAGTATTGGGTGGTGGCTTGCGCTAATGTGGATTGTGGCTGAGCGATTGCGAAAGCTGCCCTCAGTGTCTGGTTCTGTGTCGGCGAACCCAGGGATCCTGGGTTCGAGCCCCACCCCTGCCCGTTTCGATCTGGATGAGCATCGTACCGGCGTGCGGTCGTGTATCACTACTGCGTGATGCACGTTAAAGACCCCAGGCTGGCGGTTGTACCGCACTGGCTAAATTTCTCATCTACAGCTGGGAGACTCGTCGCCCCTGTGAGGCAGACCAAGTTCTAGGCTGTATAAACACACACACAACCCAATTTTTTTTTTTTTCTGTGTCGGCACTCTGGTTGCTTGGAAAATTTGCTGAGCTTTCGACTGGCACGCCGTTCCTCTAGCTTGGATTTGGAGATGCTGTAGCTTAGATTCGGCGTGCTGAAAAGCAACCAGATGAATATACCATTAGGGAAATGTCACAGCAGTGTGTCAGAAGTGTCACAGCAGTATGAGAATTGTCAGAGCAGTGTCACCAAAGCTTCACACCAGTGTGTCAGAAGTGTAACAGTAGCAAATCACAAGTGCCACAAATTGGAGCACTGCGATACTGCTGTGAGCATTACAGCAGCATCACAAAAATCTTGCATTAGTCTTTCAGAAGTGTCACAGCAGTGTTTCAGAACTGTCACAGCAGTGTTATAGAAGTGTCACAGCAGTGTCACAGAAATCTTGCATTAGTCTCTGAGGAGTGTCGCACCAGTGTAATACACAACAAGCCAAGTAAATTTCCGTGTCTCTCAGGGCGACTCTGCTCGTCTGGAGGAGTTGGAAAAGACCGTCCAGTCCTCTTCGCTGGAGTCACAGCGACTTCAGCGAGCTCTGGATGCCTCGCAGGGCCGCCTCTCTGAGTGCAGGGCAGAACTTCAGGTCAGTGCAAAGGCACTCCGCCCTAGAATAGGCGGACTTAAAAGGAATCTCCTGTGGTTTCTTGAGCTACCTAAATTAAAAGCACATTTGGAATACCCAAGCTTGACTCCTCCCAAGCTATTGAGAAAATGGCAGATAAGGTTATGCCAAAACCACCATTAAAATGTTTTTTACGCTTTTTAGAGCGCAGCTTTTAGGCACCCATTTCCGGGTCGAGCGGCGTCGCTGTCGGCGTAATCGCACGTTGCATTATGGGACTTCTCTCATTATGATGTCACACGTGATGTCACACATGACACCACTCTGCCCGGGAAGATATTTCCGCTAAATTTAGCAGAGAAATGTTTCTGCGAAATTGATCGGAAAATTTTTTCCGCTAAATTTAGCGGAAAATCTTCCCGCCAAATTTAGCGGGAAAATTTTACCCGTGTGACGTCACGTGAATGAATGCGACGTCACATGAAATTTAGCGGAAAAAACTTTTCAACTAAACTTAGCAGAAAAGTTTCCCGCTAAATTTAGTGGGGAAATTGACGTCACGTGACGTCAACGCCTATTCAGTTTCCCCGCTAAATTTAGAGGGGAAATTTTCGCTAAAGTTCTCGCTAGATTTAGCTGGAAAATGTTGGTAAATTTCCCGCTAAATTTAGCGGGAAAGTTAGCAAAAATTTTCCGCTAAATGGGAGTAGAGAAGGAGAGGAGGAGGGGAGGGGGGAAGAGGGGCATACCCTCCCCTCCATACCCTCCCCTCCTTCTCCTCCAGAGCTGTACTCTAATTCAGCATTACAGAGACTTGTAGACGTCTTTCATTTTTTTCCTTTGGGGTTATGTCGCACATTACATAACTTGTGATTCGAGCAGGCAGTCTAATTAATAAACAGTATCTTGCATCTTTTTATTTACTATTTTTTTTGCTGGTGTGAGGTTTTTCGAAATTGATTTCGCACCATCAAACTTCTTGTAACCCTTCGGGAACAAGCTGTGCTGCCCCCACATTACGTTTAATGTCACATTTTCAGTGTTGCCAGCTCTCGGACCAAATTTGAATATTCAATAGCCGCGAAAAAAAAGTATTGTCTTCTAATTTGGATTGTTATTTCAGGCGTGCCTATCAATGTATTGAATCAATTTTGAGACAAATCGGTGACTATGAAAATTTTGTTGGAGCTCCCTCTAACTGTTTTGAAGCCTATATAATATTTTCAAAGATGTGGCCCGGTGTTCACATTATTTTTCAATGGGATGGAACACAATAAATCAATGCTCAGGCTTTTTTTTTTTTTATGTTCTAGCAAGAGCACGTACAGTGCTTGCCAGCTGTCTTAGTTGAGAGCATAAAACGAAAATATTGAGGGTGGTAGCTTGTCGCCTTTCTGCCATTACGTTTCATTGTGGCGCGTCCACTTCCCACCTGCACTATGCACCGAAAGATTATCCATCCCACATTTTGGCACCACTCATCTCTTCACCACGGATGGGCCTTTCAGGATTTTAAAGGATATGCAGAGGCATTTGTTGGTTCTGTTGTCTTCCAAACCGGAAAAGTTTGCTCACCTTGAGATGCGTCGCAATGCTCCCAAGGTGAAACTTGACCAGCGTAGCTGGTCAAGTTTCACCAAGGTACTTGACCAGCTACGCTGGTCAAGTTTAACCTTGGGAGTTCAGCGTCTTTCCTGTTTCCTGTTTACTTCAACAGTTTCGTAACGTTGTTCGCTGATTTCAATCATGTGCAGTGTAGCGGTATGGCTCCTGATCCGAGTTCTCTGACACGCATCGCACCATAGTAATTATACAGGGTATTTACACCTTCAGCTGTGCTGGGCTTGTTGTTTTGGGCGAGCGTTGTGTTTGCATAAACGAACAGAGCATGCGCACATTTATCGCAGGTGGCTTTGGCGCCGGGTTTTACAGTGCAACCCACTATCAACGATACGCCATATGACGATGCACTGTTTATAACGATCAGTTTCTAGACTGGTAATGATCAGTTTCTAGTCCAGATACAACGATAATCGGTGATAACGATTGAAATTTTGGGTCTTCTCATTATTGTTATAAGTGGGTTGCACTGTAGTTGCGGTTGAGGTGCAGCATGTTCGGCCAATCGTCGCAATGGCGCTGGGGGTCGTGTGATTGCACCCCTCACCACCTATCTTTCTTGCCTTCGGTCGCCTGTTCCCCTGGTACTCTAAGCCTCTGTGTGCAAGAATGGAGCAGTGGAAGCATACACCGGAGCAAGCAGCGAGCGCTCGACGGTGTAAACGCTCCCGTGACAGAGAACGTCGTCGACGTGTAGGCGCCGACGGGCTCACCCGGGGTGTTATGACGGAACGGATCGTGCCGTGCGTAAACGTGAAGCGGCACGTAGAAGAGTATGTTGCCGAGCGACGAATGGACACACTGGGTGCAGCCAAGCAGTTTGTGCAGTGCGTCCGCAAGGACGTGTTTGGTGCTAGCTGTCCTGCATGCGATTGGTCGAGGTTTGCGGGACCTGGTGTCCTTGCCGGCGGTTTGTCACGAGGTTCTTTGGTCGTCGTACTCGGGCAGAGACCCAACTGCCATCAAGTTGTGCGCTACGTGCCTATGCAGTGTTTGTGCGTAGGCACGTAGCGCACACATAATCACTGTTCAATGCAAACAAAAAAATAACAAAGAAATGTCACATAATTATGTGACTTCACATCACCGAAATTTCCACTCAGTCACGACGCAATATCGTGGAAGTGTCACACCAGCTGACGGTGTCTATTCTCATCACGTCGCATGAGCGTCCGCGCAATCTTTTTTTAGGCTTTACAAACTTGTTTTGAAAAAGCTGTGAAATCTACACTAATGCAGTTTGTGCAGGTGAGTTACATGGTTAGGGGGACATAATATAGGGGGCTAATTGTCATGGTAAGTCAGATAATTGGGTCGAATTTGTTGATTAACTCTTAAAATTAGCGGGAATAAAGATATGGTTCTAATTAGAAACTTGCTGAGCATCATCAAAAACCACTAAATCAGTAAATTTTAGAAAGATTTGGAGCCCATGAGAAGCATGGCAGTGCTCTAAAGTTACCACTCGGGCAGCAGTCTCAAGGCTGGCAGTGCAAAGACGTGGGTGATAATACCACGGTGCGCTTATCACGTGTTTTCGCACTGCTCAGCAAGTTTCTAATTGGAGCCATTTGTTTAATCAACAAATTTTAGTTAAATATTCGACCTATCGTGGCAACTAACCTTCTATATTATGTCCTCCTGTCCATATAACTCACCTGTACGAACAGCATTAGTGGAACTTTTACAGCACTTTTGGAAAGAATCTGTGAAGCCTAAAAAAGAACACCTGTATAGAAACAGATGCCAGTAAAACGACCACTAACATAAAAGATAGCAGGAGCGGGAAATGGTATTTGCGAAGTCTTCGGTCCTTGCGTGGATGCAAATGCCGCCCACGATTGGTCACAGGCTTCCGAGGCGGAGAGTGCCAAGCTGCAGTCCACGCTGGAGTCCTTGCGGGGTCAGCTTCAGCGTCTGCACAGCCTGGAGTTGGAAGGTGCTGACCTGGAAGCGTGGCTGCACCGTGCCGAGCAGGAGCGGAAGGGCCTGGAACGGGAGTCAGCCCGACTCCGGGTCACACTACAGGTAGGAGAAATGCTTTGGGCTGTTGAATCAAATACAGTTGCCGACTGATTTTTCGGACGCTGCTAATTTGGACTTGTTCGATATTTCGAACCTAAAGGAGGAACTGTGACCTATCCGATTCTCAAGCTAATAGAAAGTTGCCGAGCGCAAACGGAGGCGTAACCTGAAGCAGTGCAGTATTTTGCGGCTTTTTTAAAGGGAAGCTACGGAGCTTCTTGGAAAAAATGAGTTAGAAGTGAATTCTAGTGTATTTTTACCCCGTGAACCCGAGTACCCAAACCATTTGCTGCGTAAGTATTGTTAAACGCGAGAAAAACGCGAAAGACAGCCGCTGTCCGTGACGTCATCGACGGATCTTTTGGCTGCCCAAGGCTAGGGAGGCGGGGCTTCAGCCCTATTTTGAAATTGCTCTTGTGGCTCTCCGGCGCGTCGCATTGAAATATAATTTTGATATCTGTTAGTCTAAAGGCCAAATGAACGCAATTCAAGCGTTTTTTCTCAAATGTAGAAGTGCCCCATCTTCCCTTTAAAGCCTGCTTAGGCGTAATAAAGGCATAAAGGCAAGTTTTTTAATCTGCAGATTTTTAGGACTGCTGTCTTATTTTGGACATTTTTTTTGGTCCCTGCGAAGTCTGAAAAGTCGGTCGGCGACTGTACTTTGATGTTCGAATTTATATACAAAAGTTTAGAATATATTTGCTCATCTGCGTGATAGTGTGATCATTGAAATTTCAATATGGTAGAATCGAATACTTTTATCTTTGAATATATATTGAGAAGTTTATGATATTTGCTCACTTGCATGACAATGCAAGTGGTCAAGCTTCAAGTTGTCAATTGACTTTGGTCTTGGAGCATTGTGTGTGGCAGTCAAGGTGGCTTCAAAAAGCCGTAGCAGAGTGTTTGCCTCTTGTAACAGTGTGCTGTGTAGCGAATGCAGTGACTACCGAATACTACTACTATTCAGTTCAGAGCTCGGTAACTGACTCGAGTAAGATCTGATAGAAGACATACTGGTAGTAGTTCTTTACTTGCGTGCAATTTAGAATAATATTTCACTTTGAAGCCCTATCTAATACTCTCCAGCAGTTGTAGTCCATCGCTAGTTTTCTTTTATGTTGAACTCTTAATGCAATTGGCTAAAATGCTTTCCAATGTTGCAGGGTATTTTTTTTTTTTTTTTTTAATCCTTAGCTATATTAAAGTACAGATTTTTCTGCTCCTAAGTTGCTCCAAAATGGAAATACTTCTGCTTCGAAAATTGCTCCAAAACTCTAGTTATTTCAAATAATACACTATTCGATATTCACTTCGAGATGAACTGCAATAATAATATTTTATGGTGTGTTGATTGCGGCGTGTCAGCCCCGTGGAGCGTGCTTCTTACTGTGCACGGGTGCAATGCAGAGAAGCAACACCTGCGAAAGCGAGGTCTGCGGGTGCAGCTTCCCCGCAGTGCATTGGTGCTCGGTAAGAAGCACACTCAACGGGGCAAGCCGCTGCGACCAACATTTTGAAAAGTATGAATATCACAATTGTGTGCTTGGAAGAAAAACACTTTCAAAGCGGGATGGTGCATGCACGTGCCTAGAGTATTTAAATCTAAACAGAAACTTTTAATGTTAGTATCGACATTGCTGTAAAAAATTAAACTGTGGCTGTATGTTAGGCAGAGAAGTCCTGACATCCTGCGTTCATCGATCGGGAATTATTTTTGCAATTCGAGATTGAAGAGAATATTTGCATGTAGCAAGGTTTGTAAATCCCCTCAATCAAGTACAGCTGGGCATCTCTATAGGTTTAATTTTATGTCAAATCTGTCATTTCCATGCCATACCAAAGGCATCAGACTTTTTAAGGTCACAGTCCATAAATGTAGTTAGGTTAAAATTAGCTTATAAATGAACAAGTGGAAGCTTGGGAGCAACCTTCATGAGTTTAGCTGGGTCTTTGTTTAAACATAGTGCAGTAGCGGCGAAAGACTTGGAGAAATTATTTGATATTAGATTTGAAAATTTTCGACCAAATCCACTATTCGGTTCGGATTTGCTTTGAACTCAAAAACTACTATTCGAATACGACTGATATGCATGCACCAACAGAGGGGCGCGGACACAAAGCAACAACATGAATGCCTATTCCCTGTTCGTGTTATTCTTTTCTGGTATATGTGTGAGCTTCCTTTGATCTTGGGTTTTACAATGTTCAACTTCAACCAACTCACATATGTTCTGTTACACTGTTCAAGAATAGTTGTTTTGAGTTGAATGACATGAACTTCGTGTTTTCAACGCTCTTTTGCGATGTGTTTGTCCAGGCCAAAGACGTTTCTCTAGACGAGCTCTCATCACGTGTGTCGCTCCTGGAGCGCGAAAACGAGCAGCTGCGAAAGGATGTTCAGGCGCAAGCTCCAACCGCTGCCCGGGCACGAGAGTTGGAGCAGCTCTGCCAAGAACTGACTCAGAAAGGAAGCCTGGACAGCAAAGCCCTCACCGATCTGCGTCAGGTAAGAGGTCAAGTGCCATGCTGCCTCCATTTCCTCAAGAAGTCCCCATTCCTCCCAAATTGTTTTCATCACCCCACAAAAGTCCATATTTCTTTTTTAAAATTTCCTTTTTGGGAAATTTTGGGGAAGACCTCTTGCTGATCGAGGGTCTTGTGGGGCTCGTCGGCCTTCGAATTTTTCCAGTTGATTACACAGATAAGTCATTCTTGTTTTGATAACAATGTTCCTAATGTAAAAGTAATAGCGTGCAGTATATAAATCACTGATCTTTCTAGTCTATTCATTTTGTTAGCATATTTTCACTCTTCAAAAGTGTCCATTTCTGAAGATTTTGGGGAAGATCTTTTGAAGATTTGGCACAATTCTTTCCGTTTTTCTTTATACACATAATGTTTCCTATATAAGAAAACATTACATGCAGCACAAGAAAAAAGCCTGAGCTTTCTTGCTATTCATTTTTGTCAACTTTTGCTTTTTTTAATTTATGACTAAAAAGAAGGGTTTAAAATAGTGGTTGAAGCAAAGATCCTTATCATCTTTCGACTGTCAAAATGTAGTAAATTGTGAACAGCTGTAACTTCTCACTCCGATACAGTGCGATCGTGTATGACTGCAAAAAAATCCAGTATTTTGCAAAATTGCTGCCCCGGGTGACATGTGCAGGAGCTTGTGGAAGAAAAGCTTCGGAGTGATCAACTCACCGGTGAACTTGAGCGCATCGCCTCTAGCTTGGAGCTGACCACAAGCCTGTGGAAAAGTGAGCGAGAAAGCAGGTGAGTTTGATTCCTGGGTGATTAGTGGCATAGCCAGGGGGGCTTATGGGGCTTTAGCCCCTCCCCGAAATATCCAGCTGACAATATACGCGTGCATTTCGATCGCCCCCCCCCCCCCCCTTGAAATAGCTCGGATATGCCAGGATATACATAGCGTAAGCTTAGGTTCAGCAGGTTATTCTTATCTGTCCTGGTTGTTTAGGATTAGCTTGATTATCATGCAAACTGCTGCTTCAATGACACACACACGGTATATGCATTATGTGACTACTTTGGGATCCAATGATTTAAGCTGTGCGCCGTGTTGTTATGTATCAAGCAACCAAGCTGCTGCCCAGAACAACCGGACAGCGCGAGCCATGATCTCGAGCGGGTGTGCATCGGGGACTGACATGTGTGACGTCAATGCTCCTCGCGCATGCGCAGCACGACTCTCCAGGAGCCACGCGAAACTGCTCAACCTCGGCCAGTGTAGCTTACGCTACAAAATTATTTCTGCTACGCCACCGCCAGTGCGGGTGACGTGCGTCATGTGACCACGGGCAAGTTTCGTTCCAACATATTGTACACTTTGTGGATTAAGAATGCATTTTTAAGGAGGTGTCTTTATTAGCTTGCAGATCTCCTGGGGAAGGCTGCCAGAAAGTTTTTTTTTCCTGCAACTGAAGTAATTTTTTCCAGAATGAATTGACACCTTCCTAGGACTTTTCAAACTTACAAAAGCGTTCACCTAAGCTATGTTCTTCCGTGAAATCTCAGTTCAGGAGGGTTGTCGTTTTATATTGAAATGATGTGTTGGGGCCGTTGTTGGTCTGTTTTTACTGAAATTTTGTAAGAAATGTGGCTCCGCACTTCCTTTCTTCATTTTCATGCTCTTTTGTCATCAACAGTTAAAAATATTTCTTCCCAATGCACTAACAAAAAATATTTAAGTTTGTGCAAAATGATTCTTGAAGCATTTCACACTCTTTTTTAGTACATTGGGATCTCTGGGTCCAAACGATATAACCTATTTTCTCGAAAATGCATCGTTGCTAGACAAACCCGCAAACCTGAACAATTTGGTTTACCTATTTATCCTTTGCGTTGCAGTCGAGAAACGCAGATGCCTTCTCGGGACACTGGATTCCTGCCATTGCTTTGCCTGGAGAAAACCAAAGCCGTCCTGGACGAGTGAGTGCCATGCTCTCTTGCTCTACCGGTTTGTGCCGAGTTACTCAAAAGCGGCATTCTCTAAGAGCCTATTTAAAAAGGGAGCATACAACGTTCCTGCAGTCTTTCTCTTCCATACTTTCAACAGTAAACTTGAGCTTGTGGTTGACTTTTATGTTTCTCAAGTTAAAAATACAACCCTTTGGACTGACGGATTTCTGAAGGGGGGTATCTCACAGCTGTGGATGCATTGTGTGTTGGTTTCTTTGCCCTTAAAGGGGCACTAATGGAGATTTTGAGATTGTCTTCTTGTGGCGCGAACTCGATCTACGCACCCTAAACATCCTACAAAACCCAAAATTGCAATCGCGAGTGACCTTTTTCATCCTTGAAGACACGACCAAACACTGCGATGCGCCACTTTTCCGAGATATCTTGGAAAAGGGGCGTATTGCGGTGTTTGCTTGCGTTTTCATAGAGGAAAAATGTCTCGCATCATTGTAATTTTGGGTTTCCTGTAGTCTTGTGCGAATATTCAAATTTTCGAATAGTAGTTTCGAATAGTGCTCTATTCGATATTCGCTTCGAGAGCAGTTGTAATATTCGGGCTTTTTGAAGTGTTCGCAAACTCAAGGTCGCATGTTTGTTTACTGTCTAAAGACCGAAAAGAAACGATATCGAAAATCAAGAATATACTCACACGTTCGGCAAAATGGTATAAATATTTTGGTGGGAACTTTGAAATATATTTATCGTACTTATTTCATCAACTTTTTTTAATAACGGGTAGAAGAAACCGAGCCACGAACTCCAGAGATGCCCGCACCATCTTCCCCAATCTTGGCGCCCCGGTTGCCAGCAATCTTTTTTCACCACTGCCACGTCCAGACATAAATTTAGAAAAACAAGTTTAGGATAAAACTAAATACCTTTAGAAATTTCTCATAACATGCATGATTGCTCAGAAACTTTTATTTACGATAAAACTCATAAACACGGTTTCAAAATATTTAGACTATATTATTTCGAACGAATATCATATTATTACAGGGACAAGGTGAGTGGATGACATCGACATTGTCAAAATGACGGCAGCTAAGTCCGTTGGAAAGATGGACTAACGACAGCGTGAGAAGTCCAGTTTGAAAGTATTTCTGTAAACTTACATCTAAAAACGGCCAAGTTTTTTTAACGGCAAGTATTCGATATTCAATTCGAAAATATTCGACCAAAATCACTATTCGCTTCGAATTCGATTCAAACTCAAAATCCACTATTCGCACAAGCCTAGTTTCCTGTGATACTCAGGATGGATAGATTGAATTTGCACCATAAAAAGAGCATCTCAGAATCTACTTTAGTGCCCCTATTAACCTGTTGACGTTTATCACTGTGTACATTTCAAAGTTCCCACCTAAATGCGAAACTTTGCACACCGCCTTAGGTATTGCTATTTCTTACGTCTTTGGCGAACCATAAACATTGTATATGCACAGTGTTTCGCTTTGCTGGTCTATTTATAGTTCTCAAATTAGACACTCCGCACACGTGGTGCCCACTTCGCATACCAGCTGCTCTGGAGGTAGTGCCAACTGGCGGTAGCACTGACTCTTTCGATTCAGACTTTCCAACATTTTAGGAATTAAATTCAGAGGATGAGAGCTGGTCACATGACAGAGAAGCTCTAGAAAGTACCTTTGGTTAGGAATCCGAAACCGCTGGAATGTCGCGGAAGCGGACGCACCAAGATGAAACTGAAAGGAATGAAGGTGACAACTTTTTGCTGTCAATATTTTTATTCAATGCTTGTAAAGCTAAACAGCTTGCAAGCACTGTATGTGCTGTCGCTAGATAATTAAAAAAAAAACACCTGCGCATTGACCTTTTCTTTAGACTATTCCTTTAAAAAAATGCCGACCACTGGGAAATATCTTTTTGGCAGAAAGAACTTTACCGTCATAGCCTTAAAGCAGACTTGTGGAAGAGCTGGTTGGGGTCGTTTACTCGCACAGGATTGAAAACCTGTCTGCAGTGAGTGCAGAGGAAAAGCGAAGCAAGGCGGACCGCGAGGCACTTCTGCCCAAGAGCACCGAACTCATCGAGTGCATGCCGGAGGCTCCGGAAGGGTGAGAACTCACTTAAAAATTTCATCTCCCTCATTAGCTGCAAGGCGTTTCTGGACGACATTTAAGTTTATCGAGCGATGTCTCGTTAATATGGGTACCCCTCCATACGGACGAAAGTCTTGGGGACGAACCGGGTAAACACGTGCACTGTTCCCCCATTATTATGGATGATTTTTGGGGTATTAGAGGTGGCCATATTAACGAGACGGGACTAGCATAAAACACTGAATGTCTGCCCACCCCATGGGTGGCCTGCCCCGATTTCACCTGTCGTCGCGTAGAGGGTCACATGACCGCTCGTACCACGTGATAGCCATGTTTTGGCGGCCCGAGGCCAGCATTGCCCAACGGAGCCGAAGTTTCGGTTTCGGTTTCTGCCCATGTTTCGAGTAGCATTTAAAATATGTATCCCATTTTTCGCAATGCAAATGATGTAGTGCCTTTTAGTAGTGTTTTTTAATGTGAAATCACTCATGATCCCGAAATTCTTGGAATTGAGCGGAGTTGCCTTTTAAATTTTCTGAATGTTCCTGAATGTCTTTTACATTATTCCTGTGTGTTCTTTGCATTTTTTTTATTTGCTTAACATTATTATTTTTCCTAATGTGAGGTTCCTTACGAGCATTTAAGGTCTAATAACTGAGAAACATGTCTAATACTGCGAGAATATTAAATTTAATTGCAGTTTCTGTGTTACAGCCCCTTTGAAAGCCAAGTGCATGCCACAGTGTTGCCGTCAGAACCCTGTTCCTGGTCAACATGTTCCTTTTGTACCGATGGACCTTTTAAGAAGAGTGTTCCCACATTGAAAGCTAAAAGGATGATTGATTAATTGAAGTGTTTTGCATTTCGTCAGTGTGGACAGGGACAAGCTGATCTCTCGGAAGGTGTTGGAGCTTAAGGACAACATCCTGACCCTGGAGAAAAAGGTGCGGCACTGCTTTGCTCTTCCACTTCCCAAATACAAATCATACCTGTGCTTTTGTCTGGTTCTTAGATAAAGTTAGCCAGATGTGACTCCTTTCAGTACCTTCTATTAAAATTTTCACACTGTAGTTTGCTTTGCAATAGTCACGAGGGCTGATTGAGAAATTATGAAACTGCTTATTTTTTTCCTTGCAAGGAGGTACGCGGCCAGTGTCATGCCAATGTTTGCGAAAGTAATACTTTCATGTGTCTGAACCCTCAGTTGGACTGTTGTAGTTTTTAGCATTCTGTCGCAGCGAGCGAAGGCACCTCATACGTGTCGTCATGGCAGATGACAAAGACGTTCTTGTGAAACATTCTAACCAATATTTCCAATGTGAAGGCTGCCGCTTCGAAAAAGGAAGTACTATTGGAGCCCGTAGAGTCGCCTGATTTCGAATAACAAAAGTCGGCTCTCATCACTTCTCGGCTAGCCTTCGTATTATTGCTAAGTTAGCGGAATCGGGTGGGTACCTGTTTGCCTTTGCGCCGCGTTCCAAGACGAGCGACGGCCCGGCTTCATTCGTTACAGAACGGCGTCTTCGAAGAGGAGAACTGGCGCCTCCGCAGCCAACTCCAGGCGCTGCAGGAGCACACGGCGTCACTTCAAGGGCGCGCGACGAGCGGGGAGCAGCGGCGCCTCTCGCTTCAGTCTCAGCACGCGCAGCTCCAGGTGGAGGCGGCCTGCCTCGGGTCGCAGCATGCGGCCCTGCAGCAGTCGGCCTCCCAGCTTCAGGAGCGGCTCGGCAGGATAGAGGCGCAGAAGGATCAGGTGGGGCAACGTCCCGAGACACACGTGAATGTATTGCTCGAACTGGGGGGGGGGGGGGGGGGGGGGGGTTGCATTCTTTCTCTTGCTCGACAGCTTAGGGCAGGGGGTTGAGAACTTGTTGACCTCGAGGAAGCCTTGTCTGCCCTGAATGGCAGCCGAGCATGTACCGCCCCTGTTTCGTCGTTGATGCGATGAGGCAGTGCAGAGGCCTATGGACTTTGCGAGCCATAATGCACATTCTAGGGGGTGTTTAGCCTGTGTTGGGCATAGTGGGTAGCTCTGGTCTGCTTAAATGGGTCTTAAGCTGGAAAAATATTTTTACTTGAGGGAATCCATGCGAATACTTTGGGGAAACCCTGGGTTCCCAGGATCCCAGTTTGAAAGCCCGTGGTGTAAGACTTTTAGGTGCACCGCGGTACATCGCTCATGTACGATGCAGACCAATTTATAGACTGTTTTCGTCTGATGCTTGCTGTGTTGGAACATGGTGTAGCTAAATTGGGCGAAAAAAAGACAAAAAAAAAACTAGATAGTTTAAGCGTAACAGCAATAAAAAGTGTAGCCAAAAAGAAAGAACTAATGGCAGAAACCCCTTCAATTCTGGCGCCTTGCTGTCGTAAAATAAAGTGATTTGCTAATTTTGCCCCAACTCCGCTATGTCAGAATCCAACGTGGCTTCCGTACGACAAAACTTTCTACGAGTTCAGAAGTTTGAGAAATTAAAATGTTACACTGTAGTTGTTTTTCTCCATCTTTTTCCTTCAGTAATTTGTTCTAAGTAGAACTTTTATACATATGTAGCCTTGTACCATGTGCTTCATTCTTAGGGTGTCTGCACACCCGGGAAACTTGTAGTTTATGGGAAATTCCTGGTCATCCATAAAAAATAAACGTTAAAAAAATTTAGAAAAAACATTGCGAGAGTCGCGAAACTTTCTAGAAAAATCTTATTTTGCCGCTTTTGCTTTCTCTATTAGTAAGTCTAGAATGTGCGACTACCAATGTTTCTCGGAGATTGTGGGATTGCTCCAGCCATCCAAGCAGACACTACAACACTCTGCTATTCGTGATATACAGCGTTGTCATCTTAGTATTGTGGGTCTGGACTTCATTTTTAAACTAATCACTCGAGGAGACAGAATTAGAGTCGGAGAAAACCCGGGAACATTACGGTCGCTCCCCTCAACCTTCGACCTTTTCCGACATTGGACAGCTGAGCAGCGAAAAGAGCGAGCTCGAGCACAGCCGGGAGGCCCTGGTGCGAGACCACCAGGTGCTGGAGAAGCTTCACGAGCAGCTGTCGGCAGACTACCAGGCCCTGGCCTCCAACCTGAGCTGCGTCAAGGCCTCCTGCAAGCTGCTCAAGCAGGAGAACACCGCCCTCAAGGTAAGACCGCCGACATTTCTCGCCCTGCCGTTCGGCGCTTACCTATGCACGTTTGAAACTGCTGTCTCTGGGCACCGCCATCTTGCTGTCAAGTCTGGAATGCATCTCTGACCGATGTGTTTACCGCGTCGTCGATTGTGGTCTCCCGATTTCCACCTGGTGACGCCATGTAAGTGTCGTGCTCTTGCCTGCCGCGATCTCGGCAACGGCACAGCAGCGGAGGCGATTATGGCAGACGCCCGTTCGGCTGTAGGTTGCTCTTCACTGCGAAAGTCTACGGAAGCTTCGGCAGCCTGGAGTTGGATCGTTGCAGCTACAGCAAAATTTGCTTTCGCTCGTCTTTTCTGTCGGAGCTTATGCGGAGCGCAAGTTTGTCTGCTTCCTTTGCAGGAGTTGTGGGGATGTCAGAAGGCAGAGCTCCAATTGGCTCTGATTGAAGGATAGTGGGTAGACCTCAAGGCAGCTTGCTTTGAGGTCTACCCACTGTCCTCCAATCAGAGCCGATCAAAGCTCGACGTTCTGACGTCATCGCAACCCCTGTGCAAGAAGCGGACGAACTTGCACTCTGCGTACGACCAACCGTTAGGATTATGGTATCTGACAGCATGACACACCAGTTCCTGTGTCGTAATTTGTTACCTCTTTGGAAACCACTTTGATGCATCGACGACATAGGACGCCAAACACACTTGTCGAGGATGCATTGCAGGTACGGTAGTCTTGCCGCTGGTGAGTGTAAATGGTCCGTTCATCAAGCCTTGCTTGGGCATGCTCACAGTGGCCACAATAACATCGCATGGAGTAAAGCGTTTTCCACCTATGGTGGCCAGACTAGCCTTTGAAGTGTGGCTGCTGGCACTCCTGTGTGTAGGGGTTGGTGTACATGAATGCTCTAGTTTTCAGGAAGCTGAGAAGACGAACTGTGTTGTGGCACTTGCAGGAGCAGCTCGAAGAAGCGACGCTCGCCGGCGAAGTTCTGCGGCTTGCCCATGACGACCCGCAGGGCACAAACCTGCGCGCCGAGAACGCCAAGTTAAAGGTGGGTGGAGTGATTTCAAAGAACTGCATGGTACCGGTTGAAGGTTCAAGTGCCTGTTGATGGGCCACTGGTAGGCGTTTTGGAGCAGTTGAGGTTTCAGGTGGTGGTGTCACAAGGGGGGAGGGCGGAGGGAGAAACAACCCTGGGTGCGGCGCTCAAGGAAGGGGGTCGCAGCGGTCCACCACCCCAGGTGCCGCTGACCCTAGTGATACCATCGAGTTCGAGCCAGCATATTCAAAGAAGAATGGAACCTTCTTGAAACACTAAACTAGATTTTGAAATTGTCTTGTCATGGTGCAAACTCAATCTATGTGCCATAAGCATCCCAGAAAACCCAAAACTATAATCAGGTAGTCAATTAAAACTTGTTGTTGGCCTAGTTGGTTCATGATGCAGTATAGAGGTTTTTTGCGCGACACAGGGGACAATTACAAGCAAGTAGACACGGACAAGCGCTTGTCCGTGTCTACTCGCTTGTAATTGTCCCCTGTGTCGCGCAAAAAAACCTCTATACTATAATCAGGTGTGGGCTTCTTTGCTTATTAATAATGCAACCAAACATAGCATTACGCCTCTTTTTTTTTTTAGATGTATTCCAGTAAACTTAGTGGAAAATTTTTCCCATTAAATTTAGCGGAAACATTTCCCTGCCTCGACGATTCTACTGGAAACGCATCTAGAGATCCGCCATGAATCCTCGCCAGTAACAGCTGTCTTCATAAAATGAGAAAAAACGAGGCTTATTTGCATTCAGAGTTCTCACTAAAAACCGACAATGAAAAGTGTTGCCCTAATGTTCGCCAGCAGTTTAGACATAAGTACAAGATGCGAGCAATCTCCCTAGGGCGGATACAGCTCTTCTGCCCGACTCCCCTGCCCTATCTTGCAGCTAGTTAGAAGCAGCGTGTACGCTAAGAGGTGCACGTCCTTGCGGGTCTCCCACCAACAGGAGGAAGCAAGTGCGTTGCGCCAGGCGGAAGAGCGGACCCGTGCAGAACTGGACTCCCTGCGCGCCCAGCACCGGGCCCTCAAGGACTCTCACAGCAGTCTGCGCATGGACCATTCCCGGCTTAGGGGAGACCTGGAGGAGAGCAGGGGTGATCTCGCCACCGCAAGGCTCGACCTCTCGCGACTGGTGGCCAGCTACGAGGTATTGCAAGACCTTCCGAGGACTACCGTAATTGGGCTTCTGTGTGCCGGGTCCCACACGAGCATTCGCCATTGCCTGTGCAACAGTCCAAAAAGGGATGAGGATTTGAAGGTCATGATGATGTCTCCAAGGTCATCGTGATCTTTAGTATGTTTTCTTTCTTGGCTTAAGAAATTCTTTTTTTTACACAAGTTTTTTCGCCTTATTTTGAGCACCCGCCATTGCCTGCTAGGTAATTCATAAAGATTTGAGATCCTGAAGGTCATGATGACCATTTCAAAGTCACCATGACCTGCAGTACCCTTTGTTCAACCCTGACCTTCTGGAATAGTTTTATTTTCTTTTAATTGATGCAGGTTTTTTTGTTTTTTTTTGGAATCTAAGCATTTTTTATTATTGACTGGGCAGTGATTCAGAAAGGGTTGAGAATCTGAAGGTCACAACGACTGCTCCCAGGTCATTACGACCCTACTGCCTCTTGTTTAGTCGTCAATTCCCGTGACAAGCCAGTTTGTAGCTTGTTCTTGCATTTTTATCACGCAGAAAAATGCAAATCTGCATCTGTGATTTGTGGCATTGGTTCCTGTGACGTGGGAATTTGTAGCGAGTTTCCGCGCAATTTCACGCACCGCGGAACTCGAGTTTGCCGTGTCCGCAATCTGTGCTGTTGGTTTGTGTGGCATGGAAATTTGTAGCGAGTTCCCGGGTATTTTACGTACCGTGGAACGCGAATTCGTCGTTTCTGTGGTTCACGGTATAAGTTCCCTCGTTGAGTGGTTCATGGCAGGCGCCCCTGGTACAGGCTTATTGCTAGTTTTTCGTGCAACTTTGCCGTCACATCCCCAGAGATCGCCCGCCCAACATCCTTCACCGTTTATCTCTTCTTGACGGAGGGGTGTCCGTACATTATTTTACGGTACATACGCATGACAGAAGTTGTGGGGAAAGTCTCACAATGCCGTAGCACCAACGAAGGAAGCATGCGCGGGCTTGCTTTCGGAAATTTGGCCTCGAAAGCACGAGCGTTTACGACAAGCTCCAGACATCTACGTGCGGGCCTTGGTGGCTCCGAGGCGAAGTGCCGGCCTACGAACCTCCAGGTGGCGGGTTCGAATCCCGGCCGAGGTGCCCACAATGTGACGGAGGCTCATATTGGAGCAGGCCCGAGATTTCACGTGCACGTCAAGAGATCCCCGGGTGGTCGAAATTAATCCTCGGTCCTCCGCTGGTACGAACTGGATGCCCTTTGTTGATGTCTGACAGTGCGTGGGATTGGGCTAGTTGGTTTCTCATGTTTTTACTAAACTGTGCCGCAAAAAGGATTGTGAATAATGACACTCAGACTAGAAAAAACAATGTAGCGCACAGAAGTAAGCAAATATCTTTTAGTTTCCATGTACTGCGTCAATTTTCCAGCCTCGGTGTCGTCATCTGTAGCCCTTCGTTGATTTGGCTTTGTAAAACCCCCAAACTTGATGTTACGTTTGGCATTGCATGCTTTTGCCGCTTTCCGCACTGGCTGCACACTTTGCGGCGGGAGGCGCGTCGTGCCTCGCTCACGCCGCACTACTCTGTCGGTGGCGATGCAGGTCCTTTCCCAGGCGCAGGGGACGATGCAGGAGGAGCGGCAGCGCCTGCTGTCGGGCCTCTCCTCCCTCCTGCGCCTCTACCGGGGCCGTCTGCCCGAGCCGTCCTCCTCGCCGGGCTTCCAGGAGGAGTGCCTGCTGCTCCGAGACCTGGAGGCCGCACGGGACGACCTCGAGAGCTGCCTGCGGGACTACGCTCGCAAGCTGGACGGGTGAGGGGCCGTCCTTAGCTGTCACAGAAGCAAGCAAGCGCGCTTGCTTCTATGGGTTGGGAGAGTATGTTGAGGACGATGGGGAAAAAAACAAAAAAGTACATGCTTCAGAGTTAAATGGGGAAAAGTGAAATAGCAGCAGAACGTAAGGGCGGAAGTGAGCTGGTGTATATTAAACGTAGTGAAGAACCCGAGACTGAGGTAAAACAGACGGCGACAAGGAAGAGAAGGAGAACGTCTCAAACACAGCTGTGTTTGAGACGTTCTCCTTCTCTTCCTTGTCGCCGTCTGTTTTACCTCAGTCTCGGGTTTTTCACTACAATGTTGAAATAGCAAAGCCGCCTCGGTGGCTCCGAGGCGAGAGCGCTGGCCTACGGATCCCCAGGTGGCGGGTTCGAATCCCGGCCGAGGTGCCCGCAATCTGACGGAGGCTTATTGCGGAGAAGGCGCCGTGTAACCGAGCTTTCAGTTGCACGTCAAAAGATCCCCAGGTGGTCCAAATGAATCCTCAGTCCTCCGCTGAAGCGTGCCAGATGCCCGTCGTTGGTTTGGCACGTAAAACCCCCAAATTTGACTTTTTTTTTTGTTGAAATAGCAGGTTCAAAATGTGTGACTGCGAAAGAAAGCAAACTTTGCGTCCCGCCGGACCACTAGCGGTGGAAGTGCTTTCTTTTAAAGATGATAAACATGAAAATTTTTTTGTCATCATGCCAGTGCTGGGAAAACTACATCTAAAAAGTGCTTAATGTAAAGTACAAATTAAGTGAGAGGTTACTTACTTCAAGTAAAGTAGTAAGTACCCTGGGTGCAATGTTGAAGTCAAGTACTAAAAATGCAATGTACTGCTATGCAATCCTGCAAGATTGCATTGCAAATGCAATGCAATCTTGATGATACAAATCTTGAGGGATCGTGGAAAATATTTTTATTATCCGAAATTTGTATGAACAAAAAACAAGCCATGAAAGTAAAGGGGGTGCTACTTGAAATTTAATGGTCGCACGCCCGGCCAAAGAACACGGTAATGTTATTCTTCATCTTCATTTTTTTCAACGTTACCCAGGAGACACGTTTGGAACATGTAAAGGTGTGTGCACGTGTCGTTGCGGATGTTGATCAAGCTCGCTATGCGCCGCAGCACATCAAGGGCATGCAACGTTTCAGAAATCATCGGTGCCCAAGCAGCACAGATATGGTCAATCATTGGCCAATGGCTGGAAAGGGTCCTTTGGCCAGTGGCCAGACGGTGGCCAGCCATTGGCTAATACTGACCTTTCTCTGGCCATCAGCCATCAGCCAAGCATTGGCCAATGAATGGCCACTCTTTGGCCATTGGCCGAAAGGCCATCGTCAGCCATTGGCCTATGCTTGGGCAAATTTTGTGCTGCTTGGGTGGTTGCTTGTCGTTAGTTACGTCGCCGTCATCATCTGCGCTACTTGACTCTCCTTGTGGGGCCGTCATTTTTGTCAATGATTTCTTCGACGGTCCTTAATCTGCAAGTCGCGAGGTTGTCATCCGCGGTAATTAAATCGAAGGCTGATTCCTGACATGTTGAATTAAGTCGCAACTCACACTGGGCAAATAAGGGATGTCCTTCCAAAAGTTGGTTGAAGAAAATCGCGCAGAGTTTAAGGGACGTGCGTGTGCAAATGAAGACGGTTCTGCAGGGGCTTGCTTGTTGACAATCATATGATCAACGCTGATTCCGAACATCATTTTTCATGTTCACTCGAGTGATTGACAGTTACTAAAACCTGTTTATCACATGAGAATAAAGATAAAGCAGCAACCCTGGAGTAGTTGAATGTGAGTTACTTCAGCAAGTTGAATTCTAATCACGTGACAACACAGATGGTGCAGCCAGAGGAGTGCATCTTCCTCTACCACCCATGGGTCGCGAAATGGGCGTCTGCAGCGCCAATTGAATCCCCTGAGGTTTGGCGGCTGTACTAAAATCAAGGTGGTGGCCCACCGAAACAATAGGACAAGTCCATCTTGTTTGGGCCTGCGACGGCTTCAGTAGGTAGGGCGCCACCATATTGAATAGGACCCTGGGTTTTCCAGGCTCCTGCAATTTCACTCTTCGTTTCTTCGCAGGCACAAAAGGTGGGCGATAAAATATGCGATCATTGTGCTTTTGTGCTTTTTTTTATTAAACAGGATGTCGGTACAGTGACTCACAAAAGTCTATGTGATGGTCAGCGTGGTCGTCTTCTGCATTGTGCCGAGCTTGGCTAAGTGGACCTGCCGTCTTCAGAGGCTTCGTTGAGCAGTCGCTATCTTCACAGATTTGCCCAGGAGGCAAATCACCTTTCATCTGATGCCAGTTTTGCAGTTCGGGCGGAACCTGTAGTAGATTGAGTCGGTATCAGCCATCTAGCCAATCTGAACTACCTCATAAGTTTTGGAGAGGCAACCCGACAATTCTATATACCATATTTGCACGAATATAACTTGACCATATAACGTGAGAGCAGGTTTTCATGCCCTCGAAAATAAAAAATAATATTTCTCTGATAATAATGCGAGCCAAGGCCGCGTACATTTTCCGCACTCGGGGGCATAGCAGAAGTAAGTGAAAAGGCAATGGATATAGAAGAAATATCAGTTTATGTTTTGACTGCACTCATCCTCACTGCTCAGGTCCTTCTGTTTACAATCCACTTAGCTACAAACATAAGCAGCAGCAGGGCACGGCTTGTCTGGTAGCTCATTTTTCTTTGGGGTGAGCTCCTCGGCAGCCCACAAACAAAGCAAGGCATGAAGCAGAAGTACCAACGCACAAACACCAGACCACTGCGGAACAGAAACTACAAAATGCACAAGCAGAAAAAAGACTGCTGGACCGGATATACGACCACAATTGTTCCTGTTCTGGTCCCACCGCATAAACAAACACCTCGTGTGGCACAATTCGCACAATTCCGTAACCACGGTCGGTGGTCTTGGCTTGGCTTGAATCGGCCAATGCCCACATCCTTGCATGGCGCGCTGCATTTCTGCGGCGTGCGCACGTTGTACGAACACAAAGGCGATAAAAATGCTTTTTATGTTTTCTAATCGCCCCTTCAGCAACCGAGAGTCACCGCCTGTCTCTTGTATTGTTTCTTTCCAGGAGTCTTTCTCTATGCAAGGAGCCCTTAGCAAGGGCTAGGCTGAGTCATCTTACCTGCAACGTAACTGAGGTGAGTGCATTGCACGATAACTGCAACGAACGTTCGTGAGCAGCAGGTGTCATTTGAAACTTCGCGTGAGGTCATGCTTTTCTGCTGTAGGCGGGTTGGGGAGCGGGCCTTTTTAAAAATTGACTGCCTCTTGGGTATCTCTCAAAGACATTCTGAAAGCATGGCATTTAAAAGGCCTCTTTGCACTCCTCTTACGGGCAATGTGAGGAGGCCACTGAAGCAACGTTGTGGTGTTGTGCGACGTATCAAATAATGTTGTGATATCACCTGACTCGTGACCTCACGTGACAGCCTGATTCACGGAGTCACGTCTTGTCGTGGGACCTTGTGTGTTGTTTCATTCTCATTTGTGTAACAATGAAGTATTTAAAGCAATAGCTTAATGTGGGAACCCTCTTTACACCTTGCTTGCTCAGGTTGGTTGCACCGTAACATGGTCTGAATGTGAACCTGAATCAATGTATTGATTGATTGATTGCACTACTGATTACACCGATTCGGATTAGGAAGAATTGGTGCAAAAGCGGCGCCATACCATGGCAGACCAAGAGCGTCGAGCTCGACAGACGTCGGAAGAGGGGCAAAGGATTCGAAATGCCATCGCATTACTACTACGTCTCCTTTGGCAGTAGCCAGAGAGAGGGTGTGGTTGTTTTGATTATTGTTCCTGGCCACATGTTAACATATGTGCACATATCACTTATTGTTTAGTTGGGAAACGTGACACGTTAGTGCACTGTAGCTCCGAACAAGTGGGACGAAGGCTCACACTGCAGAACTCGGGGATCCTGGGTTCAATCCCCCCCATCCCCTTCCCCTCCATTTCGGTCCGGACAAGCACTGCACATGCGTGCGGTCGGGTATCGCAACTGCACGACAGGTCTCGGGATAGCGGCCGTATACTGCTTTGACTTTCTCATCTACTGTGGAGACACCGGATGCCCACTGGAGCTGACTAACTTCCCAGCGTCTAACATACACACGACACGATTACAATTGCAATCCTCCGTTTCAGATGGAGGAGGTGCTGGGGGTCTCTCTGGCCGGGATCGGCAATGGCCTCTGCGCTCGCGGACGCTTCCCGACGGACTTCGGCGAGCTGAATGGTCGCCCTTGGGGTGAGACTCATCTCCCTTCCTGCGGGGAGCTCCGAGTTGAACGCTCAGCAAGGGGGATGGCAAGATCGCTGAGCGCCGCGATTGGCCGGCACCGTGCTTGACCTTGGTGCTGGCCAATCGCGGCGGTCTGCGATCTCTCCGACTTTCTCATGGAGCGTTCGACTTGGAGCTCGTGTTCTGGAAAGTTGAGTCGGTCATTCTGTACTGCCCTTAACTGCTTACAACGTTTTGGCTTTTCCAAAACTTGTTTCTTTTTCTCGATTTTAACTCCCGTTTGCATGTGCGGTGCAGCACCGATCCAACGCTAATTCAGTGCTGAAAACAATGCTGACCTTAGCATTGTTTGAGCACATGAGTGCAGTGCTGGTATAGCAGCGTTGCATGGTTCCGGTTAGAGTGCCAATAAATAAGCTACGCTTCAGAGTAACGACATTTCAGCCTCCTTGGTGCTTATAACCATGGTAGCCAGTTATCTGAAGCTTTATCTACAATCGCAAGAAACGTTTTTCCATCCTCCAAAAATGTTAAAACAGTTTGCGACAGAGCAAAAGGACATTACCTGAGTTTCCTACCACCGTGTCTAAAGATGAGGAAGGCGCATTTCTGAATTGCGACGATCGACAGTTGCGTCTGTTCTGCTCTAAGCACCAAAATGGCGGTGCCCACTAGCAGATTGGAGAACGGAGTGCCAATACTTTAAGCCAGTGGTTCTCTTTGGGGTCCGCGAAGGCATTCTACGGGTCCGCGATGCCCTGCTCATCAGTAAAGCCGGGCAATAAAAGTTGTCTTTTTTTGATCGAGGAGAAATTTTTCAGTGGGCGCGTTTTCTTGTGTGTATGTCAATAATAGAAGTCTACTTCACACCAGCCCTTAGAGAAATCCATTTATTAAATCATTATTATATTTAGCCTACCTATACCTTTAGCCTCCCTTCACCACAAACGGGGTCCTCCATCATTTCTGCCAAACCACAAGGGGTCCGCGAAACATCGATGGTTGAGAACCACTGCTCTAAGCGTAGCTTATTTAGTGGCTCTAGTTCCGTTGACAGTGGCTCATATTTCATATCCGAGAGGTTGCAAGGATGCATTGCAGGGCTTACCATTCTGGTGACGTACTATTCCCATTTGAGATCCAAATGTTAAACGGTGCATGCAGAGAGGCAGTTGGAGCATTGAGTTTGCTCCGATATCCTAAACCTTATTTTTCTGAGAACGAAGCTACCTGTCTGCAACAGCAGGCAAAATCAGACTTGCCTCCATGTGCTCTTCCATCGCCGGCATGGGACATCATGAAATCGAACTTGCTGCGGAGTGATACCCCACAATTTTGCGAGTCGTGAGAAGGATGCCTCAGCAGTGACTGGAGAAAGCATAATGCTAAATCAGCGCTACATTCGGCACCTTTATGTGCAGCATTGAGTGGAGAGCAGTAGTTTTCTTCCCTCGTCATAAAAAACCTTTGGATTCTGTCTCCGAGTGACAGAACTTGCTCGGGAGGCCTGTGTAAATTTAGTTTACCCTTAACATTGTGAAACATGGCTGCCAAAGCACATGCTGTGCTTTCAAACAAGTGTTACTTTCCTTAGTGGAAGCGTATGACGACGTGGAATTCAGCTTCCAAAGCACTCGACCCGTGAATTGCGGTTACGACACTCGACGCAGGCGGGTGTGGTGCCCTTCCTGGCGCAGGGGCACTGTCCCAGGACGACCAGATCCCGGTGCGTGACGTGGGACCCCTGTCGCAGCCGTGCCCCGTGACGCCGGCCCTCGAGGGCTCCAAGCTGCCCGAGTCGCTCGTGTTCAGGGACCCTCCCCCGACCTGTTCGACGCCCCTGGGCACCCCAAAGGTGGGTGCGACTGGCATGGGGCATCGAGCTGCAAATCTCAATGGGGTTCTGCTCCGATTCCTCCGGCAGGAGACGTATACATTTTTCTCCTCATCATCAATTAATTACCGTTGCTATAGTCATGGAGAAGGTGAGGACAGAAAGGAGGAGCTTCGGCTGACCCGCCTCTGGTGCGAACCTCCCACTCTCGACAGCGTTGCTTCGGCGTCTCGAGCGCACGCGTGCGGCCTGAGTGCGGCGGAAGGCACGGAGCGCGTGCCGGAAGCCAGGTGTTCGAAAGACGCGCTCCGCCGTCCTCATTCTACGAGTGACTATAATTAATTTACGAATTGACGTCGCCGTGGCATTTGTGCGACAATTTTCGGACGCTCTGTCGTAACGCTACGCTCGTCTCACTAAGTTGAGCCTTAGAACATGTCCTGGGTCGAAACACGTCAGAGACTTTAAAAGGATGCATACACTGCACGGCTCTATTACTGTAAACTTCGGCATTCTTTTACACTTTACTTGGAAACTTGCGAGCGTCGGAACTCGCTGTAGGTTAGTTCCTTGACCAAACACTTTCTACTGCTCTGGTAGTTTCGACGAGAGTCCTTCAGTACCGAGAGGAAAACGGAGAAAACGGGCGACGACTTTTACGTGCTAAGAGTGTCGCAGAGTGTACTTGGGCTAGTTGGCGATTTGCTGCGGAGGATGAAATGGCGTAAAAACGACGGACAGGCGAAAGAATGAAATACGCGACGGAGTGCTCCGTGGTGTTCGTCGTTCTTTCGCTCGTCCGTCCTTTATTAGCCCTTTTACCCTCTACGGAGCTCGAGGAAATGAAGCACTCAGCTCCCTGCCTCATCTTGCTGTCGCAGCAGCGGCAGAGCCCGCCTCCGCGGCCCCACGTGACGGTGGAGAACCACACGACTGTGAACCTGGTGACGCACCTCAACACCACCGAGCCCGCCGTGCCCTCCTCGTCCGGCTTCTCGCGCAGTCCCGCCGCCCGGCACTCCATGTACTCCCGCCTCCGCACGGGGGTGGCCAACTCCCCAGGGCTGAGGGCGCCCCTGCGTCTGTGCGCATCGCAAGAGAAACTGCTGCTTGACGACTGTGCGACGGACGCGGAGCCTCCGCCGGGCGCCGCGGAGCCCGCCGCACCGCAGGCGGGCGGGAGAGAGAAGCGCGCCAACGCGGTGTGGTACGAGTACGGTTGCGTCTGAGTCCCGTCTGCTAAGTTCGCGCTGCGGTGCTTGGAGCACGTCCTCGTCAGCGGTTCCTCGACTTCGTTATAGGAGCGGTCTCGACAACGGTGGAGCGGCGGGCGTGAACGGAACGAATGCCCGTTCTGCTGTCGGTCGCTCTGCTGCCGCACGGTCGACAGAAACTGAAGCAGACGCGAGACGGGACGCCATGACAACGGTGACCCTCTCGCATTTGCAAGTCTTTTTCGCTGGCCTTTCCACAACCGACTTCGCGATGTCTGACGGCACGACGCGCCAGTTCTTGTGACGTAATTTGCCGCTTCGGGACCGCCATTGACGAGCTGGAGGTTTACGTCGCCGAACATGCCGGTCGAAGGCTCGTTCCGGGCACCGTGGTTAGCGAAGAAGGGTCGGTTTGCATTTCTGCTTCTGGATGGGTGGGGGACGGGGAAGGGGGGCCTTGCCTTATTTATTGCCCAGCGCATCCTTTCGCAGGATGCGGCGGCTCTGACATGTTGTGATATTTTTTGCTTTTCTTTCTCGTCTATGTGTGCCTTTCTTTTTTTTTTAGATGCGTTTCTTAGGCAGCTTGGGAATGGTTTCGTTTTGGCATCGAATCCCAGAGTTTGGAGAGGCCATTTAGGGCGTCCCGTTCGTTGCAGAAACGTCGCGCTCGGTCTTTCCTGCCTCAATCTTTTGGTGCAGCGAGATTGGGAAGGGAGACTGCACGTGGGTAGGCGTCTCACTGCGGTTCCCGTGCCAGGCGGTTGGGGGCTTTGGTGGTTGGCTCAGTTCACGACGCGGGACGAAGCTTTCGGGCTCTTTGCTGGCTGGTGACGCATCGTTTTCTTGGGCCCTAGGTTGAAGTAGAACATCAAAGATCTTTGTGTGTAGCACTGTTTTTTTTTTCTTTTTATTGCTCACGTGTGTGTTTTGTTTTTCTGTTGCGAATGCGCGCTATGCAATGCTTATTGGTGCTAGATCTAGAATTCGATTGTTGTTACGTGGTGAGCATGCTTTTCCATCAAGCTGGAGGCAATATTTTTAGCTTCTTTTCTTTTCTTGCTTTGGAAGGGCCTCACCAGCTTGACATGCCTTCTGTGCGGTAAGGCAGCTTTACTTTTCACAGGGTGTGTTCCAGAAATTCTATTTGTCCATTTTGTTTTTAGAGGCACAGTGCGTTTGCACATGCCCTTGGAAAGTGAGGTTGACTCTTACCTTCCATTATACGGTCACACTCACGAAACGACTTGCTGTAGCAGTGTGAAGCAGGACATTGTCACGTGCGCACATGTCGGCATGCAGGTGTTGATGTAACCGAAGCACGGTTTGTTTCAAGCACATTGATTTCACGTACGGTCACAGACAAAAAGAAGCTGTAGTGTGCCAACGCGTCTTCCCTGCTTGTTGGTATGGAGTGGTTTTGTTTCATTTTCATTTATTGTGGTTAGGAAGCACCGACATTTGTCTGAGGGACCTCCTACATGCTTTCTCTAAACCCATTCACATGTGCATGCCACCTCTAAATTCTGCTAAGATGTCCAACTAAGTGCAGTTGTGTGTTCGACGTTTCTTTGTCCGCAACTGCACGGCTCAAACTGCGCTCTACCACCAGAGCGCAGGCTTGATCTTGGTGATGACAAAACTGGTGTCTGTCAGCCTAGAGGACATGCTTAGGTATGCTCAAGGTGTTTTTCAGCATACCTGTGTGCAAAACTCAGTGCAACTGTCCTACAACAAATTCATGCATGGAAGGAATAAGCCTGGTGTAGGCAGCTTGAAGTGTGATTAGCGGTGTAGTTATGGAGGTGCTAGAGTTTTTCTGGCACATCCTTAACTCTAATAATACCCTTTTGAAGCCACCGTGTGTACACATCTTTAACTGTGTTGCTCGTGTGAGCTGGTCTGGCCGCCGGTTCGTGACTCCCTGTTTCTTGAACGTTCCGTGAGCTTTTGACGAAACGCAAGAACGTTGCAGCAGCCCGTAGACAAGTCGAACAATGCAAGAAAGATCAAAACCAAAATTGCGGAGCAGTGTCCCAACAAAGGGAACTGATCTAGTTCTACCGGAGTTTGTCTTTAGAGGCACACCACTGCCATTTTTTTCTCGTAGGTGTCCAACTTTTGTCGGCCTGTCCCGAAAGAAAACTGTTCTTGGTGTGCTTGCAAATGTCTGGCGGTCTGCCCTCTTTTAGCGTAGACTACTGCTTGTTATACACAGCACGTCGGCTTCTAGACGGTTGTACTTATTACCGACCCGAAGGTTGTGTTGCTTGACGTGGCGTCGCGTCGCATTGCATCGTTTGACATCCTGTCGACACAGTCTGGCTTTGTTGATGGTATTTTGAACTACTGGCGGCGGTTGTCAAAGGGAAAAGATGGTTTCGCCTTTGGTTGAGAAGCAATAAGTCCGCACATAAGATGAGACAAAAATTGAAGCAGTTTTAATATCATCAGTTCGTTTTTTTGTGTTTTTTTTTTGTCAGGCAACACGGCTTTGTTACGAGCGTGCACATCTTTACGAAAAGTTGTTGTGAATCAGCACAATCTTTCGACCAAAACTATTTTAATTATTTATGATAGCTGCATTTATGTACTGTTTTGTACGGTTTTATAAATTTTATTCTGTAAATAGATGTACAGTTTGCCGTAGGACCTGTTTTTATTGTTGCTTTTCGATGAGGCCAGAGTTTGCTACTCGAATGAAACCTGCGTCATTTCACCGGTCTTTCGTATAATTCGCTTGTTTTTGTCATTTTTTATACCCGCATAATGGGCATCGTCGTGTACATCTCATATTATTTGGCAGATGTTGCCTGTCTGAGGATTCGCTTACAGAAAAAGGCTTTATGCACTATTGTGCCTGTGAGTGGATGTGTGCAAATAAATGGCTTCCATAGTCCTCACATTCTCGTTTCTCTACGCTGAGTGCCTGGTGCAAGGTAAGCCTTGTTGCTGTATGCAAAAGCTTATCTTGAAGTGCACAGTCGTGCGAATGAGGACACCTAGATTATTGCTAAAATGAAGCACTATAATTTATTACACCACGTTTTCTAAGATGGTGGTTGCCAAACAAGAGCTTGCCGGGCACTGTTTTTGCTAGAGAACATTGCAGACAGATGAATTTTATGCCAGTTTGTCCTGGACTGGGGAGTGGCAATAAGTCAGAAAAGACAGTTTTCTTTTTTCACCAGTCAAGAGGCACGTACTCAATAAAAGACATTAGCTGGAAGTAAAACAAATAAAACTGGTGGTTCTTCAAGTAATTTCGGCTACATGTCGAAATGATGAACATGATGAGCTTGTGCCGGGGCCACTGCCGCCATCTGTCGGTTCGGTTCTTGCACCAGTCGGAGGGTGCGTGGATAGCAGACAGCAATGGCGTAGCCAGGAATGTTCTGGGGGTGAGGCTGAGGTGGCTGAGATGTTCATGACTTGGAGTGTGGAGGAGGGTGGTCAAAATTAAGGCACACATATATTAGAGGGTCGGCTGGATTTCTGGTGTGGCTGAAGCCTTACAAGCCTCCCCACTAGCTACGCCACTGGCAGATCGACGTTGAGGTAGGGAAATCGGTTATCTCTTTACTTTGTACTTGGGTAAGTTTGTTCTTTCAAAATTTCATGCAATGTTTCCACCACCTTCAGGCACCTCTGTGATAAATAGTAGCGCGATACATTACCAAACCAATTTGTACGGCCACTTAAAGGCAATACACAATGAAAAATACACAGCACAAAAGGACATAAAGGGAAGAGTGTATTTTACTTTATGTAAGGCGAAAACCAACTAGCCCAACTTTCTACTTTATTAAAGGCCAACACCTCGGTTTTCTGCAGGGAAGATAATCCTCTTGGCGCTCCCTTCTTTTAAGCTGCGAGGAAAGCCAAGTTGGGGCAAGGTAAAAAATGGAGAGGATATAGGAAAGGAGGAAGTGGGCAAGAGTGGAAAGCGCGAAGTGTGCGTCGACCTTTAAAGGCTTCATACGGATTCGTGGGCACGCTGTAAAGAGACGCGCGTGCATTCTTTTTTTTTTTTTTTTTTTTTCTGTTTGTGTGTGCGATATATTGCAAAATGCCCAAGCGCTTAGTCCAATGCGTGTGGCCACTGCAGAAAAGTCTCCAAATACTTTTTTTTTTTTTTGCATGCAGGTTATTCTGGAGCTGGCTTCTTCTTCATGTTAATTTTTACTGGGAAAACAGCTGGTGCAATGACGCCAAAAAGAATTCAAAAATCGCTTGGTAAACTGTTGAGCGACCAGAAGTTTAACATTTCTGGTGTAGGTAGCGTACTTATTCTACCCAACTCAGAGCCGTTTGCTATCACTGATCTCTATCCAGACCAGTTCAGTGGCTCTACGACTCTACCGGCTCCGACTCTGCCGACTCCAGTGAACTCCACCAACTCCACAGCTTGCGCTTGCCCGCTTGCCGGAGTCCGGAGGTGTGTGGTTGTCCCTGTTTGTCTTGGTCGTCGCCGCCGGGCTGGCCGGGCACCCGGGCTCGCTCGCTTTCATTTCTTGACTCGTCTTTTTGGCCTATTCTTCAGCTCAAAATCGCCTGACCGAGAGTTCCAGCGAGGCTGGTGACGCGGTGCGTCCGACTTTGGTTCATCGAGTCAACTTTCACGCTCCCTTCAAAATGGTATGCTGCAGCGCCGTGGGATGTTTCAACACCAGCAAAAAGGGGTTTGCGCTCTATCGCTTTCCCACGGGAGAACAAAACCGCGAGAGACGACGCATCTGGGTAGCGAACGTCGGGCGTGACAAGTGGACGCCAAACGCCAACTCTCGTCTCTGCGAGGTAGGCACTCGGAAATCGGCTGCTTCCGCCGTGTTCCACACTGCGTTTGAAAAATGAGCGCGCGCCTTTCGAAATTGCGTGTTTGTTTGTTTTTCGCCTGTGCTTGCCTTGTGCATACCACATAGAGTAGATCATGGTGCATACACGCGCGCTTTGTCTGCACTCGCGTTTGTTAGCGTTACAACAGCGCTTTACCACAATCCGTCTACCTTTTTCTTCGCGCAAACGGGATCGACTGCTTCTATCCTCCAACCTGTCAAAGACCCAGTTTAGACGGCCATCTACACAAAGCGACTGCTCCTTTGTTGAGAGGAAGCCACGAAGCAACCATCATGTCAGTACCAAATTCGAGGCAAAGTAGTCATTTCGGAGTTCTGTCAGTGGAGCGGTCTGTGGGTGGTAATGTGGAGCTGTTTGGTGGTTTCATACCAGTCCTGCTTAAAACACTATGGTCACTGGCAGGGTCAAGAAGCACTGGGTGTCTCTTTCAGATGCTCAGCCTCTAGCATACACTCCATGCCTTTCGTCGTGCTTTGGCTGTGCATACGCGCTTCATGCTTACAAGTTGTCGTAGCGTTATCGAAGGTATTAAGTTTGCGCTGGAGGTGGGACAACTGAAAGGCCTCCCTGCGATTCTTGTGCTGTCACAGATTATAAAGACAGCATTGAGATCGGTGCCCGAACCTGCCAGTGATTCCACGCTCTCGTTCATCGTAACTTGGCGAACGGCGACAGCTTCACGGAAGTGTACTTAGGCGATGCTGTCACGTGCCTCGCTCTTACATTGTTCTTGGCTAGCCGGGGTCATGGTGCCTGAAGCGCTTCTTCCACTGGTGTGTTTGCTGTGTCCTCGTTTGCGGCCTCTCAATTTCCGCCTGGTGATATAGAAGTATTGTGCTGTTTTCTGCCACAGCAGTGGAGGCGAATGTGGCAGACATCTTTTCTGCCATGACTCGCTGTCGACTCGATGGTTCACGGAAGTCTGTGCGGCAGTGAGTTTAGTTGTCACGACAACAGCGACACTTGCATTCGCTCGACTTTTTTCCCAGAACTTCTGCACCCGACCATTGGGGCTGCGACACCTGACAGCACGACACGCTGGCTCTCGTGACGTAATTTGTTGCCGCTTCGGGACCCTTCTTGAAGCATGGGTGCACAAAAGGCTACACACTCCAGTCGAAGAAGCATTCCGTGCATCGTACGGAGGCCCATGGCATCTACTGTTTGCCAAGTGATGCAGGAACACAACGTGGTTGCTGGATACAAGACAACCACAAAAATTGTTTTATTCTCGTGCAGGTTCATTTTGACAAACACCAGTACGAGATTGGTAGGCAGGACGGATGGAAGAAGTTGAAATTGACTGCCGTTCCCACATTATTCTCACGCTTGGTGAAGGAAACGCCGCGAAAGCTTCGGAAAACTGGACGGGTGAGGTCCCGAGCTTTTAGGCCGGTTAAAGTTTCATCTCCCTGACTTTTTTTACTAGTCGTTATTTTGTACAGTTTATAGCATTATTTTACTCCCTAATTTGTTTCCTTCCATTGCAGGTTGTGTCACGTGCCAGCCGACCTTGTACCAAAGACGCCTGCTTGCCGATTCCCTCGACACCTAATTGCCTTTCAGCGGAAACTCTGGTAAATGACGTTGTAAGCAGGGCTGGACATCGAATAACGATTTGAACCTGATTGTTTTGCATTTTTTAACTGTTCTAGTGTATTGCTTGGTTTCATCGCATCAAGAGCGTAATGCTTAGAACGAAGGGCAAGAGTTTCAATATTGTTTCAGATGTCTTTGATGCATGACCGGGGTTTATGGCTTTTAGTGCCTTCCTTTATGCCTAAAAGAGACCTAAATAGCAAAGGAAATCTAATACATTCGGATTGTAACCCAGTACAGATATGCAATGAAATAGCTGCAGCAGTGTCGCGCCTAATCCTGATCCTGGCCCACTGCTTGGGCCTGTCACAAAATGCAACCCCCCCACCCAAAACAAAAAGAAACAACAACAAAACAATGCTAAAATTAGCATGCAAGTTGGACAGAGCAACGGATAGGGCATATGTGCCAGTCCTTGTCTAAAAAGTGTATTAGTTATTTGCAAAGTCAATCTATCAGTTGTCCTGTTCTGGTGGTACCGAGTGCAGTCAGAAGCAGCTGATCGTTTTTTAAATATTGTGAAGAGAATCATTCCATAAGTGGTGACAGGTTAAGAGTTCAGAGGAAACTTCTCCCATTTCTTTCCACTTTAGCATAGCAAACGCCAAAGTGGAAAGGGGTGGGAGGCAGTGGCGTCACAAGGGGGGTGCGGGGGGGAGGGCAGGGCAGGGGAGGGGAGGGGAGGGGAGGGGAGGGGAGGGGAGGGGAGGGAAGGGAAGGGAAAGGAAGGGAAGGGAAGGGAAGGGGAGGGGAGGGGAGGGGAGGGGAGGGGAGGGGAGGGAGGGTCGCAGCGGGCCACGCGAGAGCGGAGGGGGGGGGGGGGGGGGGTTGCGGTGGGCTACCGCCCCAGGTGCCGCTGACCCTCGTGACGCCACTGGAGTGAGGAGTCTCCACTAAACCCTTAACTTGTCACCGACTGTAGACCTGTGCAAAAAGAGCTCTCTGGCCACTGCCATTTTGCGAACCGAGCGACCCCTTTCAGCCAGAAATTTCTGCCACCTGCCTGAGCTGTGGAAACCCGGTCAGTGTGACTTTCCAGCTGCATTGTGCATTCGGAGTTTGCCGGCTTTTCTTGGAAGTTTTTACTTTATTTGCCTGTTTAGGTGTGTGTTATCTTCCACTGTGTGTTATCTTCCACTGTGAGAACCAGGGAAAACCAGGTCTCGTAGCCTGCTCGGCCTTCACAGGAAACAAACAAAGAGAGCGAACGTCAGGCAGTTCTACGTTCCTGGAGGAGTATTTTGAGAGATATTCTTGTGTTCCGTGTCTTCGCGAGAAATAGCTGATAGGGTCGGGTCCGTGGTGTGGGGACGAAATACACATTCATTCATTTGCTTTGAAGCTGTGCAAAAAAGCAGCTCTCTTCTACATGTGCCCCAAAACATGCCAGATTCCGTCTGATCGTCGTAAAGTGACTATCGTCGACACTGTATATTGAATATACTGTGTTATTTGAGACCTTTCTCAAAACCTGTTCGGATAACGCGGCACCATGGGGTATGTACAGCACTATATGTGTTCGATTTATGAAACTCGTTGAATTTCATGTTGTGGGCAGGGAATATCCATGCAGTTTGGATATCCTGTATGGTCAAATATTTTCGACGGTTAAGACCTTTGTAGGTTGACACGGCTGAGTGTATGGTGCCGTAAAATGATCAACATAAAATTAAACAATCATTCCAGTTGCATGTGTTCTGTCGCACAGAGACTCACCAAAACAGCTTTCATTTCTTTGTTTTTGTTCCCAAAAATAGTACAATGCATGCTTAAAAACCCCGAGAAATTATCTTTGCCATAGAACACAAAAGGAAATATAGAATATGGCAATTTAGCCTCCACCAGCGTCCGGGAGTGCGCCTACGCAGGCTGCCACAGCCCACTGACGAGAAACTCCACAGCCCAGCACAGTCGGGCAACATTGACATACCCTCTCAAAAACCAGGGACGCGCTCTGTAAATCCCTTCGTTCGAGACTGCCCTCGTTCGAGACTGTCGCTTGAAAGGTATAGCTAACGCACAGCTTTTACATTTCAGCAGTGCCATAATAGCACTGTTCCAGAGAATCTGAACGCCGAGAGCTTTCCCCAAACCGACAATCCGTTCAAGCAAGAAGTGTCGACATGGTCCCAGAAAGAGTCATCCACAGAGAGCCACGAAGCACAAACTCCGGTGAGTGCAGTGGGGGTTGCCGATCGTTGGCAATGCCCTCTCCATACAGGCATCTGCAGCATAAGATGACACCTCCGTTGTAGGAGCCCTTCGCTACAGAGTTGGAGACTAAGCACCAAGATCACCTGTACAGCACGGCGCATGAGAGGCCACAGACTGTTCAGTCATACAGCCACGCTCTAATCGAAGCTCCCTGTGTGCCTGCTTCCTCGACAGCTGGCCTGGCAGTGCTCACTCCGGTAGGTGGTGTAAGTGTGACTGAATGCAGTTGACCGTGTTTCAGATGTTTTTTGAGATTACCATTTGAGCCGATATGTTTTGATTTCGTTTCAGCAGCATGCTACACCATTGAAACCTAAGTACGAAGATTGCCCGTGCAATACGCCGCTTGATGGGCCACAGACAGTTCCACCGTTCAGCCATCCTATAATCGAAGACCACTGCGTGTCTGCTGCCTCGACGGCTGGCCCGGTAGCAGACACTCCGGTAGGTGGTGCGGGCGCAACCGAAACCCAACTGACCGTGTTTAAAATGCCGGTGAGATTATAATTTAAGCCGATGAACCATTTTCACCTTTCAGCGGCACACCGTCAACTCGCAGTGGAATTCGAAAGTCGACGGCCATACCCAAACTGACAGTCCGTGTCTGCCGGGGTTGCCAACATCGTTCCAGATAGTGCAGCTCGTGGTAAGTTGAGGCTGGGGTTTCTCTGGAGGGACGTAGGTTACATATGCACACGTTAAGGTACCAACAGACCGATCTGCCCAGCCAGTTTGGTTATGCTGTTGCCACACGCCGTGGGAACTGTAGTCTTTCTGCATGTGCGACAATCCCGCTGCAAATTTGTGCGAGCAGAGCACGAGATAACACGAGCTGTCTCGTGCACTGTTGTCTGCCTCCCGTGGACCACAGTTATGGTGGCACCATGCGTGTGTGGAAAGCTTGGTGAGGTCGGTCTTTGAACCAATGAAGTTAGTACGGCCACCGTTGGTGTGGAAAGGCTCCTCCATTGGTCAGGTTGGGCAAAGCACCCGAGTCGGAAAGAGGCCGAGAAGAAAATGTGTAAGGAAAGGTTGCAGCTTTAGCTACATATTGCTCTCGAAAACAAGGAACTGGGAAGCAACATTAGTTTGACAGTTTACGCCAGGGGTGGCCAAACTGCGGCTCACGCATGCGGCTCTTCCCGGGTCCAAGTGCAACTCTTAGGCGGGCACACCTGCCCCCCTCTGGCTAAATCATAGGAAAAATATATACAATAAAATATAGCTTGCAATCTGGCGGCCTTTTGCGCCACATTGCTCACCTTGGAGCAACCGCTTTATGAGTGGAATTCACAATAGCCATCAACTAACATAAATAATATTTTTAATGCCACTTTTTTTGTGTGTGTGTTTCATCCATTAAAATGGTTTTATTTTGTGGCACTTTTAAAATGTCCATATGGCCACCCTTAGTTTATGCCATGCAGGGTGGAGAATGACAATCAAGATGATTTAGATCGTGACTTAAATCATGATTTGTATCGCAATTTAAATTACCCCAGTTTTACAGTGATGATTTCAATCAAACCATTCCTTCACAAATATATTTTTGTACTTGCAGGTTGTGTTTTATTTGATGCTTTCTGTGTGCATTTGCTGTTGTTTTGTGGATTGTGGCAGACTGAACACGAGCAAATTGTGCTCTTCTGAGCAAATTGGAACGTTAACCTTTCTTTCTGCCTTCCACGTTGTTTGTCAGTTGGGGGTGTGTTTTTTCAAGCAGATCATAACACAACAGAAGAAAAATTAACAGACATAATGGCATATTGCAAGCAAATCAAAACATAAAAAATGCCAATCAAGCTGAAATAAGAATAATGGCGCTAGGTTTTGGCCCCAGACGGGAAGAAAAAGAAAATGGAGACAGTTGTGTATTGAGATGAAGTGGGTGTGTTGACCCCTTTGCCTTTTCCTCTTATCTCAGGGTTTTATAAGCAAGCTATTAAAACGCTTTTACTAACTAAAAAAAGAAAAAGAGCTGCTTATTTACATTAAGAATATTTTGTTAATTAAAGTGTGATTTAAATGCGCAGTAATTCTTTCATCTGCATTGTTTTTAATAATCTAAGGGATTGGTAGATCAATCTGCAGTGCTTAAAAAATGTTCAGTGATAAATAATAGTTTTTTTTTGCTAGCTGAAGTGATTTAAATAAAATTAATCTGATTTATATTAAATAAACCTAATCTAATACTTTTAGCGTTTTTTTTTTTTTTTTTGGAAGGGGGGGGGGGGTTGTTTGGGTCATAGAGTTATTATAATGTACGCTAGAGGTTCAGCTGGCGCTAGTGTCTATGCGACTTCCGTGACGCAAATTGAAGCAGACAGCAACCAGTCTACTTTCCCAGTCTTCCTGTGTATTCCTATGGGAAAGCGCGCGTGCATTTTGTCTCTTCGCCGGAAAATAACACGGAACACTTTGGTTATTTGGGTCGTACCGAATAGTATGTACCTTGATTAACACTGTAAAAGTGTAATTGCTTTATTTAGCGCATTTTTTTTTCATCAGTGACCGATGTTTAACTTCGCTAAATTTCAGTCCCAAACGTGTGTTCCGCAGCAGGTGTGTAGAAACAAGCGACGATTCGAAGCAAAATTACAATTGAAAGGAATGTAAAGTGTGTTCAAGGCTCGCCAGCAATCCGGTGACGCTTATATATTGATAATATGCCAGTTCTGTCACTATATAAAAATGACCCCGTCGTGCATGAGCGGATAAAAACATTCAAAACGTAGAGAATAAAGTCCGTGGGCTATAAAAGTTGTCTCTTTGTATTGTTTTCTCTGCCGGGCAGCTTTTATCGGGCGCTTGTTCTCAAAGATTTCGAGCGTGCGAGTGATATTTTGAACGTAGAACAAGCAGCTACGCTCAGAGCAGAAAGAATGAAACGGTACTTACTTATTTAAAATAGGAATAGATTACGTGGCCTTCAATTAATTTTGATCGTATATGCACGTGTAGTTACTGATCCGGTGTTACTGCGTAGTTCTTGCCGTCTTTCTTAATTTCCAGATGTTCTTCGTCCACGCTGAAAAGCGCCGACGTCGTGTTCGCGCTAACAGTGTCCGACAGTGCACATAAATACACGTACGAAGCTGTTTTAGCACCGTTTTTAATGCGATGAATTTGAAAGAAAAACACCGTAACTGACCAATTATTTCGTCGGCCTGACTGTGAAGAGAGAGAGGTAGGTGTTTATTAAACAATGATGTCAACCAGCGCCTGGTGCTGGTTTGCTACATTGTGAAATGAACGGAAGCGAAAATCATAAAGATAGAAGAGGGAAAGGTAAACAGAAGAATATAGAAGAGAGAAAGGTAAACAGAAAAAGATAGAGGGAGAAAACACACAAAACCAAAGTATTAAAAACTAAAAAAAGAAGAAAAAAAACTAACGAAAATGTTTCACTGGAAATTGTCATCGGCCATTGCTGTTCATCTACTCCCCTACAGTTTCTTCTGTAAGCAAGTAGCTGCTAGAAATTTCAGCAGAGCTTTCGTAGCTTTATACCCCTCAGCAGCAGAGATCCATGGACCAAGCAGAGTACGAATGCTTACGTCTTGTTCATTTTGTAGCCTCAGGTCTGTCTTCATAAGCTCTCTTTCACGGCTGTAGTCCTTGCATTCACACAATACATGTTCGATGTTATGGGTGACTCCGCACGAAGCACAATCAGAAGACTCAGCTCTGCCGATTTTATAAAGATGGCTGTTGGTGTATGCCACATTCAGTCTCAAGCGATGTAGGACCGTCTCGGCTGCCCTTGGTAGTCCCCGAGGTGCCCGAAATCTAAGTTTGGGATCGATATTGTAAAGATAGGAATAATGATATTGAGGATTTCTCCAAAGGGAAGACGCTATTTCTTGGCCTATATCTCTAATTAAGTTATTTGCATCTGATTTAGAAAACGGGATTGACACAGTAATAGCGCTCTCATGAGCGTTTCGAGCGGCTCTGTCAGCGATAACATTTCCGGTTATACCAGAGTGACCAGGAATCCACTGTATAATAAACTGGTGCCCTTTGCATGAAGCTTGGCGAGTTGCTTCCAGAATATCCTGTGCGAGTTGCAAGTTCGGGCTACATTTCTTCATCGTAGAAAGGGTGAGTAGAGCAGTTTTAGAGTCCACAAAGATAGCCCAAAAACTAGGACTCTCGGCTCCCACGCGAGTAACAGCTGCTCGAATTGCTGCGAGTTCCGATGCTGTTGATGACGTAACGTGGCTCAACCTTGCTTGTATGCATGCGTCCAGAGACGGAATATAGGCTCCCAGGGTCGATGATGATGACATTGTAGATCCGTCGGTGAAGACATGTCTAAATGAGGCATAAGTTCGGTTTATGTATTCCAGCACTGTCTGCGTAATCACGGGGGTGGGCATTGTTTTCTTCGAAGTGATTCCCGGAATACTTGTTCTTATTTCTAAGTGAGGGTACCTCCATGGTGGATAGCTTGGAATTACCGCAGCTTCGAAAGAAGTTGGGATGTAATCCTCCAAGAGTGCGATAACTTGTGCAAAGCCAGATGATGGTCTCTCTGTTACCATATTTGTGAGGTGATCGCTTATATGTACGAGATTTGTGACGAAGATGGGCTCTTAACGTTTCTTGCGTTCTTAAAACGGCCGGTGAAACCGCTTGTGCTTCCGCAAGAGATCCCAAATTAGAAGTGCCTTTAGGAAGCCCTAAACATGTGCGGAGAGCTTGTGCTTGAATACTCTCGAGTTCTTTTAGAAGAGTACGTGAGATGTTATGCATAGCAGGCAGGCTGTAGCGCAGAAGTCCAAGAAATAAGGCATTATAAAGGGCAAGGAGTGCGGAGACAGAGCATCCCCATTTGGTTCCACTAATCATCCTGATTATATTGATGAAAGAGGAGAGCTTTTTTTTAAGGCGTTTTACATGGGGGCTCCAGGTCAGCTGCCTATCGAGAGTGACACCCAGGAAGGTATGTTGCGTGACATATGGAATTTCCTTTCCGTCTATTTCAATTGGGTATTTGTCCGTGTGTTTTTTTGTGAATGCCATCGCTGCTGACTTTTCCGGCGATATGTGCAGACCTCGGAGGTGTAGGCACCGTGCGGTAATGTTAATGGCTTTTTGTAGTCTTGCTTTGTTGATATACAGAGATCTACTGCAAGTCCAGAAGCAGATATCATCCGCGTATATAGACACGTGAACGGTTTTTGGGAGAATTTTCAGGAGACCTATGAGAGAAATGCTAAAAAGCATCGGGCTGAGGACGCCTCCTTGTGGTACTCCCCTAGTAATATGATGAAGACCGGTGTTGCCGTCCCGTGTCGATATGTAGACTTCTCTTTCTTTTAGATAATTGGCTATCCATTTGTATACACGTCCTCCAAATCCAATGGCCTTCATATCTTGAAGAATAGCGTTGTGTTCTACGCAATCAAAAGCCGACTTTATGTCCACAAATACAGCTGTTGTTTTTTTATTTACTACCTTCATTTGTTCAATACTAGTTACTAAGTCAATAACGTTGTCAATGCTGCTTCTTCCGCGTCGAAATCCATTCATGGACGAAGGATATAGATCTCTATTTTCTAGATCCCATTCCATACGGGTAAGCAGCATTCGCTCCATTACTTTGCCTATGCAACTTGTTAATGCTATTGGACGGTAAGAGTTAATGTCTAAAGGAGATTTTCCAGGTTTTAAGATTGGTAGAACCCGAGCAATTTTCCATTCCTTCGGTACAGAACCCGTTTCCCACGAGGAGTTAAAAATGTGTAGCAGTGCGGTCCTCGCCCCCTCCCCCAAATGGCGTAAGGCTGAATACCGTACACCATCCGTGCCTGGGGATGACCTAACGTTAGACATCTCGAGCGCCATATCAAGTTCCTTTAAGGTAAAACATGCATTGATTGCCTTGCATACACTTACGGATACATGTCCCTCCTGCGCACTGACTTTGTCGTGGGGCCTTGAAGAGCTGGAAGTGATCTTGATACAGAACTCTTCAGCGACGACTGTTTCTGTTACTTGGCGACTCAGACTGATGGCGCAGAACGGGTGAATTTGCTGTGGCCTTGCACGTAGGCTTCGCATTATTTGCCATGTTCGATCGAGTGGTTTTCTCGGGTCAAGGTTGGAACTAAGTGACCTCCAGCGTCTTTTGGAAAGTTTGTCCAGGTGGCGTTGAACACGCTTTTGCGCTCGCCTAGAAGCCCGAACATCCTCAACATTCTTAGTCTTCCTTGCCCGGCGTTCTGCTCGTCGACGAATGGCCCGAAGACGCTCATATTCACCATCGACTGCAGTATGAGGTTTTGTCATGTTGACATTTTTTGTCGCCTGAGAAGTTGAAGAGGTTACAGCCTCTGCAAGACCTTTTGGCTCGGCTACCGCGATACATGCGGATTCCATTTTGGTTTTAAAGAGATCCCAGTCAGTATAACACATTGTGGTACGTCGCTTCGTGCAGTGCATTCCTTGAATCGTAGTGTATGTAGGAACATGATCGCTACCGTGTGTTTCAATATCAGCAAACCACGTTGTTTCCCCAGAGAGGGTTGAAGATGCGAACGAAACATCTAAAGGACTACTCATAGATGCCCCTCTAAAATACGTCGGACTTCCGTCATTGAGTACTACAAGATCATGTTTTAGAGTGAGGTCAAATAATGCGTGTCCTCGAGTGTTATTCTTTTTACTTCCCCATGATGCGTGGTGACTGTTGAAATCGCCCGTCAGAATATGAGGGGATGGGGTTTGCTGTAGAATAGTATCGAGCCTTTGAACGTCGAAGGGTGCTCGAGGCGGAATGTAGCCAGCAATAACTGTGAAGGAAACTTCTGCTTTTCTAATAGTTGCTGCGATATACTCATTTGTAGGGTGTGGCGGGATGTTATGTTGAACAAATGTCAGATCCTTCCGAACGCCGAGTAAAACTCTGCTGAGTTCATTTCCTCCGTGAGAATGATACAGTTCATATCCTGATAACCTGGTGTTGTGAGACACTCGCGACTCTGAAATCGCAATAACAAGAAATTGATATTTAAACACAAATTGACGAAAGTCCGCTAGTCGGTTTCGAAGACCTCTCGCGTTCCATTGAAGGACGGTGGCTTCACCACGAAGCTTCTCTAACGACACCATAGCTTGATAAGTGGAACTATTGCATCGATTACAGTTAGTAGTGCTTGGGATAGGGGAGACTCCCATGTGCAAAGGATACTACGGATGACATTGACGATTGTTTGAAGCTTGTCCCCAGTAATAGACGGTTGATCTTTGGCTGGTGCCTTGGATTTGTCCTGCCTGGGTTGCCTGTTTTCTTTGACTTCTACATCAGATTTCGAAGCTGAATTGGGGAGTCTGGGAAATTCGTTTTCATTCTTCAACTCCAAGGTGGATACTTGGGCGTCTCTTGGCTTCACATCTGTTTGGATTTGTCTAGCGTTTGACAGCTGTGTTGACGAGGAAGGTTGTGGATCTTGAATTCCCTCCTGTAGAAGTTGGTGAGCTCCCAGGTCTTGTTTCGTTTTTGTACCATCTGTTTTAGAGCGACCTTGGGACACTTTCTCCTTCGATGACAGTAGGGCCGCTTTTGCTGTTGTGTACCCAACTTTAGCTTCGCTCTTGTACTCATATATTTTCTTTTCCCTTTGGTACACAGGGCACAGATGCGATGTCGAGTCATGTGCTTTATCGCAATTTGTGCAGAGCAGGTCAGCCGCTTCACACTTCATACGGTCGTGTGCTCCTCCACAGCGAGTGCAGCGCACGTCGTTTGTGCAGGCGGTTTGGACATGTCCAAAACGACCGCATTTCCAGCACTGACGTGGTTTCTCTATGTACGGCTGCAACTTGAACCTTGTGTATCCCACGGTGACATATTCTGGTAGTGTGTCCGTGCTGAAGACGACTTTGACAGACTCAGATTTACCCAGTCGAGAAATGGAGATGACGGGTGCAGTTGCACGGACTGCCGATTGTAGCTCGGCTTCGGTAATGTCTGCTGGTACCTGGTAGATCACTCCGGCCGCCAATTCCCTTGGAAGTGGTTCATAAGCGATGACAGGTATTCCACCTAATGAGGTGAGTCCAAGAAGCGCTTTCGTGGCTTCAGTGTTTCTTGTGTCAATCGCCAGCACGTTGAGTCTTCGATTGGGCCTAACCAAGATGACCCCATCTGGAGCAGTCATTTCAAGTTTCTCTGTAATCTTCACCGGGTTAATTGTTGCAATCATGCTTACTGGATCTTTGGGCTTGATTATCACTGTAAGGCGGGGATGAGCCTGGGTCATGGTTTTGACTGTCTTACTGCTGCAGTCTGAGCTAGTAGATGGTTTGCGTCTTTTTCGGCCCAGGACCATTTGATATGGCTCTGAATTCATATCTTGATCATCAGAGATACTTTCGTAGTAGGATATGGTGCTTGAGGAGCTCGACATACCCGTTGACTCCTGTTCCATTTCGGTTGGCGTGGCAGCTTGGCCGGAAGGAAGGCCCTCCGCGGCCATGGTCGATGAGCGATGCGTCAAATTAGAAGATCGTATGGTTTTTTTCTGGTCCGAGCAGCGAGAAACTTGATTAAAATCAAAATATAGCGAGACGCCCACAATAGCAGTGAAAACAGAACAGACTTCTTCTTCTTCTCCTCTATTTCCACACCACCTGACTGAGAAATGCTCCAAGCTACCTAGTACGTATGAATTATTCGGGATATTTGCTCTTATGATCGAGCGCAGAGAGAAAATGCACTCACTTTTTCCCATAGAAATGCATTACCGGAAGTCAATTTTCGACTGGTTGCTGTCTGCTTCAATTTGCGTCAGCACACTAGCGCCACTTGAACCTCTAGCGTACATTATAATAACTCTATGGTTTGGATGCCAGAACAACAGTGCTATAGTTACACATTTCAGGAAATTGACCAACTGTCTACTGCTTACAGCTGCCTACGACGAGGGTAGAGTAAGTGTACTTTGGCGCCATCTATCGGGTAACTCTGGAACACTTCTGCGTACATATTACGCATGGATTGCGCTAGTGCGCTCGCTCGTCGTAAGCAGGCGCAAGCAGGCACAGTCCGGTCGGTCAAACCCAGACGCAAAGGTGTGAACCAGCCTTCTAGCGCACAGTGCCGGTTACATTGCAGCATTTATCATGCAGCAGTATGCAACGGAGCAGGAGAAGGTGGAAGACCTTAGCGAGGACGTTGCCGAGCTGAAGCGGCAAGTCCAAGCCTTGCAGAAGAAAAACAACGCCCTCACACAAGAAATGAAACGTATCGTCGAAGGTCTCGGCGCCGTGTTCACGGAGGATCAGACGCGCGCTCTCGGGAGGCATTCGAATCACGGAAACGCGTGGTCCCCGGCTACGATACAGAAAGCGCTGGAGCTGCATCTCGCGTGTGGGTCGGCCGGCTACAACCTGCTCCTCTCACAGGGACAGCCTCTGCCCTCGGAGCGTACCTTGCGACGTCACCTCCTTGGTGGTGTCAAGTTCGGCCCTGGAGTCGTCGGAGAGAAGTTGGGCCCCACGACGATCAAAGTGGCTGCTTCGAAGCCTGGTGTGGCCATGATCGACGAGGGTGCAGCCGTTGTCATTGCCCTATATGACGGCTCGCACGAATGTGCGCTGGGCCTCTGACGCGTCGCGCTCGGATTTTGTTGCCTGGTGGGCAGTGGTCGCGGTCACCAGGTACGGAAACGCCAAGCGTTCCTTGCGGACGTTATGTGAATACCAGTCGTCATTACATGGATGTTTTTCTTGCTGCTTCAGTGCTGACCATCAAGTGCTTAGGATTTTGTTGGAGCGGCCCTGTCGTTTTGTGAGAGGACATTTGAGCCTAGCTAAACACACCCACCGAACACTCCCTGGTGTGAGCACGTTTCTGGGCATTGCTTCGAACCTGGAGCCGAACTATCGCTGCCATCAATCTGGCTTAGCGAGCTAAGCCAGTGAAATCGAAGCACCCAGAGCCGTGTGGCTGCAATAAAGATATCCCAAAGTTGTATATAAGTGCGAGTGTTTTGAGACGTTCTTTTTCTCTTGTGGTGTCAACATTCGTATTCCTCACTCTTGGGTTGCTTCAAAATGTTCACATTATGGCTCGCTTTCTTCTCCTGTGTACAAGCGCTTCCTCTCCTTTCACTCGTACGTGCGCGATCACAGCGAGCGTTAGCTTTGACGAACTCTCATCTTGCTTTGAGATATTTAACGCTTTTTTTACTTTTTTTAGTGCGTTATTTTACACCAGAGATAGATCTTATTGTGGTCAGTTTAGAGTGCCTGCATGAGTGCCTTTTGCTTGGTGATAACAGGTCCGCCATTTTATTGCCCGGCCGCTTTCAGAGTTGAAAGAACGCTCGCATGCTCGCAGAAATCTCGCGTAATATTCGCGGTTGAAAAGTACCGTGCGGAATTGCATCCAGTCTCCACGCTTCTGGTCAAAATGGGATCTGCATCTGCTGGGAATGCTAGTCGGGCCTTTTTAAAACCACATTTTATTTTGCTCTTACGCAGTGAACATGCGCGAAACAAGAATTGCAACAAGCAAGTCCCCAAAATTTTTTATTTACCGGCGCCATCTTTTTTTTTTTATGGGGGGGGGGGGGGTTTAATTGTAACGTTGTCTGATAGTGACAAAACAAGAAAACTCCAGCGGCCCGTGCGGCAGGTTGCGCTACCTAACCGACAGTAATTAAACGTGAGGAAGATACATATAAAGGGGAGGGGGGGGGGGGGAGGGGGGACCCCCCGTTTCATGTTTCCGCTCGAAGATAAACACCGCAGATTGTGGTGCTTATCTTCGGGTGGAGAGAAAATAGGAATCCATGAGATATGTCGCTCCATTGATGGGACTGTACTCCGTCCACCCTTCAGCCTTGTGCCAGTTTTGTTTTACACGTACACCTCTATGCTTTGGTGATTGGTGTATCTCGTGACACTGAGGATCCTCCTCGATATTTGCACTTCATCAAAGTCTGCATACTACATCAATTTTCGAGATTTAAAACATCATTCAGAGAGAAATTCCCAAAGCGATGCCGCTCTGCAGTGTCCGTTGGAAGCGTTTACCTGGCGCATGCATGAGACCACTCAGCCCGTCTCGAACTCTGACTGGTGAGATCGGTCAATCCTTGCGGGGTTCGAGCTAAATTGCGCAAATACCCATGGCACAAAGGCCAAGGTCGCCTGAAAGCGCTCGCACGGAGACAATACAAAGAGGTGCAATTATGACGCATATTTTATTAACAATAACAGGCGGAACTCGTAAAAGGGTCGACCAGCTAAACGGGTTCAGACAGCTTTCACGGACATAATTTTCATAACCCTCTCGAAAGGAGACTGCTTGCAGGTGGCGTAGAGCGACTCGCACCCAAGTCCTGATAGACCTCCCAGAAGTCCTTTGAGCACGTACTTCGAGCCATCTCGAGCCATGACGGCACCACTCAGCGACCTCAGCATGGCGGCGAGGGTGGGATACCGTTGAACAGCGTCTTCCGTGATCTCGCACACTGCTCTAGTGCGGCATTCTTCACCATCAAGTCCCACAGCCTTGAGAAGATCTTCACCGGCGGTTGGAGGTACGGCTGCCGCCAAAGTGTTGCCGAAGGCGCGGAAACCAGACTGCACGATGGCGCTCAGTGTTGGGACGAAGGTGAGGGCGAACAGGAACAAGTAAAAGACGCCGAAGGACAGGAGCAGGGGCTTCAGGCTGCCGAAGAACACCGCGACCAGAGGACCGATGATGGCGAGGGCCAGGGGGAATGCAGCAACCGGGAAGCTTCGGGCACTGGAGACGGCAATTGTAGATTCTTCAGGGAGGATGAGATGAAAACCGTTCGCTGAAAGAAAAGAAAAAAAAAGAAATACGTTGGTTTTTATCGTTCTGAAGTCGTGGTCTTGAGGGATATACAACACATCTGAAGGACTCTTTACTTATTCCCCGAAGCAGCAGAGGAGGCGGGGATTTAGGAATACAAACATAATTGAAAGTTATTGCATAGGCTCAAAACAATATTTAGCTAGCAGCCTTATACTTAAAACGTGGAGGATAACCATAAAAATCAAAATGCTCGCAGACATAAAAAAAAACACAAAAACAGTTGTCCAGACCAGTTCTTGGCGATCACACATTACCCAGCTAGAATCTTTCATGCATATATGCATTCTACTAAAAGTAGAGATGACTCTGAAAGTCCCTTGTGAAAGTATGTATACACTTTATAAAAGTAGTATAGAAATCTACTCTGAAGGCTCGCCAGTAGAGTGCTTTAAGAAAGTACGGGAGAAGAGTAAAAGTCGAACACTTTTATAGCGATGGCATCATTACCCAGCGAGAAACTTGCATGCGACATACGCTTTCTCCTAAAATCAAAGCTATCTACCCTGAAAGCTCGCCACTGCCAAAAAAAAAAAAAAAAAATACATGCAAGTGGGAGAAAAGAAAATCGTACAGAACGGTTTCAACGATGGCGAGTAAAGTGTCGCATGAAGGTTTCTAGTTGGTACAACTAGAAACTTTCAAGCGATGCAAAAGTTTTTGGGAAAGTAGAATTTGCGAGCAAAGAAAGTACATATCTAACATCACGTTGACTGAATCTCCCACCAAAGGAAAGTAACACAACTTACATTGAGAATTGCTGCAAACCGACAGGAAGACAACCAGGGACACCACGGCAGGCTGCATGGTCGTAGATGGACGTGGACGGCGGCAGCAAAGGTTCTAGATGGCAACCCGACGAAGGAAGTGAAGTCTTCTCTTCAGCTCACCTCCTTTTATATATACGCAGCCGGGGTTGCTAAAGCATGTACACCCGGATGCGGTGCACTCGAGGTACAAAGCATGCTTTGAAGTCCAGTTCAAACTCTACAAGGTTTGGGGGGTACAAAGGGGCGTCGGGTGACCTCGACGTTACGCTAGCAACTGAGGTCGAAAGGCCGACAGATGACAATAATCCTGGAGAAGGGGAACAAACAGGACAAAGGACAAACACTAATCTCCAAACACAGCTATAGGTGACTGGTGCGAGACCGAAAAAATCCTCTTGGTCCAGATGACCTTGGTTTTTCTGCAATTAAGATGCGTCCTCCTCTCCCAACGCAAGAGGACCACAAGAGAAAGGAACTCTTGCGTAGTGTGTGACGTGTTTCTCGCTTTGCACAACACTTAGGTTGTTACCTTTGACCTCATTTTCCAAGTGCACTAACACAACTGTCTTTCACACAATTGTATAAAAAAAAAAAAGATACGAACGATGGGGTAGTTTGGACAACTCCCGTCCTTTCTGGTAACATACAAAGAAATATCTTGGATAGGAACAAAACAGTCGTAATTTTGTTCATTAATTCTTGCCTTCATCCTCAAGTCGACTGCTTCATTGTCGTCGACAAGACATTTTCACTGTTAAAAGTTTTAGCTTAAAATGTTAAAAATAAATGTCCTCGAAATAAAAATACATTTCTTAGGAATAACTTTATCAACCGCGGCGGACGTCAGGGCACGAGTGCAACGTGTGAGTGATCGAACTAATGACGCGAAAATCATTAGAGAGTTTTAGAATAGGAGGCCTCAACGTTTGGGTTCCCCTAAGAAATTGGGGGACACAAACGCAAGTAATAATCAAAAATAAATTAATAATAAACGTAAAACATACGTGCTTAGCAAGTACTTCTCGGAGAACAATTTGACATGGGTGAATCCCCTGGCCGCTTCCCCACGTTCACAAATTTTCTAGGAGGACGACAATGACGTCATAACCCGCGGTTGATTGCGCCCTTCTTTTCCAGAAGTACGGCAATCTGTGTGAGATATCGATGTATGAGTGATGTCTTGGAGGTTGTCGCGTCCCGGTTCAACGCTTCTGCGGCCTTATTTTCTGAAATCCTAATTTCGGTTCAGGCACTGGCACCACAACCCAAAGGTCGTATTTTTTTTTATTGTTTAAAACGTTGCAAACTGTACTCATATAGAGACGAAAAAAAAAAAAAAAAACCTCAACGCGAAAAAACTGTTTTTTTTTATACGCGCGCGCGCGCCTTTTTATTTTTGGCGCCCATTTCTCCCGCTTTTCACCTCCTCGCTTCTTTTGATTTGTGACGTCAAATATCACGAAATTTAGAAGCTTTGCAGGTGACATCTTTAATAACGGCAATCGTAAAACATGTCTTTTTTTTTTTTTTTTTTAACGGGATTTCGAACGCACTAAGGCACCTCTTTTTGAAATACTGAAAATCGGAGTCCGGTGTGATGTCGTGTCCTGGATTTTTAATCTTCCCTCGGAAAACATGGCGGCGCTCGACGCATGTAGCAGACGATGATCGGGGAATCGGACAAGGTGGTCTTTTTTTAGGTTTGGAGATGTTTTTTTTTTTTTTACTTCACAAATACTGATTTCTCAAGTTTCGAACTTTGAGGGTAATGTCCGGGCATTGTTTTCAATCGTTTCGGATAATAACAACAAAACAAAAAAAGATTTTGACGTGTTAGTGCCTTTTTAAGCGCGGTGCAAACCGAAGACGGCTGTCGGATCCGACATCCGATTTCGGCAAGAAAACCGGTCCGGTGAGAAGGAAACATCACGTTTCGTTCCGATGCCTTCCGAGTTTTGACGCACGCCTGCGGGAAGAGAATGGAGAGCGTGGAAAGCTTTTTGCGCGCTCGGAGGCTCGGGCGAAGTAATTCCGACAAGGTCCGGCTTGTGGATGCGTGCAAATCAAAATCAGCTCTCGACGTGCCCGCCCCACGTCCTTTTTTTGTCGTAGTCGGATATTCGGATTCGACAGCCGATTTCGGTTTGCACAGGCCTTTAAGTGGCTACGTTTGCGTTCGGGCTGATAGGCGAAGAAGGGCGTCCGGAGAGTCGCGGAGATTGTTTGTGTAGGTAATAAGGATCACAAAGCATGAAGGCGCAATCACGGTGTTGTGGAGAGACGATTTTGGTGAGCCTATTTTCCGGTGAGATTTTCTCCGGGGGAACATTTCTCTGGTAAGCTTTATGCTCGTTCGCCCGTCTAGGCTGACGGGCGCTTGAAAACGGACGGAAATGACTAAGAACACCGTACCTGGCACATTTGCTGTTAATGTGCACTGTCCGATTCGCCCTCCATGCAGCAACAATCACCTGTTCAAAACCATAAAAAAAAGAACAATTTTGCGAGGACTTTATTTTTGTGGTCACCGATGAGCTGGAAGCAGCTTTCCAGGCGTGAGTGCAATGAACTACCAAAGAGTGGTTTCGGCAGGACATGGAAAGGCTGCCACACAGGTGGCAAAGTGCACTCAGCTTCAGAGGTAGTGCGTGAAGGTAAAAAATGAAAGACATTTACAATCCCCTGTAACGCCGAATTCGAGCGCAGCTCTTGAGGAGGAGGAGGGAAGGGTACTGAGGGCAAACGGTGGAACGTCCCCTACTACTAACATGGGTGTCGATCGCAAGTCACAGAAAATGCACATCTTTGTTGAGAGCAGGGGGGCTAAGCTCGCCTCCGGCGGGAATCTCTCCGATGCCACGTCACGAGGGAGGGGAGGAGCTTCTTTTGACTCCGCCCCGGCGAGTTTCCCACTCCCCCTCTTACATTTCCGACCCCCCCGGCGGCGGCGAGTTCCCCAGCGTAGCTCCGATTCTTCCCTACGCTCCGCAATTAAGGGTTTTTTGTTTTATTTAAATCGGGGGACCGGTGGCCGGCTGGGCTAGCGCACACCAGCTCGGAGCACGTCGAGCAAAAGGTCCGTTGCAGAACCCAGGATGCTGGATTCAATCCCCACCCCTGCCCGTTTTGATGTTGATGAGCATCGTACCGGCGTGCAGTCGTGTAACACTACTGCGGGATGGACGTTAAAGACCCCAGGCTAGCGGTTGTACGGCACTGCATGGCTAAATTTCTCATCTACAGCTGGGAGAATCTTCCCCGTTGAGGCAGACCAAGTTTTAGGCAGTATCGACATACATACAGCCCAATTTTTTTATTTAAATCGTAAATGACAAATAAGAATAGGTAACAGCAGGGATGCTAATTATACAAACATTGCTTGGATGTGGGCTAGTTGACTAGACATTGTGATGGTTTGCTGCGCCACGTAGATGCAAGAAAAACGCTCTTGATAAAGATATAAACTAAAGCAGAGTATAGGCGAAAAACAACATGCAGGAATGGGGCAGACTAACAACTGTGTAATTTCTTTCTCATCTTTCTCCCCCCACACCGCCATACAGCCACAATATTTTTTTTTTTTTTTCAGAATAGGGTGCACGTGGAGCGAAAGCTCGTGCTGCAGAACCCAGGATCGTGGATTCACCCCCCACCCCTGCCCTTTTCGATGTTGATGAGCATCGTACCGGCATGCGGTCGTGTATCACTACTACGTGGTGCACGTTAAAGACCCTAGGCTAGCAGTCATACTGCACTGGCTAAATTGCTTATCTCCAGTAGGTGACAATGTCGCAATGTTCTGGCATGTTCTCCTGCTGTATAAACAACTAACGGCCAATTTGTTTGTCAAAATACGGTGTGGAAGAAGAAAGATGAGAAAGAAATTACACAGTTGTTAGTCTGCGCCATTCATGTATATTGCTTTTCTACTATCATCTGTTTTAGTTTGAATTTTATCAAGTGCGTTTATCTTGCATCGACGCAGCACAGCAACCCATCAAACTAATTGTAAAAGCCTGTAGGTAATGGTAAATTGCGTTCCTGGTTGCAGATTGCCGCAAAAACACATTGGTTTCTAGGATTCACTTTGTAGATTTTGTATGTAGGATTCACGACGGGGACAACAGTCCATTCACGGCTCCATCGCCTCAAGCCCGGTTCGCAACGCAGTTCATCGGACAGCCACCTTACCACGTCTTTCGAGAGGCGATAGTGTTGTTGAAAATCAACGTCGTCCATGTCAAACACATTGGCGTGGTTTAAATACCTATGCCGACGGCAAAACACGAACGAAAACGCTGCCATTTTGGACGCTTCTCCCTGATCTCGCGCCCAACTCGCCCAAACTCGCCTAGGTCGGAGCCGGCAAGCTTTTCCCTTCCGCGGCGGCTTCTGCCACGTCACAATGACGTCACCGCATCTCGCCGCGAGTTCTGAATATGCAACTCTCCGACCGCCTCAAACCATCCGTTCTGACGTCACGATCTAGGGAGTGTCGGCGCGTGTCGTCATGCACGGCGCCGACCAATCGCGGCGGTCGGCGAGTTTGGCGGAGAACTCGCCTCGATCTCGCCGCGCCGAGCTTAGCCCCCCAGCACGTGTAAATTTGGCGAGAATTTAACGGGGCAATTTTTTCCCCTAACTTTAGCGGGGAAATTTTTTCCGCTAAATTTAACGGGGAATTTTTTTCGCTAGATTTAGCGGGAAAAGTTTTCCCGCTAAATCAAGCGGGGAAATTTGTTGCTAGATTTAGCGGGAAATTTTTTCCACTAAATTTAGCGGGGAATTTTTTTGCTAGATTTACCGGGAAACTTTTTCCACTAAATTTAGCGGGGTATTTTTTCTGCTAGATTTAGCGGAGAAATTCTTTTCCGCTAAATTTAACGGGGAATTTTTCTGCTAGATTTAGCGGGGAAATTTTTTTCGCTAGATTTAGCGGGGAATTTGTTTCGCTAGTGACGTCACACGTGACGTCGCTGGTGACGTTACTGATAACGTCATCAGTGATGATGATGATGACGCCACGGGACGTCACTGGTGGGCCTTGTGACGTCATCGTCACTGATGACGTCATCAGTGACATTACCAGTGACGTCACGCTTCTCATAATGCACCGCGCGGTTACGCCGACGGCGACGCCGCTCAAGCCGGAAACGGGCGCCTAAGAGCTGCGCTCTAAAAAAAACGTGTGTAAAAAGGGTTCGTGATATAATTTTCAACTCCTTCCTCAGCTTTTATCATCAACTCAAAAGCGAAACGAGAAATCACGTGGACGCAGACGCGGAATAATGGGTCAGGCTTGGGGAAAGGGGGTTGGCATTTGGGTGGCGGGGGAGGGTGTCTGCTGAGATATGACGGTTCGGTCGACGAAACCTTGCCCAGATCTATTTGGTTGACCCAAAATTGGCTATGTCACCAAAAACTAAACCTTTGGCTAATGTATATCAATTTGTTGATAAAAAAAAAAAAAAAAAAGGTTGCCCCCCCCCCCCCCCCCCCTTTCTTCCTAAATCTGCCCCTACGTGGACGTGACGTGCTTGGGTGCACCAGATGCGATGACTCCTAGCTTCCAGCGTGCTTTTTTAACCACACCATGAAACTTGTCATTCGCAAGTGATGCTAAGTGTCGTCACGGCACTCACTTGGCCACGAACGCGACTCGAAATATTCGTCGAGGGATCGATGGTTGACGAGCGCCTACGCCCGAGTGACGCAGGGCTCGTGTCCAATGCGTGAGCTGGGTTCGGCCGACGTACTTGGGTACCGTGGATGCATCCCAGCGAAAAGGCGGAGAGCTTTCGAAGGAAAGGAGCTAAGAAATAGTACGCTATAGTTTCAAAATTTCGTACCGAAAACCAGGCTTTTAGTTATCTGCCCTCGTGTACTACTCTCTTTGGACGCACTAAACGACTTGTGATCAGTAAAGTCTCAATTTGTCCCAGCCCCCAATCTATTCCATGGTCCCTTTCATATGGCACGCCCCTCGTGTCCTCCCCGTAAATATAATAAGCGTTAATATAATAAGCGACTCCCTGCGTTTCTTAAGCTAGGTCAATAGGGTGTTCTAGAATAGGGGCCCCAAAGCTTGTGGTCCCCCGAGTGACCTGAGGCGTGGCACTACGCATGCGCACGGCGACGCCCCAAGACCCGCTGGACCCGAAGTGTTGGGACCCCTAAAAATCTTATGACTATTGGCGACTCCAGCGAAATTGACGGCACCAAGCGGCGAGAACAGAAAGCCGTGGCGGCAGGTTCACTGTCCGGCCTTCCAGAGCGAATCCGATATTCACAGCGCACAATATTGCCGATAAAATCGCAATATTGTTTCACCAGTGGACATAGGGCATCCTGCGCTAGGCACGTTCGCTCGTCGGCATGCCTAAGCTTAGCGTGAGCGCGTCAAATATTCGCAGCACCTGCCGGTCAAAACAGAAGCCGTCGAAACAGGTTCGAAACCACGCGCCGGAAATCCCCAACGAGGAAAATTCATATGGGGTCATTAGCTCGAGCTGTCGAAGGAGCACATGGTGCGGAATGAACGTGATGGGAGCGCTAGAGTCACTAGCGCTAGAGTCGCTCCAGAGTAGCGACACTCGAGCCGGCTCGGTGCTTGAAATGATAGTTTCTAGTTAACTGAGGCTTTAGCTGAAATCGCAGCGAACGCCTTTTACACTGTCCACAAATGTCCAAACAGTCTCCCACAGAGAAAAACGACACCACCTGAGCTTTCTCACACAGCTTATCTAAAGCTCAAGAAGTCGCATTTTCGAGTCTATGCCCCGTACGTGTGACGTCATAGTTCAAAACAAACCGTTGCTAGGGGCGTTGCTATGGGCGAATACATGGGATTGGATTTTGCTCGGAAGGAACGATCGGTTAAAAATCAAATGTTGAATTTAAACGTCTAAAAACAATAGATATAGGAAGCCTTGATTTCACACTTACCATGACACAATTTTGTCGAGATTCGGCTGTTTCTGAAATATTTACGATGGCAACTTCCGGTCCTTGAGACGTCGCGAGATGCTCTGACTGAAGTATGCCGTCTGAAACAGTTGAAATCGTTTGCATAATGATACGAGTTTGATCTCGTATTTATTGGGAACATGTCAGGCTTAAGAAAGCTCACCAGGTTTATAAAAAAGTGAATTGTGTTTGCGTGCGATGCGAGATACTGTCTGACAAAAATCATCACACGCATGGAGATCTGCTAAAAATACAGCAAGAAAAGCGAGAAAAAGAAAAAAAAAGAATGAAAGAAAAAAGAGGGCCTGATGCTGCTTTTATATCATATTTAAGGATGTCACAGGCACGTGGCCAGGATTTTGTTCCGGGGGGGGGGCGGCGGGGGCGCCCATGACAAAATTCTTTATCAGGGGGAGGGGGGAGAGGAGGTCCCAGCGAAAAGGAAGATTTCGGGAGGGGGGGGGGGGGGGGCATGCCCCCGCCTCCCCCGCCCTATTGT